TGACATTTTTTCATATTGAATTCTTCTATAATATCTAACGTATCACTGGTAAGTTACGCATACATTATGACCAGCTGCATAGTTTCTTTTGATGTAGCAGCAGCGGTATCTTTAGATGCCTTTCTTCTTTTAGCACCAACAACTTTTCTTTTTTTGACATTTCGTGTTTCTCTCTAGCTTTGAGATGGCGGGTAACAACTTTTATATTGAGATTTAGATCATCTTTTATGAATTCAGCAGTTACATATACTGTATGAAATTGAATTATGTGCTTGATCTTTTTTACTATATCAATGTTTCTTCCATACAATCATATTTTTATTTCCATCATAAAAATATATTTACACGATATGTACTATCATTCCATAGAAATTAGATATATGTATATCTTTTTGTGATGATATTTTGAGATTATATTATCAACACTTATGCATTGAAATCAATGATATTATGATTTAACAGCTCTTTTATATGTCAGTGTTTTCTATACCTTGTTTTGTATAACTATAGCATTTCAATAGAATATTAGTATTTCAATAGTTATCGTTTCGCATAACGATGAACCATGACGATGTCTTTATCAAAATAAACAAGTAAATGATAAGTGGCATCAATTAACTGCTGATTATAGTACATTTGATTAATTTGCTGCGAACAAATTGGCTTTATTTCATAATGAATTAAAGCAAGAGTTATAATACATGAGGTTAATAGAATATATATTGAGAGCAGCCGTATTCGTGGTAGTAGCAAAAATAATATAAAGAAGGTTACTGTTTTTACTAAAGATAAAGAAAGTATAAAAGTACAAATTTCGGCAAAAAGCCAAGGATAAGAAAACGCAATAAAATATTCACATAAAGGAGCAGTAACATGACAAATGACCAGAGGCGACAAGGCAGGAAAAGAGAAATAATACTTATTCTTTTTTAATAGACTTTTTGAAAGATGGTCTCTTGAATAAAGTCTTTTGTGATTGATCTCGTTGGCTTCGGCTAAGGCCTAAAATCATTAGTCATAAGCGAGTCAACTCTTCCTAATAAATTGCTATTAACTCATCAATTCGTGAAAAGAAATATATATATAATTACATCAAGATATGATAGTATATTAATAGCAGGTAGTAAGATCATGATATCCAGAGCATCTCGTAAAGTACGAAATTGGGCTATTAGACGAGATCGATATTCAGCTTCGTATTCAAGAGACATTTGATATAGATAACAATCATAGCCTAAAAATTCACAATGAGCTTTTTGACAGAACTTATGCTGTAATGAGAGCTTACCTTCAACTAAAAGACCGTAGCAGACTGGATTGTTAACACCCAAATCAATTTGTTGGTCAATAATTGCTTTCATCTCTCGTTGGGACTTGACGAAACCGGTTTCATACTTATTTGATGAACTACCTGGTTTTTTTATCTCACAAACAAAGAAATCCACTTTGATATCAACCTTCAGCTTTAGCATAATTAAAATATCTGGTTTGTAATCTTTCATCGTTATCATTGTCTTGTTAAATCTAAACAAAAAAAAAAGGAAAAGATGAGATCATATGTGACTTTTATAGCAATCATTCAATACTTACTTTGATACCTCAAAGTCGCGGCGGCCAGCAAATAATGGGAGGACGAGGGGAAATACCGCTTGAACTGAAAACTGACATTCAGTCATATCGGAATCGTTCCATGTCAGCAAACAATTGTAGATATTTGTGATGATTTTTTTTGCTAAGCCAGCTGTATTACTGATAGTAAAATTGAATTGATCTAAATTGTGGATATTATTAGAGTATGACTTCCAAAAGAAACTGCTATTTCTATAATATTTACTGTTACTCTTATTGAATAACTTACGATTTGTAATTCAAGGAGATCTGAAATTACTGCTTGCATATTTTCAATCGTTGGGATTTTGGCTTGCTGGCAATATGATGAGCAATCCTTAATGTTTAAGTATTCACATAATCTTGTATTATTAAGAGGTGTATGCCCAAATACAAATATAAATGATAATGACCTATTTATTGGCATAGTTTTAGCAAATTAAAGCACTGAATATAAACAAGTTTTCACTTACAATACACGGATATCGTTTAGTATTTTGGAATGCTGCGCACCAATAATGTTTATATTTCTAAATTGCATCAACTTGCACTATGGCGAAAATTATGGTAAATGAAGAAAAATTGGTAGCTTTTCTACCAATTTTTTTTTGAACCAGCCAACCACATTTAAGGAAGGGTGCATCCCAGATGGCTAGCAATGTTGAGATGTTTTTTAAATCCCTAGAATTAAGCCTAGAAGCAACTAGGTGAATAGTAAAAGATATATAGATTATTTTTATATGTTTGGGTGTCTTTTTATTCCCTTCATTTAAGCCATGAACTTCATTTTAGAATTATGATTTTTAATTTTTTACGGAAAAAAAAAAATTGGCAACAGCTACCAAATTGGTATTTTAGCTACCATATTTCAGCGCTTGAATTTCTGTCAGAGCCAAAACGGGCTTCTAATTTTTTAATTGAATTTTTTTTTCTTTTCAACAAACAAGCTTTGAGCTGGTTTTTTTTATTTTATTTGGAGCTTAATAATTTAAATTAAAGAAATGTTACCAACTGTTGTGCGAAGATTAATGTCGAAAACAAAGTACGGGGATATAACATAAAACTGGTTATCGACTCCAGGGTATTGTACAAGACCAGCTTGCCTATCGATGTCATAAACACTGATAACAGCGTATTTTGGGTATATAATAGAAGTATTGCCAGTTTGTTCTTCTATTGGCTTGCTTCGCTTTACTAGAGGGACAGATGAGTCATGCGAAGCTGTGGTATGTTGACTCATGACTTCAATGAACGCGAGAAATTGTACATTCGATTGTGAAAGCTCATGCTTGAAATAGAACAGAACAGAACCAACAAACCAACGTTTCCTTCTTCTAAAATAATATGTTCGGTAAATAAGAATTTATAGTTGTTTTAGTTTTTTTTTTTTTTTTTTTAAACTTACGTGTTATCTAAACAGGAAAACATGATGTACTGATTCCCTCTACTGGTTTCTTTTTTTAATCGCCTGTACATACAAGATGAATATACAGTTGAAGAAACCAAAAGGCGGGATGCAAGGGTTATAGAAGTGCTGGGTATATTAATGGGGAGTCTTTGATTATTTAAGCGAGTATAGAATCTCTTTATAGTTTTGACAATTTTCTTGCCGGGTATACCTTCCACCAATTGATCATCATTCAGCTCAGAAATCGGGATGAAAGGCTCCCATAATTGTGGACCATTAGCATCATCGGGTATATTCATGTAGCTGGCATCGGTATATTGTCTGGGTTGAATCAGATTAGCCAGTTCAGCAATGTTTAAAACGCGGTTGACGTGATTGTGGATTGCCAGTCTTTCAATGACGTTACTTGCGTTTTTTCCACCCTCACGTTTCGACTTGATCAGCTTTGAAAAAACCCCAATCGATCGCTCCATTGACCTTATTGAATACGCTCGAAGAGGGCCTTGCTTTTTTATCATGAAAGGTATATGAGCTAGGTAATGTTGTACTGGTCTGAATACGCTGCGCGATATATGTTTATGGTTAACCTGTTGAAGGAGGTACTTATGCCAGTCGTTAAAGTGCCTAGTGTAGAAGGGGTTACTAATCAGTTTGTGTAATATTATAGAATTTGAGTCTTACCCATCCATCTCACTGATCAACTCATCAGTTAGATCCCATTGAAGGGCCAAAGAGCAACCTTTCACTAGCGATAATACAGCTTTTTGGACTGTTCTATTGGGTAAATATGGGGTAACTAAAGTTGGAATAATATAGAGCAGAAAGTCCAGCCAATCCACAGCACGAGTTCCTTCGGTTTTTGCAACAACATTGTCAAAACTGCCTTGAAATGAGGTAGGGATATATTGTCTTGACTCTGTTATGCTTTTTCCAATGTTTACAAGGCTTCTTTGGGGTATAAAAAAAGGGTAGTTCTCCAACACCTTTGTGCCATCCTGTTGGATATAAAAAAAGACAGCGTTTTGACTTGGGTTAAGATCAACGGTAATCATGTCGTACATTTGTTTGCCGATGCCTCTAGCGATCAAATGGAGCTCATCCAAGCCAAAGAAAGGAGAACCAGAAAAGCTATTTAGCGCACTAAAGACACTCGGTTGATGGATAGATCTGGCCTATAAACAAAGTAGTAAGTAAACATGATGGTAATAAGCATGAAGTTTTTTTTTTTTTTTTTTTTTTTTTTTTTTTTTTTTTTACTTTTCTCTTTAACCTAATTCATTATGGTTCTTATTTAAAATAACTCTCAACCTCGTTCATTATTATGTATAGAAGACTCTTCATTTGAGAAGGTAGCAGATTCCATCTTGTTTTTAGTTCTTTTTTATGCTATTTATAATCTTGCACTCAATTCTAACATTCGTTTATATTGTTCATTAGTCATTGTTTTCTTAGAAAAAAAAAAAAAAAGCTCTATACGCTACTTGACTCGTACAAAAGAAAAGGCAAATACACGAATTGCCGGAAGTTCTTTGTTACTTCATCTTGCTAACATGAAGAAATTACTTTTTCTTTTTAGTCCAAGTTTTAAAAAGGTATGTTAGTTTAAATGTTTAGAATCTTCTTCAGTGTTTATATGAAAAAACACATATATAATAAGCAGATAAGCATTATCCCACTATTGTTTTGTACTGTTTTAAAAAATAAAGCGTTATTTTATATTTATAAAAATATGATAAATAAGCAACCCATATCGTATATAAGCTACCAAAAAAATATGGTAGAAAAGCTACCAATATTGTATATAAGCTACCAAAAAAATATGGTAGAAAAGCTACCTTTTGGGTGCTTATAGAATATCATTTCTACCATATTTTAACTGTCAAAATTGGTAACTTTGCTACCATATTGGTAACTTTTCTACCATATTTTCCGCCATAGTGAATTGTGTAAAATAAAAGAATCAAAATGCATTGGGTTCCACATCAATTGGCCATCACCGTCAAGATAATCCAGGACACTACAGTTAGCTTCTTGTTCTTTAAGAGAGTTGAATGACTCATCCTCACCCAAAGAATTAAAAATGACCTATCCCAGAAATAAACATGTTATATTTAAATCAATACAAACTGTAAGATAAGGCTATTATCTTACCATAGTATGTTCTTCTTCTAGAATCATTAAAATTAATTAAATGGTTTAGTACAAAGTTTTCAAGATATTGATTCTCACTTATTCAAGTTACCGAGTCTACAGCATCATTTTCTTGCTGTTGTTGCTCTGCCTGTGGTTGTAGCTGCTGTGGCAGATGATTATGTAGTGAAGATGGATCATCTTCGTTCTTCTCTTCTTCTTCTTCTTCGTTATCATTCTATTAAAAAAATATTATCCTCCGTTACTATCGGGGTTATATCTAACACATGCCAAATCTACTTACATTCGATCTTTGCCTCTTCACACCCCGTGTCTAATTGGAAGTACAATAAATTAGTTTTAGTTGTTGCAATGCTTGTAAAAAAATAACAAATTGAGAGTATCAAAATTATCATCAAAATACTATACCTTCTTTGTATAAGTAGCAGATCTTATTGATGACTTGAAAATCTCTCTTGCAATTTCTTCATTGTTGATAGAAGAAATAAGAGCACAGTTCATAAAGTAATCCTTGCACTCGGTAGTTTTTAAGAACTAATATCATAGTATTAATAGGTGTATAAATCATTTGGATGCACTGTTTACCTCATCTAAGTCCTTTTTTAATTTGCAAATCTTTGGATTCATGGTTCTTTTGTTATATCGTTTTCGCCGTTTCAAGTTCTTGAAGGCACAAATGAATTTATTTCGATTTTCATTACGAGTTTGTAAAGTATATGTTTCCAATAGTCTCACATTAAACTGAACAGAGTTCATATTTTCCCAAAGATACTCAGCTAACGATAAACCTGTCATATTGCTTAGAAATGGTTGATCAAAGTGAATAAAAGACAATCACTATTCCAATTTACTAGCTGGAGTATTTTTTAGTAAAATTGAGAAAGGCTCTGGAATAAAATGATAAATTTAAAGCCAGATTTGATAAAATGTTTTCACTAAAATTAAGAAAAGGTTAGAGCTAAATTGATAACAGCCAAGAAAAAAAATTGATAAAAACTTACAAAAAGATTGAGAAAATAAATTTATTTGAAAACTAAAGGTTCTTTTCCATTGCTAAACATCTTTCAAAAAATGTGATAGAATGACAAATCCATCCCTGGCAGTCTTTCAAAGTTACCTTTGAACAGGACTCCATTATTCTTCGTGTCAATGCGTCGCCAGTATCAAATGGGCTTCTTTTGATACCATACTTTACCTTCGACCAGAATAGCTCAATGGGGTTGAGGAAAGGTGAATAGAGAGGAAGAGAAGCACATTTGTATCCTCTTTTCTCAATAAAAATTCTTACTGTGGCAGGCTTATGAATAGGAGCATTGTCCATCACTAAGTAAAACCCTTTCATGTCGTTCTTATCCAAGACGTCCATTACGTTACTTAAATATGCTAAATAATGTTCAGTTCTCATTCTAACTCTAGCTGTAGTTTGAATAACTTTTCCGTCTGATTTTCTTTTTGTAGATCCGGCAACTGTGATGGGCTTTCTCAAAGATATGTCGATGACACCTTGAGATGAAATAGCTCCGAGGATTGTAATGGACGTACCTCTGGAAGCTGGAACTATTGCCTTTGCAGGTTTTCCCTTTTTGAACCAACCTCGAGTTCGCGTTATATGAAGATTAAAACCTGCTTCGTCTAAAAATATGCAGTTCTTCTCAAAATCAAACTTGCTGTCAGCCATCCATTGCATTATAGTATTTTTTTCTCTTTAGAATCGTCTCTTCCGAGTTTCTAGATTCGACTATTTTCTCTAGTTTTTTCATAAACAAAGCACAGTTGTTTCTGGCATGTCTATAAACAGAAGACTTACTAACAGACAATCTAGGGAATTCCTGGTGCAACATCTCCCCCATTTGTGTAATAGTAATAGTTGCAAAATCGTCCACAATTTTTGTTAAAAATATTGTGTGCTCTTCTTTTAAATCAGAAACATTTCCAACAACACGTCCTCCTTTTTTTTGTTTCACTTATCTTCCCCTCTTTCGTCCATTGTTTTCGGAAACAATAAGCTGAACTTAAAACGATACCAGTTCGTAAAGCTGCGTCTTTTACAGGAACCATTTCTGTTATCAAGCAGATAAACTCTTTGATTTGTTCCTGATTGTACTTTCTGTATTTCAAAGTTTTCTCTTTTTCTTTATTGCTGCTAGCAAGTTTCTTAGCAAATTCTTCGACAGTGGGCTTTGCTAGTTTATCGTTACTTTCATTCTCATTTTCACTATTATCTTCGTTATAGTTATTCTCTTCTGAGTCAAGAGCTCCCAGTTCTTCATTAACTTCTTCATCGAGATCCATAGCGTCTGAGGAAGGCATAGTGGTTACCCATTTAGATCTCATCATAGACATCATGCTAACATAAATCTCGGTAGTTTGTTCCTCTTCCTCTTGTTGGAGGCTTAATTCATTCATTTCAAAATCAGTGTTCATTGATATAATATGTTTTTTAGTATTTTAAAAGGAAGACTTTCTTAATTTTAGTGAAAACATTTTATCAAATCTGGCTTTAAATTTATCATTTTATTCCAGAGCCTTTCTCAATTTTACTGAAAAATACAATAGTACTAAAAATGCGAACAATTTATAATACTCTGATTGGTTTAAAAGAGATAATGAACAAGTTTTAAACTCAACTGATGACGATTGCAATTCATGACGTTTTACTATGCATGTCTAGTCACATTTTTATATTGTATTTTTCAGCAAATAAGAGAAAATTTCAGAAAAAATAAGAGAAAATTATTGGACAAATAAGAGAAAATTATTGGATAAAATAAGAGAAAATTATTGAACAAATAAGAGAAAATTATTGAACAAATAAGAGAAAATTTTAGGTCAATTAAGAGAAAAAAAAATGGCAATTAGCAAAAAATTTACTTATACTTAAATCTCATAAGTTTTTCTCCAGGGCTAAACACTTTTCAAAGAATCTGAGAGAATGGCGAATCCAGCCCTGGCAGTCTTTCTTAGTTACTTTGGAGCAGGCATCCATTATTCTGGGTGTGAGTGTCTCACCAGTTTCGAAAGGGCTTCTTTTGACGCCATACTTCACCTTCGACCAGAATAGCTCAATTGGGTTTAGGAATGGTGAGTACGGCGGAAGATATGCACACTTATAGCCTCTGCTTTCTATTAAGTTTCTTACTGTAGCTGGCTTATGTATGGGAGCATTATCCATTACCAAGTAAAAGCCCTTCATATTATTTCGGTCAAGAACATCCATCACATTACTCAAGTAATTTAAATAGTGCTCAGTCCTAGTTCCAACCTTAGCTGTCGTTGTAACAACCTTCCCATCTATTCTTCTCTTCTTAGCTCCCGAAACTAATATTGGCTTTCTCAAAGAGATGTCAATAATGCCGGCGCTAGAGATGGCACCAAGAATGGTTATTGTGGTGCCTTTTGAAGCAGGGACAGTTGTTTTAGCAGGTTCTCCTATCTTGGACCAGCCACGAGTGCGTGTCATGTGTAAATTGAACCCTGCTTCATCCAAAAAAACGCAATTATTCTCAAAGTCCATATTTTTATCAGCTAGCCATTGAAGGATGGTCTCCTTTCTCTTCTTAAGAGTTTCTTCCGAGTTTCTAGCAGATGAAATTTTCTCCAACTTCTTCATAGATAGTGCACAGCTGGTTCTAAGATGTCTGTATACTGCGGATGGGCTCACGGAGAGACTTGGAAATTCTTTGAGCAACAACTCGTGTATTCCAGCTACAGTTGCAGTTGAACACTCATCAACAATGTCGGTAATAAACTTTGTGTGTTTTTCAGTAAGCTCAGAGACAGTTCCCATTTTGCGCCCTCTTTTTTTCTGTTGAGGTATTTCCCCTGTTTTCTGCCATTGCGATTTGAAACGGTAAGCTGATTTCTCATTTATTCCTGTTTTTAAAGCTGCATCTTTTACAGGAACCTGTTCAATTAACAGGGAAATAAGCTTGTTGATATCTTGCTGAGTGTACACACGTCTAGCATTGCTAGCGGCGTCTTTTTTTTCGGCCAGATCTCTGAGAGGCTTCTCTTCTTTCAAATCGCTCTCACTACCCTGTACATCAGCTTCATTTTCCTCCTTATCCGAGCTATTGCTGGCCTCATCACCCTCGTACCCTTCCTTCAGCTCCATCGTCGCATCTTCATCTAACTCCATGGCTGATGCAGTGATGTTGTACTTCCACTTCTTTCTCATCATTGACATTACGCTGACAATGATTTCAGGTACAGCTTCAATGTCATCGTCGCGTAGAGAAATTTCGTTCATATCAAAGTCAATATCCATTTTTTGTTAATAATAGTGAGAAAAGTGCTTTCTACTAATTGCCATTTTTTTTTCTCTTAATTTTTCTTGGACTTTCTCTTAATTGACCTAAAATTTTCTCTTATTTGTTCAATAATTTTCTCTTATTTTATCCAATAATTTTCTCTTATTTTTTCTGAAATTTTCTCTTATTTGCTGAAAAATACAATACTGAAGTTTGCAAATAAAGATCTCAATATCATGTAAACAAAATTAGAAGACATTTACCGTTAAAAATGTATACCTACAATCTTCTCAACTTTTCCCTTTAAAGATGTTATAACTACTGTTGTTTTACTACATAGATCTTTAATACTAATTCAGTCTTATTCAACGGAACATTTAGTTTTTATAAGTTCATGACTCTTGATATTAGCTGATGCCATTTGTTATTAGAGTACAACCATGCTTATTCCTTATTAGGTCTACATCATTGGCAATTGTGTCAGTGAATGTGAAGATGGAACTTATAAGTGCTGTTGGGAAGGTTACGTTATCATTAGATATAGTTTCTCAACACCATCTTCGGGTTTGACTGTCAGAAGTGGATTAAGTAACCTAATTTTCACTTTTGAGAGGTAGTTGTACTCTTAAATCGCTTAAATATCTTCTTTCGAAACTGGGACTGTATATCTTTATCTGGGTTTCCAATCAAGGACCGAGTCAGAAGTGATAAATTGATAGATGCATAAACACGTTCTTCAAGAAGAACTGAAGACAGCGAGGATGCTCCTATTGAAGACATACACAATTTTATTTCAGCATTTGATCAATATATTCTGTAAATACTTGAATAAAGAACATTTGTAATCGCCTTAGTATTTAGTTAAGATTATTTTCGAAATTCTGGGCAAGTTAGTTTCAAACACTTGACCAAATTAGTCTCACACAAATTCAGATAGTTTGTTTACCTTTTTTTGGATGAATAAAAAAGGAAATTCAGATACAGATGCAAAAATGGGGCAAATGAAAAATTAAATGGAGACAGAACGTTAGATGAGATTCAGAAAAAAAAATTGCTATTTTTTTTTTTCGTAAAGACTTCTTATCTGCAGTTATCTTTAAGCTGTCACCGGTAAAGGTGCAGCCACCACATTGGAGGTAGCGCTTTGTCGTGTGAAGACAGTAAGGCGATCGTTCCCATTCTAAATAGATTGAGTAATGGTGACATATTTTTGCTAGTCAGGACGTCGCGGTTCCAATAGATATTACAATTTTTGCATATTAATACTTGATGGATTTTACGTTCGCCATGCTTGATATTTTCAACAGATTTTTGTAAGCAAATGTTGCAAGCCTATAAAAGAAGTTAGCCTTGCTCATGTAATATAAATACATATATGTTTTACCTTTGATGTGTTAAATTCATCAATATCCAGAAGTAATAGCTTACCGAACTTTTCTCTTAACTTTAACTGTCGGTATAGTTTTTCAACAACATCATGTCTTAAACCTTTGAATTCCACTTGAGACTTGTTTTTTAAACCATCGCCAAATACAACTATAGGCATTTTTTTGCGGTCACCTTCCTCAAATTTCTCTTTATAGTTTCTTTCAAAAAAGATATAAAAATGGTTAATGCTTCAGAAGTAAAATAAAAAGAATGTGTGTTGTACCTTAATTTTTTCTTCCCAATTTTTGTATGACGGGAATCGAATTGGCTGCTCTGGTATCTAGCCGAAGTCTTTTTTTCTCTTCCGTCTATTCCTTCTTGTGTTCTTCTATTTTTATTATATTTTTTTGATCCATTGATCAAAATATTGACAGCATTTTCTATTGCTCGCTGAGACCCAAAGTGATTACACCATCTTAGTCTCGCAGTGTGGAAACTATAAAAACTTGACAGTGTATCAAAATTCTGTAACATGTATGATATATACACTGTAACGTTCCAGACTTGCAGTTTTTGGAGAAGGTATACTAGTTTCAATTTGCTCAATATTCAATCTTCTCTTGCGCTCTTGTTCTTGTTCTTGTTTTTGGCGGTGTTTTCAAACATCCGGTAAATTGAGAGTGGAAACACAGTATGAAAATTTTTTATGGTGTCTACATATGCATCGAAGATTGCAAATGCCTTTGACCGAGCCCGACCCTTTGTCCTTCCTCTTGAATAAGCTGCCAAATAAACAAAAACACATGCCACCAATCTCATCAGCTTTCAACTCATCTGACTTTCCCGCCTGGACGATTCTTTGGCCTGCTATGTGCTGTATACTTTTTGAACTTGACTATCTTCATCATGGCAAACTTTCTCCAGAAACTGCCCCCCCCTTGGTACAAAACTTGTAAACTGGTTACATAACTCTGAATCTAGTATTTATTGATATATCTTGCTTTTCCTCTTCCCTTCTCTTTCTTTTTTACCCTTTTGCCTATCAAAAGGTTTTTTAGTACACTTTTATCCTTTCTCGAACTGATCCGGGCAATCCAATACTGCCAGTATTATGTGCTCACATGGGTTGTTTAAATTTTTGTTATAAAAGTTTTCTTTCGTTTTCTTTAACAAACTTTAATGTATTTAGTATTGTTCAGCTATTTCTCAATATATTACAATGGAATTCATCTTTGATTTAAACAAGCAAGCGTTGAATGATCGCCTCGAACCTATTCAAGCTTCTAATATTAGCAATGTCCAAGATGAAGTTCAAATTAATAGTTATAAATCAACATTTGCAATTAACAATACGAACAATCGTGTGATTGATCTTGAAGATGAATTAGGACTTCATATTACACCTGGATTTAATGATACTGCACTGTATTGGTCTCGTATTCAAGTTAAGAAAGTACCAATAATAAATGAGTTGTTGACACAACTCATTACTAATGATGAATCAACATTAAGGTAACGACAAAACATGATTATAACATTAAGACTTGAAAACAAAACAAAAAAAAACTAATAATATAGCATTATATATAGATACTTGCATGCCAATGGAGTTTACTACGATGATGAAAATGACATATTTTGCCCTGGTGGAACGCCAATGGTTCTACGTCGTGCTGGTAGCCGTGGTCCTGTTTGGCGCTGTTGTGGGACGCGTATTGTTAATGAAACAGGTGAAGAATGTTGCAACGAAACTATGTGAACTTGTTAAATAGATAGCTTCTTTTATAATAGAAGCTATTCAGAGCGTACAGTAATGCAAGTTCTTTATTTCTGGCTGGCTTGGTGCAATCGTAACCACAACCCTATGTTCACAGGTATCTCAACAAAAACGATATCTGGGATCATTTTGTTGGACTGGTACCAAATGATTCAGGAGGATTTAAGTTGGACAGATATCTAAATCGATAAGTTAGTCTGATAAATATAAATTCATTAACGAGTTGTATTGCTTAAATAAGTGGCCTAAATATGATTATCTCGTACTGTTTATGGTTATAGTTTACAGGTAATTAAAATAGGGTAAAAAGAAATAAAATAAGAATTTATTATATGTATACATATATCCGCTGTAGATAAGTAAGATTATAAAAGATGAATTACATAATACAGGATAAACTATAAGTTAATAAAAGTTTTTAAATCAGAGTACTTATTATGGCTCTGTCGGTTCCATATTTGTTCTTGGTATTTTAAAATAATGTATGGACAACAACAACCACTATGAAAGGCTTTTTCTGCTATTAGAATGAAAATATTTAAAGTGTCGTATCTTCATCAGGGATAAAGACATAGTACACTTAATATCCTATTTATCTAATCTGTATTAATCAATCAGTTGCTGACTACTGTTCTAAATAATAATAATTCTCGCCTTCTTTTTTGTTTTCAAATATTGTAATCTATACATGCATATATAAAACAAATTATGATTGAGTTAGTAGTGCAAAGTAAGTAAATTAAATAAAATCATTGCTGAAAAGAGTTTACATGGAAGCTATTTACTAACGACTACAATTAAAGTATGTTTTTTTATTTGCATGAAAAAATTATTATCCTAAAAAGGTAAAAATGCAAACATCGTCATTATTTTTTATTTTTTTTTTCTTATCTCTATTCTTCTTTTTTTTTTTTTTTTCTTAAAAAAAAACAACATGGAAGATAATTTTGATAGTTACTCTGTAAAATAAAAGCGTTAATAAAGTATTTCTAAAGACAAACTCACACACATATTATAAACTTCATTATTGTAGATTATAAATGATCCCCGACTTTCAACACATTCCGCAATAAAGAAAAGTGATCCTGAGGAGGAGGGCTTAATTAAATTACTATTTTCTAAATCCAAAGTTTATGTTCATCCTTCAAATAATCCTAACGATTTCATTCCAGGCTACTTATCCATTATAGAAAAAGTAATAAAGGACAAAGTAAAAAAGAGAGAGAAAAAAAAACAAAAGACTTGTTTTCACTCAAATAAATGTGATTTTAGAAGCCTCAAAGTTACCTGGTTGCATGGACACCAGAAGCACTGATTCCATCTAAAGACAAAGATGCATTTGTTCGAGTTGATGTCAACCCCAATGACATTGGAAATATTGAATGTAATAATAGCACTATATAAGTTATAATATACATATATACATATATATTGGATACATACATATATATTATATAGCATCTGTCTTAGTTTCATCAGATTCAGAGCAGTTTACTTCATACGCTGTATCTGTACCAACATATGCAATTCATTCATTTCTTATTAAAGCCCCGTCATTTTCGAAATGGTATGGTAGTATTGTAATCAATTTCAAAGATGGTCACAGTTCTGGACCCTTTTGGTTCCATGATGATGAAAGCAAGAGTACGATGCTTCAGAGGAATACTCAAGGTGGAAAATTTACTTCGAATGATAGAAATCTAGTTTGTTGGGGTGGTGATGAGTTTCTTGAAAGATTAAGTCAAATTATCCAAATCAGAAAGTAGAGGATATAATATGTGCTTATTTTTGTCCTTATTTATCTTATTTTCTTCTTCTATTATGTAATATAGGTCAAATGATAATGAAAACCTTTATTTAATGGAGGATGTTCATGTTAAAGGAAAAGTAACATCAACAGTCTTATATGAGGAAAAACATAAAGAAGAAGCTAAACCTACTATAAATGATTCAACATCGCCATCGTCATCATCTAACGCTGCAAAAAAACAAAATTTTACCCTATTTGAATCTACGCAAATGGATCCATTTGTTGCTGTAAGTGAAGAATATATACATGTGTGTATATGTGTGTGATAATTAAAAAAAAAAAATCAAAGACTTTAAAAGAGGCACGTTGGAATATATTGGAAAAATTATCGAGGGTGACTAAATTCTCTAGAGATGCTGCAATCAGTTTCCTTAATAATTCTACATCACAACCTCTAGTATCTTTACTTCCTTCAGGTGTCCAAGAACTGTGTGATAATGAAACAGTAAAGAGAACTATTGATGATTATGATTCAGCTCGTATCTTTTTAGCTAAATGGGCAGCTGGTTTAGCAGCTCAATCAGAAAATTCAGTACCTCAAGATAGAAAATATCGAAATGCAGGTGTTTGGGGACATGATGGTTGGGAGGAAGAAACTGCACTTGGTGTCTTTGAGGTTTTAAACGTAAATTGTTATTATAATTATTATTATTTTCTTATTCTAATAATATTCATGCTACTCACCCTTTTATGTAGTCAGAAAATGATTTTTCTATTCCTACTCACACGAGAACGAAGCCTGTAACTGAAGCAGAATGGAGCTCCTTTTTTGATAAGAATGGTAAATTAACTACAGATGAATCGATTGTAAAAAGAAAAATATTTTGTGGAGGTCTAGAGCCAAGTATTAGAAAAGAAGCATGGTTATTTTTGACAGGCGTATATCCCTGGACTTCCACTGCTGTTGAGCGGTATCAAATTGATAAGGAGAAAAGGTATAAACCATTTTATCAAATCCTCTTTGAAAGTAATATATCCATTCATTTGTTTTTGGTTTTTTTTAATAGGGAGTCATATAAAACTTTGAAAGCTAAATGGGAAGATGATGCAGAATATAGGAATACAAATATATTTAAGGATCAAAAACATAGAATAGGTATAACTACTATTGAACAAGGTATTTTATATACACATATTTTATTAAAATATACATATATCTTCTATACTCTATTTCATTCATGTTCGGAATCTAGACAAAGATGTGCATCGTACAGATCGAACTGTGGATATTTATGTTGATGAAAGCTTGCCAAATCCAGACCCATTGATGAATATTGGAACAAACGAAAACCTTGAGATACTCAAAAGTATTTTATGCACCTATAATATATATAACACAAAGTTAGGCTACGTACAAGGTATGTCAGATTTATTATCTCCCCTTTATGCAGTCATTAGTGAGGAGCCACTCGCTTTCTGGTCCTTTGTTGGCTTTATGGAACGCATGGTAAGCATATTATTATTTTTTTCCCAATTATACATACATATTATTTTAACCTCTTTTAGAAGTCAAATTTCTATGCTGATCAGTCTGGAATGCACAAACAGTTATTCACTTTAGATCTTCTACTTCAATTTATGGACCCCGCATTATATAAGCATTTCCAACGTACAGATAGTTGCAATTTCTTCTTTTGTTTTAGATGGTTATTAGTTTGGTATAAACGCGAGTTTCCATGGTTAGACACATTGCTTCTATGGGAGGTTCTTTGGACTGATTACTTAACAGATAAATTTCATTTATTTATTGCATTATCCATCCTAGATCAGGTATATTTATCATCATTTATCCTTATTTTGTTATTTACATATAAAATTATATTTAGCATCGTGATGTAATTATTGAATATTTGAAAAATTTTGACGAGATTTTGAAATATATCAATGATTTATCAATGACAATTAATTTACAAGAAACACTACAACGTGCAGAGATTCTTTATCATCAATTCAAACAATGCGTTGAAGCTGTTGATAATAAGAAGAGCAAGTTGCAAGCATTATTATCAATAGATGATAAACATAATGACGATAGCTTAACGAAAACACAAAGAGAAGAAATCAAAAATGATCTCAGTAAATTGCCAATTATTAATGAGCTATTACGCGATATATTGAAGCCATCCTATACAATTATAAATAATGAAAAGCCATAAATCTATTGAAAAAATAGCGTATTTGTTGTATTTATCGGAATGAGGGAAAGGGGCGGAGGGGGGCGATAGTTTCTTTTATTATTGAATTAGTAATAACTATTCCATAAATAAAAAGAAAAAATTATTATTATTATTTTCTTTTTTTTTTTGTTTTTCTTTTTAGTTAATCACTTCTTTTGTAGCCTTTATGTCCTTTTCATTTAGTGATGTATTATCAGTCTTTAAACCCATAGTAATTAGGAATTCTTTGGCATCATTATATTCCTTCTCTTGTCTAGCCTTATCCCAACCTAATTCTTCTGTCATCAACTCAATCACCTTTGGTAAAGCTCCTAAAGCAGCCTCTGCATTTAAAAATGCCAAACGCATACGGCGCGCCAAGACATCTACAGCCGTACAAGCATATTCTTCGCGTACTGCATAGCGTACTTCAGCCTCAATATAAGGATAATTAGGTGCAATACGTTTACCATAGGATGGCCAACGCATCTGAGTTGAATCATCAATCTCGCTCAAGATCCAGGCACGATCGCCATAACTATCTGCTAAATGCTTAGCAACCTCAGTATCCATACCATGCTCTTGAATAAGACCAATAAACATTGTATTTGAAAATCCTTGACTACCCATCATAGGCATATGTTTTGTGAGACATGGGCTTGTAGGCTTTAGATTAAATTCTTTGATAGCACAGTCAACTGTCTCTTCTGCCATTACACGATATGTTGTCCATTTGCCACCAGCAATGGTCAAAAGCTTATTTTCACTGACATTAATCATATGATTACGGACAAGAGATTCAGTATTTTTCGCCTCAGGATCACGCACCAATGGACGAATACCCGACCATGCAGCTAAAACATCAGAGCGACGTATTTGAACATCTATATCAAAGGAAAAAAAAAAGTTTAAATAAAATATATATATATATATATATATAGTGTAATGTAATTTATATATCCACTATTATTGTACCATCGCTAAGATAATGTGCGACTTCAGTTAAAATCCATTCAACTTCATCTTCCTTGGGAATAGGGTTGGCTGTGACTTCAGTAGGTGAATCTGTAGTTCCAGCAAGAGTATTGCCCTGCCATGGAAGGAAAAAGATAACACGACCATCACTTGTAGATGGATCGAGTAATCCCATGTTATGAGGACTATAATAGTTAGGAAGAATGACATGTACACCAGAGGAGGGAGCAACAATTTCTTGTGTTTTTACATCATCCATTTTACGAATACCATCTGTAAAAGGTCCAGTAGCATTAATAACACCCTGTAGTGATTAACGTCATTCATCATGTGTTAAATTAGATGCATCGTGAGCGTTATTTTTTTTTATTTTCTTTTTTTCTTTTCTTTTTACCTTTGCTTTTATCACCCATTCTTCACCTGTTAAATTATCCTTTACTTTGGCACCTTTAATAAAATTATTTTCATTATGAACGAGTTCAACTACTTCACAATGGTTCGCAATAGTTGCACCATATTGTGCAGCTGTCAACACTAAAACTACATTCATACGAGCATCATTTTGCTGACCTATATCAAAATAAATAAATAAAATAAAATAAAATAAAATAAAAATAAATAAATCAATTATAATATTGAAAACTAATAAAAAAAACATACCGTCATAATATACAATAGCTCCTACGAGTTCATCTTTTTTTAACATTGGAAATGCATCTAATGCTTTTTTCTTTGTCAAGAAATAACTACTTTCAAGAGCTTCTCTACCAGCAAACAAATCATATAATTTACAACCAAACCAATAATATGGTACTTGCCACCATCTGTAAAATAAATGCATTAGTTTCCTTTATATATAAATATATAGAATGATCATTTATTTAATACCTATAAATAGGTAACATGATAGGAAGTTCACCAGCTAAATAAGGCGCATTATTAATAAACAGCTTTCTTTCTCGTAAAGCCTCTACAACTAATTTATATTGCTCATAATCTAATTCCATGATGGCCTTTTGAAGATATCGAACACCACCATGAACAAGTTTAGTAGAGCGAGATGAAGTACCTATATATGTATAAACAAAAGATACATAAATAACTGATATTATATTCACACACACACACATATATATATATATACATATTTACCTGATGCAAAATCATCTCTTTCTACTAAAGCTACCTTTAAACCTCGAGCAGCAGCATCTAAAGCAATACCAGCACCTGTAGCACCAGCACCTATAATCAATAAATCAAATTCTTGACTGCTCTTTAATTTAGACAGTTCTTGTTCACGTGTAGGTGCATGCCAAATAGGTTGTTTTTTACTAACATGTTGCTGCTGTGCTTCTGCATAAACCTTGTAAGGTTTAAATAGAGTGTGACGGTGACGATTACCATATTGACTATTGTTATAGAGGTATAATGCAGCTATTGTAGTTGTACCACTTAATAGCACTTTTTGTGTACGAGAAATTCGACCCCACATAATAATAAATAAATAAATAAATATTTATAAAAAAAAAAAAATAATAATAATGATAATAAAAAGAAACACTGTTTTGATGTGTTTTTCCAAATTAGTTGATTAAAGCGGAGGGAATAATTCTGTTTCCTTCATCCAATAATAATGTCTATTATCTTTTTTGTTTTGACGTTTTGATTGTACAAGAAGAATCAAATTCTTCCTTTTTTTTTTCTATTACGTATTGATGAAAATAACGTTTGATAAGCGTAGATTGGGGGAATATTCTGTTTTCTATGCAGTAATATGTAATTAGATTTAAACAAGTAAAAAAAAAAAAAATCTTTTTCCTTTTTGCTTGTATAAAAGACCCATGTTCAATGCATAAAATAGCATAACATCAGATAAAAAAGAGGATATGGAATGATATCTTGCAACTATATTATTCCTGCCGCTATTTGTTTCAGTTATACAATAGAATAAAATATTGAACTGTATTGCAATATAGTCGAAAGCATGTCTAAAATATATTAGATTTATATACTAGTTAGTGTGGCGGCAGCTGGTAGATGTACCTCAATCTTTATAATTATGTTCCACCAAAAAAAATCAGTCACTTTATTTTCTGTCTTTTTTTTTTTTTTTTTTTTTTTTTTGACAATCATCATGGTGCTTGATCAATTATAATGGATTCAATTCACGATAAACAAGAAACAAAAAAACAAAAGCTTGATGAAGAAGTAACTCAAGTTGAGGAACAACCAGAAGATACAGCAACTGTAGAATATGATGAAGGCGAAATGAAATTAGGCCAGGAACTCATTGCTGCTGTCATTGCTAACGATCTTGTAAAGTCCTCTTATTGTTTTATTGTTCTAATTGTATATATGTTTTCCATTTATTGACAAACTTAAATAGGAAAAAGTAAAGGCACTCGTTGAACAAGGTGCAGATCTTTGTTTTAGTGGAGATGATCTCGGACGTACACCTCTTCATCATGCTGCTGAACACGGGTTTATGGATATTGTCACTTGGCTTCTATCAGAAAAGCATCCTTACAATTTAACTGATAAAAATGAAGTAACAGCAGGTGAATTAGCCCTAAAAAATAACCATAAAAAAGTATATGATTATCTTGTAGAGGAAGGTGTTCGAACTGAACTTTTAATACGTGCCCTTAAAAGGGCATTTGGAGATGACGATGAGGATATAAGCGCTATTGCAAATGAAGCTTATCTTAAGCAGAAGCTACACTATGATGATAATAAATTGATGGATGAAAATAATGATGCAGTTATGATGGGATGGGAAGGACCATTAATGGTTGAACATGCTAAAGTGATGTGTCCCAAAAAAGAAGGGCTTAATGTTCTTAACGTAGGCTTTGGTTTAGGGTTAATTGATAGCGAACTTCAAAAATATAAACCTCAAAATCATTATATTATTGAAGCGCATCCTGATGTTTATGCACATATGTTAGAATTAGGCTGGGATAAAAAGCCAGGAGTTAAAATTTTATTTGGTCGTTGGCAGGATAAGATATCTGAATTAGATATTGCATTTGATGGCATCTTTTTCGATACATACGGAGGTATGAATATTTATATAAGAATGAAAGATCGAATGGTTTTTTTTTTTTGCTAATATATTTTCCACATAGAATTTTATGATGATTTACGTGCTTTCCATGAATGTGTACCAAATATATTGAATGAAAAGGGAATTTATACTTGGTTTAATGGACTAGGAGCAACGAACCAATTCTTTCATGATATTTATTGTAATGTATCTGAAATTGACTTGCGAGAATTTGGTCTAAGCACCGAATATATTGAGATGCCAATCTCTACTTGGGCTGAACAAGGCGTTTGGGACGGTGTTCGTCAAAAGTATTGGGTTCTGGATACATATAAATTACCTATTTGTAAATTTTTATTAGAGTAATGAAAAAAAATAAAATGAATAAATAATATACAGAAGCAATACATTGTATGATAGCATTCAATGCATTCTAATTCTAAAGCTGTCAAGACTATGGGTAGAGACATTCATAGGATACATGTACTAGTTATATACTTTGACCCTATTAGTATTTTTACTATAATATTTTAACTACCATTATCCTTGTTTATAGAGAGCTTTCATTTTGTAAAATAAATTCTTACTTGACTTGATATTATTCAGTCATTCACAGCAGTAGGGTAAGTAACTTATTAAACTTAGCAGTAAGCTTACTCTTTTATTTATTTATTTTAATGACAACGAAAATACAGAAGAATAATAAAATACGTTTATAAATTGATATTAGCAGAAACGACTATATCTATTCATTTTACACATGACTTGCATAATAATAATAATAATAATAATAATAATAATAAAAAAAAAAAACTATTTGCTAAATATTTTTTTTTCCATTTTTCTAAATAAGAATAAAAATTCCAAAACAAGCATATTAAAATAGACATGAAACAATCACAATGCCGCTGCTATTTTCCTTGTCAAATATAGAAAATTAGAAAAGAAAATGAAATGCATGATAGAAAACAAGTAAAGTAGTAGTTATAGCATTATTATTATTATTATTATTATTAAGAAAATTAAAATATATATAAAAAGAATGAATTAATTTTACATTTCCTCCTGTTAATTATCTTCATCTAACATTCTTATTATCTTTATTAACAAATAGTTACAATAGTCAAATTTTTATTATCTTTGATATATTATACAATATGGATTCTCTTGATCTTAAATTACCTAAATATATGGTCTACTGTGTGATAGTAGCCTGTCTTGGTTCATTTAGTAATGGTTGGGTAATTGGTTCTGCTAATGTACCTGGTGAAGTGACTCACTCTTGTGAAAATGGTAGTGCTCGTATCTCTAGTAGCGCCTTCCCTGATTGTCTCCCCATGAATACTAGTCTTTGGGGCTTTGCTGTCTCTTCTTTCTGTGTTGGTGGTCTTCTTGGTGGTTTCTTTGGTGGTAATATTCAAACCAAGTTTGGTCGTAAGAAGACGATTATCTTTAATAATTTGGGTTGGATACTTGGAGGCCTTTTACAAGGTGTTGCAGTAAACCCTGCCATGTTTATTGTGGGTCGTATTCTTTGTGGTCTCTCTTGTGGTCTTGGTTCCTTGGCTACTCCTACCTATGTTGGTGAAATCTCTACTATCAAGGCTCGTGGTACTATGGGTACCTGTAATCAATTTGCTATTGTCATTGGTATCTTGCTTGCCTCTGTCATCGGTCTTCCCTTGGCTAATGTTCCTCTCTGGCGTATTAACTATGCCCTTGTTGCTCTCCCTGCTATTGCTCAATTCTTCTTGATGTCTGGTTGTGTTGAATCTCCTCGTTATCTTATCTCTATCAACCGTATTGAAGAAGCCAGAGAATCACTTCAAAGACTTCGTCCTAATACAAACATTGATAAGGAATTTTATGGTATGGTTGAAGGTCAACTAGGTGCTGCTGCTGCTAGAGCTATTACTGGTATGGATAGTAGTGCCTCTGCCGCCAATAAAGATGAGACCAAGTCCTTTGATGATCAAATTGAAGATGGTATTGTTACTGCTGATGAAGGTGCTCGTGAATCCATGAACATGATCCAGATCTTTACTGATTCTCTTATTCGTCGTATCGCCCTCACTGTCCTTGCTCTTCATGTCATTCAACAAATGATTGGTATTAATGCTGTCATGTATTATTCTACTACTATCTTTAACATGTCCTTCTCTGCTGAGATCTCCAAGTATATGGCTATTGTCACTACCGTCGTCAACTTTGCCTCTACTATTCTTTCTTTAATCTTGATTGATCGTATGGGTCGTCGTCCTCTTTTGTTGATCGCTGAAGCAGGTGCCTGTATCTTCTGTGTCTTGTTGATCATTGGTTATGTCTATAGCTTGGGTCCCCTTTTGGTTGTCGCCGTCTTTGGTTATGTTGTTTCATTTGCTATTGGTGTCGGACCTATCCCATGGATGATTACCTCTGAAGTCACACCTGTCTATGCCTCCTCTGCTGTTGGTGCTGTTGCCACTGCAGTCAACTGGGCTACTAACTTTGTCATTGGTCAATGCTTCCCTCTTGTCTTTGAAGGTATCAAAGGTTACTCCTTCGCTATCTTTGCCGGTGTCGCTGCTCTTGCCTTTGCCTTCACTTATCTTAAAGTCCCTGAAACCAAGGGTCGTTCTCTTGAAGATATTGTTAGAGGCTTTGAAAAGAGCTCTTAATTAGTTGTCCATAGGATATGCGAACACGTACATATACACATATACATATTTATGCATTTTTATATACCTTCAAATTATTTATCTTGTAGTTTTATATATATCTCTTTTTTTCAATACTTTATATTGTATTAAATAATTTTATCTTTTTTCTTTATACTTTTGACCATTTTAATAAAACAAAAGTTTAATTTCCCGTCATAAGATTTTTTCCTTTTTTTTTTTTTTTTTTTTTTTTTTTTTTTTTTTTAACAATCTTGCTTGCCATGTGTGGTATTTTATTTTCACTTTCAACAGAACAAACACCTGTAGATGTGGAAGAATGGGAGAATTTAAAGGAATTAAACACCAGAAGAGGTATAAATATTTATTATTATCATGATCTGCAGTTTCTAAATTTTATTGTATAAGGTCCCGATGCTCAAAATTTGCATCAAGTTCATACAAGCCATCGTAATCAAGAATTACTTTTACAGTTCTTTTCATCCGTTCTTCATTTAAGAGGATCAGAAACTGTTCCTCAACCACGATACAATTCTCAAACAGGTAATGTCCTTTGTTGGAATGGCGAGATTTTTGGTGGTATCGATGTAAATAGCATTTTTTTTTTTTTTTTTTTTTTTTTGTATACATAAACATATACATGTACTTGATTATTTAATCAAACAAATCAGGTTGAATTTGGACATAATGACACACAGATTTTGATGGATCAGCTTGAAAAGACAACAACAGAAAATGATATACTTGATGTTTTACAAAAAATTGAGGGCCCATTTGCATTTGTTTATTACAGAGCAGCAACTCATAAGATCTATTTCGGTCGTGATTGTTTAGGACGTAGATCATTGTTATGGTATCATCCAAAGAATGGTCCGTTTATGTTAAGTTCTGTTGGTAAATCAAATACAGAAGTTAAAACAGATAGTGTTTGGGAAGAGGTGCCTGCTATAGGATTTTTTAGTATTGATCTTCAATCTGATATAAATGATACAACAATGAAAAATAGTCTCCCTCTTGCATGTGGAATTCCTATCAAACTATTTCCATGGAAATATGATAATGAGTTGGATTCATTGGAAACCAAGAGATTGGTAAGAATGGCGTGTGTATATATTTGGTTTTTTTTTTTTTTTTTTTTTTTTTTTTTTTTTTTTTTTTTTGAAAAAGAAAAGTTTATTTTATTATTATATAGAGCTTTCCTTTTTCTAGAATTAATTCAGCTATACCTGAATTAAGTCCTATAGAAAAAACTAATGTAGAACCTGCAATTGATTCACAAATGCAGAAAACCATAGAAGAGTTTATTTCCATATTAGGAGATTCTGTACAGAAGAGAGTAGCTGACATACCTTATTTAAAGTAATATATCTAAATATATATGTATATAATGATAAACGTTATAAGCGTCCCTATTTTAATTTGTTTATTGATAGTACAAAAGGCCAGGCTCGAGTAGCTATTTTATTTTCAGGTGGACTTGACTGTATATGCTTGGCTGCTTTAGCAAATAAGTATTTGCCCATGTCTGAATCAATTGATTTATTAAATGTTGCCTTTGAGAACCCTCGGGTGGAGAATGCAGCAAAGATAAGAAATAAGAAAAACAAAAAGGACCAACAAACTAAGGAGGATATGCCAATAACTCGATCTATTTATGATACACCTGATCGTCTAACTGGAAAAGCAGGTGTGGAAGAATTACAACGTATTGCACCTGAACGTGTATGGAATTTTGTAGAAATTAATGTGCCTTATGCAGAATCTTTGGAGTTTCGACAAAGAATTATAGATAGAATGTTTCCATTAGACACTGTAATGGATTTGGTAAATATATACATATATATATATATATATATATATTTACGAAAATAAAATACTCATCAGTTTTTATAGAGTATTGCTATGGCATTTTGGTTTGCCTCACGAGGAAAAGGTATATACAAGTCTTGTGTTTTTTTTAATAGTTAATTGCTAACTTTTTCTCTTAGGCATCATCAATATTAATGGGAAAACAAATGTAAATATTTTTTGCTTGGACATTCATACATATATTTTTAAATATTATGCCAATACATATACATATATATTAGGAATATGAAAGCCATGCTCGAGTTTTATTATCTGGGTTAGGTGCAGATGAGCAATTAGGCGGCTATTCAAGACACCGAGAGGCATTTAGACAAGGTGGTTGGGAAAAACTGATAAAAGAGGTATAAATACATAATTTATTACAAAACAAAAAACCATTCAGCTTATATCTATCTATGTATACATATTTATTTATTTATCAAGACACAACTTGATGTTGATAGAATATCTACACGTAATTTGGGTCGAGATGATCGAATTATGTCTGATCATGGAAAAGAAGTCCGTTTCCCATTTTTAAGTACTTATGTCGTTAACTGGCTTTGTCAACAACCTATTCAGTTAAAAATGGATTTAAGATATGAAAGAGGTATAGGTGAAAAACTTTTATTAAGACATGTGGCCCGTAAATTAGGTTTAATAAATGCTAGTCGAAACTGGAAGAGAGCTATTCAATTTGGTGCTAAAACAGCTAAAATGACAGGCGAAGCACGATCTGAAAAGGGACAGCATAAATTAACTGCTATTAATCAAGAAGAAAAGATTGTATAGCCTTTTTGTATTCTTGATGTACATAAGTATTAATTTCTTCTTTTGATAACCATGCAAAATCAATAATTTCTTTTCCATCTGGTTCACATTGCCCTTCTTCCCAATTTGCTATAAAAAAAGTGACCTGACAGAAATATATATACGTATATGTTTATAGACAGACAGTAACACATACTTAATATTGTCTTACTTTAGCACCTATTGCATTATCCCAACGATTGAATGTTGGAGGAAATTCATATTGATATGTCCCTATTGGCGCATGTTCAAAGATGTGAACTTTAAGGCTTGCCCCACATTCTTCTTTTAATTCACGTAAAGCAGCTTCTAAGGCAGTCTCACCAGGATCTTGTCCTCCTTGCGGGAACTGCCAACTATGATGCTTTCTTGGTTTCTTAACAAGTAAATATAGTGTTTTATTTGGATTTCGAGATGGATTTCTTATATTGTTATTAGACTTTGTTTGAATGCTATTTATTTGCTTCAAAGGTAGACGCCTAATAATAATACTAGAAACAGCTCGGTACATTCCATCCATTGTATTAAAATGAGAAAATAATAGAAATTGAAATGTGTAAAATTTTCCCTTTTTATTTTTTTTATTATTTCTATATTAGTAACATATCTATTTACAGCAGTTAAATCTTATCCTGCATAAAAGATAGTTATTTTCTTAGATAAAATGATTACAGGAGAATTAGAATTAGAAAAAGTACGTATATTTATTATTCTTATATTTTGTTCATTATTATTAACCCCCAATAAAGCTGTTGTTTTTATTATGATATAAACCCTAAACTTATAGAAAGAATATATAATTTAGTAGTCACTTCCGATTGCTAAGTGTTTCACTATAGACAGAATCATCATACAAGTGCACTCTATGTTCTATTATGACTATTTATCTTATTGAATTAAGTTACAAATCTTACAACAACGACAAGTCAACTAGTTTGTTGGAAACAAGAATACTAAAGAATAACGTGAATATCCGAGCTTTTAAGATAAGCCCGCTAGCCTAGCGATTCTTATATTAAGCAGACAGGGGCTTTTCATTTTATATTTTCCCCACAAAGAGGATTTCCTACAAGGAGAATGCCTATACGATACAAATGTCTGGTTTTATCCCCATCATTTCATAGTTTAATACAGAACAATGAAAGCTGGCCCGGTGAAATGAATGTAGAAGTAAGTAATAAGAATAAGTTGCAGTTTTACTTTTTGTACAGTGAAGATACCAATTTTCTGGCTTAGCCAATAGAACTTTTTGAATCTTATAGAAGTTTTAAATCCAGTAGAAATTCTTTATCATCTACAAAGTTACTTTAATTCCATGAAAACTGAATTCGATCAGTTTATTGAAGAAAACAAGAATAACACTGTGATTTGGTCTTCTTCTATCAACATTAATTCAGTAGACGATCTTTTTTCAATGTGGAAAAGCAGATATCAAAATCAGTTTTTCTTATCCAATGAGGAAAATGGCACCCAGATTTGATTGGGGTTTTTACAGAAGGGTATTTCCGATGACCAATGCAAGCGTTTCAGCATCAGAAAATACATTCGCATGTGTATCAACAACATTGATACTATTACAAGTTTAATCAAGGTAGATTATCATGCATATGAGGTAAAAGAATAATGAAAGATATTAATGACTTTTTTCTTTCTGTAGAATGTCAAAAATGATATCATCACAAGAGAAAAAGGCATTGTTCAAGCATACAAATTAGGATTTACACCATCCCCACTATCGATAACCGCACCACTCATTAGTACTAATATTGTTGTGACTAACCTTGTCACTCTTACTTCCTCAACATTACCAGAACAGCAGTCATCACATCATCAATAAGCACCAATACGTCCATTATTACCCCTTCTAAGGAACCTTAACAAACTTTTGAAATATGTGGCCAAACTGTAAGTAATTTAATTTTTATTTATTTAATATTGGTGAGGAAGAATAAAAGTTTTAAATAATTTTTGTTCTTTATAGGATTGAAAAGTTGCCCAATCAAGATATTATGGAAGATGTCCTCAAATTTGAGTTATGCCATAGATACATTGATCCTATAATGTCTGGATTATTTGACGATCCAGATAAAAGCATTTTATTTAGATGGTAAGTGTACTCGATTGGTTAACCTCAAGCCTGCTCCTTCCATCCAAATGAACTCCTCACACACGCTCACATAGTTTTTCTTGTTTACATATGCATAACCGCCTAGCTCACTCCCAAATTCCTAAACACTCGGACCATCTTGGTGAACCCTTTGCCAATCATCTTCTTTCAATACAACAACGATTTTCTGATAGTTAACTATCATCATTTATACATACACTTCAACATTTTCCCTTCTATCCCAAAACGGGTTTTCTTTCCATAGCGATCTGACCAGGACAAAACAGCATATGAATGCTATGTACTCATTGGTCGTTTTTTAATTTTTTAAATAAAATTCTTCTTTAATCGTACTTATTTCATAGCACTGTGGCTTGTTTATTTCATGCTGTTTAAACTAAGTTTGCTTTTTTTTTTTTTTTTTTTTTTTTTTTTTTTTTGTTATTGTTACAATTGCAATGTCAAATAAAAATGAAGTCAGAAAAAGATCTTCAGATGAAATAGATGCGCAAAAGTTATTCGAACAATTTGCGCCTTCACTATATTTTGAAAATCCCAAAGTGTCATTAAAAAATGAATGGTTTATTATAGCTGAGCAGACTGTACCTTGTACACGAGATTCCTTTTGGCAAACCATAGTAAATCTTTTCTTAATTATACATTATAAGACATCATTATAAATGAATACATTCCATTTACTTAGAATCATTGGATAGTTGAGCCTCAATTTGCTATCCCACCCATCGAAAAAGCAAATATCATCTCACGAACACAGTCCGAAGACAATCATGATAACTGTTTTTCTCAGGAACCAACAGAGTCCATCATTCGAGAACTAATCCCAAAACGTAAATCAAAAGATAAAATATTAACAGAAAATGTAACTTACTTTGAAAATGGTAAAGAAAAAAAAAAAAGAGAAAGAGAGAAAAAGGGGATAATTTGCATGAGTGATTAATATATAGACATATACATATTTATGAAGATAAAGAATGTCGAGTTATATTTCAACCTAAAGAGTTACAAGAAAATAATTTACCGTTTTATTATCCAAAAGTATAACCTTATTAGCAGTATATTTTTTTTTATATATGTATACGTTTAAAATAAGCATTTATATATCATTGTATAGGTTAAAGCTTATAGTTTTGTATACGATTCTGAGTCAAATGTTGATTCTGAAGAAAGAGAGTAAATAATAGAATGATAACATTTTATTCAAATAGCTTATTTGTTTACTTTATTGTACAGTAAAGAAGAACAAGGGACACTTCGATTAGAAATAATTCCATTTAATACAAACCAAGTGGCGGTACTGGATACAAAAATGGTATGCTTAAATAGCAGCTATTTATGAAACTTATCTTTTCTAACATCAAAAAAAAAAAGCAATATGCTCTCAAAACTATTTTACATAAATTATTTAAATGGTGTATTCAAAAAAGATTAGGCTATAAGAAAAAGGGTCATCATGATGTATTAGTACCAAAGGAAGCCTATCAAACAATGTATCAAACTATGAAAACAAAATATGGTCCACAGCTAGTAGCGTAAAGTTTTAAACCATATATTTATGTATACACAGACATAATTCTTATATATTTTTTATTTAGGAATTGGACAGAAAAAACAGATCCTAAAAAATTTGTTTATGAAGATATTGCAATTGCAAGTTATTTACTTTGTCTTTGGAAAGAAGAAGAAATCAAAAATAAAAGGTATGTGTAAGCTATGTATTAATATTTGTATAAATATTTAATATTTTTTTTTTTTTTTTTTTTTTTTTTTTTTTTTTAGAAAACCTACTTTTGTTGATCTTGGTTGTGGAAATGGTTTATTAACTTTTTTATTAGTCAGTGAGGGATATGAAGGGTATGGAATAGATATTGCTAGTCGCAAAATTTGGTCAGCATTATGTAAAAATCAAAAAAAGAATATGCTTAGAGGTATTATCAAGGGGTGCATAAATTATTTATTTGTGTATTTACATTTCTTCCTTTGTTAGTGGAAACATTATATCCAGCAGAGACTGTATATCCAGAAGCCGAATGGCTAATCGGCAATCATGCAGATGAGTTGGTGCCATGGTAAATAAGAGTGGTATTTTATATTAAGCTAACTATCTTTCTTATTAATGAATATTCAAGGATTCCAATTATTGCTTCCAAGTCAGGAGAAGATTGCAAGTATGTAAAAAAAAAAAAAAAAAAAATAAAAAATAAAAAATAAAGGGGGGAGAGAGGGTTTATATGTAATAAATCGTTTTTATATATTAAAATAACCTAATATGCATATACAGATTTATAGTAATCCCATGTTGTTTCTATGGCCTTGATGGGACTCGTTCAATATCGCTCCCAAATACAAAGGACGTGGGCAAGTATAAAGCTTATACTGATTATATTACAGATATTGCAACAAAAGTAGGCTATAAATGTGAACAAGATTGTTTAAGAATACCAAGTACGAAAAATATTGCAATTGTTGGTCGAACTAAACAAAAAGTCAATGATATCAATATTGAATTAGTAAAATCAATTGAAGTTGCAAGTAGATTATTTATACCTCGTAAAACAGACCGAGAAAAAGAAGAAATAAGACAGGAGAATAAGAAGCCAAAATTAGAAAAATGAAAGCTTGCTTCTTTTTTTTTTAACGAATTAAAGAACTCATATTTGTTTTTTTTTAATCTCTTTTCTCTTTATATTTCTATAAAATACTTTATACATATAGTTAAATAATTGAATTATTACATTCAATGAGGATTTCACCCTTTCAACCCTTTTTGACTATCCTAATAATATTCCAAATTATTTTTTTGGTTGAGTCCCAATTACTGACTAGCGTTTCTAATGTTTTAGATAGCATAACTGGATCAGGATCATCATCTCCAACATTAAAAGATGATACTCCTCCGTCTTCTCAGCAGTCCGTTATTTCATCACATATCTCACATTCATATCCTACTCAGTCGTCTAGTTCAGCAGAAATAATTTCTTCTTCGACGTCTATACCATCCGCTTCATCATCGATTCAAGCTAATAGTAGTTCTGGCAAGTCTGCTACTCCTACAGATAGACCATCAAATGATAGTAACCCAACTAGCAGTACATTATCTGTTACTTCTCAACGGACATCCTCATCTTCGGGTGAATCTAATCTCTCTGCCTCTTCCTCTTCATTAGGGAATAGTAGTAAATCAAAAACACTTGGCAAAACATCCACTGTAGTTACTGATAATCCTTCTGAGAAATACAATACACTTCTTCCTGTAGCTACCAATGATTCTAAATTTATAGATTCGCCTAACGACAGTAATAAAAATACATCTGGAAGTAAAGCTGGTATTATCATTGGTGCAGTAGTGGGAAGTATTTGTAAGTATATTAAAAAAATAATTTCTCCTTTGCAACTATTAATAACCCTTGATTTTTTTTTGTACACTAAAACTCCTTAGTCGGAGTTGCTTTAGTTGGAGGAATACTAACTTGGATCAATCGACATGGTGGTTGTGCAAGACGTACAAAAAGTTCTGCTACAGATTTTGAGGATTATGGATTAGCAGATACTGATTTCCCAACTAATAATTTTGCAGGTATGCAATCCATCAATGGAACCAAATCACCTACAATTCCACGGCTTAATGATCAAGGCAACTTCTATAATAGTGGTCCAGTAATAACCAAAGAAGATCCATATTCACAATATATGACAGGATATCAGAAGCAGACAATAGATAACGTAGGCCATCCAGCTACTGTTGTAGATTATAATAATATGTCTTATAATACATCTCAACAAGCGTTTTATTACCCGCAACAACAACAACAACAACAACAACAACAGCCTTTGCCACAGGATATAACTGCTCGCACTGGAGGCAGCAGCTATTATGAAGAGTCAGGAGGATATTATCATGATAATACTAGTCAGCAACAACGCATGTATTCAAACCAACCAACTTATCTTATCAATACTGGAGATAATAATCATTACTATAAACCAGATCAAGTTGATCAGCATCACCAACTTACATAAAATTATATACAAAACATAACTTAATTATTGTTACAGCATACATTTATAAAACATTGGTCATTTAATATTAAATCACATATAATCTTATATTGTGTATGTATACTATTTTTCTCCTTTCTTTCTCCTTCTTCTCCTTTTTTTTTTTTTTTTTTTTTTTTTTTTTTACACATAATATATAACAAATTTATTGAATTGTATTATAAAAAACTAATACCCTTTTCGTATAGTTTACATAGGAGAAAATGAATTATGTGCTTAAAATAAAAAGGGAGGTTTGATCTTAGATAAAAACATATTTTATATTTATATTGTCATATTAGCAGAAAATGGGGTAACTGTTGTACCTGATTGAAAGAATCTTTTAAATGGTTTATAGTTTCCTCTACAAGAATTAATGACCTCTTGTACATGAGCTTCATACCAGTTTCTTTCTGAAATTTTCATTTTCCAAGCACTTTTCAAATATGAATGTCCAAACCTCTTCTTACAAAGCCAAATAATCGGGAAAACTACTATCCAAAGGCAAGTAATAAATAAGAACCCTTTCAGGTATACATTATCAGACCATCGAGATATACGACTGTTTGTCTTTACAATAATTTCATGGTCTTCCATCTTATAAGTAATTTCAACATTTTCATAAAAGCCAGAATTTCGAATAGCATTTGTTAAGGCTCGTGTAAGTCCGTTATAATCCCAATTTACTTCTTTAGTAAGCTTGAGTTCTTTAAGTGACCTCTTTGAATGTACATACTGATTACAAAGCTGTCGTAAGGTCGGCTGTTCTTTAGTTTTAGAGTTAGGCAAAATATATATCCCTTGACAGATGGGAGAAATATCAGAACTGCAGTCAATTTCAAACTCAAAGTCATCAACCCGCCTTGTAGTTGGAACTCGCTCTTCAACAAGTTCACCTTCATTATTTCTTGTTGTTTGTGAAGTCCAAGTTGTCTCTTCATGATACCCTAAATATATATATATGAATATAGTATTTAAGAAATAAACTCTAAAATCATAAATATATGAAAATATACCATAAAAATGCACAGTCATACGGGGTGGTTTGTTATGCTGATATAGAAATTGCAGTAAAGCCTCACCATCTTCATTAATATGCTTATCTCTTGATATAATACCATTTCGAACAATTTTGTATTTGGCCCTATAAAGCGAATAGCCTGGTGGGGGAGGTCTGCCCTGAAAGGATTCTTCTTCTTCATCATTATTTGATAATAAAGGTACATTAGCCTCAATTGTTGGATTTAATTGACCATATTCGCATGGATTATTCTGAAATGTTTCTGGGGTTGGCATGGGCATATGAAGTACTGTACTTGCATTAGAATTAGCTAAAGGATCTGAAGTGTCTAAAATGTAGCCTTCAAAATTAGATTTGTTAGGAGGTGGCATGGAACGATTTGTTGTAGATCCAGAAGGTGAAAACACATCATCATAAGAAGGAGGTATTACTGTATCTGTACATGGAGCAGATGGAGAAGGGTCTGGTTTAGAAGATGTTACTTCTGGGACTGGTGGTGAAGTAAATGAGTAATAATAATCATGTTGATTTTTAGACATTTGTTTACTTCTGAAATAAGAAAGCATTTTTAAATTGATGCCAAGCTTTTTTTTATTTTATTTTATGCTTTTAATTCTAAATGCAGTAATTATGTACAAATTATTACAAATTTCGTCTACTGATATAATAATCTTGGTTTTCTTTAGTTTTTGATTCTATTAACTTAGCTTTATTATAGTATTGATTGGCCATTTTTCTATTAATGGTTCCCGTTAATCCTAATTCATAAATATCTCCTAATCTTACAAGTGCTTCTTTATTATTTTTTTCTGCTGCTATCTCCCAATAAGCTTTAGCTTTCATCATATCATATTCAACACCAATTCCCTCTTCATAACATTTGGCAATAGCTATGATAGCTTCAAGACTATTAGAACAATTCTCAATGCTTAATAGCATTTGGAATCCCTTTTCTGGATCATGAGGTCTATGCCCCCATCCATTAATATAATAGAGTGCAATCATAATTTTTGCTTTAACACTATAACTTGATAATTGATTGGTATTGGCTACTCTTTCAAACCATTTAAATGCTTCTTCTCTCATATCCTCTGCCTGATTTATATCTGTAACTAAATTTGCCATTAGGTGTTTTATTTTTCCAATAGCTAATTCTGATAAGCTACCACAATTAAGTTTGTATGCAGATTCGTACCATTCTAACGCACGTTCAAGATCTTGTCCTAATTCTTCTTTCAAATAACCTTCTTCAAAATAGGTACCAACCATTAAGGCACCTATTGGATCACCCAATTTGGCTGCTTCTCGATAATATGCAAAGGCTTGTTTATGGTCTTGTTCAATGATTTGGATATTTTGTACATTAAACCCTGTATGCGATAAATGACCTAATTCTCGAAGAGCAGCTGGGACATGTAATTGTTTACCAGCCGCTTTATAAAGTTCATAAGCGTACAGATGATCATGATGTATATTCCAAACAATATGTGCTAACTCAAATGTAGCCAGAGGATGTCCTTGCTCCACTGCCTTTGAAAAATGTTTTTTCGCCACTGCTACATTCGCTTCTAGGCCGCCTCGACCTTTTAAATGAAATAAGCCTAACTGATAATGTGACTCACGATGATTTCCCTTTTCTACTGCTTTACGAAACCACTCGAGTGCACTGCTGTCGTTGTTTTCTGATTCATTATATATTACACCTAATCTCCACATTGAATCAACATGCTGTGATATATCAATCGAACGATAGTAACAATTCTTTGCTATCTGCAGATCGACATTGGTTCCTTTTCCAAGTTCATAGCATTGACCTAAAATATACAAAGCCAAACCAAGTCCCTCTTTTTTCATTACCAGTTTTTCCTTTTGTATTCTCTTTTGCACCCAGTCTTCTTCTTCATCATATTCATTGCTACTGTTAGCTTCTATTTCTAAGATAGCAAGCCCTTCATCAACTAAGCCTTTAAGTATCTCAAAGCTTTGTTCATGGTTTTTATTATCATCATGATCATCTTCAGTAGTAAAAAAACCTTGAAATCGATATGATATAAGCATTACTTTTGCCTTTATGTTATCATACATTGCCGCTGCCTTTTGAAACCATTGAATGGCTTCTTCATGTTGGTTTAGACTATTACTACCTAATATTTCACCAGCCTTTAATATAGAAAGTTCATGGTTTTGGGAAGCAGCTTTTAAATAATAATCTAGTGCCTTCCCAATATCCTTTTCTGGAATTATGTGGAAGAAGCCATTTTCATATATGTACCCTAATTGATAAGTAGATTCAATATCACCCAACTTTGAAGCATTTTTTAATAGCTCAATAATTTCATTAGCTGTTCCTTCAGCATCTTCTTTTTCTTCATTGCCAGTAATGACACCAGAGAAACAGCCCTCTTCATCAGATAATAAAATTAATGCTAATTCTCGCATACAGCCCGCATGATTTGCTGATACACCTTGCTTGAAGCGTTGCCGTACTTCATTTTCAAGGTCATCATCTTGTTGCTGGGCTAAGATACAACCCAATTCGTAAGCCGCATCTCCATCACCTTCATCTGCAGCATCCCCTAACCAGATAAGGCTCTCATGCACAGATTTTTTGACTCCAAGCCCGTGAATTAACAAAAATCCTTTTAAGAAAAAATGTTAATGAGATCTCTCGCTCTCTCGCTCTCTCTCTCTCTTTTTTTTTTTTTTTTTTTTTTGTTGTTGTTGCCCTCATTATGAATAATGATTAGTTTTTATACCTATGTAGTATTTCATACGACGTGCTTGATATTGTGCATCGGAGAATTGTAATTTACTCATTTCATCTAAATCAGGCTTTAACAATTGCAAATAGACAAATGCAGATCGATAATCTTCTTTTTCCATAGAATGATAGACAAGCCGGCATAAAGAACGTTGTTTTGCCCAATGTTGATGTTTTTTATGTTGCTGTATTGAAGAATAACCTTCATTTGTAATTTCTTCTTTTCCTTCTTCAGTATCAACGCATTTGATATAGTATTGTATGGCTTCTTCTTTATTAACTACTGTGCCAATTCCATGCTCAGAACAATAGCCTAATAATTCATAAGTCTCGACAAGTAATCTTTTTGTGGTGTTGTCTTCATGTAATTTTTCTGTAGTAGCAAATGAGAGCCAGTCTTTTAACCAAACATATGCTTGTTTTTTATCGGCTCCTTTTCCATAATTTTCAAATATCACAATCTTTGCTGCTTCTATCTTTGCTTTATTAGCAATATACGACATATTATTTGAAGAATTTGCCAATGAAATATATATATTCATTGTATCGCGGACCATATTGTTTCGGTAATATAAATCAGCTAAATCAAGGACAGCCCTATATATAAATATATATGCATATATATTAATAACCTTAACTTTTTTAAATTATGAAAATAATTTACGCTTCATAGCCAAGTTCTTCTGCTTTCTTTAAACATTGAATTGCTTTTTCTAAATTTGTGGGAACAACAATCTCATCTGCTGCATCATAGGCTCCTTCAAAGAACTTTGAAAGTGCATACCAAGATAGAGCATCACCCTTATCAGCTGCTGTTTTATAATAATTATATGCAATTCGAAAATGCTCTAAAGAAGATTTTTTTATTGTGTGATGATTATCAATCAAGCCGTTTATATACAAGTTTGCTAATTCACGAAGTGCGATTATATCGCCTTTTTCAATAGCCTTTTTTAACCAATTCACAGCCTCTAATATCTTTGCATTATCCATTTTGATTAATACATTAGCTAGCTTTACCATTGCTGTTGTTAATTCCTGTGCAGCCAAAGTATACCAGCCTTTAGCCTTTTCTAAATTAACAGGGATTCCTACCAGCCCATATTCATAATAGAGACCCAAACTATACTGAGCTGTTCTATGCCCTTGTTCTGCTGCTTTCATATACCATTCAAAGGCTTCCTCTACATTTTTTTCAATTCCTCCTACTCCATTAGATAACATATAAGCAACTTGAAATTGCCCATCTCTATCCCCTGCTTCCGCTGACTTGACGTAAACATCAAATGCTAATGCTAAATCTTGATTTACTAACCAACTTCCATCCTTTGCCTTAACACCTTCTTCATAACAGGCAGCCAACCAATAATGGGCATCAAAAAACCCATTCTCAGATAATGTACGGAATTCATTAAAGGCCTTATCACAATCCTGTGAGACATTACCCCATCCATTATACTGATATCGGGCCACCATCAAACGTGCTGTATTTTGTTGAATCCTCCATCCTACATGCAAATCTAATATGCTATCCTGAGTAGATGTATTTTTTGACGCTATTTTGAACCATTTGTAAGCAAGGGAGTGCTGTCCAACATGTTGAAGAAGTTCAGCTAAAGTGAGCTGAGCATTTAGTGAACCTGCTTTAGCTGCGTATTCATACAGTGATATAACAGATCGTTGTTGTTCGTTAAGGAAACCGATGGATCGTATATCCCCTTGGGAGGCTGCTAGCTGAAAAAAGTTTTCAGCTTTGATAGTGTCTTTAGATACAGTTATACCTTCAAGGTACATGATCCCTAAAGTACGTTGCGCAGGAGCATATCCTGTTTCTGCAGATATTGAAAATTGCTCAAAGGCTAATGAATTATCGAGATTATTTGAACGATAGTGGACACCGACTAAATAGTGTGCAAGAGCCTTGATACTAGACGAAGTATAGGGTGCCTTTGTAGCTCTTTTATAATATTTCAATGATTTTTCTGTATCCTTCAAAACTAATGTGCCTTCTTCATATAATGCGCCAAGTCGAATAAGCGCATTTGCATTATTCTAAAAATATATAAAAATAAATATATCTTAATTAAATTAAGTTTTTTTTTTTTTTTTTTTTTTTTTTTCTTTAATAATCTAATATAAATATATACTTGATCTTTTGCTTTTTCTAACCATTCTAATATTTCTTTTTTAATATAATCATACTTATTTGCTAATAACTTTGATATAATGCCGTTTTCTTCTGCATTAACTGTCATTGTTAATAACGGATGAATTATTAGTAACAAATTTGCTAAATGTGTTTGAGCCTCAGCAAAACCTTGATTGGCCGATCTTTCGTACCACTTTTTTGCTTCTCTCATAGAAGATTTGACAAGTATCCCATGTTCGTAACAAAAGCCTAAAATAAACTGTGCATACTTATTATTGTTATCGGCGGATAATCTCAAGTAATAAAATCCTCTTTGAAGATTCTGTGGTATTCCTTGACCATACAACATCATAAGGGCTAGACGATACTGGGCCAAGTCATTATGCTTTCGAAGTAAGTTAAAGTAATGATATGCTTGTGTATAATCCTCCTTTTTATCAAAATAATAACAGCCAAGGGGATACCAAGACTCTTGATGATCTTTTAATTGGTAGAGAAGGCGGAAGCCCTTGTCAAGATCCTTTGAGGTGCCAAAGCCATAGAGCTTACATTGTGCAACCCAAACGCGTACCACAATTGTCTGTTGTTGGTTTAGAAGACTGCAATAAAATTTTTCTTTATTAGTAACTTTTTCTATTTCTATTGGAGAAAGTAACAAAGTAGTAGAAAATAAAGTTGAAGCTGGATGTTTTAATATATCAGACAATTTCTGGTTTATAAAATAAGTCTTTAATAATTGGTTTATTGAATCTGTAGAATAGAGATCAATTGTGATATGCTGAAGTTGATCAGGATGACTATTTAAACTATGTCGTATTAATAACTCTTTACTTGTTGCATTTCCCATTTAAGTGTAAAAAAAAAAGAAAGGAAAGAAAGAAAAACGAGAATAATAAATGTTAAACTTGCTACATTATTTTTATTAATTTTAGCCCGAAAAAGGTACAGTTATTATTATTTTTATTTTATTTTATTTTATTTTTTTTTTTTTATTTTTTTTTTTTTTTTTTTTTTTTTTGAAACAATATCATTAATAAAAAAAATGTCTCCGCCAAATTAATTACAATTGCTGTTGTTCGACATAAACTTCTAATACATGACGCAGATTGGTAACAAAGCCTGTATCCTGGTCTACAAGTTGTACTAGATCAATTGTATGTAGTTTATCTTTTACAGCAATAAATTGAATATCTACACTTTGTGATGTAGAAGGTCCAAGTGGGCTTTATATATACATACTAATAGATTAATTCATTATTCTCCAGTTTTTTCTATATTTTTATACCTTAATCTAATATTATTTTCTAGACAAATAATATCTGCTTCATGAGTTTCATTTTCAAAGTATTGCTTCAAAAATTCTTATAAAAGTGTTAGGCATGAATTCAAAATATACTATTTTGCTTCTTACCTGATACGTCCATATAAGGATCAATTGGCATCTGCTCCATAGGTAAAGGAGGTAATGTAGTCTTCAATGTCTGTCCATAACTTTCTGTAGGATGTCTCCTACGATTGGGTATCATTACTTGAAACCTTCTTGTATGTTTAGATTTATTCACAATAAAGATATGCAAGGGAAACGTTTTACCAACTACAATTGTATCTGGTACCGTAAATGATACTATGATACCATCTGCAATTTCTCTTTCAGGTGCACGCCTTCCTATCATACTTATTCCTCCTTGCTTCTTCATACCAAACACCCCTTCTAATGAATGATTCATTTGATTTCCTCCACCAGGACTACCCACTATCGAACGTGCACCTGGCGAAAATATGTTATTAGATTGAGATCTTGCCATAGAAGGTGACATAACAGTAGGTGAAAGAGAAGTTACAGAAGAGATAGTATTAAATTTCTCAGATACGAAAGGTGCGGATATTTCTTCCTTTTTTTGCTGTCGTATGCTTGAAACATCGAGCATTGTGTTCCATTTAGATCTCATCGGTAAGCCCTTTTTACCTTCAATTAAAGGGTATCCTACTATTTGAATAGAGACACGCTGAGGTTGAATTTTGTCTTCGTTACTGTAGTTTGCATGTTGCTGTTGTTGTTGCGGAGGTAGTCTTCGAGAATGGAATATACGTTGTGGTTGTGTAGGCGGCTTAGCTGATCCATCCTCTAGCAAAGTTATGTCATATACAAAAACTAAAAGATCAGATTTATTTAATAGAATAGGAAATAGAGTTTCACTAGACTGATCATTGAATGACATTGTAACTATAGCATTCGAGACTTGTACTTCAACTTGGTCCAATAAAAATTCACAACCTACTTCAGCTGGATTCTCTAATTCAACAGACATCATTACCATCTTATCAGCAACAGAAGCATTTGTAGTTCTTATTTTTACGACTAATCCTGATCGAATAGGTAAATTTTCACGTATACTACGTTTCATTGAGAGTTGAGTTGATCCTGCATTGATATTGTTTCCACTTGTTAATGAAGAAGATGAGCCTGTTGGATGTTTTGAATGACTTTCAAAAATAAATCTTTGAAGAGGACGTTCCTGATCACTAAATACAGGATCTACGTAAATATAAAAAAATAAATTTAATAATTCCGCTTTTCCTCATTAGTATTTTAAATACCATCTGCTAATCCACTTAGTAAATTAATTGTGTCAAACAAGTCAGTATCGTATTCAGAGTCATCTGTTGTTGTAAGTTGGTCCTCCTGAGTATTTGCTCTTTTTAATGGTATTGGTCTATATTGAATGTTTGAATTAATTGACAAAAATGGAGTCGTTGATTTTGTCTTTGCATAAACTAATCATAATAAAAAAATAAGTCCAATTCGCATCATGCATAATAGATAAACTTACCGATAGGAACAATCACTGGATAAAGACAACAAAAACTATCGTCATACTCAAATAACATCAATTCTGCATTCTTATTATTTCTATTGTAAGCTTGTGTAAAGAAGGGTGTGGTTATCTCAGCTGCTGCACGGCGTTGATGATTCAAATTACTGCCTAGTTTAGGAGATGTAGATAGTGATGATTGTGTTCTAATTGATGATGACCTATTCAAGGTAGGTATAATATTACTACTGCCATTATAATATTGACTAGAAGTATCAAGAAAGGTTGCATCAAATGCTACTTCTAGCTGACAATAGAAGGAATTAATAGCCTTTTTAACTTCTTCTCCATCACCTGCTACATGTTTAGGTATACAAGCAAACAAGTAAACTTGCAATTGTTCATCTTGAAAAAAATAAAAATAAAAAATATAGTAAGTTATACATTAGAATCTATTTTATAGATTTTTAAAAATACATCTTTACAAACCATAGAAAGCAAATTCACGTGGATTAGCGTCTAATATAGAAAGAGGATCCTCTTTATCGTTCCCTTCATTATTATAATTTGGGATGATGATTCTAAATTCTGCTTCATTAAAGAATAATTCAGTTGATATTGAACCCATCTTTTTTTTTTTTTTTATTAAAAAAAATAAAGTATTAATAGAATTTATTCTTTAATCATATAATTTTTCTAGTTTCTATTAACTGAGCTTTAATTCGTAAACTAACCCCTTCTTTTTTTTTTTTCGAAAATTTAGTAATGCTGTATTTTTTTGCTTTGTTTTATTAGAGTTCAAAATGTCAAATACAGCTTCATGTACATTTCGACTCTTTACAAAGAAATTTGTTCCTACTTTTAATAGTAGACTCTATAGTAGTACTAATATAGCACAGCAACAAAAAGCTTATAAAAAGCTTGTTTACTCTTCTCCCCATGTTGGGCTAATAAAGCTTGTCAAATTGTTCTCATTGTCAACATTAAGCGTAAGTGTATATGCAACTTTCAACATTTATATTTTTTTTTATATTTGTTTTTTTTTCTAATCCAAAATAAGATATCTGCAGCTGCTACAGTTGCTATTATGCATTTTTCGGATTTGCCGGCCGGTAAGGAAATGAAAATTATATAATACCATGATTATATCATATGGATATATAAATATAACGTATTACATATTTAGTTCAAGCTATTAGTACAACAGAGAATACGATGTATATAGGAGGTAAACTATATATACACATCACAAAGGCTATAATTACGTTACTTATTGTGTATATAAAACAGAGTCTCTTACTCATTATGTTCCTATGCAAATGATGATAACTGCTGCTATGGCCAGTGCATGTTCTACAGGTGCACTTTCCTTTTTATTATCACCTTATGTTAATTCCATTTATGTACATACTGCCTTGAATGATGAAAATCCAAGAATTACGTCTAATACTGTCATTTCTATTGAAACGTTAGATTTATTAGCCCGTTCTCGTACGACCACTTTGCAGTTACGAGAATTATTGCCTATACCAAATTCATCCCTAATGACATGGAAAGTGAATAAAAAAGTTCTTGAGAAGCAATATCATTTAATAGATCAAGGAAAGAATGTTAGCCCTAGAATTCATCAACATAGGTTTTGGCTGGATCAAAGGAATGGTGTAGGTAATAGAGATATTATGTCAAGTATATTACGTATTGTGCATGAACAAGGGCGTCAAAAATCATTATAATAAAAAAAATAAAATAAAATAAAATAAAATAAACAAAAGATATACATTTAATTCATTAATATTGTTTGTATGTTTTTTTTTAAGAAAATAATAATAATAATGAAAAGATTTTAAATGTTTAAGGCCTTAGATATGCTCTTGCGCAGATAGGTAGTCGTACTTTCTTGACCATCTAATGGCAGATCATAAAATAAACTATTGGCAATTTCTTTATGTGTTTTATAATCGAATCCATTCTCAAACATTGGACTCTTTTCAAATGTTTCCTTATTCTTATCTACCCATGTATGCCAGAAATCAGCAACTGCAGATTCCATAATCTCTGGAATATTGATGTTCTGTTCAATAAAGACAAACTCGGACTTGGATTTCTGCATTTGATAGATTTGAATGAGGATTTCAATTGCCACTTGTTTTTCAGCAGGATCTCTAAAGTAGCCCAAAAAGGCCTCAACGGCTAAAGCAAAATTAAATTCCTCGGGTGTCTTTTCAAACACAATAGGATCCCTTGGTAAATGATGAGAGCCAATTTCTAAACCAAAGCATGTGTCCAACACTTTCCAAACACGGCTGAAAAAGTGTCTAGGGACACGATTAAGAGCTCCATCGTTCTTTCTTCGACGTAACCAACGACCATTGGAGGTAGGGCAGAAATAATTAATGTTGGTATTATTGATTTCATGTGGTGCAATATCATCCTTCTTGAGCAATGCAAATTCTTCTTCAACCAGGTCTGTAGGGCCCTCGTTAGCAGGCTTATGTGCCTCTATTGTGCGGTTTCCATCTTTCTCGGCAATTAAAACATAGGAGTCTCTATACTTGACGTTATCAATTTCTCGAGCACCTAAGCTCTTGAGAGCCATGATGGCTTCCTTTGTTAGGTGTTCAACAAAATCATCTTTCGAGGCAAGAACAACGATAATCCCAGAAGCGAGGTTGTGAATAAAACGAACAAGATCTTCACTTTCATCACTGCTGATATGTGTATCAAATGAGGCATGCTCGAGTACAAGTCTTCCGATTCGGTCAATGACCCAGATATGCAAACCACGCGTATTAGCTGCTAACACACTATCGTTAATTTCAACACGAGCAAAGTTACCTGCACTGAAGCCACCGGATTGGGCACGAATGACAATTGTATTTTCATTTTTAGGATTAATATAGTTCTCATCCTCATCTTGCTTACTCGATGACTTATGTAAATAAGTGTCTGTACTTAATTGTCGGTTGGGATCAAACTCTTGAGAGAATAACAAGAATCCACCAGGTTTGTCACGTACGACGATGGCCGTATCCTCACACATACTAGGGCCTGACATGACGGTGCCTAATAATGACTGCAACTCAAATGGACTTAACTGCATTAAATGCTCAATGGCTTCTTCTTCATTATATCCATTTAAACGGCTGATTTCTTCACGTAATGCAATAATGATAAAGTGTGTACGTAATCTTAAGATACCATCAAACATACTAGGGTTTGTACGGATAAAGTTACCAAGTGAAAGAAGAATCTCTTGCACGACGGGGCCCTCACGCACATCATCTAGGCATTGTTCAGCAATCATCTTACTTAAGGCATCTGGACTTAATGGTGTTGAGATCAAGTGTTCCGTAGCACCTGCACCAATACTAACTTGCTTTTTGCGGATTACTAAATCTGTCAAATTTGAGGTCAAAGTAGGCATCACCTTTGAAAGTAAACCACTCGCTTGACGGACGATAGACCAATATTGAAGACGCTTTGCTTTCACATAGACTTCTTCTAATAGATTACGAATGGTAGTATCCAACTCGGGGACATAGTCATCAAGGTTCTTACAGGATGCAAGATATTGTAAAAGATCAATTTGGTCGTATAGATTTACAGATGCTTCGAGACTTTTAACAGCATCATCATATTGGGAGATATCACCTAATGTTAATGACAGGAGAACATCACTACCACCATTTGCATCTTCACTATTTGCATCCACAGTCAAGTTTGCGGACTTTTTCAGCTTGCTTCCTGTTGAAATTGGAGTCTCTGATGCAGTTTCTTCACCATTAGCTACTTTAAGATGAGAAAGAACGGGGGATCCAATGGCACGGGGGGAATCATGGAAGGTGGGAGCAACTTCATGATCCTTCAATTTAAAGTTTGCAGCTGATATACCTTCACCGTTTATCTTTTCCAAAGCAGAGGCAATATCTTGAAAGTAACTATCACCATCCATCTTGTTGAGTGGGGTTCCCAAAAGTTTACCTCCAAAGACACTACGACGACGTGGTGGTGTACGAGGTCCTCCAGGGGTTAAAGACCCAGCAGGAGAATTCAAAGTAGAGTTTTCGTCAAAACCTAAACGACGATAGCCTTCATGATAGCGATGATACGATTTATTAGATGACAGGATAAGGCTCCAATTCACATCTGGCTTATTAATCAAGAAATCAAGTGATTCAATATTACTAGTATTCACAGTTTCTGTTAAGCGTGAAAGACGAACACGAACACCGTTACATTCTCCAGAACGTAAATTCATAAAGAAGTTAAGGAGATTTTTTTTAGAGGCATCGGAGGATAAGAGGGCGTTTGTTAAGCTAGCACTGCAGTCAGCGGGTGCAACTTCCTTACGGTTAATATCGCCCAACATAGCATTTGTCAAGACGATGGTCATAGTAGGACGTCCAGGGTAAACCCAATTAGCGTTTGTAAAATTTAATTCATTTTCGATTGTAGAGACTAAATAGTCTGGATCCGAATTTAGATAAAAGGATTCAACATCCATGAATTGTGGAGTAAAAGCGTAGATATGGCCTTCAATACGATAGAGACGCGAGGTAGCTAAAGTACCCATAGGTCGATTAGGACGACCTGATAGAGACAATTTAGTATTTTGGCCAAGTGCAGAATAGACCTCTACTAAAGCCTGAGGAGGGAGAACGGTGAAACTTGATGAGATTTGATCAATTGATTGTATTTCTAGACCATATCTTGCTAATGTCTTTTGCAGTTCCTCATTTTCGGCCAAAAGAACAACCTGAACAACATTGTCTGCCTTTTCGCCCTTGACGTTAAAACGACGGCCTAATGGATCTATTTCTGAAGGCGACAAGAGGTTTTCGTATATCAAGTTACCAAGTAAGTAAAGTGACAAAGCCCAAACAAGTGGAGTATTATCATTTGGAATTCTCTTTTGAGAATGAGGATGGACTCTCTCTGCCTCAATTGATTCTCTGGGTACAAAATAAAGTTCTGGGATTAGCGGGATATGAAGATCAGGAGGCGCAATTGAAAGATCCAAACTAGCAGTACGACACAAGACTGAGGGACGTTTCACGTTGTCCTTTTTATAATCCTCAGGAGGGCGAGGATTCTGAGGGTCCCAAAGAGAGGAGTCAATGGTAACAAATTCCAACTTTTTTCTATACTCCTCTACTTGGTCCATATTACCTGTAAACAAACCTTCTAATACAAGATAAGTGAAAAACAAGGGCCATTCAGATTCAATATTTTCAAAGATCTTTAATTCACTCTCGTTATAATGAAGACGAGAGTGATCTTCAACCACAGTTTGGTGACCATCACGTAAGAAACGTTTCCAACCGTAACGACCTTCTAATTTTGTTCTTGCATCATTCCTTGTTAATTCAATAAGTGAGGGATCTTCAACAGCGAATGCAGGGAAACCAATAACAGATAAAACAGAACCATCCACTTCTTTAGAATTAGACTCTCTTGGTAAGACACTATGGAGGGTAATTTTATTTCTTGACATTTCATCAGGTAATACATAAATAACCTACAAGTATAATTCATAAATTTTATTTTCTTTGACGTAATTATAAAAAAAAAATTACCGAAGAGGGGCTTCCTCTAGCTCCAAACAAGTTTACACCATTAATAGCTCTAAGTGCAGCATAAGCCATACCAATAGAGGAAGTATTTAATTCAGGTTGACCATGGTTACTTTTATTACCACGTTCCCAAATACCAAAGTCAGGAGTACGATAAGCACCTATAAACAAACAAACAAAAAAAAAAAAAAAAAAAAAAAAAAGAAAGGCTCTTAATGATTTAGTCCTAAATACGACAAATACAACTTACGTTCAATATAAAAAACTAAATTCTGAATGAAATCAACTTCATCTTGGGTATAAATGATAGTTAAACCACTTGTTGTCATATCAGCCAAAGCTACTAAAAATATACTAGTTGCATCAATTTGAAGATGTCCCCAATCCCGATCACCAACAACAGTATCACCGGTTTCAGTTTTATATTTAGCATGAAGTGCGTCCCAAATATTTTGAGTTTTTTTGAATTTTTCCACTTTTGAGGCTTGACGCATCATAGAAAACAAGAGACCGCGCATTAATTTAATGACCGCATGCTCGAGCTCGACTATAAAATAGCATGAATATATGATTATATATGTACGTAAATACATGAAGATAATAAAATAGGTACTTACAAGCTCTTCCAGTTGTATCATCAATTCTTCTATAAGCTAAAGCAAGACCAAAAACACAATAAATTGAATAAACGTTATCTCTGTATAAAACAATATTAGCTTTGCATAAAGGAAAAAAATGGATAGACCCTCTCTCTCTCTCTCTATATGTATATATGTATTTACCTAACCCAGGCATCGGTATAGTCACCATGTGTCTATATATATAAAAAGAGGTTAGTTAACTAAATTTAATGATGCTAATAGCTACTTACGGTAATAGCAACAGAAGCAGGAATTAAACCACTTGCAGCATTTTGTTTTGATAGGACAGTTGTATTAATAACTTGATAATAATATTCAAGTCTTTCTAAAGACAACTTCCTACTATAAAATGAATTTCTCATGTATGAAATTGAAAAGAAGAAGAAGAAGAAAAAACAGAGAAAGAGAGAAAGAGAGAGAGAGAGAAAGAGAGAGAGAGGAAGAAACGGAAAAGATAACGAATTAAATACAAATATAGAAAATTTGTATCATAAACACCGCCCTGTTTTGTTATTATGTAATGTTGTGTTATTCATCACTCATCAAACAAAGCTTTACTTATTTAATAGAGAAATAAATAATCCTCTTTAGTTATTCTCATTACTTTTTTTTTCTTCTTTTTGACAAATAAAGTACTTTAAGATCTTTTACTTACTCTATATAACGTAAGTATTGAGACCTTATTGCAATCGATTTATGTATATAATACATATATTACATGTAACTTAATATCATTTATGCTTTCATCATCATTTTTAATAGAATATACATGACGTCAATCTATAACAATGACAAATATAAGGAACCAACGTCTTGTTCTCTAACTAACTGTGTCTATAATTGATTTATTTAAATTAGCAATAAGAAAATCGATTTTCTCTTCCTTTCTGATTACGTAAAAATTAATAATATTCTTACAAGACACAATGGATTATTATTATTTTATTAATACAGATGCTAAAATGTATTCTTTGTGTGTAACTGAAGATAACTCCTGGGAACAAACGGAAATAATAATAATAATAATAAAAAAAGCTCTGTCTATTAATAAATTACGACATTGTATTCTAGATTTTACGATTTTAAAAGGGTCAGCATTACAAAATCACCCAAACAAATTTATGCTCAGTATGTAATTTTGTTATTGGATGAAAGCTGATTTGAAGGGATTAACTAGCAAAGTTAAAGTTTTAAAAATTTTTTTTAATTTTTTTTTTTTTTTTTTTTTTTTTTTTTTTTTTTTAAAAAAAAAAAAATATCATATCAATCATAATTATATGTCTTCAGATACCGAGACAACAACACCTCAAGTGGAAAAAAAGAAGGGGGGTCATCAACGTGGTAATAAAAAATCTGTCGAGAATAAAAAGAAACCTATTTCAAAAAAGAAGGAAAAACAATTACAACGGGAGACAGAACGCCGCAATGCTGTTATGGCTGCATTCAATAAACATTATGAAGAAGAATGGGGTTCACAACGTTGGCCACAACTCTTAGAAGCCATGAAAAAGCCTGTACGTCATTGTATCATGATCAATAAATATGCGAACGTTGACGATGTAAAGACCAAGTTAAAGGATGTTTTAAGTGATTTGACAATGCTTGATTTTATTCCATCTGTGCCCTGTTATGCATCTAAATCTCAATCCCGTTTTCCACCCCCTTCTAAGGATAGTAATAATATTATGGACTATTATATTTTAGATGCAGGCTCTGTTTTAGCGACAGAGGCCCTCGATATTCAACCTGACGATCAAGTGCTGGATATATGCGCTGCACCTGGTGGGAAAACATTGGCTATTTTGCAGCGCTTGGATCGAAAATATGGTCGATTGACTTCAAATGAGATTGCATCTGATCGTCGTAGAAGATTACGCCAAGTAATTGAGACTTATTTACCACTTGATGTTATGGAGGAAATGAGTACTGTAGTAGGCAAAGATGGTACAAGATATTATGGTGAACCTGAGCAATATGATAAAGTGCTTTTGGATGCACCTTGTTCTTCAGAACGTCATTTATTACATGATGAAAAGGAACTTGAACTATGGACACCTAAACGTACACAAGTAAACGCGAAACGCCAATTAGCCATACTTAAAGCAGCACTTCATTCAGTTCGAGTCAATGGATTAGTCTTGTATGGTACATGCTCAATTAGTTCATTAGAGAATGATAAAGTGATTGAACGCATGATGAGAAAAGGTAAAATTCCCATTGAACCCATCAAAATGAAATGGCCCATTGGAGAAAGAACAAAATATGGTTGGATTATTTTACCAGATAAAACAGAAGGTTGGGGACCTCTCTATTTTTCATTACTTAGAAGAACAGGTGTTTCAAAGGATGGAGAATCATCAGAGGAAGATCTAAGTGATGATGAATAAATTAGACAATTTAAACTTTACATTAGAAGAACAATAAATTTACATTTTTAATATCCGCTGTTGGAAGCTTCTACTTCCTTCTAGCGGATGTATTTAATACATTTGCAGAAAGAAAAAAAAAATATGCAATTTTTTATTTTTATTTTTTTTTATTTTATTTTATAATAATAATAATGTTTGGCTGTATTGCTGCTGGGCGTTTGGTAATAAATAAACAAAAAATTAAATGACTTTATTTTATTTTTTGTATTTGTATTTGTATTTATTTTACATGTGTATAGGTGCAAACTAATCTACAACAAGTCGATGTTAATAAATATATTTTTGAATTATCTGATGCTCAAGCTATAAATCACATTGTAGTTTTTTTACTGGGCACGATTCCCTTTGAAGCTGGTTATGCAGCTACAGTTCATTTACTATGGCCAAATAAAGATTGGCAACTTTTAGGAGGGTAAAAGAATGAAAAAAAAAGTGATTTAATTTTTGTATATAAAGGACATGATTAACAATCGTCATACAATATAGATTATCAAACGAAAAACCAAGTGCCATCTTTCGCCTAAAAACAAAAGAATCAGCAGTCAATATTCCACAAATATCAACTACAGCTACATTAGGTATCTCTATTGAACCTATTGCAGTCGTTCAGCAAGAACTCGCTACTATACAACAACAACAACAACAACCATCCACGACCGCACTTGTCAAACCAGGCGCTAACGTATCACAAGTGGGACAAATTGCAAATCGCGTATTAGAAAATCTTTACAATTATATCACATCTTTTACTGTACAAACACTCCCGATGAATGCTATCCCATTAGGACAATTAACAGAAAACGGTTATTTACCCTTAAAATCATTTCAAACTTGGTACGAAAATCTTTCTAGAAAATTAGCATCTAATCCAAATTATTTTGACGAACAAAAATCCGCTTAAATAAAAGCGTTTTTTATTTTATTTTATTTTATTATTTTATTTTAATTTATAAAGAAGAATTTACTAATAGTTCACAAATGTCTCTTGCTAATCCTATAACTTGTGTCGAGCTGATTACTTTAGATTTCTTCTTTTCTTCGATACTATTTTGAATATCTAAAGCTGATAAAAGATCGGCTACAGAAGATGTGTTTTGGGGTGCCAAAAATAAGAATTTCCCAATAGCAGCCAGAAGACGATGAACTGGAGAAAAAGAAAGGAAAATTAGATAAAACACATTTGTATTATACAAAGCTTAGTTTTTTTTTTTTTTCTTTTTTTTTTTTTTTTTTTTTTTTACTTATTTCTTCGTTTGTTTCTTTTGTAAATGCATCCATAATAGCACTTGATAATTCAACCTGCCAATCATCATCTTCTTGCTCTGCCATACCTGTGAATGTTCCTTCTTCTTTCTTTAATCGTTCTATGGCTATCACTGTTGAACAGTTATAAGCTAAAGAGGCAGCTGATCGTCGAACTTTAGCATCTGAGGATAATAAGCTGGTAATCAAGAGTTGTGTAAGTTGCGTACGATGTGAACTGTGCAAGCTAGATGTAAAATGAGTAGTGGATAAAGAATCATTAGAGAATATATTGCATGCAATTCGTAAAATCATAAGCCAAGTTGCACTATTAAGGGTAGATTCATGAGTATAAGCAATTTCCATTATCTTTGCTATTTGAGAAGGATCTTTGACATAGAAGTTAGATGTTGAAACAAGCAAAGTACGATAAATATCCAATAATGGGAAATACTCTTCAATAGATAACTTGCTTAACAAGTCATCAACAAGTAACTTCCATTCATTTACATTAAACTCTATTGATCCATTTGCTTCCAAATATTTCTTTGACTCATCTAAAATATCTTTCTGCCTTGGTTCCAAAACAATATGTCTTTTTTCTAAAAATTCATTTAATTTTGCATACACTATATCTAATTTTTCCATAGTTGGAAATAAAATAGGAGCGTTAGATTGATGAGTGATAGTCTTAAGCAATATCTTTCTATGCGGATGAGCTAGATTATTTGAAGTCAGTCAGTCAGTCTGTGTATGTTATCATCTAGTAACATGTTACACTTACGTGGATAAGCTTCAAATAATAAAATATCAACTTGACTCTTTAATTCTGCATAATTTGCTCCTTGGAATTCAGAATACTTTGTCCCGTTAAGATAAAGATGGAAAGTCGGTGTAGCACGTACACCATATTTCATAACGTCAGGTGATGACATGGAAAGATCCAAAATGACACCTAATATCTTGATTTGTTGACTAGGTCCACTATTATTTTTATCCACGATCAATCTCTCAAAGTCAGGTTTAATGATACGACACGGAGGACAAGTAGCTGAAGTAAAGAAGACAATGACGGCTTTATAGCTCGAGATAAATCCGTCTACTTCAGAGGCGGAGCGTGCTAATTGAACTGGATTAACTGTAGTTGGTGCTGCTGAGGTAGCAGCGGAAGAAATGCCTTGAAGTAAAGAAGCAGCATCAGTTGAAGGCGGATGTAATGATGATGATGACGTTGTTGTTGTTGCTGCTGCTTCTGATGGTTTTAATTTTGTTTGTCCAAACATGTTTTCAATCATGGGTAAAATAGATTGTCCGAAAGGTCTAATATAAAGCATGTTAGAATTAGTATATATAAATGGTTATACAACTACATTACGTGTTCACAAATTCAGATGGTAAACTTGTAATGTGCATAGGAATTGTTTTACCACATAAAAACTGACATAGATCATTAGAAAAAGTATTACAATTAAAGTCTAACAAGTGATATTTTTCAGCACTATATGAATAATAATAATAATAATAAAAAGTTAGCTTTATAGAAAATTATTTTTTTTTCATGAAGGGCTTATTTACGTATAAACAGATCGAAGACTGTAGATATAATCAATGACCATTTCTAAAGGTAAATAGGTTTCACCTATATCAATAATTTCCAAAGGACGACCATGTTGCGTTGTTCCTGGAATTGATGTCATGATGCCTTGACCAAAATAAAATTCCTGTCCATAAACAACAACAGAAGTATGCCAAATACCATCTAAAAATGTAAGATTAGTTGATTGAAATTTATGCAAATTGATGAAGTACCTATTTGTTTTCCGGTAAGTTGCAAAGACATAGAACGAGCCATGCCCTGTGAAAGATCATAGACATAAAGTTGAACTGGTTCTGCTGACATGAAGAAGATAAATAACGAATGATATTAATCATGCGTACGTAGCACGTATGAATATGTATTTATATGTATTTTTTTTTTTCTGGCAAATTCAATTCCACGTAATTCGGAGCAATTTTTTTTCGTTGCTACGAAACTAAAATTGTACATCCTCTAAAAAAAAAAAAGTAATTTTGTGTTACACATTGTTGAAAAATAGTAGTAAGTATATAAATACAACACATTTACGAAAAAAAAGAGAAAGTAACTTATAATATCAAAATTCATTTGTTTATCCAAAAAATTAAATACAAAAGCCTTTTACGTAAAGTAGATATACTTAGTAATTGGATTTTTTCTTCTTGTTCAAGAGGTAAGATATTAGCCACCCACCAAATAAGTGTATTTAGGTCCATTGATTGTTGCAAATATAAGCTGTATTGCTTCGATATCGCTTTATCGACTGATAAATAACAAACTAATGATGGATGTAGTTTTTCATAGAACAGAGAGACATTATTATTACTGTTATCACCCTCTTTAAAGGAAACCTGTTGCTCATTAACGTAGAAATTTTGATGTTGAATACCAACTACTTGTTGTTGTTTCAATATTTGATGTTTCATGAAAATAGGCCATGCCTTTCTTGTATAAGGACCTATCATAGTATTATTATGTTTTAGTCGCATTTTACTAGATGATCGAGAAAGCCGTATTGAGCATGGACGATGTATGTTATAAGATGGTGTACTATGGAATGCCTGTTTTAAAGTAATAGTCTGAACTACTGGAGATTCACCCCACTTTTTAAGCTGCATAATATCCCCAAGATAGCAATTATTATCATCATGATCGATGGTTAACTGTTTAATGCGGAGTGGGAACAGCCCTCTAGCCTGCACCGCAATATGATGGTAATCGAGTAAATATTCGGCATGTTCCAGATAGAGCATAAGGCCATAATCATATACAGAATCATCGTCTTCTTTGGTAAATATACAAATAATATTACGTTTGTGTAGTAACTTTTGATAGTCATTGTCACTGTTATGAACATGAACATGAAAGAGACAATGCTGAGTTGGAAAAGCAATCGCTCTCGAGATTTGGATTAGCGGAAAAACAGCATCATGTTCCTGATCATATTCAATAGAAGAATCATAATAATGATTGATCCATCGAGAAGTTACCTGACTGACTTGTCCTATAGGATCTAATGCATGTCTACAAATAGGACATATTTTTGCTTCAGAAGATAGAGTGATAATATGAATCAAACAAGACTTACAAAATGTATGTCCGCATTTCGTAGTAACTGGCTCAGTAAAGGTTGAAAAGCAAATTGAACAGACCAACAAATCCTTAATATACGATTGATTAGACTGATGATGGGACAAAATTAGTTTTAATAAGACATTAGGTTTACTATGGGTATGAGTACGTAAGCAAGTAATAGAAGGGCAGTTAAATTGGGGTTCAAGCGGGACACATGAGGAGCAAAGTGTAAATCCACACTCTAAAGTGATTGGTTGTTGAAAAAAATTTAAACATATTTGGCAATGTGTTAATAATGAAATTTTAGCATCATTTTGATTATCAAGAATAGTAGAGGAGAATAATAGGTTATTTGATTTAAATTTTCGTAAAATAGCTCTACCGCTTGTAGGTAAAAGACTTTTACTGTTATTACTAGCATTTACTATTGTAGATAAAATAAAAATGATGTAAATACTTTTTTTTTCTTTAACGTTGTAATTTATAAGTAAATAATAGTAAATTTTTACTTGATATATGCTGTTTATTAAATTGCATTGGAAACTATAAATAAGAAGGGGATGAAAGAATAACGGGGTTCTCTTTTATATCCTTTTATATAAAATGCATATTTTGTTTCTAGGAATAGGTGTATTTTCGATCGATGTGTATTTCATTATTTTAAATCGCAGAAAAAAAAAAATAGATATTTTTATTGATTAACTACAAATAATTCAACATGAAAAAAGGACTTTATTATTTAGAAAGAAATATAGAACCAATAAAGGGTAAGGTAACTTTTGTTAAAGTTCTCCTTTTAGAGAAGGAGAAATGAATTAATTGGAAGAAATGATAACTATTACACAGATATGAAGAGAAGAGGAGAACCAATCAAGGAATGCTTACCTGAGATGTAGATAGATTTCGATGATAAATGGCTGTACAAATGATTAACCAATGGTCAAATTAAGGGAAATATATTTCAAAAAGAACAAGATTTACATATCAGAAATGTATTCAAGGAAGACAGACGATATCTAGCTATTCTTAGCATTTGAAGCTGATACTATAACTCAGAGTTAATAGATCCGATTATTATTTTGTTAATGGCTATCAAGATGAATTCGAAGCATATCTCAAGCTGTTATATATGTATATACATATTTATATGTATGTATTTAATATGACATACTTTGATATCACTATGAAGCCACATTTGTGTTTACTCTTTTTTGACAGAAGTCTGTATATGATATATAGTAGATTAAAGATATACACATTTATATGTATATAAATGGAATTGTTTTAAGAAAAAAAAAAGTACACTTATATCTCTGTTTGTTCGTCCTATAACGCATAACTAATACCTTACAAACTCGACTTTCAATTATCCATTAGTATCCTTTAAAAGATTAACATTATTCTCATTTTATAATAAAATAAACTTCTATACTTGTTTTGATATTAGCTACTGTCAGAGAGTTGAAGGCTTACTTATTTGGCAAATTGAATCCACTATTTCCTTTACATCGATAATGTCATGTTAATAGTCAAGGAAAATAAAATACAAGAGTTATTGCAAAATAGATATGAATTAAAAATACACCATTTCAGATCCTTCTAACTAATAATATATATATATGTATATAGATATACATATTATGTATGATCTAATCCAGGGGCCTTAAATTAGTATGTTCACAAATGAAATACAATAAACAATTAGGTTATATACATACATACATACATACATTTGTACACATAAAATATTATTTAAACATGTGTTTGTATATGTGTTTTTATATACATTTGTACATTTAAGGCATAGAATTTAGATAATCTAGTAAACTCATGACTTGCACTTCTTTACCAGTATAAACAGGATGTAATTGTCTTTCTATATAACTCGTAAATGTACTATGTGGTGTGCCAAAGAAGGTATGAGCATGCGCTGATATCATTGCATCTACCATAGGAATTAAATATGACTCTAATCGAACTTTCTCCTCTACTACCTCTAGTCGTTTAATATCGTTTAGTTCATCCATAAAATCAGAAAGAATAAATGTACAAGGAAAGACATTAAATAATTTACGTAATAACGGATGATTTCGTGGATCAGGCGCATCTGTGGCGATATAGATGACAGTATTTCGAAATCGATTTGTGACTGCATCTCCCTGCTGACACTTGAGTCGACTCGCGATATGTGGATTTTTATTAAACAAGCTCTGCTTTTCTTTTTCTGTCCATAGTGGATGATGAACTTCAATTGGCTTTGTATAGTTTGTCTCATCCACTGGATGAAAAGTTCTTAATTTTATTTCATATTCAGCTGACTCTGTTCTGTCTAAATCATGCTGTTCAATACCCCCTTCATAAGCTGCTACTTGTTCTAAACTTAAGTCTGTAAATGTATTCACCAAGTGATGATAAACGTCATCTACTAAGATGGATGCTCGTAATTTAAAGATCCCATCCCCTACTCTTACATGCATCCCCACAAAATTATTAGCTCCTCCTAATTGTTGAACTATTCTTTTCGTTGCAGTTGAAAGGACTGGATTTGCAAATATCATATTAGACCGAATATTTCGTAATAGTTGAATATGTTCTTCTGTCTCTGCCAAAACTCGATAGGAGCCAAATAAGGATCCAAAATGTAATACACGATGTTCAATCTTTTCTAGTGATGTCAAGTCAATTCGATAATTGAATCGATCTAAAGGTAAGTCTAATGATTCATCATCATGAATTTGATACTCATACGGGGACATATCCTTAAAAAAATAAATGTCATCTTCTCTAATTCTACCCAACTCATGCCTTGACTGATAAAGCCATTCATAATCTAGGCCGGATCGAAAGATAAGTGGCGCTCCTGTGTTTTCTTGTATGGCTGACATATTATAAAAGAAGGTCCAAGGCACGTTTGTCCATCGAAAGTTATTTAGACATTCGCTTGGTAAAGGTAAAGCTGCATCGTAAATTTTTACACAATGATCCAGTCCATTCTTTGTCTGGAACAATAATCGTTCATATAATTTCTCATATCTTAACCATGGCATGGCAGGACTAGCAAGAAATACAGGTGGTACGAGTAATGTTCTATTCAGATAAGTAGCAAGTAATAATGCATTTTCTAATTCAATACGCTGATTATGAAATCCTGAATGGGGTAAGTAAGATAGATATTTTTCCGTTTTTACGTTGGGTCGATGAAGTTGAAATGGATCTGGAAAGATGACGGGGATAGGATTATTGCCATGTTGAAAAGTAGATCCATGATGATAAAAAGCCATGGGCGAATTATGATATTGAAAGTGAATAATACCACATATAAGAAATAGTGAGAATAATAAAAATAAGATGGTTGTATTCCTTCTTTTCATTATTCAACAAGCTAAAAAAAAAAAAAAAAGAGAGAGAAAAGAAGAAGAAGAAGAAAAAAAGAAAAAAGAAAATGGAAGTATAACGTTATTTTATTATTTATAAGGTTACACACATAAAAAGATCGCTGCTGCTACTGCTGCTGCTGCTCTTAAACAACATGTTTTTTTTTGTTAGGTTGTTAATAAAATGTAGATTGCTAAATACTATCCCGAATAATAAACTAAATAAACTTAGGATCCTGTTTAACAATCCTTGTTAATTTTCCCTCTTATTTATTCTTTAAATAGACAAAAACTAGATAAAATGATGTCTTTTAAAGAAATAATGAGGGAGTAAGGAGTAAACTAAAAAATACTCCTCTGAAGAGAAAACAGATTTAGACATTAAATTAATTTTATAATTAAATGTTAAAAAAGAATCTATTTGAAAAAAAAAATATGTATATATATATATAAATGTATATGTTTACATAAAATATTATAAAGTACACTTTATTATATAATAGAAAAAAGAAAAGTTATATAACAGATGTATGCATCATTATAACTGAAAACTGAAAAGAAAAGAAAAGATTTGCACCTTTTATCTGTTTATAAATAAGTACTACAGTCTTATTACATTAAAATAATATGATTGGATAAAAAAATTGATGACGCGTGGTAAGGGAGATTTGTTGAAGCCAGAAAAAAAAAAGTTACATAATGACAGTCTAGGTGTAACAAACCAAAGAAAGTAGTTTATTATTATTTGATTACTGTTATGTAGGTCTACACTATTTTGTAAAGCTATATTTTGGACTTCAGTGGACATGTTATTGTTTAATAGATGAATTCCCCCTCCCCTTTTTTTTTTCTCTCCTAAGACTAATAAATTTAATTTTCATTGCATGATACAAAGATTTAAGGTAGTTCAGTATAAAGTTAGAAATATCTAGAATAAAACACACACACACACACACACAGTAGTACTTTTTATAACCTATTTGTAAGAATCTTAAAAATAAGAATAAAGTCGAATAATTTAAACTTATTGAATAATTCCAAATTATATATACGTTATTTCCAAGTCTGTAAAAAAAAATTATGTATTGACTAAAATAATGATTTGAAATTGTTAAGATGATAAAGGCCTTGGCTCTTTTTATTACTGCTATTTTTAGTCAATATTTAATACAAATTTGAATCTTAGCCTAGTATTATATAACTGGTTAAGATAGGAATGTGTATTTTAACAGTTATTATGTATTCAATTAATAAATATTACTGCTAATTAGGGAACTATATAATTGTATAAAGGGGAATATACCAATTAAGACGTGAAAGTAAGGCTAAAAATCCAACAGTTACCAAAATAGATAGATCTAGCCAGTTAAGAGTGTTTATGTATATACTAATCATGATTAAGTATGTAATAATAAAGATAAATGCTGCGTTAAATAGATATTACTATTTTACTGTATTTGTATATTTTATATGCTGTATAGGAATACCGTTGTTCTTACACTATTATAATATGTGTTGCATGATTATGCTGTTTAATTATTACCACTTTAGAGAGGGGGTTTACGTGAAATATTATTTATTTGTTACAAATATACAAATATTTAATCAAAGTATCTATTTCAGTTAAGTGACTATTCTACTGTACTAAGTATATATCAGCAAGTTTAAAGGAGGGCTCAAATATTAAAGAAGTCTGTAGTAGATATTTTAAGTATTTCTTATTTAATTTGAAATATATAATTTTCTCTTATTAAGTCTGATAAGCTTTTAATTTAATACTCTTTTATTTTATAATTTGTTATATTGTAATGTGATGCTACTTTTACCTTCCTTGTGATTAAAAGTAGTATTCCTTATCTGTATATTCTTTTTGTTTATATATATACATATACATATTGAAATTGATCCTTTAAAGTTCTGAAGAAAAGCAAATAGCTTCTTTACCATCTGAATTTTTATCATCAAACTCATTATTTCATAAAGGCTTTTTTTTTCAAGATGTTACTCGAGTTTTTTGCTTGATTAGGTTGTAATGACTCAATAGTGATCGATATGTTTTGGGTAAAATATATATATATATATAAAGAAATTAGTATACCACCGATAGATCGATCATAAGAGTGTTTCTGACTTGACATAAAAAACAGATATATCAATAAAGAAAAAAATGCAGTTATGAAGATTATCTGTTATATCTATTGCTTTCTATTTTACATCTCTCCCTGCGCTCATATCTTGCATCGATATGTGATATATCGTTTCGAGCTGTAGGACGGCCATCTAATCTTTTAATCGAAAGATTGTATTCATATAAAATAAAGTTCTTTACAATGGATCTCTTCTTTAAACTAAAGCCCTTTTCTTCTAATATAATATTCATGCTGCCTTTATTATTCTCCATGAAAAACAGATGTGTAACTCGCTGGTTATAGTGAGTTCGTTACTTTTTTTTTTTTTTTTTTTTTTTGCTGCTGCAATGAAATCAGGATATCAATATAATACTTATAAAGAAACCAGGAGAAAAGGAAAAAATATGTTAGAAGAAAATCGTGACAAACTGAATGCAAAGAAAAAACAAAAGCAAAAGCCTATACTAGATCCAATTCGTGGTTCTTGTATTATGGCAAGATTATACAATATCAAGAAGTCGAGACCGTGTAAAACCATAATTTCACTTTTAAAGAGATAATTGAACGGGAGCTTGACCCTTTGAATTCGAGAACTTCGTCTTCTGAACAATATCTTCAATATGTACAATATATAATGGGTCATATTGATAATTTATTCGATTTTTATTGTTTTGGAACGGCAAAAATCAACCGACAGAATTATCATAGAAAATAACAAGCTCTTAATTATTGCACACATATCCTTCAAAATCGTTAAAAAAATATATATACATGTATATAACAAGAAGAAATCCAGGGATTGTTCATCAATCAGCTGAACTAAGATATAATTTCGAAAAGAATTGTTATAAAATTTTGGTTCTGACATAACGCACATTTATAGGAAAAAAAAAACAATTTACGAACTCACGATAGATGTATCTTGGCACGTTCATCAGCTGTTTGAATTTTGAAATCCGCTCTTTGGGGCTGAACACACGGTACTCCTTGCTCTTGTATTTTTTTTTTTTTTTTTTTTTTTTTTTTGAATCTCTTATTCTCTTTCCTTCATAAATTGAAACACAATCATGACAAATCCGTTATCGACAATTCATAGACAATCTATTCCAACATCACCCACTATTACCGAAAATACAACTATTCTCCATATTAAAGAAGATATATCTACTATTACAGAAGATTCACCTTCTTCAACTGTAACAGAAGAGTCCTTAAAACAATTAAAACGTAAAATGAAAGAAATTACAGAGGTAACATAACAAAAAAAAAAAAAAAAAAAAAAAAAGGTTAGGGAATGATCTTTTATTTACTTCCTTTATAGCTAAATATAGCAATGCATAGAGATTATTTTCATGCAAAAAAGAAGATTCGTACATTAACCTTTGAAAGAAAGTAAATGCTTGTATTTTATATACTTTTACCAAATGATTTTTTTTTATTCATATTATTCTAGTCTACTATTAGATAGTATTAATCGTTTAGAAAATATGGAAAAATCAAATGAAGATAGTGATAGCGAACTATATAGTGAATTATCAGATACGGAAGATGAAGTAGATGGTAAAACACGTTTTATATTTGACTTGATAGAGACAAAAACCAATCTTGTTTTATTTAGCTTTATCAACTTTTAATAATCATATATTAAAACCAAAGGTAATAATAAGGAAGGCAACTAATAAAGCGTATCGTTCATCACCTTCAACTATACTACCTCACATATCTCATGAAATTACAACACCTTCTACACCACCTAAACGATCTAAAATGGGTCGTGTTTCGCTTAAGACGCGTCGTGTTCAACCTATTGAAAGAGATGCTGATGGAAAACCAAAACTACCTCAACAAATTGGTGTTTTAACTGTTCTTAATCTTGGTAAAATCATTACCGATAGACCCGCCTTTCATAATGAAAGATATATTTTCCCCGTTGGATATACTGTAAGCAGGTAATAAAATATTCAAGTATTATTTCAGCAAAAAGGAAAAAAAAAAAAAAAAAAAAGAAAAATAATCGATGATTTTTTGCTTTTAGAACATATCCTAGTATGATAGATCCCGATAGTAACACAACTATTACATCGACCATTCTTGATGGTGGAGATGGACCTCGATTCCATGTTGTAGCTGCTGATATGCCTGACGAACCTATTATTGCCAATTCAGCAACTGGTGCCTGGACAGTCGTTGTTCGTCGTTCTAACGAAATTCGTCATCGCGACCATTCTAACTCAGCATCAGGTCCTGATTATTATGGATTTAAGCACCCTACTATCGCTAACTTGATCCAAGACTTGCCTGGTGCAAAAGAATTAAAGCAATATGTTTGGCAGTCTTTTGAGGAAATGGAGCCTCGTGCTGCAAAAGGTGTAATGGCAGCAGCAGAAAAAAAGAGAGGAAATTTAGAACAAATGGGAAATGCAAACAGGAAAGTACCAAAAATAGATAATCAAAATACAATTGTATTTGTGAATGAAGAAGAACATCATGCTGATGAAGAAGATGGAACAGACGAATTAGGAATTAGTGATAAAGAAGAAATTTAACCTGTTTTTTTTTCTTTTTTTTTTTTTTTTTTTTTTTTTTTTTTTTTTTTTTTAAAAAAAAAAATTCATAGTTATAGTCATATTAATAAGCATGTTGCATATATATAATGAATATGTATTATTTATTTATATTAAACATCAAATGAAACTTGAACATTAGCATTGCTCGTCTGAACAGTAAGGTCCCCTTTATCACCTGTACCTTTTCTAACACCTTGCTTAAGATAGCTAATATTATATTCATATTCAATATTATCTTCACCATCAATTAGAACTTCTCCATGAGATGTGCTGAAAACAAATCTTCCTCCAAATCTATTTGGCTTTAGAAACCTGTTAATATACATATACATATTCATTAATATTTATATATATATATATATATATATATACCATATGTAGATTTATGTCAGCATTACTTGTTAACACATTCACTTTATTATTTTTGTCTCCAAGAATAGAAAGTGAAATGGGCGCATTTGAAGTTTGAGTCAATATTTGAGTTTTAGCTTGTATTGAATCTATGAACAACTTCCCGTTAGAGGTACGAATCGAGACATGATCAGCGACAATATTGCCCAGTTGAATAGCTTGATTACTGGATTCGATAAAGATAGTATCATGTGCATATATTTCACTTGAGGCCCTGATATGACCATTTACATTCTTAATCTGAACCTCTCTTTTAGCTTCGACTCGATCAGTAGCGACAATCATACTATTACTATTCTCTAGCATCACTGAATCCTCTGCTACCAGGCGTCCAACCTTAAGTTTGCCCTGTGTTGTAGCTAAACGAAGGATACTCCCAGTCCAATCCTTCATAGCCAATTCGCCATTAGACGTCTTGATTTCCATATGATCGACATGAGTCACAGAGGGGTGCAGTTGCACTTCAACATTTTTCACGTTCATTACGAATCGTTCAATAGTAGAGGGGATCCTAATTTCGAGGTGAACACTGATACATTCGTCATCTAACCGCTGAGCCATCTCTGGAGGCATTCGTAAGACTACCTGCATAGTCTCTCCATCTCTATTCGTCATAAACGTCATCTGATCAGCAAGTTCTGGTGGATACATAGCAATATCAGTCAAGATCATGCCTTCATTATCGGTTGATAGTATCGTTATTAGGCCACCCGAGACACGACCTTCAATGGTAAGTTCAAGGTTTTTCTCGAAATGAAAGATTCGGGGGACACCCTTCCAGATAACTGCATTACTTTGACAAATGCTGTTGGGGGGTAATGAAGGGCCTATAAAGCGATCACTGTATTTATAAGCGATGAGCCAAATCAAGATACCTAAAAAGATATATTTAAACCATTTACGGCAACAGCCAGGGTTATTCTGAATATGAATAGGAAGTGTCTGTACGGTTGTGAGGGGAGTAGAAGAATGTTCATGACGAGTCAATCTGGACTGTTGTTGATAATTATCAACAAGGTCTAAACAAGATATAGAATGAATGAAAAAAAAAATATGAGACTTGTTTTGTATAAATACATAAATGTATATAACGTGATACAATGTTACAACATATCCTTACAAGGAGTATTTTGTTTCCAATTTGTATTCACGTCTTCACTTAGTAAGCCAGTTTGCTGTTCAATACTATTTCTAATGGAGTCATAGCCTCCGTTAGTTGATGAGTTTTCAGGAAGAGAGTAGGGGGGTGGCGGTGGCGAAAACTTGGAGGCTGTTGCTTCATCGAGTTTATGGATGACTTGATTGGATGAAACAAAAGAAGTATCATTACCACTATCGGTGTAATCTAAGTTATTATATTTAATATTATGTATTTAAGCTTTATTTTGAATATTCATGTTTTTTTTTTTTAAAAAAAAAAAAAAAAAATACCAGGTTGATTATAATACGATTTTGAATTGTTAGACATAATGAAGAAAAAGAAAGAGAGAAAATAACAATAATAATAACAGGAATGAATAAATGAAAAATAAATAAGGGGGAGGGGAGAGGTGAAGTAACACTTTACTCCTTTTTTTTTTTCTTTTTTCGTTTGTTTAAATGTATAAAACTGCAGAAGCATTTGTTGTTTCAATATAAACTTCAATATCAGTTTTGACGCCATGTCTATTATATGTGCCTGATTTCTTACAGTGTTTGTCCTTGTTTAATGTCAACATACCGTCACTTTGACTTGTAATAACAGAGGCAGAACCTGAAGAATTAGACTTTAGTTCAAAATATCCAGAAAATGTCTTTGGTAAGTGCACAGCAATAGGGGCATTTGATGTTTCAATAAAAATTTTAGCATGATCACCCATTTCATCCAAATAAACATTTACAGAGGCGTTAGATGTGATAACCGATAACATATCCTTAACTTTGACGTGGCGTAAAAATACAGGCCCATTCTTTGTTGTTAATTCAATTCGTTTCGATTGAATGAGTGTATTGTCAAAGGTTAAAGGTGCATTGCTAATTTTAATCATAAGTTTATCTTGAGCAATTAATGATGTACCATTGACTCGAAAACAACCATTACTTGTGTTAACATGAATCTCAGATGAATGAAGCTCACCATCAACTGTGATATGGCCATTAGAGGCATTAAGATCGATCAACTCCTTAGCTATTAATGAACCCTGCACCTCTATATGACCATTTGAAGTTTGAAGCTCGCATTTATGACCAGACCAACTATGTTCATAAATAAGAGGGCTATTTGATTGCTTCTTACACAAAACATTATTGTTCTCTGTTGATCGTGATGATTTATTTTCATCAGTCATTTGATAAGCTGATAAGTTACTAAAAGAAGAAGAAGAAGAAGAAGAGGAAGGAGAGGAAGGAGAGGAAGGAGAGGAATTACTAATTGATTCACCAGATCCATCATATTTTCTTAGACCTCTTTGTTCTCTACGTAATTTTCTGCGTTCCTGGCGTTGTTCTCTTTTTAAATTTTTTCTGCTTCGGATATTCTCTTTTCTTTCCACATAATGATTAATAATTCCACCAACTAAGCCAGTAGCTATAGCAGATGGCTGTGGATTTGCTTTAAATGGTTGTATTAGATTAGCAGTTAGCCCAATTATACCTCCAATTTTACTTTGACTAACACGGTCAATGTTAGATGAATGTAATTGATCCGGTAACCCTGACTGTTCGTAAACTGTGTCTGCTTGTTGTTGTTGAGTTGACCTATTATTATTAGAGGAGGGAATAAATTCGGAAGTTTCGTCTTCAGGTGTATAAGGTGGAGGAGGCTCACTTTTAGAAAAAAAAAAAAAAAAAAAGTTAATGCACTTTTTTGATTTATTGCAAGTATAGTTGTAAATTTACAGTGGTGCTTTTTCTTCTGTATTACTATATCTGGACACTATAAAACTATATGAATATTTTTATAGTTTTAATTATTTATTAGTCATACTACTCCTTACTTTCTTTATATATATATAAATAAAATATATAGAACAGAAAAAGAAAGGGAGAATTACTTTATTTCATAAAAAAATCATGCTTTTATATTCTTGTTTCATTTATTTTCGCCAAGCCGAACATTAACCAATCAGAGCCAAAAAATAAACAATCATATTCGGTGAATATTATCCTAAATTGGTCAGATTGTTAAGATTAAACATTTTTTTTTTTTATTATTTCTATAAATTAAAATTTATAAAGCGACCTATGGGCACACAATATCTTTATTGTATTGGATTGCCCAGGTCAGTTCAAATTATGTGAAAAAAAGTATCTAAAAATCCTCTTATGGGACAAGAGGTAAAAAGGTAAAGGAAAGGAAGAAGAGAAGGTGAAAAAGAAAGGGGAATATTGCTAACAAGTTTAAAGAGACAACCAGTTGAGTCATTTCCTGCCTGGATCAAGAAGTGGGTCAGATTGTTACAAATTTCATCGTTATAAAATCCAAAATTATCAGTAAAAGTACATTAACAGAATAGTATAATACTTTGTTGCAAACATGGAGCGGACGCCACAAGAAATAGAAAGGAAAAAAAAAAAAGGTTATGCATATCGAAATAGATCGTCTTTCATTATTATTCAGTTAAATAACTCTAAGAAAAAAGAAAAGTATATATTTCTCGGATAACATACTGCACAATCTATTCCATCCTCATTTTCAAATACATCATCATCAAAGACAATGTGTAAAAGTTGCATATTTTATTATTTACAGTATTTAATATGTAGTATTTTACGATATGATATATACAAATGATACAGACAATTTTTTTTTTTTTTTTTTTTTTTTTTTTACACAAAGCGTATTTGCCCAGCAGATTCCCAACTAGTACTTGTTACTTCATTATTGAACCCACTTCCATCCAGAGCAACTACATCAGAATCTGTATAATAATTGGTATTTCCTATATATTCAATGCCTTGATTTTGCCTATATGACAACGTTATTATATAAATTGCTTATATCATTTAATGTAAAGAAAAGAAAACTTACTTTTTACGCTCCTCTTCTGACTTGGCCACACCTACAGCCATCGTCTTCTTTTTCATAGCATGATGACTTCCTTCTTTATTTCCATCACAATTACCAGCATGCGTCAATATATCTAATGAAGAGAAAAAAAGATAACAAAGAGGACACTGTACTCTCTTTGTCGCTGTATTATTTCTTCTTGTATTTGAGGTAGCAAATAATCTCTTTGATTTCTGACCATTCATGATATAGTTAATATAATCTTCCAAGTCAGCCTCAGCTTCGTCATATTCTTCATCACTATACGATGGTTGCTCATTCTCTACAGTAGTTGATGTAGATGATATAGAAGGCTTTGATATACTTGGCTGTTGTTTTTCTCTTTTTAAACATGTTGTGAGCCTTTCATGAGAAGGTGAATAATCTGTTGTACTTTTTATTATATTTAGAAAGTTGTTGTCTTCTTCTTTTTCATCATCATCTGATGAGGAAGAAAGAGGATCTAAATCAAAAGTATATACTTGTTCTTCCTCTTGTTCAGTTGTATTTTGACTAAAGATTAAAGGAAATAGTTTATGATCATCGTCTAATGCTTTCGAATCATTATAATTTGTTAATCTGGCGGCATCTTTTTTTCGACTACTTCTACTACTAGTAGTAGTAGTAGTAGTAGAAGTATTATGATGAGCGGAGTATTTATTTTTATGAACAGCAAGAAGTGGATTCCTCTTTTTTTTTATCTTGTCACGTAGATTAACTCTAATTTTATCGACACGTTGAAAGAGTTTATTGACATCAACTTTTGACGATGGTGCCTTTTTTGATACATCTGTTAATAGTTCGGCTAATAATCGTGACTCATCATTATTTTTTTGAGTGTTATTGGAACGTAGTCCTTTTTTAACTTCCAATGGCAATCTTAGTGGAACACTTAAAATTTGAATTTCATCTTCATTATCGGAATCAATTATAATTATGTCTTTTTCCATAATAAGTTTATATAGGAGAGTGAACAACAACAACAACAACAACAAAAAAAAAAAAAAAAAAAAAAAAAAAAAAAAGTTAAACGCGTGGCTGTAAATATTCCATTATTTAAATTCCGTACATTAAACACGATTAAACAATCATTTATATATAAATTGCTGACGACCCATTGCGAGTACCTAATATCTATAGTATATTACATTGTCCTAAGCAGGTTATAATGAAAAGAATATCTAACACAGCTTTTCAAGAAAGAAAGAAAAAAAAAAGACAAGAATAGGCTGATATATTACCAAGTCAATAGCTCAATAATTCTGATAATAAGCTAATAAACTGGAATTAAGCAGTAGCTTATCAAGGACTCTCATATTTACACCATATTAAAAAGAAGAAAAAGATAGGAGATCATAAATAGCATAGACAAATAGATACACCTGATAACCGAGTTCATAATAATATAGGTGTAAGCATGGAAAGGGGTTATATTTGAGAGTCAATAATAGATATTATCCCATGTTCTTAAGATCCTCTAAATACAAATTCGTTATTATTCAGCTTAAAATTGATACAGAGACTATAGATTTTGAAAGCATAAAGACTACATATATTATCATGTTAGTATTTCTAATGCCTTCATTATAAATATAAAGAGTTATTTTGTTTAATTACATAATAAAACAGAAATTCCTTCCTTTTTTTTAAGATTTAAATTGTTCCAATTCAAATATATTATAGCAAATAATTGTATAATTACTACTACTACTACTACTACTATTAGAGAAATAAAAAGATATGCGTCATATTCCTTTTAACAAAACGATCTATTTAATATGTTTTAATAAATAATACATTTCAGACATGCTAAATACTATAATTACTCTAGTCTTACAAATTAAATTTATCAGACTAGAAGAAAGTAAATAATCTTCAATAAAATATAAAGGGATATTTATTAAGTGATAAAAGTATTAAAAGTTTACTTATCATGAACCTTTAAATATTTACATTTCTTTTCTTTGTCGAATGTGTATATATGTATATATATATAAAAAGGTACAAGGGATAGTATAAGATAATTATTATGGTATGCCATAACTACATACAGAATGTCTAATAGATAAATAATATAAATAAAGAAGAAAAAGGGAGGGAGGGAGGAAGATAAAACTGATTATATGTTATAATACAACAATAAATAATAATAATAATAATAATAAAGAATGATTAGAATTCAAAGGTTTCATGGAAAGCATCAAAGTTATGAATAATAGCTTGGTTGACGACGCTTTGAGTAAAGATATCAGAACCACAGGCGTGGGCAAAGACACGTCGATGAGCATTCACAGTCTTGATTTTATCCATCTCAACAGCAATATCAGGACGTTGACCATAAGTAATTCTGAAGCCTTCTAAACCTTCAAAGATATTGGGTCCTTCTTTCATACGTGTCGCAAAGACATTCACCGTAAGGTGGATAGGAGAAATTGAAGTCTTACATTTTTCAACCCAGTAATGGAACATATCCATATAACTGTGAATTTCATCTATGTATATATATAAGAATAAGTATTACTTGATCGAAATAAAATAAAATAAAATAAAATAAAATAAAATAGGTTTTACCAGTAACACGAAGGGACCAAGTTAAATAGATATGGTCAGTAGCAATTGTACGTATACCACGATTTCTTCGTTCAACAATATCCTTGATCATACACAAGGCGGGTGTGATACCGACACCAGTAGCAAAGAGAGCCACGACAGGATAATCTTGATATTGAAGTTGTGGGCCAAAGGGACCATCGATATAGACTTTAAGATTCTTATTATCAGAGGAGGAGGAGGAGGAGGCAGCATTCAAGAGATCCTTTGTCTTTTGCCCAAGTGCTTTAATATGGAAGGTACCGATGACATGACTATCACCTCCGGAAGAGAAGAGATTGTTATTCGCACGACGACGTAAATTAGACAAGTCTGAAGTGATCGGTACATCTGTTAAACTATGAATAGAACCCTTTGAGATATCATGCTTTTTGTGTTCACTATGAACGAAGGAAGGTTCGATCTTGCTTCCTTTGTCTGTATTATTTAAAGAATGACCCACGATACGTTCTTCAATACCTTCTTCACTTGCTTGATCATTCCCAGAGAGACGAAAGTATTCAGAGATCGTAAATGGGTGCCAGTTGCCCCATTCCCAAAGCTTTTTACCATTTAAAATAAAGGCAGCGAAAACGTATTGACCAGGTCTAAAGTAGCGCATTGCCTTGTGTTCAAAGAAGACACGAACGACACCCTCTTGAGAATTAGTTTGTGGAACTACTTCTTCGACACGGACATGACTGGTCTTCATGAACCAAGATTGCCAAGTACGAATCACACGATCAGCAAACCAAAGAATAATACAAGGAATAAAGTAAGCAAAACAGGTATGTTCGTGCCAGCAAGAGAAAATAACTGCTACTATCAAAAAGATAACATGGGACCAGTAAAATATTTCGAAATATCTGCGACGGACCCATTCAATGGAAGTGATAAATATTAGAAGGAAAGCAAACATAGCAATAGATCCAGTGGTGTACTCTTCATTTCTGAAGAGTGCATCTTTTACTACCCATCTTCTTCTATAACCTACAATCCTAATAACATTAAAAATAGAATAAATAAATAAAATTCGAAGATATGTATATACATATTTTTTTTTAAAAAAAAAAGGAAAAAGTTTGGAAATATATACTTACATACGCCAAATAAAATGAGGAAAGTACTCGGCTAAACCAATACGGGATATAATACGATGAAAAGGAATTAATTCTTCAAAAGTTAAACCAGAGATTTTAGGTAGGAGTGAGTTACGTTGAGCCAAAAAGAAAACAAAACCCCAGTTAGCCATACCAATAAAAGCAGCGCGACGATCAAATAAACCAATAGGAGGAATTTCATAAGCTTTATTAAATGTAAATGGAGCAAAGAAAAGAAAGATCAAGTTGATGATAATAAACAAAGTTATACCCAGAACATGTTTAATGGCCATTAGATTAGTAACCCAGGGGATGCGGACCATATAGTCGAGACTCTTCCAGTATTTTGATAGCGGCAGATCTTTAACGACATTATCTTCTTTACCGTTAATTCGACTCTTTCTAACATAGTAAATACGGAGTCTATTTAACTGGTAACCAATACAGTATATTGTAAAGAGACCCCAAAAGAAAAAGGTATATGCCATTCCAGCCTGATGGAACTGAGATGTTGTTCTAATAGTATAAACCATGATATGTATAATTTATAAAATATCAGATATTATATTATTCGTTTATTTTAATATATAACGCAATAAAAAATAATGAATATCAAATTATTATATCTTCTAATTCTCTTAGAGTTTGATATAATATAATAATATATGTATGTATATATATAAAAAAAAGAAATAAAATAATAATAATAAAAAAAAAAGACTCTGGAACAAACATATAAAATTTTTCTTTATATATACAAAAAAAAATAGTTGTAAGGATTTGTTATTACTATTAGCTAAATGAATGCAAGATCCAATCAAACGCGTCTGATTTAAACTAAATTATCTGATTTTAGTCATTTTATCTGATCTCATTCCCCGCGCCTGGGATAAATATAATATTTATTGACTATAAATGACGGGGGTGGGGGATAAAAACAAAAAAAAAAAAAAGGACGGTAATAAACTCAGTTTACTGTATAACCAAAAAAAAAAAAAAAAAAAAGAGAAACATATAATTAAGGCCCGGTAGATTACACTATTATATACGTTTCTGTCTCCGTATGATATTAGAGGAAAAAAAAATTATTTGACATCTTGTAAACTTTAGTATCCGATATAAACTTTTTATAGTTAAGATCTACATAAAGAAAAGAGGAGAACTATATTCAGTTTTAGTTTTAACAGATTAGGATATAAATTTCTTTTGTTTTTATTTTCCTGTTAGATACATAAACAATAAATAAGATTAAAGTTGTACATGGAATTATCAGATCATTCTATTTTATAGCTCTTTTTTTTTTTAAGTCTGAACGGTTAGATTTCCGAAAAAAAAAGTGTACATCTTTTTTTTTTTTTTTGATATTGTGTAATAAGGAACACAAAAAGATATATCAAGTATACGATAAAAAAGGAACTGATACACATACACAAAAAAAAGTATATACAATTTTATAATCCTCGATTATAAAAAATTATGACTGTTTTAGGTAAAATGTTAATATTTGAAAATCTGTAGCAAAGGAATAGAAACTTGTGAATATTCTATCTATCAATTTTTTTATTTTATTTTATTTTATTTTTTTTTAAATGTAAGCATGTATTGCTTTTTTACTTGTAATAATATGTGACACATATACACATTTTATAAATCCGCTTTAAATAATAATAAAAAAAGAAATGAACTCAACTTTATCCACTGATTTTATATGTTAAGCTTCTTTCAAACGTGATATTCGAAACATTATATTAATATATACATATATAAAAAAAATTTTTTTTTTGACGATTAGCCCCGATATACCAGATAAAATATGTAAGTATTAGTTGTACTAAAATGCATATATTAAACACTTGTATTTATTATTTAGATGCTGTGCCTTAAAAAGTGAATGCAAATAATCTATTATATTCATTATTGCAGATATTATATGCATATAGCTTATGATTTACATAACATAGATGAGTATTGATTGAAAAAAAAATAATAATAATTCATTTAAAGAACAGCAAAAAGATCCTATTCCGGTATTTTACAATTTATTTAATAATAAAGGTTAAAAATTCCAAATTAATCTATTTGTGTTATCTTATAATCAGATCGCTTTTTTATCAGAATGTACAAACGTTAATGGCTGATCCAATTTTTTTTTAAATCTGATAAATGATTATTTCCAATTTTTATTTTTTTTTATTTTTATTTTTTTTTATTTTTTTTTATTTTTATTTTTATTTTTATTTTTATTTTTATTTTTATTTTTATTTTTATTTTTATTTTATTTTTATTTTTATTTTTATTTTTATTTTTATTTTTATTTTTATTTTTATTTTTTTTTATTTTTAAAAAATTAGTAGTATAAAACTGAAATGCAAATTATAAATTCAAGTCTTTTAAATAATTGAAGGACACTTAATATTTCACTTTTATTCTTTTCTATCTCCTTATACAATGCTATAGTGATTACATTATTATAAAAGACTAATGTATATATATATTTTTGTGTATACATAAATAAAATGATCCCATTTTATTCTCTTTATACAGTACGATGGTGGTACAGTAATACTAAAAAAAAAAATTCATTTGTAAAGTAAACTTCTTTCTTTATTGTGTTAAAGCAGTTTTTCTCTTCTTATTTTTCCTTTTCTTATTGGTTGATAATGAGTTATTATTATTATTAATAAAAGGCGATTTTCTCTTATTTTGTTGCTCTATTGTTATTGACGAATCATCTTCTTTTCTAATAAAACAGGATACAAAAAATCCATTTATTAAATCTTCTGCAGGAATTGTACGAACTAAGCGATCAGCAAGATCTAAAAAATACAATAAAATTTTTAGATATAAAGAAAGTATACACATATTCTTTTTACCTTTATTTCCTTCCATTTCTTTTGGAAGCCCTCTTCTATGCCAGGTAGATAAAACACTTTCTCGAGGCGCTAATTCAAATTCAGGATGTCTTTCTAACACTGTCTTTACAACATGTTCATTTTCTTCAGGATGAATAGAACAAGTAGAGTAAACAATACGTTTAGCCTTTGGAACTATGTATATGTAGTATATTAGATATTACATTTTCAATTATTTCAGAGACTATTATCTTACATTTCATAGCATGTTCAATAACTGAGATTTGAAATTCTGAGAGGTTTTTTAATCTTTCCTCTTGAGTTGTTGCTTGTTCTTGAGTATTAGCTAAAAAAAAAAAAAGAATAAGAATAAAAGTTCAGATTAATCTAGTCATGGCCTTATTCCTTAGTTATACCTCCATTTTCATCATCATTGTCATCTACAAGATGATCTAATCTACTAATAATGCCTGATCCAGAACAAGAAGGATCCAATAAAAGATATTCAACCTGGTAAAATAAATAAATAAATATAAATAGTCATATTATTTCCTCGTATCTCTGACTTACATTAGAAAATTGTGTATCAAGGGGATCTGCGTCAAGAAAGGAACCATGAACAGGTGTAATATCTGATAAAAAAAAAGTATTTAGTCCCCCCCCTTATATTTATCTATATTGCCCTGTCTACTTTACTTTTACATCCAGCTTTAGTTGTTAATTTTTTTAATAATCCCAAACGTCGAGCATCAAGATCAAAAGCCCAAATCTTGCCTGTATTTTTCATTAAAGCAGAAAGATGAGATGTCTTATTACCTGGTGCAGCGCAGGCATCAATGGCATGCGCTCCTTGTGGTACCTGACAGACATGTGCAGGGAAACAAGATGCTTTATCCTGTATATATACCAATATTAGATCAAGTTATAATATGTATTTACTTCAAGTCTGCATATATAATTACTTGTAATATAATGTGTCCTGAAACATAGAGAGGATGTGCATGAAAATCTGTCTTGGGGTGAAATATAAGCATGTCATGAAGATGAGCATCAACACAAAATTCTTTTGGCCTAAACAAAGTATGAATAAGTCATTATTTTATCTTATTTGTTAGAGTCTAGTTTACTTTAATATATCAAGTTTCTCTGGATAATTAATTAGCACATAGCCTTCCTTTTGGAATGTTTGAACTGCTTTCTCTACAGATAATTTATGCTCATTCACTCGAACATATCTTGGAATAAGCACTATAATAATAAAATATATCCATAAAGTAAGCTATATGCTTTTCATGTTTATTCTTTATCTATTTATTATACCTGCATTTTTTACTTTTTCACTTACTAAGTCATCATTAGAAAGTACGCCTCTTTTGACCTTGATTTTAATTAGTTCAGCTTTTAGTCGGCTTTGATGGCGCATTACGCATTGCTTTAAAGGCACATCGTTACGGACAGTGATGCCTCGTTTAGTAAATAATAAATCATGTATTAAAACAAGTGCGAGTGATCGTTTTAACTTGAAAAAAGAAAAGAAAAGAAAAAAAAAAAAACGTCAACATATACACATATTCTATAAAGGTTTTCTTTTTCTATACCTTTTTTCAATTTCACAAATTTTAGTAGCATCAATGATTTCATTTAAAACTTGTTTATCTGAAAAATAAAAATAGATATGTGTATAAGATGGATCTATTTTATTTTATTTTCTTTTATAGATCTACCACAACTAATTTACATTTTAAAGTTTCACAAACAAGAGCATACATCTTTTTTTTATCCCATACTTTCGGATCGCCAATGACTAATCCTTTAATAGTTCCTTCATGTCTTGCTAGTTTGTCAAGAATGCGACCTGCATGTTGGTAGAAATTCATAATGAATTCACTGGTTTCAAAAAAAAAAAAAAAAAAAAAAAAAAAAAAATTAAAATCATCTTGACTGCGTTTTTTATTATAAAAAATGAAATATTGCTTACAAAAAAAAAAAAAAAAAAAAATTAAAACTTCCTCTTATTGTCCTTTCATATTGCAGAATTGATAAATATTATAAATTAATTATTACTGATTTTTAGCTTGACAAAAGTGTAAAGTAATAACGATTAATCGCAATAATTACATGTTTTGAAATAAAACGTATATTGTCACATTGATTTTATCTATCTCCTCTCCCTCTTTTTTTTGTTTTAAAGAAAAAAGAGCAACTTCTTATTATATGATATTTTAGGTGTAGAATTGCTCAATTCAATGATTCTATTTGTTTACTGAATCATGCATTGTAAATACTAATTCAATTATAAGCCCATGATTAAAGACACATTACCTTCAACTATTTACAAAACAGCACTCTTATAAATCGTTTATTTTATCTGTTCACACATTTATATACCATCCCTCATAGTTTATACCTATTGTCGTTCTTATCTAATAAAGATAAAAGAATAATGTCAACATAAATCAAACAATTTGCATTCAAACTCAGTTCAGTGATGACATACATCCTAATAAAAAAAGGGGGGTCCATCAAAGTGTGGGGCAAAATAAAACTATCTCTTTTTTTTTTTTTTTTTTTTTTTTTTGCTGAGAGCATTTACCAACTTACTTTAATATTTTTATCTTTCTTTTTTCTTATATAAAAAAAAGGAAATACATATATACAAAATGGCATTTCGAGCAGCTACTCAACGTGCATTGAATACACGAGCCATGATTCAATTAACTCGTCAACCTATCACTTTAACAGCCGTTCGTCCTCAATCAACAATAAATACTGGAGAAATTCTTGAAGATCCTCAAATTGGCGATTATCCCAACTTGCCTCGTAAATCTGCTCAAGCAAGAGGTCCTTATGGTTGGTGGGATCCACAAGACAAACGTAATTTCGGCGAAACTGTAATGATTATATTTTAAAAACAAAAAAAAAAAAAAAGTAAATGACTTAAACTCCAATTTTTTTTTTGCCACTTTATATATTATAGGTTCATGAAGAAGATGAATTGTTTGGTGTTTGGGCACCTGATCTTCATCATTATAGCCCTTATAAAGCAGCTGCACAATTAGCATTAGCTGCCTCTATTTTTGTCGGTTTTACTGGTTTAATTTATATGACTTATCCTGAAAAACCTGCAGTAATATATATATATATATATATACACATATATTATGTATGCGTATATAGTTTTATGGACTAATTAAAATGTTATGATTAGGTTCCACGTACTTATCCTTATAATGGATTAGCAGAAGAATTTGGTGCTCGTGAAGGAGATATTCGTCCTCGTGGAGTAAAGTATTCCCTTTGTTTAGTAAAATGATATATTAATAGTTATTTTGTTATAATAGGCTCGTGTAGGAAAAGACGATCATGAAGAGTAATCAGATTTTTTTTTCGATATTTTATAATAAAATTGTGTTTTCGTATAATAAAGATGACAACTAAATTGGTTATAAAATAATTAGAGAGAAATGGGGTGTGTGTATATAATTCGGATTTCAATTCTTTCTTCTTTTGTTTCTGAAAAAAAAAAAAGAAACTTCTGTTCAGAAAATTATTGTTTTTATTTATTTTATCCTCTCCTTTTTTATTCTTTTTTCTTTTCTTTTTTTTTCCCTTTAATTAAAAATGAAAATTATTCCAATTAGTGTCCTCAAAGATAATTATTCTTATATTCTTATTGATGACAAATCAAAAGAGGCAGCTGTTATTGACCCAGTTGAACCTATTAAAATATTGAATGTCATTAGTCAAACAGGGTCCAAGTTAACAAGGTAGATAAAGATAGATAAAGATAAAATCATGAAAGAGAACTAATAATCAAGTAAATTTTAAAAAAAAAAGCGTCTTTACAACACATCATCATTGGGATCATGCAGGTGGAAATATTGAACTAATAGGTAACATAATTAAATAGATATACATATATTTTGAAAATGCTGTAAAAAAAGAAAAAAAAAAAAAAAAAGAAAAGAAAAAATAAATAAATAAACAAAAATTAACAACGCACGGACTCATGTAACACACATCTATATACGTACACATAATGTAGCCAAAAAGCCTGGATTAGCAGTTTATGGTGCAGATGCACGTATACCAGAAATTAATTATGTTTGCAAAGATCATGAAGAATTTAAATTGGGTTCCTTAACAATTACACCACTTCATACACCGTGTCACACAAAGGGTCATGTTTGTTATTATGTTGTAGATCCTACTACAGGTGAAAAAGCAGTATTTACTGGCGAGTAAAGTAATAGAGTATGTGTACCGTATAGAATGTTATACTAATATATATTTTATATATATTTTACTATTTACAGCACTCTATTTATTGGAGGTGTAGGTAAATTCTTTGAAGGGGATGCTAGAGACATGTATAGAATTTTGTTTCATGTACTTTTGAAATTACCTGATGAAACATGGGTTTACTGTGGACATGAATATACAAAAAATAATTTAAAGGTATGTATATATATGTGTGTGTATATATATGTGTATATGTATATATATATATGTGTATATGTATATGAATATATGTATACATATATATATATATAAGTGAGTGATAATGGATATGAGTAAAATAGAAAAAAAAATTGTATATGTAATGTAAGTTATATTAGTTTGCATTGACTGTTGAGCCTCATAATGAAGCGCTTATTGGAAAATGGAATTGGTGCCAAGATAAACTGATTACAGTACCTTCAACTATTGGACAAGAAAAGATGTATAATCCTTTCCTTAGAGTTAATGAACATTCATTACAAATTGTAGCAGGAAAATCAGATCCTGTTGAAGTATTACATACTTTAAGAGAAATGAAAAATAATTTTTAAAATTTATAAACAAAATATATACAAATATTTATTCTTTTAATTAGTAGAATTCATTAAATGCTCATGCTCTTCATCTTTTTCTTGTTCAATTAAAGGTTTATAAATGGAAGGATTATCAGAATAGACAGTAGACCAACGACCTAGTTTAGGTCTCTTTCTATGCGAACTCTTATTTTCCTTTGTCTGAGTAACAACAAGTTCATCGTCACTATGACATGTTGTTGCTTTATGAGGATGATTTGCTTCATCGGTTCGATACATTTCGTATTCTATACGTTCTGTTGATAATGCCTGTAATCTTCTTTGTCGTTCAATGTTCTCTTCATTCATCCTAAGGGCCTCATCGTCATGATATCGATTCCAAGACATGACTACATCATCACTTTGATTATGTAAAGGAGGAGGTGGCATAGGAGGTGGCTGATATGTGGTGCCTCCAACAAAATCTGTTGATAGATGTGACTGAGATAAATCCAATGGATGAATGACTAGAACTGAGTTTCGATTTGAAGCAGAGGAAAGCATTGATTTTCGATTATCTAAATTTTTCTTAGCACGTTTACGTTTTGCAATTTCATCAAATAGTCTTTGACGTTGTTGATACATGGCACTTGAGATTTCTTGTTTCTCATTGCTGTCGTCGTTGTCGTTGTCGTCATCTTTTGGTAAAGGGAAATCAACTTTATGATAAGTAATAGAAGAGACTCTTTTATCTCTTCTTACAGACTCATCTTCATCAGACCATTCATCTTTAAAGAGATCTTTTGTATTTTGATGTGTTAATTTACGTTGATAAGTAATAATAACGAGTAAACAAAGAAGCTATATACGTGTATACACGCATATTATAGGTTAGGTTAGGTTAGGTTAGGTTGGACCATCTATTAGACTTGTTTAACATGGGCTTAAACTTACAGAAAATAGACTATAAATAACCCATGAAGTTAATCTTTCAGTTGCAAAACGTTTCCATTGATTTGAACAGTGGATATAGATTTGCTTCATTTCAGATGTATCTTCATATCCCAAGGACCACCAAAAGAGTCGAGATGAATCTCGTTGTAGACAACTGTCCATTAGAATAGGTCTATAAGAGATAAATAGTAAAAGTAGATGAACAAGTCCAATAACAAAGTGAATACATAGAACGATAACAAGTCCAATCATATAAACTGTGAATCCTCCAAAATTTCTCTATACAATAGTTTTAATAAAAAGACAAGGATAATGCTGCTATAAACATAGACAAATACCATTGAATTAACAATAAGTCCATATATACTCCAAACACTAATGATACCCATAAATATTAAATAAGTATAGAAATCTCCCATTTTCAATTCCTTAACCCAATCTATACCATGCAAAAAAAAAAAAAAAAAAAAAAAAAAAAAAAAAAAAAAGCAAGAGTTGATATTAAGCTTCTTTCTTTTACTGTCCACGTATTTTATACCTTTTAAAAAGACCAAATCTATTGCAATCAATACAGGCCCTATTGCCTATACGTTATGCATATTAATATGTAGTACAATAATAGACTATGTTACTTACTATAAGAAATAGAATAGCAATATAAGTTAATAAATGTGAGGTCAAGCATCGACTAAGCCAGTTATTCATTACAAAAAGAGATATATTTATATATATTTGTATATAAAAGAACAAATATTTAAATATGTAATATAATCTGCTATTGTTATTATTTTTTTTTTTTTTTTTTTTTAAGAAAGAAAAGATGGCTTAATGATTGACGGTGTTTCAGTCATTTTACAATCATTTTTACACTGACATCTATTTCTCATTATCCATACAAATATACATTTTTTATTACTACTTATTAATCAAGATCTTCGTTAGGTTTTGCTCCACCACCTAGTAAGGCGTTTGTAGGAACAGGACCATTATTGCCTCCAAATAAATTAGCCATCATCTCTTGAAGCATATTGCCTTGTTTTCTAGGTTTGGGAATATTGAAAAATACAAGTCCAATATCTTGAATAAGCTAAAGTATTTTACTCATTAAGTATCCTTATTTATCATGTAACTTTTGTTTTATCTTATTTTTACCTCAACAAAGTTATTATCACTTTCATAAAGACCTGCATATTTTGATTTAAGTTCCATAAACAAGTCTTTTCCATCCCTTTGAACTGTCAATAAGACTAATTGTGTAAGATTAATCCAAGAATCATTATAGATGATGTAAGGTGTGGGTGCATCTGCAGGTGCACGACGAACTTCAGATTTGTCTGCAACACCATGATTATCAGCTTCAATAAAGCTTGTATAAGCTAAATTAGCATGACGAATGTTTTTTTGAGCCAAAAGTCTATTCATAATTTCGGTTAATAAAAGTGAAAAGATTTACATTTTTCTTCTTTATATACTTTACTGGAAGACAATACGAGCAAGATATATTCCTTTAAGTACAATTTTTTCTTCTGTAGCCCATGCATAAGCAACTTTACCAATGACTTCAGCGCTATGATCAGTGCCTAAAAGTAAATGATCCTCTGCTAAACTATATTTTTTCTCTAATAAATATTGAGAAGGTTATTTCTTTACTTGTTAATTTTGAATTGCTTTTTTTTTTTATTTTTCTTTACCATTATAAAACATAGTGCCAACAAAGTCATGTAATTCAGGATCACCTTCTGGATAACTACCTTCTTCCTTTGTCCATCTATTAAAAAAATGGTTAGTAATAAATTCTATATATAAAATCATTGAATTCTTGTTTTTTTTCAGATTTACCTGAAAGCATTACTAATGAATGTCTTACGACCAACTTCATTGACTGGAAAAAGGTTCAAAATCTCAACAATTCGATCTTTTTTTTTTTTTTTAAAAAAATAAAATAAAATAAAATAAATATATTATATAAAAAAGAAGCTTTTCTTTATTTTCGTAATTACCCAAAGAAGCTTCATCAACAGGCAAATGGGCTAATCTATATGTATCAAGCATATAATTAGCTAAATCTGAACCAGAACCGTTTTGTTTATGTTGGAATAATAAAATAGCACCATCATGAAGTAAACGAATTGTATCTACATATTTAGCTTGTTTGTTATATCTACCAAAAGATTTTAGTTAATAAATGATTAAGAAAAAAAAAAATACGCGTTATGACTCGATAGTTAACCTTCTAGCAACAGTTCTGTACATTTGTTGTGCTTCATAATAATTGCCAGCATGAACTGATTCTCTTAGTTTTTGAAGTGTCTTTTCTACACCTTTACTTGTAGCCATTTTAATTATTATTATTGTTTTCTGAGAAAAAAAAAAAAAAAAGATAGAAGGCACAACAAAATATACTTTTTTTTTTTTTTTTTTTTATTAAACTCTGTCATTTAATTATCCAATGAAATAAAAAAGAAATTTCAGTAACAAATTAACTTTAGAAAAAAATAAATAAATCATGCATTGGTATTTGAACTAATAAAGAATTCAAAAGGAAAATGTTTTACGAAATCAAATTCTTTAACTTCCTTTTTTTATTTTTTTTTGTTTTTTTTTCTTCTTAAAAAAAATGCCATCTTTATTAGCAAGGACAATTGCATTATTAAATAATAACGCAAAATCTACTTCTAATAATAGTTTCTCTTTTGAAAATGAATCAAGAATATCACTTGGTGAAGAAATAGATATTGATACTTTATCTAATATGAATATTATAGAACATTACCAAATGAAGAGACCTCAGTATGGGATGCCTCCTATAAAACAAGAGCGTCAGTTGATGCAGTTTCCTACAAAATTATCTCTTCAGAAGAATGACAATCAGGAAAGACAATCACAATTAGTAAACAAAACGCCATCTAAACCAAAACTGACACAAAACAAAAAGACGTTATCAAAGCAACTTCAACCAATAACCACTTTACCCTCTCACCTTCAGCCATTTACACATCAAACAGCTTCTCATACTACTACTACTACTACTACTACTATTCATACTCCTCCTCTCACTCCGTACCCTACCATTTGGAAGGCTGCTGAACAAGGGGATATAAAGGCTCTTCAACACCATATTCATACCACGAAACTTGATACTGCTATCTTACTGAATCTTCGTGATCCAGAGACAGACTGTACTCTGTTACATCTAGCCATCTCTTCTCCACATTATTCCCATAACCCACAGCTCTTGCTTCAAGTCCTCCAATTGCTCCTTCAACATGGTGCTGATGTGACCCTTAGCAATATCTATAACGTTCAGCCCATTCATATGATGGCTCATCATCATCGGAACACTGCCTATGACTTGATCACATTAGCCTTGGATAACGGTGCTAATCCAAATGCTCGTGATGGTGACGGTTGGACCCCGCTTCATTACATCACCCGTTTCTGTGGCCCCGCAGATCGTCAACGGTTAATTGATTTACTCCTAAGTCGTGGCGCTGACCTTAACCTAACCGATTCACACCACAAGACACCCCTCTTTGGCCTATTAGCGAATGATGACGATGTGATCTCCCTGAGTGTCTTGATTCAGCGTGGGACGGATCTCTGTCAGAGAGGTGAGTTCCTAGATCCCGTCCAGAGAATCACACGAAGGGGTACAGTTCTGTTACAAGCAGCTCGATATGGTCGTTTCGGTTGTTTACAATTCTTGATCTGTAGCTCTATCTCAGTTCTACAGTTGCGTCGTGCTGTCAGTCGCGATGAACTTACCTATGCTCTCGCTTTAGTCAACGAACGAGCCGCTAGGGATCCTAATGAAGGAAAGAAATTTGAAAAGATGCTGATCTTATTACAAGGATTAGAGGATAGATTCATGAAGGACCCCCTGTCGTTTTTGAATTGTCAGAGACCCCACTTACAGAAGAAGAAGAAGAAAGAACCTATTACTACTACCGTTTCGTCCTCCATGTCAGTCAATGGAAGATCCCTGAAATCAATGCTCGGTAGCATTCATAGAAGGAAACCAGAGGAAGGTGTACTCGTTGACTCTAAACCCTCTGCTAGTAAAATATTAATGAGAAAAGTAAGTCGTATGATGATACGAAGATCAAAAAGTGTTGAGACACAAACCATACAGCAACCATCAGATAATACTATTTTTACTGATCTTAGAGCAGAAGATACCTCCACAAAATAAAACCTTTATATATATATATAACATAGGATGCTTTATTATTATTATTGTTAAATAAATAAATAAATAATGTATACGTTTACTAATTGCTAATCAATTTACATGCAAGAATACGATCAGGAATATAGGGAGAATATCCTAATTGCCAATCTGTTTCTTCTTCATTCTTAGTTATCTTTCTTTCCCATCTAAGTTGGTCCAATGTCCTTTCTATAATCTCAGTATTGTTATCTTTCTCTTGCCTTTTATCATACGCTCTTTCGGCAAGACCCCAAAGATGGTCTTTCACTTTTCGTGGTCTTAGGATCGTCTTTTGATTTTTATCAATACCCTGAAGAATTTCTCGCAAGTCATCAGGACCATAACATTGTCCAATATCATAAATAGCAATAATTTGAACTATCAGTATACCTTGAACATGATCTTTACGCCATCTTACTTTAAACCCATTCCAAACCAGTGTATCATCAATCACTTGACTATACGTTATTTCTTTCTGTCCATGTAAATCATCTTGAACTAATACCTCCTTGCTCTTTAAAGATAAAAGTGTTGCGCATAAAGGATTATCTTCCCTATAAAAAAAAAAAAAAAAAAAAAGGAGAGAAAGAGAGAGAGAGCGAAAGAGAGAATGAGTAAGTCTTTTTACTTTCTTTTCTTTTTTTTTTTTTTTTTTTTTACTTGAATTCAATCTGAATAGGTCTTTCTAAATTTTTTTTACATATCAATTGATAATCTTTTAGAAACTGTAAAAATAAATTGTGAATACAAGTGGATGTTAACTTTACAACACCTAATTCAGTAATCTGATCTCTATGCTGCTTTGTTCCACGACTATAAAACCACAAGTCATTTTTATTTAATGACAATAAAGCTAGAATGGTAGTCGTTTGCTGAGTATCATTGCGATTAGATAATAAATAATCCTCGATACGAATATGATGCGTATTTTTTAGCCACTCTTGACGTTGTGTATAATTAGACTGTATCTGTTGTAACGAACATTCAATTGTCTTGACTTGATTTAGAGTTGAGGGCAGAGGATGTACAAAGGACGTCGTCAATAGGCGCTGTTGCTTTTGTTGCATATGAGGATGATAAAGTGGTTTCGTCTGCGACTGCTTTCTTTTTTGTGGAATAAATAAATCTGGAGAGTCTAAAATTGATTGAGGGATAGTATCATCATGAACTGGATTCATTTTAAACGTAGATTGTTGTTGTTGTTGTTGAACAAAAGGACTGGTATGGGTGATAGCTGTATGTACATTATCGATTTGCCATTTTGAAATAGATGTTAACGTTTGATGTTCTTGATCTTGATCTGATAATAATTCGTCTATTTCTTCTTCTTCACTATGATCACTCATCATTGAAAAGCTCCATTCATTCCTTTTTGGATTCTTGAATAATGATGATACTGTATCATCAGCTACTACAGTCTCTTGATAAGAGTCTGTCTTTGTATCGATTGATTTATCTGAGACGCTTGAGGTTATCTGGTTTGTTTCATTATTTTGATAAGGCTCTATCTCTTTGTTCGAATGTGCTACTGTATCTTTCATAGATTCTTTATTTGGCTCGAACGGTAATGTACTCTGCCTTAAAGAAAAGAAATCAGTATTGGCGGGATAGGCTTCATTTAGAATCCTTTCGATGAGATTATATACAAGTTGTTTATTATGTAATAAAATTGTTGTTTTATTAGGTTCAATATTGACTAAGTATAGCAGACAGAATGTTAATATATATACATACATATATATATATATATGTATATGCTTCTACTATACCATCATATTCATTAGGGGCTATCTGAATATCAAGATAAATAAACGGGTTCTTTCTTCTAGTTATTTCTGATGACAATCCAATCGCTTGACGATATCTATCTCTAATCATAGATATAGCATATTTTAATTCAGATTTTACATAATTGATTGGTCTTTGATTAACGTAGACAAAGATTCGATCTTCCTTTAAAATAACAGAGGGATCTGTAACAAAGTCAGGTTTATGAATCATTTACTTGTTTGTGTATAGTATTTACCTGAATTTGATTTGGGTATAATCATATCTATAGTCAATGTAGGATGCTGTGGATCAGTTTCGATATATCGATTTACCATTTGGCGTAATTGAAAACCATAAAGGATAGCCAACGTATCTTCAATAGAATGCGCAATAGGCCTGGTCCAAACTTGGTTTTGAGTATTAAGAATGTTATAAAATGAAAATCTAATTTTGGGATAGGCAAGTGCATATTTGATTAACAACTCTTGTTGTATCTTTTTTATATGTTGTAAAGCATTCTTAGTAGCTAATTGTCGTCTTACAGGTAAATTATAAAATGGCTTATATACAGTGATCATTGTCCCAGTTGTAGGAAATACGTTTATAGGTTTATCTCTATAATAACGAAATTTATTAGATACTAGTTTTGTTGTTATATATACAAATATATATATAAACCGTATTTATATTACTTTGAGAGGTCTCCCTTTTTATTGATCTCATATTGTCTACCAATAACATCTGTTTTTGTTCTTGTCGTAAGTACAACTTTGTCTGAGATGGTGCATATAGAATTAAGTGCTTCACCACGAAAACCAAAAGTCAAGGTAGATTCTAAATCTTCAAATGTGGTCAATTTAGAAGTAAAATGTCTCTTTGCTACATAAAGTCTATCTTTTTCTTCAATTCCATCACCGTTATCTTTTATCTATAAAATACATGGAATTGATAAATATCGTTTTATTTACAGTTCACAGTTAATTACTTGTATTGATTCGATTCCATTATTAATAAAAACTAATTCAATTGAAGTTGCATTGGCATCAATGGAATTTCTTTAAATTTAAATGTTAATATATATATATATATATATATATCATAGTATCTATTTTGACTCATTACTCTAATAGTTCTTTTGTTATTGATTCTATATCAACAATAACTTGACCCGAATGTAAATTTCTTACAGTGGCTTTATCAAGTACTTTAATTGTCATTTAAAGAAGAAAAAGAAAAAAAAAAAAAAAAAATCAAATATGACAATCGGGCTTTTATTTTCAAATTTAAGCCAATTGTTTCCAAATAAACAAATATCAAATGATTAGAAAAAGAAAAAGGCATAAGGAAGCTAACAAAATAGTGTAATTTATTATATAATAAATAGAGTAAGATATCTGCAACTATCTTATGGCTGTATTAGAAATTAGCAACAATAATAAGAGAAAATAGTATGTATGTGTATGATGCATGTCACCACTGTCCTCCTCTTTGCTTTATTATCGTTTAAGAAAAGATATTTTTAAGCTTTTTTTTTCTGGTATTGTATTATGTTACACATATAAATTCTGAAGAAAAAAAAAAGCATTACAATGTAAGCGAAGTATTACAAGAATGTTTATGATCTACTTTTGTAACATAACATTATTATTTGCATAAGAAGCAAACTATTATTATATTGTCTATAAATAACGTCATCATTAATAATAATAGTCTTTGTTTCAATGCATCATTTTGTATGTTATAAAACAATTCTTTGATAAAAACGTCATACGATTATATAACTAGCTCTTTTCTTTTTTTTTTTTTCAAGTCGTGCTTTAATTTTGCTTTGAAAAGGCATCATAGGAATAATTTTTGGAGTGCACATAGCCACTTATTTGGAACCAACCAAATAAATGCGGGGAAAAGAAATTAGGAAAATTTTTATTTTTTATTTTTTTAAGGGCAGGGTATTTATAAGAAGGTTAAGTTTATCACACTTTTTTTTTTTTTTTTTTTTTTTTTTTTTTCTCTTATAATATAAAACATGATGGAGTATCAATTAGCACATCCTTCCACTTGCTGTTATTGCAAACATGATGAATTAACAGAGTCTTATATATTTGGTGAAGATGCACAACAACAACGTGTTAATGTATTTGCCGCATCATTAGAAACAGAAGAAGCTATAGTTATACCTCATCGATATATTTATTTTTTACATTTAATGTCTTCTCCTGATTTATCTGCTTATTTATCTTCTTCTGATATTGTTTATGATGATATTTATGATTTACCTATTCATTTACAAAGACTTGTCATGGAAGCAAAAGAAGAACTTATGCTGCTAAATAACGAACGGTCTGCTTTAGAAAGACTTGAACGAATACGAACTTATATTTGGAAGCGTTCTAATCACGATTTTTCTAATTTAATGACTACGTTAAATGAGCTTGTTTCTGACGACGACGAATTAAATCATCTATTAGGCATTTAATTATGAAATGATATCTATTTCCTCCCTTACACATGAATCAAATGATACCGAATAATCATATTCTTTTTTTTTTGTTTTTCCTTTTTTATATATTATTTTTCATTGAAGTGTCGAACATTATTCTACTTTCTAATAGTAGAATTGGGTGAGGCAGTGAAATACAAAAATAATAAATATCTTTAATCATAAATTTCGTAGCGATTTTATAAATAATTTTTGATTTAGAATGGACCTTCTTCTAATGGAGAAGCGGGAATCCATAAAGGGTGCAGGTAAGGCGAGGAGGGGATGATTTTGAGACCCAATAAAATATTCAAAAGTTAAACCACACGATCCAGCAAATTAGACAAAATAAGGAATCAATTTGAAAAAAAAAAAAAAAAAAAAAAAAAAAAAAAAAAAAAACACTATTGCAACTGTCATAAATTAATATCTGATGGATAGTAGTTCCGTTCTTGATCAACAAAGTTCCTTAAATCTCTCTTACTTGACAAGCATTGAAAATCAAAGATTTATAAAGATTGATTTAATATAAAGAATCTAATAAATATTTATTTATTTATTTATTCGTATACCTACGAAAAAGTTCTAAATTCATTAATATTCAGAGAACAAACTTCACCGAGTTTCTCTTTTAGATGATACTTGTTCATTTTTTTTTTTTTTTGCTTGGATCAACCTTTTAGCTTCTGCATAAAAGTGTAAAATAAAAGACGAAAAGAGAGAGTGGTTTCTTATAAAGGAGTGATAAATTAAGGTATGAAGAACTAAATCAATTTAAACTGATCTATGGTATATTTACATTATTTCTAGGGTTGAGGATATATGTTCTATTCAAGATAATGCTTTGCAGGTTTGTTATAATTGTAAATAGATAGCTAGCTACTAGCACAATTGCTTGCTATTTCAGTATCTGTTATTGTCATTATATTATCATTCTTGGAATATAATATATCTGCTTACTATTATCATTATACCCTTAAACTATTATTTTACTTGTTTAGATTGATTAAATACACTGTATCACGTATTCAAGTTATATATTGTATTAGTTATGATGCAGGTTATTACTCTTTTTGAGTATTGATATTTTAGCTTCTGTATTTCTAGATATTTAGATACATGTATTTGTAATTTATATAACTTGGGAGTTTAATGTTATAACGTCATCTCTTGTTATTCAGATTTAGTTATCAGACATATTCTATCACACGAGATTCTTTCTTTGTTCTCTGGTTCAGATACTATTTTATTTTATGTCTTTAAAAAGGGGTAAATAAATACACTATAAATAAGTCATTATGATTGGAGTTTGTATTATAAACAATTATCATAAAAATAAATCTGTACTTTGTTCTTCACTTTTTTTTTTTCCTAAATTAAATCCTTATTTTTTGTCTAGTTTGCTGTATATCGTGTGGTCTAACATTGAATATTTTATTTTTTTGAATCGTCTCATTATTTTTTAAAAACTGCAGTGAAAATACTATAATAACCCAATAGGGTTGACTTCCAGGTGATGCCCCTTCGACTATGTCCTTACTATCTATATGAAAACTTTACTCATGAACATTCGGTTCAATATCTTCATATGCACTGTCGGCTTGATATGCCTCTAAAGAAATCAAAGTCCCTGCAACTAATTTCTTCTTGGTTAGTTTCTTGACCAACTATCTGTATCATTTTACATTAAATGGACTACCTGTTTCATCAAACGCTTCCTCTCCCTCCTCCCGTTAATCCTGATACCAAGTTAAAATATTAGTTATTCTTGTAATAGACTGGTATATTTATACTGTTTCAGATTTCTTCTTTTCTTCCACCTTTTTTTTTTCTCTCTTGACTCCTAAAAGGTCTTTATCACCTTCTCTCCCTCTCTTTTGGGCCTGATTAAGGCAATACAGCATAATAAAATCGCTACGTATTCATTGGCCATTTTTATTTTCTTTTAATCGTACAGTAAGCGCAACACTAATGGGCGGTTTTTGTTAAATTTAAAAGGGTGGCTTTATCTGGCTATATTTATATACATATATACATTTATATTTATGAGGATGGGCAGGGAAGAATTGTTGATAAAGAAGGGGTATGATAGGATGGATTGGGAATAAAAAGTAGACTCTTATCATCTATAAATGCTAAAACCCGTCTTAAGCTTTATTGTAAAAAGCAAGGCTCAGGGGAAAAATCAACTGATGAAGACTTGGATGTTGACATGAAAGAAGCTAGTATGAAATATTCGCATGACCATAGTTGGCCTTTTTTTTTTAATAAAAAAAAATCGTTAAAGCAAGTTTAATATTACTCCAAATAACATAGACATAGAAGTTAATACTGTTTTAAATGCAAAATATAAGGAAAGAGAAAAATAGAAAGGACAAGTCTGTGAAAGCTCTGTATAGTTCATAATATTATTTCTTTAGTGCCTGAATACTCTAACAATGACTGTTATTAAAGCTGAATGTTGTAGAATGAATGATATGCTGTGATATACAATGCACTAGTTTTATTTGAATAAACTCTTTATTATGTAATAAATGATGGTTTATTTCTATCAACTTAGTTGTAAAGACAACTACAATTATAATAAATATATTTACAAACTCTGGAACTCTTCCAGGTATCTCAACTTTTTTTTGTAATTTTGTAATTTCAATTGATAGTTTTTCGATTTCTTTTTAACTTTTTTGTTACTTTGAATTTTGCATTTTCGATATCAATATTCAGTTCATCATCGGATGTATTTATTGTGGCATTGGTGGGGATTATTTCGCTTGGGCCATAACGGGCAACGGCATAACACTCTTGCAGAACTAATGATCCTCGCCTGTATTTAGAAATTAGACAAAAAAAAGAAAGGTTATAGCTTTTATTTCATTATTATTTTGTCATGATATAAATCATTTACATAGGTTACAGGTTGATTTTCCAATTAAACTGGGATTTAATACAATGTCTTCAATTCTTGAGCATACAACTTCATTTTGTATGTTGTAAATATAATAAAACATGGCAGCATCAGTTCCAGTTGCGAAATGTACTAACATGAAGCTACTTCAAGTTAGATCTATGTAAGGGCTTTATATTACTTAGTTTTAGCTTTTTACCAATTATCTTCTTTCTTTTTTTTTTTTTAATAACGTGTAAAGGTTTCACCAAAGAGCATTCAACGCCTCAGCGTGAATTTGAATTCGGCCCATCCTCCCTCAATTTCCACCTTCCTTAACCAGCCTGGTCCCAGTTAGGTGTGCCGTACTTCATCTGGCTGGCTTCTACCTTGTGTCTTGTTTATGTTCCCCGCCTTACGGATCTAGCCCTGCTTTATTCTGTTGTTACCTCTGTTCGCTATGGGTTTTGATACCATTTGTCTCTTGGTCCAGTCTCTCTTTACCCATAGCAAATAATGATCCATTGATCGCCTGCACTAGATGGGCATACTAATAGAGATATTAATAAATATACATATACAAAAAAGCTTAGTCTTCAATATCTCACCACAAATACTCTTCAGGGAATCTCCAGCTAATTGGACATGACAGTGTCTGTTTAAACAAGTAGAACACATAATGATACTGAAATATTTTATAAAAAGTAGACTCAGTTAAAGCCGCCCTTTTGAGTTTAAAAAAGCCGCCCAATTAATGTTTCGCTTACTGTTATTATTCCTTGTTTAATGCTTGAGTGTGTATTTTTATATATTTCACCCCTCCCCCCCTCAGGCTGGCAGCTTCTATTATTATTATTTCTAACAGGATAATTACTAGTATTGGTGTAAATCTAGCTTGTACAAACAAGGGTTTATAAAGCTCTATATTTAGGAGGAAATTCTATGTATATACACACACACACACCTTATATCTTTTTTTTTTATCATTTTATCATATATAATATACAGTTTATTCTATTACAAAAGAATTTTTATTTGTCCTTTGCTATTATATATACATACTATGTCAGCCAATTATTTTTCTTTTTTTTCTTCTTCACTGATTTGTTCTTCAATCTCTCTTTCTACTAGTCTTGCTCTTCTACACCAACATCTTCTTCTAGTAAATGTTTGCATATTAGCTGTACCACTCATTTGTTTCCATGCATTATTTCCATATTCCCATCCATGATGATCTACTTTCCCTGACATTTCGCCTGTCATATCCACCCACCAATCACCATCTACCCAACTCCAGACCTTATTTATCGTCTTTTTTACACCATGTTGTACATAACTTACAACTGTAGGTTCTGGTAATTCAAATTCTTCTTTTGGTGGTATTGGTTTAAGTTGTTTATCTGTCCATGAACCTCTTTCACTGGGCATCATATTGGTAGTCCAGTTGACTCCAAGCCACCATCTCTGATAGAATACATTTACATGATGAGAATTAATGTTACTAAATGATTTTTTTTTTTAATACCTGATTCTCATAAACTTCAAATTGAAATATCATTTCACTTCTTGTTCCTTCTTTTGTCTTTTCCTGTTCAATATGTTCAATTATTTCAATTGCCTTTGATTTTTCCTTTTTAGCACGAATTAAAAGTGTTGATATCCATTCTTTTACTCGCTGTCTTTTAGAAAGCTTTTTTCTTTGATATCCAAATAAAGTGGATACAATAGCTATACCATAGGCCCATACTGCTGCTATACAGTGTCTAAGTATGATATTTTTTTGAATGGCTATCCAGATAACGTGTGCGCCTGGTGAATGCACCACCAACAGGAAGGTACCAAAGGAAGCTAATATGATGCGTGCACTTAACCACCAGCATAGGAATGCCCAAATGGGTACTATATATCCTAACACAGTCAATACGGCGACTGCCTTATCTTTCCTCGTACCATCCAAATGAATCATAAGCTGCTTCCATCGTAGCCTAACATGATCTAAAAAGGCATTCACGACCGCCACGTCCTCAAGGGTATCATCTAGGGAGATATCTGTACTATCTGTCCTGATCTTTCTGGATATATAGAGTTCGCTTTCGTCATCCATTTCGTCACCGTCAGGACGGCTGTGTTGTTCAAGCGCTTCTCGACGTGCACGTGTAAGCTTAATCGAGAACCAATCTCGAGCCAATTTGTAAATTACGAGACTTGGCAATCCAAACGCTAGATATTGCCATGTCCAAAGACACACTGTGATCCATAATAAAACAACGAGTATTGTACGTTGTGGTTGTGTGCGCCACATGATGAGATTAACAAATTGAGCTAATACATGTAATGCAGGCGCCATAATCACTAGCAACTTTAATACCGGTGTAGGAATGTGATCTAATTGATGAACCTGATGAGGTGAAGAAAAATTGAATGAGGAATTAGATTGCTGTAGCGATGGTCTTTCAATTACAGGTTTTGCCATGATCAAAAAAGAACAAAAAAAAAAAAAAAAAGTATATATTTAAAAAAATACAAGAAGGGAAAGAGAAAGAGGGATAGAAAAAGAAAATCACATGCCTGTGGAAAAAAAAAAAAAAAAAAAAAAAAAAAAAAAAAAAAAAAAAAAAAAAAAAAAAAAAAGTTTATTGGAATGCATCTATTAATGCTAACAATTAAATAAATTTGATTAGCCCATATCTGAATAGCAGCTTTAAACTTTTTTTTTTTCCTTTTGTTCCATAAAATAGTTTTCATCCTATAAATAGGCTAGAGACATTATAATATCTTTAAGATATAATATAACATATCATCTATAATAATAATACATTTCTTTTTGTTTAATAATTATGATACATATAAGAATATAGGCTACTATGCAAAAAAAAAAAAAAAAAAAAAAAAAAAAAAAAAAAAAAAAAAAAAAAAAAAAAACTACGAATATACACATCACGTTTATTTCAATCATATCTTAGTTTTGTTCAGTTTTGCAATTTTTAAGATCCAACCTAGATAAATTAGGACAATAGTTGTATAAAAACTCATATACATTTCGATCCAATTTGACATTTTCTATATTTAAAACACGGATTGAATTATGATGGGTCTTTCTTGATGATATCAAGCATTTTAAAAGACTTGTTTCTTCTTGACAGAATACGATTGACAATTCAATAAGGCTTGGAAAATGTTTGAGTAGGCAATCCAAGTAGATTAAATCAATACTGCTATTATTATTATTATTATTATTATAGTAATTAAAATGAGTTACTTCTTGTTCTTCTACAGTAGCAACGCGTTTGATCGTTAGATATTGGGTTCGTAAATTAACTGGCTTGACGATTGCATTAATAAAGGAAGCACATCCTTCATCTAGTAAACGCCTTCGTTTGTTTTTCATAACAACATGGAAATCAAATCGATGATGGATACGCTGAGGAGATTGTTTAATTTGACTATAATGTGCATAACGGACAAAGCTTGTGTCCGTAGCATAACTCCCACCCGGCATATACTCAGGCTGTACATTATTTGAATACATAAAATGTATCTCGACGGGACAGAACTCATAATGTCGAATTATGTTATAATTATTGATAAAGTTATATGTCAAGGATCTGATAAACTCAAGCTCAATATAATAGCCACTAAAGACAACATCTATACAGCGGATGCGAGTGAGCCTCATTAAATCAAAAAGTTGACTTATGTGTTGTGTTGCTCTTGCTAATGGTAAGGGGATAACTTTAGAGTACTTATCCTTGTTCATATATTCGTGTGTTATAGTCAACTTGAGAATATAGACATCATAATAGTTATCTTGAATAAGTGAAAACCAAACTGATTTGGGGTCATAAATATAGCAACATAATAGCTTTAAATTTTGTCTGCTTGTAGTCATTATTTTGTTTGATTGACGTATGTCTACTTTACAATAAAGTGACTCAAGAAAGGGAGCAGATTGATGTAACCTTTCTAATAGATTTAGATGAATATAGTTGTTACCGTACAAGGTGCACTCCTTTAGTAATGGTAGCTGTTGATAAAAAAAGGGTTGAAAATTAAAAAAAAATTCTAAAGAGGTTAAACGGTCTTTAAGTTGCTGAAAGACAGATCTACATACAGCATTGTTGTGTATGGTAGGAATCTTGTGAAGTTGCTTCCAGTATAAGGAAAGATCTAGTTCGTTCAGAGAATACCAATACTGATAATCATTAAATTGCAACTCATTCAAATTTGGACAATAATACGCCAATATTTCAAAATCTGTTGTGACAAATATTGTATTCGTTGGAACACTAACTCCTTCAAATGAATTAGAATCACTATCTTGTTCCTGTTCTAACATTTCATCATCATCATCATCATCATTATCTTTTCCCCATAAAAATAAACCATCTTCAAAAAAGTAAAAGTCATTTCTATTTTTAAAATAAGAGACTTTTTCTTCTTCTTCAACGCCTGACTCCTCTTGCTCCATATAATATGCCCATTCTTCATTATCTACATCCATTGTGTAGATTACTGTAGTATCGCTGTTATCTTCTTCTACTAAGACTGTCTCTAGATTAATGTTTCTAGTATATTTGCCTGGTTGCTGAGTATGATGGATGATGATGTTCAGAAAAGACTTGAATGAACTAAGAGAATCAAATTGAATATCTGTGTAGAGGGCTTCAAAAGCAGGTCGATACCATTCCTTACAGACAATCAAACAGTTTAATTTATTTTCGGATGATTTAAGTTTAAAAAATGTGTTTAATAAGAGTTCAAAAGGTAACAAGGTCATTATATAAATGTATATAAAAGAGAAGTGAACGAGTTACAAGTTACGAGAGAGAGAGAAAGGGAAGAGAGAAACAAAGAAACAAACTAATCAATCAGTTATTATTATTCTATTCTTTTGAATATATTAATTGTGATTTTAGTTATTACATAAGCAAATTTGCATTATATAAATTATTATTATACATGATATATGTTTAAATTGATATATATGTTTTAATGATTATCTTTTCCGATTATATCCTCCATGATATCTAGGCCTCTTTTTAGAATACGCTCCTCCTCCACTGTTATTAGAAGATTCTTCCCCTATTAAATCAATGACACCACTTGAACTTGGTTTTGGAATATTACTTCTAGGGAAATTTGTTTCATATCCTATCTCTTGTCGCTGTTGTTGGAAATTGTTATTAGTAGGCATATTCACTGTGCCTGACCGAGTTGGCTGAGGTAAAGAAGACGAACCCATATTAATAGCTTTCCAATTTGTATTACCCGACTTTATATTTCTTTCTACTGTAACTCTCCTTCCACTTTCTTGTCGTTTTCCTTTTCCTTTTTTATTTCGTGAATCATGACTATTACCATTACTGCTTAAATCCTCTTTATATTTTCTTCGCTTGTTACTTAATTTTGAAAGCATATCATCATCACTACTTATCATAGGACTACTGTGACGATTATTATTATTATTCCCTTTAGAAAAAAAATAAGGCCATCTCTCATGATTTGTTTTATCTAACAATTCTTTGCTTCGCTGCTGTGGACTTGATTCTCGACTATCATGTCGATTCATAATCACATTATCCAAACTATGCTTAGAAAATACAGTATTGATGTTTGACAAAAAGGGAGGCAAATCAGGACATTCATCACCATAATGTCCTCTTTCAGAACAATAATAACAGTATTTTGTAGGGTTTAATTTGATAGGCCTTTCTCCATTGTAACTGTGTAATTTGACTGGGCAATACGTTGTAATATGCTCCCTTGAATAACAATATGCACATTTTTTGTTGTTTGAACTGTTAAAACAATTAGCTGCAGTATGTCCTCTCTTTTTGCATCGAAGACAATACATCAAGGCATCACAGCGGTAAGTTGCATGCTTAGGACCACCACAGTCCTTACAGGATGAGCATTGAGCACGCGTATGTCCTGGTTGAAAACAATTATAACAGAGTAGAGGGGCTTCTTTTAAACGTTTTTGCATTCTGATAGTATTTACCTAATAAAAAAAAAGCAATTGGTTATTTATTTATTTATTTTTGTCTGTATATGTTTATATTTATTTATTTATTTTTTACCCTATGTTTTATAAGTTCTTGAAGTTTTAAGTTTGACTCTTCTTCATCTGAAGATACGTCTGAAGAATATTTTTGATCTTCATCGAGATTAATGAATCGAGTAACTGGAGGCTCTGCCATGTTGACATCACTTACAACGGATGCATGTTCTGAAGTATGATCAGATCCGTCAAATCTCTTGTCATCATCATCATCATCATCGTCATCATCATCATCGTTGTTACTACTACTACTACTACTGCTTTCATCACTACTTTTATCAACTACATACAACTCGTCATCTGAATTGTTTTCGAGTGGCAAAAAGTGAGACGCTGATAATCCTGATGTTTCTGATTTCTTTGTATCTAATGGTGCATAAACAATTTTAGGAGAACTAACAGGTGATGGATTTGTCACTGGTGTCTCAGGTCGTGAAGAAGTCTTTTTTTTTAACAATCCAGACTCATACTGCACCATACTCAAAATTTTTTCCTCTAAATCACTGTCAATAGCATCACTACAAACAAGAACATGTTATGAAATAATAATACACATATATACATTTATAAAAAATTTTCTGCTAACCTTGAATGTCCAGCATCCTCTTCACGATTCAAATCTTCGTTTTCATATTGTTCTAATAATCTTAACTCTTCTTCATCTTCATCAAAAAATGTCGTCATTTTAAATTGAATATTCTTATTCTTGTATATACATGTATGTGCTTTATGTATGTATGTATGTATGTATATAACAATGTATAAAAAAAAAAAAAAAAAAATCATAATTTGATCATTCAATAGAATATTTAACAAATAAGATTGGTCCGGATAATGAATTCCGTTTTTCGAATAAAATTGAAAAAAAAAATAAGCCACTTATGCTCGTTCCTTTTTTTTTTTTTTCGACTGTACTATCTGATCTCCATATTTCTGATAAACATCTTCTCTATGTTACTACTATAAACTAATTAATGATAAAAGCAACTTTTTTATATATTTAATTTTTCGTTTATATGAAAGGAATCCTCAGAAGAAGAAAAAAAAAAGATAGTCTTGTGTATTTAAAATAGCTTAGGTATTCTTTTTTTTCTTTTTTTTTCTGCAAAGGGAATTAGATTCTATCCCGTAATACTCTATGTGATATTTCAATTTACTGCTCTGTCCATTTTTATTGATTAAAGGATACTCGAGCTATCACTTATGTAAAGTGTTAAATTGTAGTATATCCAACTATTTGAGGAACCCTTGTTTGGATTGTACTAAAATATCAGCCTTATTCTTTAGAGAAAAGCTTAGTGGCAATGAGATATACACATATATAATAGTTTATCAATATCTTAATTTAGATGTATCAATATATAAAGTACCGGTATGGTTGTAATAATTATAGTCTTAAACATAAAGATTTAATTACTTTAAAGATTACATAGAATTTGTTAGTCTAAAAAAATAATAAGATTGAATAGTATATTATAGATCTGGTTTTATTCTACCTCAAGTAAGACACTTAATAATTTTGCAAAATAATTATATAAAAAATAGAACATATTACGAAAACATATCTTGAACTTCTGTATAGAGAGGTTCTTCATGATGAGTGTCATTAATAGGGTCATCATTCAGAGGCTCGCCATCTACATCTTCAAGAGGTTCACCATCCACATCTTCCATAGGCTCTCCATCCACGTTTTCTATAGATTCTCCATCCACATCTTCTAAGGGCTCTCCATCCACATCTTCCATAGGTTCGCCATCCACATTTTCATTATCATTATTTTCCAACTGAGTTGTTGTTGCATTCTTCTCTTTCTTTAAATATATTTCAGTTAATTGATCTGTATAATATTTAGGGAATATCATCCAGTTTTCCCAAACATTTATGACAGCAGTAATATGTCGCTAAAAATATAACTAATAAGTTCACTTCACATCTTGAATTCGTTTGCTTTTACAATCTACTTACTCGCACTTGTTCAGCTTTTAAACGAGCATGAATAGATCGATAAATAGAATTAAAATGGTCAAAAATAGCAGGAAGTTGTGCTTCAAACCTAGTTATTATACCATTATATGTTAACTAATAAGTTGAATCATAGTCTTTGTCCTTTTTCTTTTTAATGTGTACTTTACTCTTTTCTATATTTCCATGCATTAGAAACGTGAACACTACTATTATGAAGAATATCAGAGATCAAGTATAATCTAGCTAATTTGGTAGACAGAGGTGAATCGGGTAATAAAATGGATTTACAAATTAAATCCACAATCTATGTACAAATGTATTTAATATACAAGTATAAATATCAATATATACGTATGTATATTAAAGTATATACCTCAGTTGCTGCATCAGCATGGTCAATAGCAAATGCCATAGCCCGTGCAATCGTACCACGTTGAAATGTTACTTCACGTAATATAAACCCTAGTCGTTGCTTTGCTATTTGTCCTAATGTTCCTTTCGCAATACTATCTTGTTCTGCTAATTCATCATCTGTATCAAACATGGGATCTTCGCCATCCTAATAAGCATAAAATAAACATTTAAAAAAAAAAGAAAAAAAAAAAGAATAAGAGCAAAAATAGATTCTTACTTCATCAAAAAGAGGTAGTTCAGGTGGTATCCACCAAGGCCCACCTTCAAACATTTGAAAAGGCTCATCTAACCATCTCGATTTTGTATCCCCTTGTGATAAAGAATATAATTTCCATCGATAGTAGATATGCTCTGGTGACTATGTGAAATAAAATAAAATAAAAAGGGAGGTTAAATGACTTATATAGACTGATGTTATTTTCCTTCAACTTTACTGTATTGTCAAATAAGAATTTAAATGTAGGGTTTCCTATTTCTCTATCTATAATCATTGCTTCAAATAAGGGCCCATATTTAAGTACTCGCTCAATCGTACGATGAATAATTCGCATCAATTTGATATCTACAGGCTTGATTACATGTATTTCTGCTCTTGGTCGTGAGTTCTAAATAAATGAATAAAAGTTTAGAAACAGGTTTTCTATCATTTTCATGTTACTTTTACCACTCCAGGCGCACCAGGCGTTACTTGGGCATTAAATGGTAATCCAGATTTCCCATTAGGTGCCTTTTTATCCAAAACTATATACAACATTTGAATTAGACCATTAAAAGAAAAAAAAAACTAAGATGTGCAACTATCTTGTATACCGAAAAATGGATGAGCAGGTAAAGGCACAGCTTTGCCCCATCCAACACGCAAAACAAACCCTTCTACGTCTTTGCCGTCCATCTGTTTAATTGCTTCAGCTGCATCTTCTCTTTTCATAAAGCTGACAAATCCGCAATTATTGCCTTTATCTTTCTCTTCTTGTGTACGTGGCCACATAATCTTGACAGAAGCAATAGGTCCAAACTTACCAAATTCACGACATAAACCTAACTCTGTTAAAGTAGGATTGATATTGCCTACATAAAGATTGGTTGTATTTGGATTGCCATCATCAAAGGACCCTTGTTCATCTATACAGTAAAACATTAGTCTCTCCTTGCTGCATATCATGTATTCCCCATTACCATTTTTATAGGACGTGGAGGTTGATCTATTATCTGTTCGATTACGTCCTTCTTGTTGTCTTAAAAAAATGAAATAAAAGATCAATTAAAAAAGAAGGAAAAAAAAACTAGTGAATAGATTGATATACCTTTTGATTTCTTCTAAAAAGGAATCTAAATTTCTTTTCTTTTGAGCCTTTGTCTTTAACTTTGCTAACTCCTAGGTATGATAATAATAAAAAAAAAAAAAAGATGGTTTATCTAAATGCTATTTTATGCTTTGATCATGGTTCAATTTTACATCGTCTTCATCATCAGCTTCAAATGTTTCAAACTTTGCTTCGAACTTTGGTGTTGATGTGGTCGATGCTGTCGATTCGCCTGCTTTTACAAAGGGCATTGGTTTAAATGTTGATTTTGTAGGTGGAGCATTGTAATTATCAGCTACAGAATCTATTTACATGAATATTTGGTCAATCTTCATTTTGTATTAAACATTAGTTTATTTATCTACCTCTTGGCATCAAAGTTCCCGATTTAATGAAATTTGTAGTGCCTAATGCATAACTTTTAGGCTCTTCAAATGAAGCAACAAAATCAGCATAAACTTTAGCTGCTTCGAGGCTCTCTTGCTAATGTATAGAGTATATATATGAGTAAGCTATATTAATCGTTTTACAGGTAGATTCTTTTTTTTTTTTTTTTTTTTTTTTTTTTTTTTTTTTTTTTTTTTACTTGTTTCTTAATTTCAGCTTCTTCTTTTTGTTTATGATAAGCAGATTTTTTATGGCTGCCAATACTGAAGGCATGTAGTTTAGTAGCAGGAATTATCTAACATTAAAGATTGTTTATACAATTTATTTTATGCAATCATTATTCATTTATTTACTTTAAGTGGTCTTGGCGATTCTTCTGGACTTTCTTCACGGTCATCTTGCTCTTCTCTTTTTCTTTTTTCACTCATCTTCTGTTTTTGATAATTAAGAGGAAAAAAAAAAAAAAAAAAAAAAAAAAAAAAAAAAAGTTTGTATCGGAAATTTATTATATAATATAAAAATGTGTGGCATTCTACGAATATGAAATAAAAATACATGCTTATATTGTTATATACGGTTTAATGGATTGACGCCTAATAATCTCAATCCATTTGCTAAAGTCGTCTTTGCTGCCCAAAATAATAGTAAACGCGCTTCTGCAATTTCACGACTTTCAGCTCCCTTTACTCTTAACTGGCTATTAGCTTGGCTAGCTATATGAGATAGTCGGAATAAATATTGTACTAGAATACAAGGATCCATTGCTTTACAAGAAGATTGAACGATATCTGGGAATTGTGAAATAGTTAGAGTCAATTCAAATGCTTCTTTTTCTTTTAATAAAGAAGTATCTGCATTGATATTGACAGGTATATTCATATTACGCTCAATACTATATACATGTAAACCTTATATTGTTAGTCGTTTTATAAATATATACACATGTATATATATACATATATATATGTATATATTTATATATATTACCTGCATAAGCGAGCATGTGTATATTGAAGATAAACACCTGTATATCCTTTAGAAGCCGTCATTCTGTCCCAAGAAAACTGATAATTCTTGATTCGCTTTGCTACCATGTCCTGTACAATTACTGCTGATACTCCTAATTGATCTGCAACAGCTTCCTCATTCACTATGCCTTCGAGTTTATTTTGTTTTCCTTCTTGCATATTTTCAAGCATCTTTTCCTTAGCTGTGTCTAATATGTCTTCTAGGAACACGACTGTTCCCTTTCGTGTTGACATTCCCATAACACGTCCAAAATTAGCATGAGCAAATTCTACTTTGGGCCACCTCTCCGGGTTTTGCTCATAAATGAGTTCACTGATTTTAAACAACTGCTTTAAATAAAGCTCCTGTTCAATTCCAACCACATAAATCGATTTATCAAACCCACCCAACTTGTCATATCTCAAAAGGATACTCGCTAGATCACGTGTTAAATATAAACTTGTGCCCATGCCACGTCGAACGAAGGGTCTCCCAAGACCAAACCTCTCTAAATCGATTACCCAACCCTCCTTTTCCTCTTTCACTAGTCGAGAATCCTTTAAAATCTGATAGACCTTCATTATATAAGGTTCTGTCTCTGATTCGCCTGAATAATAATCAAACCCAATATTTAGTCGTTTATAAATATTTTTATAGGACTCTATACTGTAATCACGAAATTCTTTCCATCGTTTTAATGCCTCCAAGTCTCCAGACTCCATCTTTTTAAAATAATCATTTGCACGTACATCAATTCTGGGGTCTGTCTTGGCAAGCTCATTTATTTTCACATAGACCTGATAGAGATGATGTATAGGATCCTGCTTTAATGCTTGAGGATCCCCAAAGTAATCAAATCCAATAGCCAAAAGACCATATTGCTTACCCCAATCACCCAAATAATTGATCCCGATCGTTTTATAGCCGTTAGCTTCATGAATACGTTTTAGAAAATTACCTAAAATAGTGCTTCTGAGGTGTCCTGCATGGAACGGTTTTGCAATATTGGGTGAACTATAATCAATAATGACAGTGGATGGTGTATGCTGTTTGTGATGTCCATATTGGCTGTTTAATTGATAAACGTCAGATAAGGTAGACTGAATATAGGGTGCTCGTTTTACGTCAAAGTGTAAAAATGGGCCCTGTGCAGTCACTTTCTCTATGAAATTGTTTTGTTCAAACTTAGAACACACATGTATATGTGTATGTATATAAAAAAAAAATTAATTATTATTTTTCTTTTATAAGAAAATGTATTTACCTTACTTATAAGCTCTTGACAGCAGTTGATGTCATTTTGGTTGATTGATGAATTAATTAGTTTTGGTAGAGGTACAGTGAATTGATTTTGAAGTGATGCTTTGGGTGTATTTAAGATTTGCAAAATATGGTTTTCACTATTCTGTGTTAACTTAGATAAGGATTTTGCAATGGCTTGTCGAGCTAAATGAGCTGTAAACATAATCTCATGCTTGTCCTTTCCTAGACAGAAAAAAAAATAAAGAGAGGGGGTGGGGTTATATTTATTTTTATTTTTTTTTTTTTTTTTTTTTTTTTTTTTTTTTTTTTTTTTTGTTAGTTGTCAAAAATAAGGTTTTCAATTGGCTCCTAATATGTGGTGTAATGATAGAAAGCATGTAAAATATAAAAAGGATGGCAACTTAGTTGATTGCTTTTTTTTATGCTTTAAAGTATATACACATGTATGGTAACGGTGAAAAAAATAGATATACTCATGACTTTGTCTCTATAAGCTATTTAATACATACGTGACAGTTTTAGTAAAAAATGATGAAAATAGTATGTATGTTTGTATGATTATGTTTCTATGACTGTAGTTCCTAGTTCTTCTTCTTCGTTTTCTTTAGTAATAATCATTTAGGATGCGTCTTTCTTTAATCTTATGAGAGCAGATGTATCAGGATTACCTTTTAAATTCCAGTTACATGATACGAACTCTTTAGTGTTAATTATTAACTTGGTTTGCATGACTATCTTTTACAAATTAAGAGTGAATACAACAGAAAATCTTGAAATATTAAGCCAATTTCGATTAGATTATATTCTATTATAGAAGCAGGGAAGAACTATATTTTATTGTATAAACATATTTGTAAATTAGATTTTAATGACTGCTGTAAGTATTTACAACTTTTAGTAATGTATTTTTTTTTTCATTTGTCAAAAAGAGAATATTATATGTTATTATACATATATTATAGATACTTCCATTAAACTTATATACTTGATCTATTATTGCTACCAAATAGTCAGCTTAATCTATTTTATTATTGCTACTAATGATTTCTTTGCATGGCAATATGTGTTATCATGATTCAAAAGTATGAACACTGAGAATAAATCCCCATAAAACACATTGGAACAACAATTGATATGTTTAAAGGACTTGATATTATGAGTATACCTTTTAACTATGTACAATATTTTGTTGACGTTTATAATAGCACAATTCTATGTAGTATTGGCATAAATGATTATTGACGTTGTTTTATTGTCCTTTTGGTCAATCTGTTATTTGCTAGTATAATGCATTTTTATATTGTAGAAGGTATGCATAGGAACATGAAAACAATAGCTATACTACTTTTTCATATAACAATACTTTATATAAGTTTTTTTTTTATTACTTAGTTTAGCTTACTATTATTTATACTACTCTTTTGAATTATTCTTTCTTAAATCATGGATATAAAGTTTCGGGAAATTTGATAGCCAACCAATCATAACCTTAGGTCTCTTCATATGATAGTTTATAGATACTATTTGTCTTTTATAATTTACAGCGAAGCTGGGAAATATTGGTTAATTTAGAAATTTGAATGATGATAATAACAAAATAATTTAGTGCTTACTAAAAAAAGTATTGGCAAAAAACCAAAAAATGATGGGCTCACCAATATTTTTAAGTAATCTCAGAGCAACATACCTGCATTAAATAACCAAAGCGATAACTTTGGTGGAGATTTGCTATTGTTTCCTTCATTCTGGTTTTGACGCTTCTTTTCTGCTAAAAACATCAGGGCGTTTACCTGTCTCTCTCAAGCTCATCAAGATCCTTCGAAAGTTTAAAACAGCTGCCATATCTCGATTCCACAGCTTTCGTGGAATTTCCATGACTTGTTCAAGGTTGGCCAACGGACAGTTACGATTTTTACATCTAATGGTTCAGTAATTATTATCATTCTCTGTCATATTAATACAATTCATACTGTTACTTTACCTCAATAAGCCATAACATTTTACAGTTGGCATTTTGGCTCTCTCTCTTATGGGGGTGAGGGTTGGCGACTGTTTTAAACGTTTCTAATGAACTTTCACAGGTTGGGCAGTATGAAGAAGTCTTATATTCATCAATCTTGAGTACTTGGAAGCTGTTTTTCTTCAGCATTCGAATGAGACCTTTGTTCCTGGTTGGCTCGTGATATTTTGTGTTTGAAGCGGACCAATTACCAATAACAAGAATCGCATCATGACCAAACTTCTTTTTTCAACCTCTTCACTAACATCTGGTCATTTTGATCATAGAAAAGTTTGGGTGAAAACTTCAGCTTTCAGAATGGCAAAACTTGAAGTTTTTCCAACAATTCACTGATATGTTGTTTCAGATTGACTTCTTCATCCGCGATCATCTTCTCTGCAAGTTCAAGCACCGTATTTTTGACTCCATCGCCCAATCTCTCTGAGATATGTCGTTGCTGCAACATTAGCTGCAAGTACGTATGGTACAGTTGAGATTGCGTTCGAGTATCAGGAGAAGAAACGATGCCTCGAATATTTAAGACGAATAAATGTCCAAAATATAAGTTGCTTTTCTCATCCACACGAAAGTCAAACAAGGAGCCGGGGAAGTAAAGATCTTTGGATGATTTTGTTTCATTTCCATAGTTTTGGTTTAATACATTTTCCACCGATGATCTTGTCTTAATGTAATCTACAAATTTGACTACATCTACAGTGGATGACGGGGTTTTGGAAAGAAGAGCTTCAGCGGATTCAACCATGGATGGTTTAGTTGACTTTCGTAAAGTTCTAAAGTGTCTTGATCTTTTTGATCTGTCATTTTTTGTAAAAAACAAGAACTTCCTTATGCTTGACCACACTAGTTTCTTTCATACAGTATAAAATATCACGTCTTCCGGAATCAATCAAAACGCATCTTCCATTCGTGCTTGCCAGCTCTGCTTGTGTTAATGTTTCAATATACTAGACATCATTGTCACTTCTTGGTCCACCTTCCTTTTTTGAAGTTTCAGGGCTATCTTCTGTTAGCTTTTTCTTCCTAGTTGTAGCAGTATTTTGCTTCAGAATAGAAACACCAATTCCACCAGTCTCCAAAGTTCCTTCAAAATGAAGAGACTTATTTAATCCTTGTTCTTTAAAAGCCTTTTTTTTTTTTTTTTCAAATCAGCCACTTGAGCCCAGGTTTCACTTTTATCCTTCGTAGGCTTCTTTTTTTTTTTTTTTTTGAGAATATGGAAGTTAACGATTTTACTATCCAATGTCATATATGTGGGAATAAACGTGGTTCGTATAGGAAAGCAAATGAATTTTTTCAACTTCTCTGATTCAACAAGTTGTGCAAGTCTATAAAAAAGCCTTGAAGTGATTTACTGGTCAAGCTAGTACAACATAGAAAATTGAATCTTTATGGAACCTGTAATCTGTAGGATGCATGGAGAATAGAGTTTCTATTTCTGATATTGACTTTTCATCCAAGATGTCAGAATTGGGTATTTCTTTTTTTTTTCGCCACAGTAAGTTTTACTTGGGTGCAGGGAGTAAAGACCTCTTTACGGACAAATGCTTGTATGGCTTTTGTGCTATATCCTTCTGTCGTCATTCTTTCTTGAAGAGCATTTGATTTTTCTTTCTTTTTTGCAAAGTTTGTTTAGCATTTCGCGGAGCCTATCTCCAAAATGGGCTTTGATATTATTGTAATAGGCGGTTTCAACTTTCGTACATTCGTACAAAGCAATTTGCTGCGCATATGCTAGTTTAGGTGAAATATAGTAGGCATTTTTTAACAATATAAGCCTTTGTGTTTGGCAATCAATTGTCTATATAATTTCGTTGTTTCTTTGAGGCGTGTTTTTTTCCAGATTTGGTACCACCATACACTCGTCTCAGGGTAAGACTCAAGAATACTTCAACAAAAAAACTCTTGTTGACATAGCTTTTCAAGTCAAACTCGATATTTTTCATCAACTCACTTACAAAGATATACTTGATAAAGGCAAAAGTGTGAGTGACAATTGTATTAGTAATATCTACTAGATCTTGTAATAGATTGATATATGCCGGCTTCTAAATGTTCTTTACAGTCGTCTTTACCGCTATGACACGTTTGTTGGCTACTTGCTTTCAGGATTTTTGGATGAAGTATTAAAAAAAGAGAGTTACTTTGCTAGTTTATTGTATAATTGAGGAACAAATGCAAAGGAATAAGAAAGAGAAGAGAGAGAGAGGTCAACACTGATTTATAAAGTCATATATAAACTACTTTTTTTTTTGACATATCCCAACACATATATAAACATATAATTTATGGGTTATTTATCATTACTATTATGTTTTTCTTTGCCTTTATCAATAAATATCAATTAATCAACCAAAGCCAGGTAAATAAACTTTAACATGAGCTCTTATGAATATCTTATTAACAATTGAATAAAGCTGGTTCTATAATAAAACCCTTGATCTGCATGTTCCAGTTATATAAGCCCATTATCGATAGACATAGTTTATAAGAACATGTGCGAAATTTTTTGTTTACACGTATATAAACATCTCAAAGATATAATTGAATTGTGAAGACTGATCAGACTCTAAACACCATTAATCAGGGCTTTAATAAAACTGTTGATATATATTTTCTTATACATACCTCTCTCCATACTTGTTCAAATTAACTATGCATATCAGTCTACAATAATAGTTTTTTAAAACGATGAGTTTAATCAAGGGCGCAAGGTCAGAGGCTATAGACTCACGTATTTAACTCTATATTTTCAAAAACTGAATTTAATTGAAAATTTTTGGGTGCTTGCAAAGAGGAAGAATCTGATGGGTAAAGGTACTTTATTCTTAAGAATCGCTGATTCTTGAACAATAAATTTCAAGTGCTCAAAACAACTTTTAAAACGGCTAATCATTTTTCAGCTTTTCGGCAACAATTTTTTTAACAATCACTATTTAAATTTCTAAATTAACCAATATTTTCCAGATTCATTATATATTATTATTACTATAGAAATTTCTTATTATTTACAAATAAGTTTTTTTTTTTTTTTTTTTTTTTTTTTTTTTTTTTTTTTTTTTTTTTTTTAAAAAAAAAAAATAATATTATAAATAGCAACTTTAAATTCAAATAGTTTATCTTCTTGTACGTGTAATAAGGTTAAACCTATCACACAAAAACACGTTTCCTTTTTCCTTCTCCTGTTATATAATTCATACTTATCTTTATTAACTAAGCATTTCTCGCTATAAAAATGTATTTTCAACAATATATCATTCATTGATAATGGAGGGAAAAAAGAAAGAAAGAAAGAAAGATTAATATAGAATTGTACTATATATTTATTCATCAGATTGGCTACGTTGTTCACTATATTTCTTCCGTTTTTCTAATAATAAAGCAATATTAATGAGTTTAAATATTGAAGTTACACTTATAATAACCATGCTTCCTTTGAACAAGTGCTGCGTTTGTGTTTTCAATAGCAGAAGCTACTGTTGTAACATAATTGTCTCTCTGTCTTAGCTTCCGTATTGTTACCCATGTTACACAGGGATAATGATTTTTTATTTGAAAGGATTCAGTCTTGATATTTATTTCTTTTTTCTTTTTTCTTTTTTTTTTCCCTAAAAAACGACTTTTCTTTTTTCTATTTCTCTTCTTTTTTTTTTCCCTTAACCAACTTTTCTTTTATTGTTTGAGGGGCGTATTCTTATTGAACGCACCTCTTTTCAAAACGGTAATAAATAATTACTTATTATAGTTATATATAATATCAGAAGATTAATCATGTAATCATTATTTTATTTCATAGTTTGCAAATCTACTCGCTTCCACACATAACCCACACAGAGGCTACCAAAGGTGTAGTGATCGTCCAAAAAAAACACATTAATAACAACAACATGGCTCCTCCTAACGCTGAAATCCCTCATAACAACAACACTACCTCTTCTTCCTCTGTCCCTGCTCCTTTATTCAAGGTTAACTCTCCCAACGTCCGATATACAGATGAGTATATCTTGAGTAAATACACTTACCAAAACACCTTAGTTACTAAACAACCTGATGGTACCTATATTGCTGAACCCACTGAATCTATCTATGAATTCAAAACTGAACGTCTTGTTCCTCGCGTTGGGTAAATATTTTAGACGATTTAATAGTTTTTTTTTTTTTTTTTTTTTATGTATCATTCATTTTGTCCTTCCCATTTTATATAAACATATACATATATATATAGTTTGATGATGGTAGGTTGGGGTGGTAATAATGGTTCTACCTTAACTGCATCTATCTTGGCACATAAACGCAAAATTCAATGGCGCACCAAGAATGGCGTTCAAAAGCCAAATTATTTTGGCTCTGTTACTCAATCATCCACAGTTTGTTTGGGTATTGACTCCGAGACAGGCCAAGATGTTTATGTTCCTATCAGTCAAATGTTACCACTTATGAATCCTACAGACCTTGTATTAGGTGGTTGGGATATCTCGGGTAATAATCTTGCTGAGGCTATGGAACGTGCTAAAGTTCTTCCCTATGACCTTCAACGTCAAGTTCAGGATGAAATGTGTCAAATGAAGCCCTTACCTTCTATTTATTATCCTGATTTTATTGCTGCTAATCAAGAAGACCGCGCCGATAATCTCATCCCGGGCTCTAACAAACGTGCTCATACAGATCAAATTCGTAAAGATATTCGTGACTTTAAAGAACACCATAAGCTTGACAAGGTGATCGTGATCTGGACAGCTAATACAGAACGTTTTGCCTCTATCCTTGAAGGTGTCAATGACACCGCTGATCATTTCTTAGCCGCTGTGGATCAATCTCATGAAGAAATTGCTCCTTCATCCATCTTTGCCTTGGCCTGTATTGAAGAAGGTGTACCCTTCATTAATGGTTCGCCTCAAAATACATTTGTGCCCGGTTTGATTCAATTAGCTGAACGTCATCGTGCCTTTATCGGTGGAGATGACTTCAAGTCCGGACAGACCAAGATGAAATCCGCTCTTGTTGATTTCCTTGTCAATGCTGGTATCAAACCCGTTGCTATCACTTCCTATAACCATCTCGGTAACAACGATGGCAAGAACTTGTCCTCTCAACGTCAATTTAGATCCAAGGAGATTTCCAAATCAACTGTGGTAGATGATATGGTCGCTGCTAATCATTTACTTTATGCGAAGAATGAGCACCCTGATCATACGGTTGTCATCAAATATGTCCCCTCCGTTGGTGATAGCAAACGTGCCCTTGATGAATATGAATGTGATATCTTTATGGGCGGTCGTCAATCTATTTCACTTTACAACATCTGTGAGGATTCCCTGTTAGCCTCCCCCTTAATCATTGACTTGGTTGTGATGACTGAATTGATGACTCGTTTGCAATACAAGACCGCTGGTATGGACAACTTTAGTGGTTTCCATAGTGTACTCTCTATTTTAAGTTATATGTTGAAGGCACCCATGGTTTCCCCTGGTAGTCCTGTAGTCAACGCTCTTAGTAGACAACGTAGTGCTATTGAAAATATCTTTAGAGCTGCTGTTGGTCTCTCTGCAAATAATGAAATGGGTTTGGAACACAAGATTTGGTAATAAATATATAAGTCTTTATTTATCTAAAGAAAAAGAAAAAAAGAAAAGCAAAATAGTTTATGAAAAGGAATAAACCCATTTCCATTTTGTTCAAAAAAATATATATGATTATATTATATATAAATAAAAATAAAAAATCATTTTTTTTTATAGAAGGTACGCATAATTTATTATCTTTAATGTTGAGTGAATGTTGAGTTTTTAATAAAAAACATGGCATCCAAATCCTGAGCGGAAAAGTAACGAGAAGCGATTAATTTATCTCGGAAACCTCCTAAGTTATTTTCAACAACATAAGCTGAAGGGGCCAAGGCATAGCCATTCAAGCGATGTGTTGTATTACGAAGCCAAACAAAACGTCCCTGGGGATCATAAGCTCCTGTCTCTGTAACGGGATATACATTATAAATGACGTTAGCATGCTTAAGACCTGCTGCAGGATTAGGTGTTGACATATTAAACACTGTATTACTTGGTATAGGAATCTATATAGGAAAGGAAAAAGAAAAATGTTAATTACAAAGAAAGAAAGAGAGAGAGAGAGAGAGAGAGAGAAGGGAAAAATAAAATGTGGGATTCTTCCTTACGTTAAAGACGATAGGCTTGTCAGTAGAATATGGAGAATTATAAGGACCAGTCCAATTTCCTCCAAGGAAAATTTGTTTAGATGTTGAATAAAGATAGTCAGGCAATACACAATGCTTCTTTTGCTTACACTTGTTGAAAGTAAAGACATAATAATTTTGTTTTGACTTGCCTAAGAATTCACCATCTGATAAATATCCTCCATGACGAATAACCATATTAGGTTTCATTTTAGCAAGGGATTGTGAAATCTGTAGGGCCTTTTTATAGAGTCTCTTAAAGTTAACGTTAATATGAGTATTTGAACAATTTGAGATAATGCCAGTTGTATCTCCTGAAGCAATGGAATAGTCACCATTAACAACGGTATTAGTGGCGTCCGAGATGCCGCCGACGACAAGACCATGTTTGTTGCACTTGGAGGACTTATGCCTAGAATTAACAATAAAATTGCTGGCTGTAAAATTGCCCTGAATAGCTAATGAGCCATTGAATCGCTGTGTATCTGGCTCTGCTACAAAACTGCCAAAGATAATGCCATCAAAAGGGTGTACAATTTTTGCTAATGCGGTATCGTAATTCGGTAAATCTTTTGCACTAGAATGTTTGCCATGTTTACGTTTTGATAAATCTGCATTAACAACAACTGTTGAAAATAAAAATAAAGATAATATTGAAAATAGCTTCATGATGTATATTTCCCTTATTATTAAAAAAAAAAAAAAAAAAAAAAAAAAAATTAAAATTAAAATTAAAATAAAATAAATAAATAAATAAAAGAAAGATGTCGACAAATGTCAAATTATTATAATACATGTTTATTTTTTATTTTTATTTTGAATGTACGCAAGTTGATTAGTTTTTTTTTTTTTATGTTTCAAATATATAAAAAGTAATTAAAAAAAAAAAGGTCCCTCAATTGTGTTTTTTTATTTTCTTTCCACATGTGTAAAGCTTTATAAAGAACACGAATATACAAAAAATAAATACATTTTTCTTTAAATTAATTGTTGGATTATGCGTCGTTCATTAAACATGTCAAAATAGGTGAATGATAACAAATGTCAAGAATGATCCGAGAAGAGAAAACAATATGCTTTACTTTATTTAGTATAAGTTCATTTGCGGATCTGTAAAAATAATAAATTGAGGTAAAATTTACTCCAATTATTAGCGGGTTTGTCAATTTACAAACTGCTCACAATTCACGTATTCTCTCTCTCTGTCTCTTTTTTTATGAAGGTAGTTGTTTATGAAAATAGCAAAGCTGAAATTATGGACGAGTCTGATTGTTATAATATGAAGTATTTGACAAAATTGGTAGAATTTTCAAAAGTTGTATAATGATATAATAATATGGTTCGAGAGAGTAACTGAGCAGTTAAATAAAAATAGTAACAAATGATTGTATCATCATTATTTAGCTGACCAGTAAGCTTTTTTCCTTGTAATTACTTGAGATCAAGATTTTAATATTGCTATAAAAAAAAAAAAAAAAAAAAAAAAAAAAAAAAAAAAGAAAAAAAAGAAAAAAAGAAAAAAAGAAAAAGAAACGACCCGGAATGGGATATACACGAAATGTAGATCGACAAACTAATAAAGATATCTGAAGATTGTTGTTCCAAAAAGCTGCCTGTTGATGATTTTATATTAAATAAGTTTTATTTGGTTATGTATATATACATTACACATTACCCTATTATTTCTTAAAAATTCAAAAAAAAAAAAAAAAAAAAAAATGGCATGTATAAGAAGATTGAGTAGGTGAACAAGTGACTTGTAGCAGATATCGCTTTTACTCAAAACTATGTTCTTTCTTTCTTTCTATCTATCTATGATGCTGGCTTTGATAGCCATATAAGATCTTCTATTGAATAATTTTTCCGAAAAAAAAAACCAGCTGTATCAACTACACCAGTAACAAAAGCAATATATATATAAATATATTTACTGTATTGGTACCTATAGTCTTCTATGAATGTAATCAATATAGAGTTAGGAGCCCTAATTACTTGAAAAAAAAAAAGTTAAAAAAGGTATTAAGAGAACAAGCAAGACAACAAGCAAGACAACAGGCAAAGATTCAGCTACTTCAAAAGGTACTATTACAGGACATTGTTTAAATTTTATCTTGAAAATGTTTGCCGTGTTTGACTATCCGGATCAAAATAGCTTCATCATGTATGCATAACTCTCATCACATAATAGACTTGAGATATAAAGTTGTGAGCTACAAGATTTTGAGATGTTGACTTTTTTCATACCTCAACGTTGTAATATTTTGCGGACCCTTGAGAAGTTAAAGAATTTTCAGTTCTGAGCATTCTCTAGTCCTAAATTCAAAGTTGAATTGGACCCGATCCAACCATGAATGAATGTTTCAATTGCGGACAAAGAGTGTCTGGATGATAGATTTGGTGCTTGTCCTTAAATAAGTCTATTGTATTCTAGTAAAGGAATAAAGTTTTTTCAACAAGCAAAAGAATGTATCTTATATACCTTGTAGGATTATGATAAACAAGAAAAAAGATTCCCCTCCCCCGAATCAATATTTTTTTTAGAACATAATCAAAGTATACTAGAGACAAAGACTTTATTAATTAAGGGTAAATAGTTTATTTTAGGAGACATTGCTTTCTTTTTGGCATATAGTATATGGTAGTAAAGTATGAAGAGAGACATTATTGAGTTGGTGCTGGTAACGATAATATATATATATATACTTTCATTGTCTTCTAATAATCAAGAAGCATGGCTTATTTATCAATATATTCTTAACATCAAAATCATAGAAACTTTTGACGATTGCCTCTATCATCTGTAATGATCATTCTATACCTTTTACAAAGGTAATCTCGAATTTTATCAAACTTTCTACTCTACAAGGACGTATAAGTATACTACAAGCTCAATTTATTTTTCAACCTCTTGCTCTTTAGAGGATACATTATTTACAAAACTAATACCTTATCTTCAACCTTCTGATAATTGTTCATGATGGCTTCACCTTTTACAAAGTGCCTCTTTAGAAATAATGTATTCATTCTATTGAAAGCCACAGCACATATTGCCTTGAACAAAAAAAAAAAAAAAAAAAAAAAAGTTTAATCTACTTTTCTTCTTGAGAAATGAAAGGAAAGATAGTCTGCTAGCAATTCTGAGTGTTTATCAACCTGTCGTAACATATAAATGATTGATTCTATCCTTTATTTTCCCAAGGTATAATCCATTCGAAATGGAGGGGGCCTCAGTTGGTATCTTGGTATGATTATCTCACGGTCATATTGTCCTTTTTCACTCTGATCCCACTGTTCAATAGAGTTGATTCAATATATATATTGTCCCCATATGCAAATACCCCATACAATCGGAGATCTCCTCTTTCTGCCTTCTCATTAAGTACCTAATGCACTAGTGCATAGTAATTATCATATTATGAAAAAAAAACTTTGTGTTATTCAAACTAATGACTTGAATATTGAGTGTCCAAACTTAAACAAAAATAAATAAATAAAAAACACGCAAGTATAGTAACTTTAGAGTGTTAGGCTATAGTTAGATTATAAATAGTTAATTTTTTGAATTATAATATTTTTGTTATATACATTTTATCAAATTTAATATATCGATAAAATAGACATGTATATACATGATTATACTGGTAATTATGTTCTTGTATAGTATGTTGTAATCTTTACGCGTAATTTTTTTTTTATCAGTTCTATTTTAATGCTATTATTAAATACAGTATTGTTGGTAATAGACATTATGGGAACAGGAATAATTTTTTTTTTCTCACTACAGTTTTTAAAAAAATAACTAAAATAAAATAATATAACGACATATATTGCCGTAGCCCGTCAAAGATTTAGAATGATGCTTTATTTTTATTTTTTTGACAGTATTAGCAACCATGCTATACGGTAGAGATATTAATAATAGAGGATAATGGAGGTAATAGTGATAAATATACGCTCACTAAAAGTAGTCATAAAAAGAAAAAAAAAAGTTGATACAATATACAGACTGTCCATAATAGAGATACTAGTATTATGTTACTAAAGCAGAATAGTCCCTCCCTCCCCCCATAGTAAAAGATTTCGAACTCTAGGTAGTATTAAACTTATCCATAGAATAAGTATCCTGTATACTTTAGATTAAGGCTATATAAGCTAATACAGTATGAATAAAGTAATAGCATGATGATGAATAATAACGATACTAGTTTGTTTGATTATCTTATAGCAGAAGACATAATAGTAACATTTAACTATATATTTAATACTACTCATATAAGCTTTGACAGTCAATTCTTGTATAGATCATTTCACCTTCAAATTTATAATTGTGACCATTTTTAATCAGCTTATTTTATAACTTACCACGAGGAATAAAATGAAATCTATTTATCTGAATATGAAAAAACCTAAATGAGCACAAGGTAATAATAAATTTTACTGTATTGCCTGAACCAGTTCAAAAAAAAAAAAAAAAAAAAAAAAAAAAAAAAAAAAAAAAAAAAAACTTAAGAGACAGGAAGAAAGAGTAATTTCAAATGTGAGCAGGGAAGAAAAGAAGCTATTCTGTCTGTACAGAAAGATTTATTTTACCCTATAACTTGATTTAGTTTATCGATTATACATTCGTTATTTTATTTTTTTTTTAAAAAAAATCTCGTTCAAAAAAATAGAATGAATGAATAATTGCAGATGGATAGATGTACTCTTGTTGTAAATGATCTTTCATGTAAAATTGTCCATCCCGTCTTAAAGAAGCTTGATCCTGGTATCATTGATAGAAAACCCGCGAGCATAACCTATAATTTCATATCCATTATGAATTAAATATCTTAATGATTCTTGGTAGTTAGGTAAATTGTTGCAGATTAACTGTATCAAATCATCAAACCAGGAAACGTATCAGTCATGGCCTTTTTTTTTTTATGTATATAATTTGTAACATCCTCATCAGTATAGTCAACATAAAAGAACATACAGATTGCTTAGTTTTTTGTTATATTCACATCGAGATTGCAAGCATAATAAATATGATATTTAACGTATAAATCTATTTATGTTTCTAGAATAAGACGAAAAAATGATTTTCCTTGAACAAATTTAAATAAATTTATAGCTATTAATTAGTTTACAGTAGAGGTAGGAAAGACCTATACAAATACTGTTGTATAGCATATTGAAAAAAAAAAAGAGCAAGTACTAAGCTACGTTTCTTTTCTTTTTCTTGAAGTTTTCTCTCGTTAAAAGAGTTCAATTATACATGTACATACATATTACTATCCAATAACATAAACGCACTTATTACGTAATATACCCTTTACTGAACATGACAGTCTACTTTTATACCAAGCTGTCAAATGCAACTATGACTTCCCCTTGTTTAATAAACAACAGATATATGCAGATTAACTTTAATTCCAAAGTGTTTGCTTTATTATCAATAATATTACATATAATTTTTTTTCTTTTAGTTTTCATCCTCAACAACTTCAGTGTTAAGACCTAATAAAATGAAAAAAAAGGAAATTGAGTTAGATAAAATGTCGCTTCATAGATAGGAGAAACCAAAATGTTATTTAACAAATAACTTGAATTTTGGTATGTTTACACTCCAACCTCATGCGCTCAACTAACTGGCCGGAAAATCAATTAAAAAGAGAAAAAAGATTGACAATTTACAAAAATTGCTCAATTCTTTTTAATTGAATTACGCGGAATCGCAGTGATCACTTGATTGCAAAAAGTCTAAAAACCCTTTCTCCTCAACCGCCTTTCTATATATATATGTGTATATATGTACATGTATACAAATATATATATATCAATATATATAGTATATAACACTTACCCTTGAAGCTAGCAACAGGAACATAGGTAACATAAGAGTAAAGCTTTTCCTTAGCATCTTCATCATCGTTACGCTTACGAGCGATACGGACACGAATACGATGGTTAATGTGCTTGACACCACGAGACCAGAGAGCCTTGTTCAAAGCGGGATCAAGACGAACATCCTTGGTACCCATAGCCTTTTGAGCAAAGGCCTTGACAGCCTTAACAGCGTGAGGAGTACGCTTTCTCAAAGAACGACCAAAGACGTGCTTATGTAAGTGAATGGTATATTCACGAGTGACAACATCAGCAAGGGTAGAACGCTTTTGAGGAGTGGACTTGGACATCTTATTATTATTATTACAAATAATTATGTAAGTTTAATAGATAAATTAGATGGATGGATGGATGCAACTATTTACCTTGAATAGTAGATTAAAGAAGGATTTCTTTACTTTTAACTTGTAAGTTGGCTTTTTTTTTTTTTTTTCTTGTCAACCACTCCATTTGATATTTTAAATGTCCGCTTCGTAGAGAAGAATAGTCATGATAATAACTAAATATTAGTACTTTTAATAAAGTAGCATTGTATATATGTATTGAGTGGTGATGTAGTACTGTATCAAAAAGAAAAAAAAAGTTACTTTATAAGATATGATTTAATAAAAATAGATAGATAACAAATCAGGTTTTGTTGTTTAAAAAAAAAGTAGTTTCTTTATGTTATTGATAAAAGATTATTTGTTGTTTACTGAGCCCAACTTGGCTCTTGTATATAATAAATGATAAATAACATCTTTTAATGAAACTAGGTTTTATTTTACCTACCTTAGGAAGCCTCTTTTAAATGTATTTTATATTGATTAAATGATTGTCATTACAATATACACCTTTCTCTTATTCATTGATGATAAAATATTAGAAGCAAAAGAAAAAAAAACTAAATCAAAGTAATATAAAAAGGCAAACTTTTCGTACTTTCTTTTTTGTTTTGTTTCCATTCTAATAACAAACACTCAATTATCTTTTTAACAATGAAGGCTTTCTTTACTTCTGCTAGTTTACTTTTGGCTGCCACTTTAGGTGCTCTCATGCAGGCTTCAAGTGCTGCTCCTGTTGCTCAATCTAATGAGGCTACTACAATGTATATAAATATAAACTTTTCTTTGTTTGGTATTTAACATGCTAATCTTTTATTTAAATATATATTAGGGGATATGAAGCTGCTTATTATGATCCTGCTGCATTCACTGTGCCTTATGCTTGGCCATGGCCTTACTACATAGCTTCTGCTGAAGATATTCAGGCTCTTCAACGTCGTCGTCCCCGTCCTGGTCCTCCTACTCCTCCCACTCCTCCTACCCCACCTACTCCTCCTGGTAGTGGTGGTGGTGGTGGTGGACGCTTCCCACCTACTCCACCTACCCCACCTACCCCACCTACTCCTCCTGGATTTCGTTCCCATGAAGACAACTTGGCTAAAGCTTAAAATGGCTGATATATATTAAGACTTCTTACTATTTTCTTCTCCCCCCCCCTCCCTCTACCAACTAAAAAAAAATTGATTACCATGTATATATGCATATATTATATATATATGATTATATATTTTTATACATATTTACATATAAAATAAAAAAATACATATTAAACTCCTTTGAAATATACTTGATATCTATATGTCTTATTTAATCTATTGTATACTATAAAACAGTATGAACGTCAATTAGTCCTATTTTTATTATTATTATTTAAAATATTAGATGTAATGATAAACTAAATAATTTGGTAATCCCCAAACTTCATAACCTAGTGCCTTTGCCATCTTAGCCAGTCCCTCTGTCTCTACTTGATGTTGAAATACAAAAGGAGGGAAAATAGCCCCAGCACGATGGACCTCAGCCCTCACTAATGTACATGTTCCACCTACTGCATCTAAAGGTACAGTATAAAATAAATCTGTCTGACCATCCTCATGTCGCATGTCGATCATTAACTTTCGATGTGTAATCAACTCGGGGTATCCCTCCACTAACACCTGATCTGCTGCTAATGTCTTTTGAAACTCTAAACTTTCCGGTGTCTCTTGCCAATTATTCTTATCATATCCACCTTCCTCGTTATAAGAGTGCCAAAAGCAATTGGGCGCTAGTACATCCTTATTCATGCCAATCAGTTCTTCTAAAAGAGTTTCTGGATAATCAACAACATCGCCATCTAACCAAAGGACCCAATCATGGTCCTGAGTTAAAGCCGATGATAATAATGTGTTGCGGCTTTTGGCCATTATGGATCGTCGTTGCACTTGTACCTCAAACGCATGTCGATCTTCATTGGTTGCCAAGTCATATTGAAAATCTTTTTTCAAGATGTGTATACTATGAAAACGATGTGAGTCGAGTTGAGATCGTTCTTGTAGTCTTTCAATCGTTCCATCTGTAGAATCAGAGACAAGAAATCCAAGTGAGATGAGATGATGAGGATAAGTTAGTTTAATTATATTATCAAAATAACGATCAATAAATTGAACCGATTGCTTGAATGGAGTCAAAATCAAGACTTGGCTTAGTGTTGCATTGGATATCTCTTGATTATTTAAATCGCGAAAAGAATATAGGTGTTTTTCAGAAGCTGGTATTCTATTACATTTAGTTGTATTTGCTATAGAATTATTAAAAAAGAAATATAATAAAATACAACTAGCTAAGGCAATACAAGTGAGTTGAAATCTTGAATTAATTAGCATTATTGTATAAAGATGTATAAGAAAAAAAAAAAAAAAAAAAGAGAAAAAGAAACGGACTTTATTTATATTATAAGGGGTAAAAAAAAATAAAAAAATAAAAACACTCCAACATTTCCTTAAGAAGCGGAAGTGTAGAAATAAATTTGTTCCCATAAAGGTAAATAGTCTCGAAGCACACCTAAAGACAAAGATATTAGTTTTTTTTGTTTTTATTTATTTTATTTTACTTTTATTTTATTTTTATTTTTTTTTTACCTGCAATGATTGATAAAATAGGCTTCGATTCAGCTTTATTACAAAATCTTTCAAGTCGAGGTCGAGTCATTTTAACATAAAAGGCACCTCGCATCAGATTTAATAAGATTAATTTTAACCTTCTGTGATATTCTTGCTTTTCTAAAGGCATCATGTTATTGTTATAACTTCCCTTATTTACTTTATAACCTTTCTTTAAACTTAATAATGATACAAGTTCAATTAAAATAGATAAAACCCAAGGTTTCCATGATTTTTTGCCCCAGCGTAAAATTGAAATAACTATACGGGAAATAAAATAAGTCGATCCTTCTCTCTCTCTCTCTTTTACTTTATTTGATTCAAAAAAAAAAAAAAAATCTTACCATAAATTAAAGGTCTAATGATATAAAGTAATTCGCCTAGTTTGGATATATTCTTTTGAACTTGCACCATTTGTTCTGGTTTACAAAGTTTTTCAGGTGTCAATACTTTAGACAATAAATATTCTGTTACATCCATTTCTGATTTAAGGGAAGGTATTTTGATGCCAGTTCTCTTTCCAATCCATTCATCTTTGTTGTTGTCGTCTTGAGTAACTAAAGTGGAAGGATCGACATCTCTTTGCAAGTGATTAGGATAAAGTGTCATTCTTTGACCTGTTGTTTGAAAAACAACCAATCTCAACAGGACTCTATAAAAAAAGAAAATTGAATTCATGCCATCTTATTTCCCTCTTCTTTTCTTTTACTTTAAACTTTCGATCAAGACAATGAGTTGCCATTGTCTTTTTTTATCTAATTTTTTTAGAACAGCCATTTCCATTAATACTTGAGTATAAGTCATGATGGACAGTAAAACTGAAGCAGTTGAATTTAACTTGGATCGTGAAGACCAAAATCGAATATACTTATTAAAAGCAGACTCTTCCATGTTTGTATTCTCTTGCACTGCCCTTCTCAAGATAGAATTATGATAGAGACCTATCAAATTTAAAGTGGCATATACTATATAAAAACTAATGAGTCATTCATTCGTACTGAAAGATGGATTTACTTACAAGCTTGAGAAGCTAATTCAGCATCATGAAATCGACCTAATTAAAAAATAAAATAAATATTAGAAAAGAAAAGGGAGAATATACAAAATTGAGAGATACTATACCAGGTAAAATATATGTAAGGGATCTAAGGGATGTTTCTATGCTAGTTATTTGTGAAGCATTTTTTAATAAAAAATCTTCATACAAGTTTAAATACTCCATTATGTATAATCTTTTTTTTTTTTTCACTTGTATATATTTATAGATGTATAAAAAGAGAAGAAAAGAAAAGAAAAAAGAAATGAAAAAAAAAAAAAAGATACACAGTAATTTAACATGTGTCAGCTTTTATTTTATTTTATTTTATTTTATTTTATTTTTTTTTTTTGTAACTTTTTTAAACAATTTTTTTATTTTTTATTTATTTTTTATATTTGCTTTTGTTTTTGTTGAGCTTCTTCGGCCATCACAACAAAACGTTCTAATACTTTGTTAAACCCAATACGGCCTACATCTGCATTTTGTTTAAATCTTCTTATTGAAAATTCTTCTAAAACATTAGACCATCCTGACATTAATCCACTTCCTGCTGATATAGTTGCCTCTTGTGAAAATTTAGTTCTAATATTATCAGTTAAAAAAAAAAGGGATTCAGCATAGTATACTCTATTATGTTATATTACGCGCGCTTTTTTTTTCCCCTTTCTTACTTTGTATTATCTTCTGTATGTTCTTGATATATAATTGTTTCATTACATGTCAGTAAATGGCATAAGGTTAGGTTTATCGAATGCATAGTAAAAGTCTTTTTTTTGGGATCAATAACGGATATCTCTCTTACATATTGAATAGAGCTAGAGCCAAGAATCTAATAATTATAGTATCAGTATTTAAAATTTAGGGGCTCAACTTTATTCTGAATAATAAGTCAGACCTTCTTGATAAGAGTGGGTATATTTTGATTCACTGTAATAAGTCGCTCAGTAGTCAAGATGCCTGTCTCGGGATCTATTGTACGATTGAGTACATCAACATGGGCTACATGAGGACAACTTTCATTTGGATATTTTTGCCATTGCGCTGCTGATACCAAATTCCATTCATAATTAAAGACATGTGTTGTCTTGAACCATTTCATCTTTATTTTTTAAAAAAAAAAAAGCTTGGAAAAAAAAAAACAAAGATGTGGGGGATATTATGTGGAGAAAGCCGGAATAACAAAAAAAAAAAAAAAAAGAAACAAAAAAAAATTTAAGGAGTTTTATAAACATGAATACAGATCTTAGGGGTGCTTTGTTGTACAACAACACGAATAAAGCAGGGTGCGCATATATTCTGCCTAAAAAAAAAATGAATTTGTAGACATGATTGAGTAGATTTTTTTTATTTTATTAGAATGTATTACGTAAGAACCGCGTCTAAGTTTATCACCTAGTGATCATCTAATCAACATGATATAGAAGATGAACCTACATATAGACTATAAGATATTCATAATTTGAGTTTTTAGCCTTTATTTTATTTTATTTTTTTTTATTAGATTATACATAAATACTACTGCAATGGTATATTAATGATCAATGACATGTGTATTCTTTATTATGAATAATGTATGTATTATCTCTTTTTTTTTCTATGATTTCTTTGCATAAACATAATGTAAATTCATAAAGGCCTTTTGTGACTCCATCTCAAGTAACATTGTCTCAATATCTTTATCATATGGGATACCATCACTAACACTACTGACACTACCGTCATAACTAGCTAAGGAATCTGCATCCATATGCTCCTGAAAATCAGTGAAAAAGTCTACAATACTATCACGAAACATGACTCCTAATCGACCACCCCAAACACCCAAAGGTAATGAAACATAATTAGCTTCAAAATCAGATGAACCCTTCCTTCTTTCCATCATGGCTGCGTCATGGCCAGATGGGTGCTCAAACATGGTAGGGATCATAAGTCCTAGACTTCGAGCTAAACGAGGATTTAAATTGTGTGTCTCCATAGCACGATACAGTTTAGTATTTAGTTTATGAGTCACAGGTCCTGCCTTTGGATTGCCATAAATTCTCAAATCCAGTTCGTAAATTTCCACAAAGCCATTAGGTTTACAGATCCTACCGGCCTCATGGATCAAGTCCTTATAAGTACAGTTCCCGTATGCGTCTAACAAAAATCGAACGCATACGAGGTCAAACGCATTACTCGGGAAATCTTTAATAGTTCTCAAAATATCATAGAAGCAACGAATATATTTAAAGTTTTTGGGTGCCTTATGTTGATCGGGTAAGAGAGGGCCACCCGATCGGTCATCGATACCCACTACTAGCCAATTAGGAAACAATTTGGCAACTTCCATACACCAGGCACCATCGCTACATCCAATATGTAAAATATGTTTTCTGGTATCTGATGATAAAGGACTTTTAAAGGGTCTAATTTATAAATTTAAATAAATAAAGAAAATAGAATGTGTGAATAGAGGTGTGTGTATTGTATTGTATTGTATTGTATTGTATAGATTTGATGGAACATACCCATTTAATGCAAGATGAATCAAGTCATTTCGAATCATGGAGCGTAAATGTATTTTATTTGATGATTGACACACATGAATGCTACCACGATGTCTTTCTTCCTCCTCCTCTTCTTCTTCTTCCAAAAATGAGCTCAGTTCATCCCAATCGACTAAATCACCATCCTTTTTTAATTTTTTGAATCCAACTTCAGGTTTATCAATGTCCTTTGGTAAGGAAAAAACCGAATTATTTCGAGACACTTTATTATGACTGACGAGTTCATGGGTTGGAGTTATTTCAGCGGTGTTGTGACAAAGACACGGTGGGTGCTTTGTCCAATCTTTGGATCGGATACTGCCGTTATCTTCATCTGTTGACGATGTTCCTTCGTCATCCGCATCATTCGAAGTTGTATCTCTACTATTACGGCGTTGAGTACAGCAGGAACAGCTGTAAGAAGGATCCTGTGGTGGATTTAAAGATGCAAGTGAAGCACTACTTTCTGGCTGTTTTCGTCCAAATAAAAGCCCATGGGGTCGGTGAAAATGAATGACATCATCTTTAAAATGACGAGAAAAGAGAGAAGTTGCTTTGCTACGAATAGATACTTTATCGTCTGACAAATAACTTGCACTATCATTTGTGGTATCATGTGGTGTGGTAAGAAGATGGTTATGATTGATATCCATCGGTTGTGGTGAAGACGGGGGAGGTAGCCGTGGTGGTAGTTCAGGATTACTTTTAGTGGATGTTTCAGTAGTCTCTGTTAGCTTTGCATCGTGACGATGCTTAACATTATTTAACCAGTTAAATAAATTATGACTATGTTGTTGCTGTTGCTGTTGCTTTTGGTCTATTTCATCTTTATCATTCAGTGATCTTATTTTGGTCATATTTTAGATAAGTAGAAAATTATTATTATTATAATTATTATTATTTTATTTATTTATTTTGCCATAGTTTATTATTGTAGGAGACAGAAAAAAAAAAAAAAATAAATAAATAAAAATAAAACTTAATATAATTTGTTTCGATTATTTGGACCTCATAATAAATTACAGCAAACCACTTGATATATAACCAAAAAAAGAAAAGGAAAAAAAAGGAAAAAAAAAAAGTAGCGAGAATGAATTCAACTAATGAATATGTATTACTCTTGATAACCTTTGCCATACAAATTATAATTATGATGCTTTTATATGCAAATCTTTTTTTATATATCGACATTGGGAGAAGTTCAGTATTTTAATGCTACTTTTTAAAGTGACTTTTTTTTTCTCTCGTCGCATTGGTCCTAATTTAGATTTTTTTTTTTCACCTTTTGATCTTCCTTTTTGACATTGACATGAACACTAATCTATATAAAAGACGTAGATTACGCTCAACACAGCCTATTCTAACTCGAGCCCAGTTTCGAGATCTCGGTCAAAAAATATTAGGATTAAAGTCATTTAGACAATCTGTTGAATTTTTAATGGTATATACATGATTTACATATAAATATAAAATAAAGGGGGAGGAGGGAGAGGGGTACCAATATCCTTATTTATATAAATGTTTATCTAATTAGGACCCTTATAATTATTTCAAGTTGAATAAAGTTAAAATGGCAGAAATACATCAATATTTATTGAATAAGGGTATTACTCAACAGAAATGTCCAAGTACCCATATTCGACAAGGTGATCACTCAAGAGTTTTGATCTCTATTTTATTTCCTGGATATCCTATTATTAAAGCAAGTGAACATCATTACCAAGATCAAAGAGAAGGGTAACATAAGATATATTAACACATTTTTTTTGTAGTTATCTCTCTTAGATAAATAATATCATGTAATCTTTTTTTCTTTCTTTAGTCGCTCACCTCAGGCAAAATCGATTGATTTGGCATATGACAAGCTACCTACTACAGACAAATATGAAAGACTTGAAGAACTTTTTCGGATAGATGTGAATTGGCATACAAATGCATCAAATTCTTCTATTGATATACCATTAAAGAAATTAAATCGATCTATTGTAGTAGAAGGTCATGCATCTTCAAATCTGAATGTACGTCTCTTTTTATACCTTTGGACATCTGAATTTATGTCCTGGACTCCCTCTTCTGATTTTAAATTGTTTGTGGATCAAAACGACAAGGATTGTCTTACCCAATCTGACAGAGTAAGGAAAAGAAAAAGAAAAATAATGAGTAACACCAAGTATTTTTATTCATTTTATTTTATTTTATTTTATTTGGGTGTTTAGGATATTCATCTAGATGGGTTTAAACATATTGATATTACAGAAAAGTCAGTTCAAATACAAAAGGCAAATCGTCGAAGTACAGGTTCTGTCAAATTTCAATTTGTATTTGGAAAAGAAAAGCCTAGTACAATACGACATATCTCAGTATGTGCTGTCGTTGAAAAGACAGAAGAAGAATTGGCTAGTCAACTCTATCTACAAACATCTGCTCTTTATATTGGAAGAGCGATGGAACGATCAAGTAAGAAAACAATACCGTTGGAACAACAGGAGGAGGTACAGAAAAAGGTAGTCGAGCTTCTCAACCCATATGACCAAGCGCATGATAGATTAAATTTAGCAAAAATGGAACAGCTCTTCCTTTCTTGTGCAGATACATTTATAAAAGAGTGGAATGGTAATAAGACTTGAAAAAAAAAAGAAAAAGGAAAAGGAAGGGGAAGGGGAGAAGGAAGCGAAGATTTATGTGTATATATATATATGTATACAAATACTTATAATATTAAATCTATAGATGACGATGAAGAAGAACGAAATAATAATGATGATGATGATATTGAAGTATATACAGGTGCTGAAGTGATTTCAATGCTTGACCCTATTTCATTAGAAAAAATTCAACATCCTACTCGTTGTATTTTTTGTAAACATAATACTTGTTTTGATGCAGTTGTATTTTTTAAATTTCAAGTCAAATCCATGAATTGGAAATGTCCACTCTGTTATATTAAAATACGTGGAATTCAGGTATATATACAAATATATGTAGTTGTATAGTGATTAACATATAATATAATACATAGGACCTTTATATTGATTATCAGCTCAAGAGTATATTGAATAAATATCCTGAACAAGACAAATTTTTACGAGAATACAATAATGCTTATTCTGTTGTTTCTATGTTTCAACAGAAGGAAGATGACAATACCATGAATAATAACAAAAAGAGATCATATGATGTAGTATTCATTCCAGACGATGACAATCTTGATGGTCAATCCTCTGTCAAGCGTGTAAAAAATATAATTTAGAATTTATATATACACTTATAGAGTTTTTTTTTTCATACATAGAGAATTTGTAATATAATAATAAAAACACTCCTAAACTTTGTATTTATATTAAAGAGTTGTTTTATACACATCATATAAAGTTGCAATTATATAGTATTTCTTTATTAGTAAATAAATAAAAGGTACTATATAATAATAAAGGGGTGTTTTTTTTTTAATAACGTAGCAATGGAGAAGGCGTTTTTATTTTATTTTATGTTATTTTTCAAGTACTTTGCAAAAGAAAGGGGGGGAGATACCGACATTGTTAGTAACAGATATGATCATGAAAACAATCTGCTTTTATACATAATTAAAATGGAGGAGTAGGTGGAGTGGGAGGGGTAGGTGGGGTGCCACCGCCACCAGGAGGAGTAGGTGGGGTAGGTGGAGTAGGTGGAATGAAGGGTGGGAAGATAACGCCAGGAGGGGTAGGTGGAGTAGGAGGAGTAGGTGGAACGAAGGGTGGGAAGATAACGCCAGGAGGAGTAGGTGGAGTTGGTGGAGTAGGTGGAACGAAGGGTGGTACAAGTGGTGGTAAGACAATAATAGGAGGGGTAGGTGGAGTAGGTGGAGTAGGTGGAGTGGATATGGGAGGCAAAGGAGGTTGAGGAAGAATAGGACCAATGGGGAACATCCAAGGAGGAGGGAACCTAGGATCAACACAGGGAAATCTTGGATCACAATATGGATAGGGCAATACCTGATGGAGTTGTATATCTCTGTTTATAATGAATAATAAATAAAAAAAAAGTTATCTATCATGTATGCATCATTTATATATAACATTCTGTACCTATTAGCCATATCTTGACTATCAGCTGGGGCAGCGTTAGAAAGCTGAATCAAGGTTACTAAGAGAGTAAACAAGAGGAAAGCAAGAGAACTAAAATGGTTTGTCATCGTACAGCAAGATCAAGATTTAAAAACAAGAAGTAGTTTGTGTTGAAGGATTTTTAGGATAATGGATTTAAGAAATGTTTACCCTTTATATATAGTTTAATTCAAGCCATTTTTTATTTTATTTTATCAATTTAACGGTTTTAATACTAAGTGGTAAAAACAAAGATAAAGAAGATAACTATTTAATCATTTTATGTATAACTTGCAAAACTTTTCATATTCAAAATAAAATTGAAGCATATTTAATCAGTAAAGTTTTACAAAATGTCTAGCATTTATACAACATAATACAACTATATTACGTTCTAGTTTATTTCCTTTATATAAACTGATAATAAGAACACATATATAGTTAAGCGTATAATCCAAGTTTTCTAATTATTTTATTTAAACATTCATCTACTCATTTTGATATTATCCCAAAAAAAAAAAAAAAAAAAAAAAAAGCACAAAATATGCCGTTTTAGTATTTTAACTTACTCTGTCTATAGCAAATATATGTACAGATACAAAATCTTCATGTATAAAGTGATAAATGAAAATAACACACTTTATTCTAATTTTGACGCGCAACTTAATGAAAAATATCTATATCTTTAAGGGACTTGCTTATAAGATGCTAATATATGGTATACTTAAAACTATAGTAAATTGATTTATAAATCTTCATATTAATTTAAAAAGGACTAGTCTTCGCATTTCACAACTAAGTTATAATGTTAGAACTTTTTTCAACTGGTCATCAAGTTCATATTCATATGTATAAACGAATTAATGCCAGAATAGTTCTGATTTAAAACTTGAAACCTAGAAACAATTCATGATGGGAACTTACCCTAAAGAAAGCAACTTTATATATAAAACTCTTTAAATAATAATCTTCTGTGTTGTTCAGATATCTTAATAAAATTAGAACCAATATAGAGATAAAAGAATAGTACTTAGAATCTAATTCAGTTAGTAACATGAGGAGATGATGAATAAGCGAATTGCCAAGTATTAATTTCCTTCGAGTACTAGTAATAGTCAGAAAAGTCTGTACAAATCAAAATCAGAAATTTTAGAGGGTAAGAATGATTCAATTTTCAATGTACTACAAGAAAAGAAAATATTAATAACATGTGTAGATGATGATATTTACTATGATTATAAGCATTTTAATCTTTTTTTTTTTAAAATAGAAAGCATTTATATACGAGAAATTATCTGTCTATTTTATTATTTGTTAAGTAACAGTATTTTATTCGGTAAGTAACAAAGCTTAATTAAAAAGAATTATTTAACTATTATTCTTAGATGGAGTATTGATATGTCTATCCACTGTTGTTTTGTATTTATTTTATGAGAGAGGAGATAAGTCAAGATGACATAACTGTTCATTGGGGATTAAAGTAATGAAATCCTACTGTAGCTCCTTCTTCTTGGATGCTTATGCAAAAGAGATTGTTGGGCCTCTGACAAGAAGAAAAATAAAACCGCCTAGTTGATACTCTCACGTTAAGATTATAAAAAATAAATACATTATATTTTTTGTTGGTTGTTGATATATTATTTGTGTTTTTCATTCTCTCATGATATCACTTCAATCTGAGTATAGTACATATACATACACATACATCTTGGGTATTATTGTTCTTGTATTAATGAATTATTTTATGTATTTTCTCCTTTTGAACTAATCTCAACTCCTTTGTCTGTCTGTAATTTATATCAACTTTTGTCTTACTTTTTTTCTAAAAAAAGAAAAAATGTTTCAGCACAATAATCAAATTTCAACACAGCAACATAATTGTTTCTTTATCAGATTATCTACATGATAAAGTTGAGTTTACATATTTATAAACAAATAGAAATATCTCTTGGTCAGGAAGATCAGTTTTTTTTATCTCGATTTGCACGTATTATACACCTTTTGCTAAAATGATGTTGCAAGAAGAAAAATTAAAGTGCCACACTTAAAAAAAAACAATGTCGTATGTTTTTTGAAAAGAGTATCATATCTAAAAAAAAATATGTCACGTATATATACTGCAGTAAAAGTAATGCTAAAGGGTGGATTCTATTTTCCTAGAAGGTGGTTTTCTAAATTACAATGGCGAGGGTTTTACAAAAAATTCAAATACATAGTAGAAGAAGATGAAGTGGATCATATCAATATAAAGATCAGTGGAGACAAGCAGCTTATTAATATTGTTGAAACTGTCACTCCAGAAGCAGTTCGAACACGAGTTGAGCGTGCAAAAAAAAAAAAAAAAAAAAAAAAAAAAAAAAAAAAAAAAAAAAAAAAAAAAAAAAAAAAAAAAAAAACATCTCGAAACGAGACTATGATCTTGTCAACAAAGAAAACGTAGTCATAAAGGATAATCTTAGTCGTATGATTACTTCTCCTATTAGCCGATTCTTCAACTCTAAAGAAGATCTCGCCTGGAAAAATGATTTTGGTGGCGATTTATTAATGAAAAAGACAGACCTGAATGCAGAGGAAGCCACAAGAATTGTTAATGAGTACGATCCCAAGTTTGTCAAATCAGTTGTTATATTGGAAAATTATTGGTTTTTCATGACTAATTTTTCCTATTTCTTTCACAACAACTTCCAGATCGATGATTATGCTGATTTTTCGAAGATTGGATACGAAAAAAAATTGTAGCTTTCATCAGAAGAAAGATAAAACTTGGGAAATACTACTTTGAATTAACTTATAGGTTTGGATATGTTAAATTACTTGAAACAAGTGAATTATTTGACTCCGTAGATGGTACATTTTTCTCTCCTTTCCTTGGGTCATCAATCCAAGAACTTCCAGTAACCATCACAGCAAGCTCTGAAACTACCTCGACCAACGTAGTATTTATTACCATCGAATATATATATATATTTGCAAGAACAGGATAATGAACCAATACTATAAACTAAATACGAAAAACAACTGGGGGTTCCACAGCAAGAGGTATAAGGACAAAGGTTTCTCGCCAGCGAATCCATTGTCAGTTGAAAATTTTAGTATTATATATTCAGCTGCATCGCTCGTAATCAAGTCATTTGCATACCAAAAAATACAGCTAAAGCAGATAAACAAGCTGCTATCAAGAGTACTAACTCAAGATGACTTAACCCTTACCTTTGCCAGTAAGCTCGTTAAGAAATATTTTGTCTTTCTAAACAAGCATCGAAACTCTTCTTTTTCTTTGTCTCCGCCCAAAGAAACATAAAAGGAGTTGATTGAAATTTATAATAACTCTCTTGCTGGTGCCTTAAAATCCTTCAATATCAAGAACATTAACTTAGCCAAAAAAAACCCCCGATCTGTAACAAAAAAAAAATTGATTTATTTGGAGAAGAATAATGACTTTTTTTTTATTACCATAAACCTTTCAATATGTAAATAAAAATCAATCCCTGATATGTTGAGTACTTGTTTATTGTCATCGTTGCTGATTTTCATATCGTATCGCCCTGAACATCAGTGTGACTGAATCTACCATTTCTCAAACTGTTTTTCTTAAGAACCAGGTCTGTGCATATAGAACCATAAATCAAGAAATTTCTCTGCCCTTTGGCATTGCTTTTATTGCATATATGTGACACTATTTCTCTGAATTGTACGATACTCTTTTCAGAAAACATACAACACTTTTTTTTTTATTTTAAAGTACGACATCATTTTGGTAAAAGATGTACATCATTTCTCCGCTTGAATAGAAAAAAACTTAACCTGTATAAATATGGATATTGCCAGCTAACAAAGAATGCCCGCTGCTGTTGCTTAGAGAGTAAAAAAAAAAAAATTAATAAATCGAAAAAGAAAAAAAAAATTTTTTTTTTCTTTTTTTCCCCATCTTTAGACTTTTTACTGTTAAAAGCGAAAAAGAAGCACAAAGAGGATAAAAAACTTTCAAACAATTTCAACGGGAGAGAGTTATTTTTTATTCAAAAGTTAAACCATTTGAATTTTTTATTCTAAAAAAAAAAAGTCGCACTCTCTCTTTTCTTTTCACTTGCAAAAGTCGACGCAACTCAAAAAAATAAATAGCAAAAATTATCAAAGGTTTTTGTTTTTTTTTGGATTAGTCTACTCTATCGTTTTTTTTTGTTTCGTATATCATACAAACACACATATAGTACAGCAAAGAAATCAATTAAGCATCATAAACAACAACAACAACAACATAACATTCAATGGAAAATCAACATTATGTTCATAAACAATGTAATGAAGTAGAAGAGGCTAATGTTCCTCATTATGCTACTGAAGAAGAAATTCTTGCATCTTTTGGTTATAAGCAGGTAAGAATATATAATTTTGATTCTATAGTAGTGTGTGTAACAAATCAGCTGTCAAAATAAAATGTACATCAATTTATTTATTTATTTTTTAGGAAATGAGTAAAACGATTTCTACTATTTCTAATTTTGCTATTGCCTTTGGTTGCTGTTCAATTTTATCTGGTTTAACTCCTGTAAGTAATAAAGGGGTTGATAGTGTACTAAGGCTTTATATATATATATTTATATACTGAATTATTATTATTATATTATTTATAGATGTGGGGTGATGCTATGTTGTCTGGTGGATCTATTGCCGTTATTTGGGGATGGGTCATCGTTTCTGTCTTCACATTTGGTGTAGGCTTGTCACTCGCAGAAATTTGTTCAGCCTATCCTGTAACAGGTGGTCTGTACATTTGGGTTTCACGTTTGGCACCTCCTCAATGGGTTCCTATTATGTGTTGGTTAACAGGATGGTGTAACTGGCTTGGTCTTACGGTTGCCATTACATCTGCTGATCTTGGTTTAGCTGAATTTATGTCTTCAGTTATTGGAATCACAAATCCTGATTATAATGCAGGTGTCTATTGGCAATATGGTATCTTTTTAGTGATTGTCTTTATTCATGGCATTATTAATTCAATGCATATCAAGTATAACGGCTTTTTCAATCAAGGTTCCCTTTATTGGCATCTTATAGGTACCTTGTTGATCATCATTGTCGCACTTGTCTTAACACCTAATAAACCAAGTGCTAAATGGGTCTTTACCTATTTTGAAAATGATACGGGATTTTCATCAAATTCCTATGCATTCTTGATTGGTCTCTTACAATCTCAATATACCCTTTCAGGTTTTGATAGTGCAGCACAAATGTCAGAAGAAACCCGTGATGCGGCACGATCAGCTCCTCGTGGTATTCTCTATGCTATAGGCGCTGCTGCCATTACAGGTTTCATCTTTATGCTCTCTGTCAATTTCTGTGTTCAAGATTTCCAACGTCAAATTGTAGAGTCTACACTAAGCCCTCAAATGACTCAAATTTTCTTAGATGGTGTCGGCTATAGATGGACGGTTGTCTTTACGGTTATCATCATGGGCGCTATGTTCTTCTCTGGTTCTGCTCTTACATTGGGTAGTTCTCGTATGATCTATGCCTTCGCTCGTGATGGAGCTACCCCTTTTAGTCGATGGTTAAGTATCGTTAATAAATCTACTCAAACCCCTATCTTTGCTGTCTGGGCCAATGTGATCTTTGCTGCTATTGTTGGTTTGCTCTATATAGTGAATGAAACGGCTTTTAATGCAATTGTCTCCATCAATACAATTGCTTCATCTTTAGCTTATTTCATTCCTATCTTTCTTCGTATGACAGTCGCTCGCAAGAAGTTTGAACGAGGTCCCTTCCATCTTGGCCCCTTCTCGGGTATCATCAACTTTGTAAGTTGCTTTTGGATTCTCTTCACCTCTATTCTCTTCGTTTGCCCTACCGAGTATCCTGTCACGGCCGCTAACATGAACTATGCCTCTGTCATCTTTGTTTTCGTCATGGTCGCATCTCTTAGCTACTATTTCCTTCGTGCTAAAGAATGGTTCCATGGTCCTGGTAGAAGCTTAGAAGATGAAGGCCAACTAAATCCTGTTACTTTTGATGATAATTTTGAATCTATCACTTTTAGTCCAGGTTCGGAGAAAGTTAAGAAAGTAAATGAAGACTATGATAAAAAGGCATTTACTGCTCAATAGTCTATACTATCTTTTATTATTATTATTATTTTCCTTTCTTTCTTTTTACTCTATAACAGACATCTCTCCCTGTTCTGTATTTTCCTGAAAATAAAATTTACTTTTTTTTTTTTTTTTTTTTTTCGTTATTTATTTACTGCATATAATAAGATGTTTATTTTTTATTCAATAGAGCCGGAAAAAAAAAGTATGCTATTCAGTTTGATAACAAATGAAAATATTTATTAAAAAAAAAACCTTATATATAAATCTCAATATGCTGTTTTTCTTCATTATCAGCCAATAGTTGTTTACGCAACTGTAGTAGACACTTTGTTTTGAAGGTTCTTCATCCTATCTTTTATTTCATCAATCGTTAAAGATCTATATAAAGAGAAAAAAAATGAGTCGTTTTTTTTGTTCAACCTACTAATAAAAAAATTTATAATTATCACTTACTGATCATTCAATGTACGTAAAATATTCTTGAGCTGTATAGGGTTCATATTGGTAGTGTTGAGTTTACTAACATTTGTTTTCTGATCTTGAGCTTGCTTCAATTGTTCTTGTAACTAGAAATATAATATTAATAGTTATAACATAATATATTTTTATTTTTATTTTTTACCATTTTGATTCTTGCAGCGTAGCCAGATTCCCCAGAAACTTTTTTAGAAAGCTTTTCCAGTTTCTCAATCCATTCTTCCTCTTCCTTTGAAAGCTCAGGTTGATAATTTTTCATTAAGGTACGTAATTGTTCGTCAATTCTTAGACGTAATTTTGTATGTTTTTGAGCAATATCTCTTAATTTTTGCTGTGTTTCATCTTTGGCCTTATCTGAATTCACCTTTTGTAATCTATCATATAATTCTCTTACTGTATTTAACTGTCTTTCAAATTCTTTTTGTTGTAAAAGTAACCTAATAAATAAAGAAAAAAAAATTAAATTTTATAGAAACAAAGTCTAATATTTCCCTCCCTCTTTTACCTGCTATCAATCTTTGAAGCAGCTTTTTTGATATCACGAGCTTCACGACGGATTTGTTCAGAAGCTTTTGCAAAGAATCGAAGAGTTTCTTCATTAACAACAATTTCTTTTGATCCACTCATCTCCGAAGGGATGACGACTTTAGCTTGTTTTGGTAATGAGTCAAGTTGAGGAGGAGGAACGAAGGCTGGTAAAGGTAAAAGGGCTTGATAACTGGTACTAATAACTCCTTCTTCAGCACCAATATCCTTTAATTGAGCTTTAATGGCATTTTGAGATGCTTCAGATATAACGGTGTCACGACGCATATTCAACTCCCTTATCACCAATCGATAACCACTAGTAATTGCTAGTAAAGAATAAGACAAGTAAATATCTGTAATAATAGCTAATCCTGCAATAGGCAAGAATCCATCTTTGAATGGAGAGGTGTTGACAAGTAATCTAACTTCAGAAGATGATTTTTCTTTTAACCAACCATCTAAATCACGCTTGGCTTCAGCGTCTTGACCAGATTCATATTTTATACTAATATCACGTAAATTTTTTATCCAGTTTGTCATTGAAATAGCATGAACACCGCCAGCGTGATAAGCATAGTATACATCTTCATATAAAGGATCAGTAATTAAGGTAACGCTCTGGAATTTAGGATCTTCTTGAGCTTTAAGATTAATTATTTCATACAAGGAAGCTTTAGGAAGGAACTCTGAATCAGTAAGTAAAATTGCCAACTATTACAAGATAAAATATAAATACATTCATATACATGTATATATATAAATATATATGTATTAAATAAAACCTAAGTTTTACTATACCTCTTTTTGCCAATTATTTTTAGCATTTATTACAGGTAACTGCCATTGAGCATCAATTTCACTTCCAAGAATATAATTATGAATAACACCAGTATTCATTGCTAATGCAATGCAGCTTACTGGCTCAGCATTCAAGAATAACATATCTGTAACCTCAATACCGGCGTTAAAAAGCTCTGTATGATTAATTAAAAATGGTCCTTGTCTTCGTACAGGATACAAACTATGCTGATTATCACTTGAAACCGTTAAATTATCATTATCTAAAGCAATTGTCTTTCGTGTAATTTTAGCAGACTGAAATAATATATCAATCCATACACTATGAAGGCTGTAAAGGTGAGATAATGTCTTGTGTTCGTTTGCTGATCCAGATTTAGCTTGTTCATATTTAGCTTCAGACAGACATAGAAGATTATCTAAATGACTACGACGAACGATACTATAAAAGTAAAACCGTAAATAAAAATATATCTTCTTCTTCTTCTTCAAAAAAAGCACTACCTTCTGTAAGGAATAACAGGACAAAGAGCATAAATATGACCACTTCGAAGTGCATAAAAGATAGTAAAGCATTCCCAGCCACTACTATCTTTGCTAGGACCTCCAAGAGCAAAAGAAACAACATCTTCATCAAAATTATCCTCGTCATCAATAGAATAGCCAATTTTTACTCGATTTTGTTGAGGCTTTCTTTGTTCTGCTGGAGATAGATCAAAGAATTGTTCAGGATTATCGATATCTGCACTAACATCAAACATTCTATGAAATAAAAAAAAGAAAAAGAAAAAAAAAGAAAAGGTTATTATTGCTGTATCTTCATTTTATAAATCTTTTACCTTAAGATGCTGTCATTACCAAGAACAACAATATGAGTACGTGTTTCACTAAGAGGATGCCATTCAATTTTAAGGATACTAGTTTTATTGCTATCGTAATATTTTGTACCAACTGATAAAGTACGACAATCAATTTTCTTTCTAGAAATAGTATCAGAAATAGTTGAAAAGCCTTGTCTTGGTAAACAAACAATGACTAATCGTTGTTCCCCAGTTACTGCTAGAAGACGACCATTCTTATTAGGAATCATTGATTCTATTCTAAAGTTAATTTCAGGTGTATCTAGAATCTACATGTAGCTTATTTAGTGAATAGTTTATTGTTAATACTATTCTATCATAAATAAATAGTACCTTATAATGCACAGATTGAATCCAGCCATCAGATAATTCAACACCCTTTTCATCAGCTTCTTGAGCGAGTTTCATCCATGTATCTTTAAAAGAAGTTAGGTTGAGTACTCTAATTTGAGGACCAACTGCTACAAATAAATCATTATCTCTAATTGAAATAACACGATTATGATGTTGAAGAACAAAATCGGTAATATTATTTTCTTGACGTGTTTGCTTTGCTTTGATGTTTTCTGAGTATTTTTGCTCTGAATCCTTCAACTCAAAAATAGAATGTTTAACAAGAAAATCTAGCCAACTGTCATTCAAACTGTTCATTTTCGTATGATTCTTATTATTTTTTATGTGTGAATATATAAAAAGTATTTTTTTTTTTTTTTTTTTTTTTTTGACAACTTTTTCTTCAAGTGTGAAGTCTATACGCGATTTATTAAGCCTGTGACAGTTTTTTTTAAAAAAAAACCCAGTCTAAGAATTAAAATAATGCAATAGATTAAATAATATTATAATAAGTAGCCAAGTTAAAGAAGCCCTATATGTAAATATTTATTCAAGTAAGTCAGCTATTTTATGATAAAGTGTATTATCAATAGCGCCTACAAAATTACAAAATCTTTTATTCAATATTAATGAATGTCTAGAGTTTCAGGAAGTTTATTGTTTTTGTACAATAATCGTGTTTTCTTAAATTATTAGTCTAAAATATGTGTATAGAATATAAACTTGAAGGCAGAAAATAATTGCTTAATACATATATGAAATGTTAAGTATTTTATCGAGGATTGCCCTGATAAAATCACTAACACATTAGTAATCTCTCCTTAGAAATCAAAATTTATTTTATTAAGTGGTAAGAGTTATTTTGTATGAATATGTCATATTTTATAATAATAATAATCTTATGTTCAATTTGTTGTTTGCATTAATATTTACATAATTATTCAAGGAATTGTTTTCATTTCTTCTATATCGCTTTTAGTATTTTGTTTAACAGTATTATGACGACGAGCCTTCTTAACAGCCCAAGAATATTGTTTTGGCCAATTAATATTGACGTTTAAGGACTGAGCAGCACATAAAACAAAAGCACTATTACGTAAGAACTCACGACCTGCTAAAATAAAATCAGCATTGCCCTGTTGAAGGATTTCTTCTGCATCTTCACCTTCAACAATTAAACCAACAGCAGCAGTAGGTATCTGGGCTTCTCTTTTAATGGCAGCAGCAAATTGGACTTGATACATAGGAGCAGCAGGATATTTGACACCCTTCATAATTCCACCACTCGAACAATCAACAAGGTCAACTCCCAATTTCTTTAATTCTTTGGCCAATCGAATTGATTGGTAAATATCCCACCCATTAGGGTTTTCACCCATGGGTTCGGGGTTAACATAATCTGTACACGAGATACGGACCCAAAGAGGTTTGTATTCGGGCCATACAGCACGGACAGCTTGAACAACTTCTAAAGTAAAACGAATACGATTCTCAAAACTACCACCATATTCATCTGTACGTTTATTAGAGCTACCAGAATAGAAACTACTAAGTAAATAACTAAAGAGAGAGAAAGAGAGAGAAATAGAGGTGTTTAGTTAGTAATGTGTAATCCATATCTAATCTTTTTATGAAACTATAATGGAATTTGATTTTTAGATTACCCATGAGCAGCATGAATTTCCAAAACTTCAATACCAGCCTTATCTGCACGAGCTGCAGCATTGGCAAAATCTTGAACTGTTTGTTTAATCTCTTGGACTGTCATAGCATGAGGACGAGCGTAGTGATCTGCATAAGGGATATCAGTAGGACCTACAACACGACTTGGCCAACCATGATCAGCTTCAGTTTCAACATAATCACCCTTAAAAGGGGGGGAGGTAGAGGCTTTACGACCTGCATGAGCAATTTGAATACCTGGAACACTACCTTGAGCTTTTATCGTCTCAACAATACGTGCAATGCCTGGAATATGATCATCGCTCCATATACCAATATCCTGTGGTGTAATTCTACCTTCCGGGACAACTCCACTAGCTTCAATAATGATTAAGCCTGGACCTTTAAGGGCAAACGACCCATAATGACTGATATGAAAATCATTGACAAAACCATTAACGGAACTATACATGCACATTGGAGAAACGCCAATATGATTGTGCATTGTAATCGATTTTTGATTGAATGGCTGAAAGAGCTTTACTCTCTGGGCATCTTCAGGATGAATGGGTGTACCAGGAGGTTTTTGGAAGTTATGAGCATTAGGTGAAACAAAAGGAGGCATTTTATTATTGATATTTTGTTTAGAGTGTTATGTAGATAAAAAAAAAGGGAAGAAAGAAAGAAGAAACAAGTTTAGAAGTATTATAGTTCCATAATGAATGACCTTAACTATATTTATACAAACCAGTTTCATTGCTTCAAAATTTTGACGAGGCTGTACGGATAAAGTTTCATATTGAATAACGACATCATTAATTAATATTTAACTAACTATGATACGTTATTGCAAAGAAATAATAGTTACTACTTAGCTAGGCTTTCAAAGAAAAGGTTATTTTTAGAGTTATAATAATGTAAAACAAGTATTGGAAAAATATAATACATAAACATTTTTCTCTATTTTTTTTTTTTTTTTATTATTCATTCTCTTATTATAAACCATTAACAGCGTGTAGTAGTGTCGAGGACTTTTTCCGCTTTCCAACACTTGTGATAAATTTTTACCATATTTGGCAAGCGTTACTAAGACTTCTATTATTCAAATAAAACTACAGTTCGACAATAAAACCTTTGACGAGTGTAATGGGACCCCTTCGAGGAGCCTACAATAAAAATGCAGACCCTGCCCTCACTGAGGAACAGCTGTCTGAACTCGACATTAACTTTTCGACATTTCGAAAACAATTAACATGTCCTGCATGTTTCAAAACCACTACTTTCCATAGACATGGGTCTTCAAATAAAGAACCCTTCCAGCCTCAATTTTCATGCACCTCCTGTCACAAAGCTGTAAAAGCTTTTGAAATGTACCCTATAGTCCGTTCTGCTGCACAAAATCAACAACCGTTGTCTCTAACGACCTCCAACGTGGAGATTATGCCACCCGAATTGGAATCTACTACTGCCAGCAACAGCCAATCTGAACTTATTAAGCAGTTATGCCAAACTGTCGAGCAGTTGACTGCAGAACTCTCTCAAGCACGTAGTGAAATCCAAAACTTACATGCCCGACTTAACAACATGCCTGCCGTTACAACAACATCGGAGTTTCCCACCCTCCAGGAATCCCAAACCCAGCTTACTAAATTCCCAGATGCTCCTTGGAACAACAAAGAGAAAGTACAAGCACTTAAACAACCTTCACTTCAACAACGTGAACAACGCCGTCTCCAACGAGAAGCTGCAGCCGCCCGCTTCTTTCAACCACCATCATTGAACCAAGGTTTCAAGTTCCTCTACATCCCAACAAAAGCCCGAATTCCTGTTGGCACCTTACGCACTACCTTTCGAAAACTTGGTGTTAATAATGCTCGATTACTCGACATTCATTATCCCGCTCGTAATACAGTTGCCATTCTTATCCATAATGATTATGAAACCGAATTTACAGACCTTCTACGCCACCATAACATTACAATCAAAGCAGATTTTAACCCCTCCAGTGGTAAGATCCTTGCAGATCCCAAGTACTCCACTCTTACAACTAATGAAAGAGACGTCATAGCGTCAGACCTCCAACAAACCCGTCTGGAACGTGCACTTGACCATATTCGTACACCAGTTAAATTCGCTGTTGCCCGTTTTTTCCTTGACAAACAATGGATTTCTAAACGAAAATTTGACTCACTCAAGACCGATCGTAATACACAACTAAACAATATCTTTGATTCTCCTCAACAACAATCAACACCAACATCGGACGGTATGATTACTGATGACACCGAAAGAGAAGACGTTCCTATGGACGGCACTCAAGGAGAACAATCCGGTAATACTACTTTTGCTGCCTCTAGAGCTGATACTCCTCCTCGACATTAAATAAATGAGTTCTTTACGAATTTCTTTATTTAATGCTACAGGCCTTCCAAAACAAGCAATATCTCTTATACTCGAACTATCTCAAACCTCTGATCTGCTTTTCGTTACCGAAACGTGGCTCTTATCACCAAACCGCTATCCTACTAACTGGTCTCAATACCATACATATGGCAACCCAACAAACTCCTATAATGTTCATCGGGGAACTCTTGGCCTTGCTCTCTTGGTTAACCCACAGTGCAAACTACCTATCTACCAAGTCACTCATGAACATCCTTTATTAGCTAAGTATTCCTTATCAACTATTATCTCGTCTAAGATACTGGTCCACTGTCTTTATTTACCCCCATCATTAAAAACTGACGATATAACACAAATACTAGATTTATTACCGTTACATGTTTCAAACACTACCACTACTATCATTTGTGGGGATTTTAATGCTCGAATGGGTGATGTTACCGGTGACAGCCGAACAAATGCTACAGGCCGGCAAGTTCTTAACTGGATGATTGCGCATAATCTTATACTATGGAACGAACGTCTTACTTATGGAGAACCTACGTCTTATACATTTCAAGGTACAAGTATCATTGATTTCTTTTTTAGTAACCATGAACTAGGATCACCTAATCTTCAAATTCGCGATGATCTATCTCTCAACTCCAATCACAAATTCATGACTTTCTCATTTATTGTTTCAGATCCTCTCGTCAATACTCCACTACCAAAAAGAACCACTTGGAATCTTGGAAAACTCAAACACCTAAAAACCAGAGACAAGTATAAGAAAGTGTTCCTTGAAAATTTTCCCCTAATTCTTCCTCCACATTCATCTCTTCCTTTTACTGATAGAACTACAGCCTGTCATTACATAGATTCCATACATAACCAATTGTGTGACGCTATCATCTTGGCGCTCGATTCAGTTTGTGGCCGGCGCTCTCCTCAGGAAGACGACTACATGAAGGATTTCTGGACACCTGAAATGACAGCAGCTTTTAACAGAAAGGAATATCTCTATAAGAAATGGCGGAAAGCACGTGGACTGAATAGTCTATCGTTGTGGATCCAACACCAAGAAGCACAGGCATTATTACGACGATTAGTGACTAAACGACGACGTGAAACATGGAACCGCTTTTGTGAGAGAATGGCAAAGGGTGATTATACAAAAGCAATTGCGAAATTTAGCAAGATTCGTAAAAACCGGAAGATCAAGTCAACCTTTTCAATGCCTGAAGGACCACAAAATTCCGCCGACGTCATGGCACATCATCTGGAGCAAATTTTTGCAGGCAACTTGTTACCGTCTCGTAACTCCACAACTACGACTCAGAATCAACCTTTCAATGACATTCATACATGTCCTATTGATATTGATTGCATTAACACAGCAATTAAAGAACTTCCCCGTGGTAAAGCACCTGGTGTGGATCATTTCACTGTTGAGATGCTACAACCATTGACTGAAACCTTGACTCCTGTACTCCTATACATCTTTCGATTATGCTGGCAATGGTCGTACACACCTCTCTCCTGGCGTGTGGCCCAAGTAATCCCGATACACAAAAAAGGCTCTATCTCTGACCCAAGCAACTTTCGTCCCATCAGTTTGACGTCCACTTTTCGTAAGATACTTGAAAAATGCCTATACACTGACCTCGAATGCCAGAGTCCAAAACTTGACATTGCCCAAGGAGGTTTCCGTAGCTCCCGGAGTACACTTGATCAAGCCCTCTGCCTCGTAGAAACATGTTCAATTTTCCGTCGAAAGCTTAAAGTCACTCCTACTCTCGCTTTCCTTGACATTAAATCCGCATATGATACTGTTGACCGGAATTTTATTTGGCAATCCCTTCGACCGTACATATCTCCAGCACTGCTTGGTCTAATTCAACATCTCTTTGACGATGTCTATATAGAAGTTCTAGTTTCGAACGCTACCTCTTATCGGTTTTCACCTACCACTGGCGTCCTACAAGGTTCCATTCTATCACCGTTTTTGTATTCCATTTACATTAACCAGTTGCCCTCTCTACTTCGTCGTCAACCGCTTGATGACGTGCCTCCAACAGATGTCTGCTGTTTTGCTCGATCCATCAATTGTCTCCTGTATGCTGATGATGTTGTACTCATAGCTGACCCTACTGAACTTGAGGACCTGCTGCAGAAATGTGAGGAGCATAGTCAACGCTTAGGTTATCGCTGGAATCCACTGAAATGTGCTATACTGGCTCCTAGTTCTGATAGTCGTTCTTATTCTCTGTATGGCACTACACTACCTCGTCAGACATCCTTTTCCTACTTGGGTATCTCTATTAGCCCTGGTGGTCTCTTGAACACAGCTGAATTAGTGCAAAACAATATTAATAAGGCGCTTCAAACTATGAATCAAATGACGTCCCTCGGTGTCAATCACAAAGGTTTTGATCGGCTTCTCTCTGTCCGTTTTTACACTCAAATAGTACGTGCTCAGCTTGAATATGGCCTCGCTATTAACTCGGTCTCTGCTACTCAAATCACAAAATTAGAAGCATGTCAAACACAATGTATCCGAAAAATTTTTGGCGGTAGTACTCGGTCCTCAACTAAAGTTATGTTGCACTTGGTCAACCTGCCCACAATGAAGGAACGTGTTTACCTCCTGCAAGCTAAATTCTTACTTCGGTCTATCTACTCTCCGAACGATACTCTTGTTTCCAAGTTTTTACCACATATACGCCCCTCTTCAAGCCATTCTCAATGGTATAAGCTTTCGAAAACACCTATTTGGCAACGGTATACTGCTTCTTTTGACGATAATATTTATGATCCTCGTGCTTTTGCTGGTATTTGTAAAGCATACCTGAAAGATAATCTTAATGATCGACGAAACAGTAAGAATGCCGTTCTCTTGTCTGCCTGCCGTCCTACCCTAGGTATCGATCCTATCCTCTGGTTACCTATGTCAAATGCAGAACGCAGTCGAATAGTCCGCTGGCGTCTAGGTTGGTTACCTGGTGGTGCCCCTAAACCATGCATATATCATCCTAATGAATTGTTCACAAGATCCCATGCTATATGGTGTCTACATATGCATCAAAGATTGCAAATGCCGTTGACCGAACCCGACCCTTTGTCCTTCCTCTTAAATAAGCTGCCAATTAAACAAAAACGCATGCCACCAATCGCATCAGCTTCCAACTCATCTGACTTTCCCGCCTGGAAGATTCGTTGGCCTGCTATATGCCTTCTACTTTTTGAACTTGACTATCTCCATCATGGTAAACTTCCTCCAGAAACTGCCCCCCTTGGTGCAAAACTTGTAAACTGGCTACGTAACTCTAAATCTAGTATTTATTGATATATCTTGCTTTTCCTCTTCCCTTCTCTTTCTTTTTTACCCTTTTGCCTATCAAAAGGTTTTTTAGTACATTTTTATCCTTTCTTGAACTGACCCGGGCAATCCAATACGCCAGTATTATGTGCTCACATGGGTTGTTTAAATTTTTGTTATAAAAATTTTTTGTTATAAAATAAAATAATTCTTAATCGTGTAGTAGTGTCGAGTTTTAACATCCGAAGAGTTATATTACGGAAAATGTTTAGACTTGGCAATTATTATCCTTTCAATAAAACCTGCACATTTTTTTTTTTAATTCTCTGTAAGCGATTGTTTTAATAATGATTGATGTTTTCATTAAATTATTGATTTTATTCTAAAGACACGTTTTTTTTTTCAAAGGCATAATTCCCATCAAATACTATAAGTATGCGGTCTATTTATTTGAGATACAATAATATCTCTGGTGATTTTTTTTTTTCCTTTTTTTTGAACCGAATTCATAACAGTGAAAATGACAGATATTTTGTATTCTTCCAAGCATAAAATTAATTACATCTAGCCATATATAGATATATATTCTTACATTACCTTTCTAAATAGTATACTATACATTGCTTAAATATGCATTTTTGTTTACAAGTTAATATCGTCTTAACTCTACATGAGATATTTCAACTATCTGGTCGGAGCCGATAGGTAATTTTTAACAAGCACTTGCAAAAGATCTTTTCAAATAAATTGAAAAAAAAAAAAAAAAAAAAAAAAAAAAACGCAATATTTTGCCTAGAAATTAAATTTATTCCCTTTTTTTTTATTTTATTTTATTTTATTTTATTTTTTCTTAGTTTTATTTTTTATTCGAGATTAACTGAATGTCCAATAAACTTCGGCAAAGACGTGTCGAAACAACTGGAGCTTCACCAGAAAAGTTTTCTGATGTAGATTATGATGACTCCAAAAAGGTATTAATCTGAATATAAATTCTAATTCTGTCATTTAAACTTATTTCATCTGTTTTTTTTTTTAGTACGGAAAGGAGATCGTCCCCGTAGAAACAGCAATCACAGGTCATAAAATTGCCTTTACTGTCTTAACTCTCCTTGGATTCTTTATTACCTTTTATAAGATTTGGAATCCCGCTGAAGTTGTGTAAAGTAGCTTTAATCCTTAAACTCATCTACTTCTTTTTTTTCTAATCTCTTCTTCTTTCCCTTGATTTATTTAGATTCGATGAAGTACATTTCGGCAAATTTGCAGGCTACTACTTACGCCGTACGTATTATTTTGATGTTCACCCTCCTTTGGCCAAGCTTATGATCGCTGGTGCTGGTTATCTCTTAGGTTTTGACGGCCATTACGATTTTGCTAATATTGGTGATAACTATGTAGATCACCAAGTACCTTACATCGGCTTACGCGCTCTTCCTGCTACCCTTAACGTTATATCAATAGGGTTGATCTATCAAATCATGAAGGAGTCTGGCTATGCATTACTTGTCTGTATACTTAGTACAGCAATGTATATTTTTGATAACGCGATGGTCACACAAAACCGACTGATCTTGCTAGATTCTATGTTAGTTGTTTTTATGTTGGCCACAATTTATTGTTATGTAAAGTTTAGAAAATTAAGGCATGTGTCATTCAGTATAGAATGGTGGGGATGGTTAACTTTGACAGGTGTTTTTATGGCCCTTACTGTTAGGTAATATATATATATATATATGTATATGTATATGAAGATCATTTATTTCTTATTTCTTTTTTCTTTGTTAAGTGTTAAGATGGTGGGTCTTTTCTTGGTCGCGTTAATCGGCTTATCTGTCATTTATGATTTATGGATGCTTTTGGATATTAAACGAGGATTAACAATGGTATAAAGAAAAGAAAAAAGCTCTTGTTTTTATTAGAGTGTGATAATCATATTTATACGTGTTATAATAGAATCAATTTATGAAACATTTTTATGCTCGTGCATTCAGTCTTATTTTTGTACCTACAGTTATTTATCTTTTTTGGTTTTATGTTCATTTTGCTATTCTAAATGAATCTGGTCCTGGTGATGATTTTATGTCAACCCGTTTCCAAGATACACTTAAGAACAGTCCATTAAAAATGGCTGCATTAGGTAAGCAAGTATATTATAAAGTTGTCTTTTTTTTTTCTTCTTCTAATGACATATCTTAAAGAGGTCCACTATGGTGATGAAATTACTATTAAACATAAAGATACAAATGCTTATCTTCATTCGCATGATTTACATTATCCTCTTAGATATGAAGATGGACGTATAAGTAGTAAAGGACAACAAGTGACAGCAGTTCTCGAACCTAATGAAAACTGTTACTGGCGTATTAAGCCTGCTAAATCTGAAAATAACACTAATGATGATGAACCTCATCTTGTCAAAAACGGAGATATTATTCAATTAGAACACGTTGTAACAGGCACAAATCTCCTAACGCATGATGTTGCCTCACCCTATATGCCAACAAATGAAGAAGTCACGACTGTTCCACTAGACACACGTTACGATGAAACACTCTTCAAGATTATTTTTGAAAGCGATAATAATGATATTTTAGAAACACACATGACTTCCTTTAGACTTATCCATGAGGATACTAAAGTTGCTGTTTGGGCACATAACCAAAAATTACCTGAATGGGGTCTTGAACAACTTGAAGTGAATGGCAATAAAAATGCAGTTGATAAGACCAATTATTGGAGTGCTCAAGATATCAAGGGCAAGAATGCTACATTGATTAATGCACATAAGGCGAATAAAGAACGAGGTCATATGCCTTTCATTAAAAAGTTTATAGAATTACAAGGCCGTATGATTTCACATAATGCGGGACTTACAAAGCCTCATCCTTATCAGTCTACTCCTATTACTTGGCCATTTATGGTACGTGGTGTCTCCTATTGGTCCCATGAAGAAAGCCGCTCACAGATTTACCTGACAGGTAACTTGTTTGGTTGGTATTTATCTGTGGGTGGTTTGGCTGTCTTTGCAGGCATTTTGTTAGCTGATGTATTAGCACGACGTCGTGGAATTGAACCCATTGAAGAGCCTGTCCGTCATCGTTTCATTCAATCAGCGGGATTCTTTGTTGTTGGTTGGGCCTTACATTACTTTCCATTTTTCTTGATGGGACGTTCATTATTCTTGCATCATTATTTGCCTGCTGCAACAGTAAACTATTTAGTTCTCGGTGCTATGTATCAATTCATATTTGTAGATGGTATTGATTGTCCTGTGTCCATTGGTGGACGTGGTAGAATCACAAGAGCAGAAGTCACATGGAAGTTATATGCTGCAGTAATAGTAACAGTCGCGTTACAAGTCGCTATGTTTATCTATTTAGCTCCATTAACATATGGTTTACCCATGACATTAGAACAAGTTCAAAATCATCAATTACTGAGTGGATGGAAGTTGCAATATGGTAAGTAAATAAATATAAGTAGTTTTTGTGTGTGTGTGTGTGTTTTTAATTTATTAAATATTTATATTTTTTTTATTTATTTTTTATAGCCAAATAAATTATATCTTTTTTACATGCATTAAAATAAAAATTGATTTTTTATTACATAATAATTTCTCCTGCCTTTTAATTAAAAAAAAAAAAAAAAAAAAAAAAAGCTCCACAATATTCCCTTTTTTTTTTGTTATTCATTTTTAAATTTTATTAAATAATATGGCTACACGAAGTAGAACTTTATTGTTTCTTCAATATAGAAACTCATATGCAAGAACACAAAGTTCTGCTCATCATTTTTCAGCAGGTGCATCCGAAACGGAAGGTCTCATAGAGAGTTCAGATCATGTCATAGAAATGGCCGTGCTGCCGCCCAAATGGTAATAACATGAATTCAAAAGGCAAAAAACGATTTTGTATACAAGTAAACTAATTTCTTATTATAGGGTAGATATTGTAGACGAAGTTGATGAAGCATTAGACATTGTAAAAGATAAAAGTAAAATAATTCAAGGAAAAAAAAAAGGAAATAGTAAAATCGAAACACTAATTTATTACCTGTAGTTACAAAGCTAGAAGGCATGCATCGCAAACATTTACTACCTGGGTTTGATGATCGAAGTTCAGATGAAGCAGCCATTGACAACTTAACACAAGAAATTACAAACGTAAGATAATTCTAGGCTTATTAAATACAAAGAAATAAACTAAGTTTTATTTAGGAATTTTATCGTATAAAACGAGATATTCAACGCATTCGAGTTGGAGAAAATGATTCCGATCAAGATGATAAATTAGCAAGGAATATACAAACCAGTTTAGCGACAAAAGTTCAAGACGTATCAACAAGCTTTAGGAAACAGCAATCATCCTACTTACAAAGTAAGGTATATTTTTAAATTAAAAATGGAGCTTTGTTTATGACTCATTTGTCGGTAATAATAGGATTACAAGGTCAGGAGAATCGAAAAGCAGATATTTTAGGATTGGAATCTGATCTAAGTAATGAAGCGGCTGAATTACTGCTAGATGAAGATGCACAAGTGGTAAAGAAATAATTTATTATTAATATTTAATTTTTTCTTTTTTTTTAAAAAAAACAATGAATATGCATATATAGGGCTTTACAGAATCTCAGCTGGCAGTATTAGAGTCAAATGAAACGATGATTGATCAAAGAGAAAGAGAGATTACGCAAATTGCAAAATCAATACATCAATTAGCCGAAATATTTCGAGATTTACAGACACTTGTGATTGATCAAGGGTCACTATTAGATAGAATTGACTATAATATTGAACAAACGACAGTGCAGGTTAAAGATGCAGTAGTGCAATTAGATAAGGTAATAGGAGAAAAAAAAAAGGAAAGGAAAATAAAAACTAGTTTCTTACAAACATTTGTGTAGGGCGCTCGATACCAAAATAAAGCAAGAAAACGAAAACTAATATTACTTTTAATTTTGATTATTTTATTATTAATTGTTATATTAATTGTAAAGCTAAAACGACATTAAATACTTGTATGAATAGCATATTTTATTTATGCAAGAAGCAAGATAAATATACCTTTTAATAAGGCCGCAGACTACCTTATTCTATAAATAATTTAATGCTTGTTCTTCTTTTCTTCTCGAAGTGTTAATTCATTCTTCAAACTATTCAAATGATCAACTTCTTGATCAAGTTCTGTTTTATTGTTACTAGAACTGTTCTTTAAATCTTCAACTATTCTTTCCTGTCCTTCAACCGATTGGGATAATTGATGTCGAAGTCCTTTTTCTTCAATAGCGAAGGCTTCTTGCTCATTTTTTGGGTTTTTTGCAGACATTTTTTAACAGAAAAGAATATATAGTTATATAAATGATACTATGTTTCATTATATATGTATTAAAAAAAAAAAAGGCCTATATAATTTAATCATAGCTTCGTTATTATGACGTAGAGGGGGGGGATATAGAGCACTAGTAATTCCTGTTTAGTAGAAGTATGCTGCTATTGATATTTATGTAAAGTTTAATAAAAAGTATTACTTATAGCAATAATAACAGTAATTGCTGCATTGTTTTTTTTTGCTTACATAATGATATCTGGTTCCTAAGCAGTAGAGAGAGATTTGTTGACTCTTTGTGCGATTTTTTATTATAAAATGAGACGACTGCTGAGCCAAAAAAAAAAAAAAAAAAAAAAAAAAAAAAAAAAAAAAGCACAAATTAAATTATTATCTTTTTTTTTTTTTTTTTTTTCTCGTGAACTTTATGACCTCTTCTACTTCTACACATTCTAGCAACTTCAAGTTTTCTGGTAACTAAACAAACAATAATGATATAATGGTATATTTATACTTTTGAAAATAGTGGGGAATACATTTGATTCACTTCGAACAATTCGTATAGCAGCTAAAGATGGAAAAAGCGGACAAGATATTCATTTACAATATTCACATCAGAAAGTGATCGGCAACGGCTCTTTTGGGGTTGTATATCAAGTAAAGCTTGATCAATCAGGCGATGATGCAGCCATCAAAAAAGTATTACAAGATAAACGATATAAGGTATAATTATATGTACCTTTAATAGACAGTTTTGAGTTAACTTTTTTTTATTTTTTGTTAATAGAATCGAGAACTAGAAATAATGAAGGTCATGAATCATCCAAATATTTGTAGTATAAAAGCATATTTCTATACTCAAGGCGATAATAAGGTGAGATATAAATACTCAGTTAATTATTAATCATCATAACTAAATCTCTTCTACTTTGGAACCATTGGTTCATGGTGATGCTCCCGAAACGCTTTTTTAAGAAAGATGATCAAATCTACCTAAATCTTGTCATGGAATATATACCAGAAACTGTCTATCGAGTCAGTCGTCACTACAACAAAATTAAACAATCTGTGCCTCTTCTGATCATCAAACTGTATATGTATCAGCTATTCCGTTCCCTCGCTTATTCCCATATGTTGGGCATCTGTCACCGAGACATTAAACCCCAAAATCTTTTAGTTCATCCTATCACGGGTCTACTTAAATTATGTGATTTTGGGTCCGCCAAATTATTAGTAGAAGGTGCCATTAATGTCTCCTACATCTGTTCTCGATATTATAGAGCTCCAGAGCTTATCTTTGGTGCTAGTCGATATACAACCAGTATTGATATTTGGTCCTCAGGTTGTGTAATGGCTGAATTATTGCTGGGACAACCGCTATTTCCTGGAGAAAGCGGAATTGATCAATTAGTAGAGATCATTAAAGTATTAGGGACACCTACGAAAGAAGAAATATTAACAATGAATCCCGAATATTATATGGAGCACAAGTTTCCTATCATTAAGCCACATCCACTTTCTAAAGTATTCTTTAGATCAAGGGCACCACCAGAGGCCTTAGACCTCCTCTCACATATTCTACAATATGACCCAAAACTGAGACCAACAGCGAGTGAGGCTTTAGTCCATCCATTTTTCGATGAGTTGAGAAATCCTGAAACAAAGTTGACAACAGGTAGAGAATTACCTGAGTTGTTCAATTTTACGCGAGAAGGTAAAAGCAGTGCAAAATTTATGTAGTTAAAAAAAAAATATGTATTCATGTATATAAATATTAATGATTTTATTACATTTAGAACTTTCGATAAGACCTGATTTAATACATAAACTTGTTCCAAATCATTACATGAATACTTTAAAAGAAAAGATGGGAATCGATATACACAGCTTTATACCTATTCCACCTGAAGAACTACGTTTACATAATTTGGATTAAAAAAAAAAATACTGTAATAAATCACTGTAATAATAAATTATGTCATTTAATCTATATTTTGCTGCTGTAATTTTTTTCTTTTAATACTTGCACGAATTGAATTTATCGCATCTTTTACAAAGGGTCGGATAGGTGGCAAATCGTCATTTTCCTGTGCTGATATATTCTTTTTCTTTTTCATAGCCTTTCTTAATTTCTTCTTCTTCCTTTTTAATATCTTTTTTTGGATCGCATCCTCTATTATTTTCTGTGAAGATATATCATCTGCCTTTATTTCTTTTGTTTCTATGTTTACTTTTCTCTCTGCTCCTTCTATTTCTCCCTCTTCGCTTAATATTTCTTTTGCTGGTTCTTCCGCTATCGAAATCTTGACCTTTTTCACTCTTTGGTGATTTTCTGATTGGGATATTCTCTTTCCAGATCTTGAAAAGTGTATCACGATACCACATTCCTCATCTGGTGTATTTTTGGATGTCACATAAGGGTTATTCTTTACAAAGTTTGTAACGTTTGATTGCAACTGTATTGTCTTTAAATAATCTATGACATGAAACAATTCATGATCGCACTTATCGCCATGTTGAAATGTACTCACTTTTATTAAATTATAGGGCTGTTTTACCAACTTGAAAGGTGTATCATCCAGTACGATTGTATTAGCGGCATTAAACTCTGGTAAGACCTCCCACACCTTATCCAGATCTTTAATTGTATCTATTTTACTATAAAATTCAGCAGTTGACAGACCGAAATGGCTGCGATCCCAAACCAGTTGAAGAGGATAATCAATCACTTTACACATGGCCTCTACAGAATGTTTCTGAGCAGAGCTCCAAATCATGACTACGAAATTAGAAAAGATGTAATCGAAAAATGTGGAATGATGTGGACGTAAGTAGAAGCCACCATTGGGTCGTTTGATACGTGAGATAAGGGTACCATTGAGATCAAGCACAAGTAACTGTTTTTTGATAAGCGGTAGTGGTAATTGAATAGTTGGATAGGTTGATGCTTTGAGATATGTATTAGTAGGTGCTGCTAAATTTTTATCAGTCATAAGATTACAAATGCAATGATTCGCTGTAGAAAGAAAAAAAAAATATATAAAACGAAAAAAAAATAAAATAAACAAATACAAATACTTGATGTTCCTTAAAAGGGTGTGTTTTGGGGTGAATATAGTAAAACTAATTAAATTATTATGATGAGTATTAACGAGATGCAAGAAAAGGTATTTTTACATTAAGTCTAGATACTAAAGATCTTTATTTATTTTGATAATCATAAATAGTAGAAAGTTATAAATATCATGCTACAATAAAAAACAGTATCCCAATTTAGCTATAAGCCTTGTCAAAAATTGTTAAAATAAATAATATATTTTTGAGTATTAAAAAAAAAAAAAAAAAAAAAAGACTATCATAAAAGCTCAATTTTATGTATTTTGTTTACAAAGCTGTGAAATAACAAAATAACTAACTCTCTAAAAGTAATAAAAGTGAATGGATAGTCTTCCATAAGATATATATACGATATAGTGATAAAGAGGTACTGGTAAGTATGAAAAGACTTAGGGTAGTCAAGTCATTTCTAAAATTCTTATATAAATAAACATAATCTCTCTATTGATATTCCCATGTTCAGTAGCTTGACTATTATATAGTTACTTTATATTGGAACTTATTTGCAGCAGCGAAAAGAGGGTAATAGAATAAGGAACATTCTTTTGATTGCCTTCTATGTGATATATGTTAGTGTACATAAATTGATGTTAAAACCTAATACTTCCTTTGATGAAACAAATGAATTATAATATCTGGGCATGGCAATAGTTGATGTAATTATGTGATTCAATTGATATCTATTTGACGGGGTCTGACCTTAATCTTATAGAGGTTTTGACCATCTAATTTTACATGTCAAAAACAGTTTTTTTTTTGAATCCCAAGAGTACACAAGAGCTGTTGCAACGAGTAGGGTTATGATGTAGATAGGATTTATCAAAGAAATATCAATCGCTACAAGGCATTGATCCAAATTTATTCAAACCATGGTATAATTCATGTCATTGATCTTGTTGAAGAAGTTATGTTTGTAAGTAAAAAGATGTTGCTCTACCTTATCGATACGAGATGAGTCGATACATGACATTTATCAGAGCCTTTTAATGTAGATGTTTATGCCCTTGCTATCTTGATCTTATTTGTACAACTATTTTTGCTTGATTTCATAGTGGAGGAGCTCTTAAAGTTCTTTAATGTATTTAAAGAAGCTTTGTTGAATATGAAGAAAAAGATAAGCTAACAGTACATGTAAAATCGAATGTATTCTTTATATTCTGTATATATATATAGTAATTGGTATTGGTTTCTCCTTCTCTCCCTTTTGATATTCCACATTATGATAAGGAATAAAGTGTAAACAAGGTATATTACTTTAAGAAAATTTAATATAGTAGCATGAAAATAATTAACAGAATAGATACCAATAGAATTTATTCAATATACACTACTTCCATTAGAATAAATAGATATAACATGGGAGAGGGAAAAGTGGCTTTTTATGAAAAGAATGGTATTTATGCCTTTTTTTTGTGTTACCACTAATATAAGGAAAGTAAGTATTTAGTAGCCATAGCGATAACTTTATTTTCTTTTTTGGTTCAAAAGTAGAAAGGATTATAATTGTTTTTTAATAAAATTTTCTCAATCTTCCCTTTTTATATAAATTAAAATAAAATATTTGTTTGGAATCTGAATTTGAAAAGTAGACTTTACTTATTTAGCCGCGTTTAATGTCTTGGCTATATTTTGATCTGGTGTCATGTGCGCCTATGATTTAAAATGAAATAGATAAGTCGGAGGTTATTTTTTATTTTTATTTTTTTTAAAGTTCGAATCAAAAAAATTCTGGATTGCCCATTTTATCCCCTCTTTGCTTTTTTTTTAAATATATGACACATAAATAGATGTGTTAATTCTATATACAGCTTCCAAGTAGAGAAATCTCTTATAAAGAATAAGAGAATTGATCATGATATATATATTTTTTCCTTTAAAATTTTGCTTTGTGTCGTCACCCTCTACTATTCGATCTATTCTGAAACATGTCTGAGCTCTGTTTCAAGATAATAAATGCATCATATTATCGACTTTTTATGTAAAACAGTTACAACCACTTCATATAAATTAAAATTAATAATCATCATAGGAACAATAAAAAGTGATAATATAAAGAAATGCATGTATTTTTATTTTATTTTATCTATTTATTTTTTCAAAATTTATATATAGTAGAAATCTCAGCTTGATTGGGGCTGTTTTATTCGTAAAATAAGATTGGTTACTAAGGGTTTTTTTTTTAAATCTCAACTGGTAATCCTTGTTAATGTTTAGTTTGTTTAGTGTTTTACCTCAAATAATTCCGTTTCTTCAGAGCTGTATGTTATTATATGTACATCTTTACGAGTTAATTATATTGTCAAAAGGGGAAAAAAAAGGAAAAGGTGAAATATGTCAAAGTATGTGCTACTTAACTTTATTTGCCACACAATCAAATGTTCTCACGCTTTGATCTATTGGTAACAAACAATGAAAAAAAAAGAAACCTTTTTTCTGACATTTTCGTTGTAATTGTTTTTCAGCTTTTCTTTTAACCAATCAACAAATTAAATGAAAAAAAATTTTTCTTGTATAAAAACTGTCAAATTTAATGATAAGACCATCCTTTTCCTTCTTGTTTTTTCCCCCTTTTTTTTTTTGAAGTTTTGAAATAAGAAAAAATATACCTTTACACTTTCTCCCTTATTTTTTTTTTATTTTAAAGTTTCTTTTTTTTTTCTAGAAAAAAAAAATAAATATATTTGTATATAGCATCAATGACCGACAATAAAAGTCTTGAACATGGTAATGGCCATGATGTGGAAAAAGCATTATATGTTGAGCAGCAGCAGCAGCAGCAGCAACAACAACATACTTCTTCAAATAATGATATGATTCATCGTACCTATACAACACTGACAGATACATTAGAATCACATTCTGATATGAAGAACCAAATTAATAATGAAAAGACAGAAAAAGGCTTAACAACGGCTATTGATATACCTACTACTGCAGCAATAACAGATAATAAATCAATTTCAATTGAAATTTCAACAGATGATGAAGAAGAAACAAAAAAGAATAGTGTCTTTCGTCAATACTATAGGCGTTATAGACCCTTTATTCAGTAAATATCTTACCTTTTTTTTTGAAATTAAAAGAGAGAAAGAAAAAAAAAAGAAAGAAAGAGAAAGAGTAGAAATTGATCGTTCATTATTATTATTAGTATTGCCTATTTTGTCATTTTCACAGGTTTCTTAGCAGCTGCCTATGCCCTTCAAGTTCCTAAAGGGTATAATAAAGAAAACTTAGTCTTGGGTCTTATTTACGCCTTTTTCTGTCTTAAATTCCTCTTCAAATATGTGCCTACTACTATCATCACTCGTCCATTTTCGTGGTGTGTTCGTAAAGTAGGGGAACCTATTATGAAATTACCCTATCGAATTCGGATTATAAGTTATGCGATCTTTGTATTAGCCGTGATTGTGGTTACTGTATTCTCATTACCAGCAAAACCTGAATCACCACGTATTCAACGTCTTATCGGTCTCTTTGGTATGTTTGTCTTTATGTTCGTATTATGGGCTACCTCCAGTAATCGTCGTAAAGTCAACTGGAATACAGTTTTAACCGGTCTATTATTTCAATTCATTTTGGCTCTCTTTGTATTCCGCTGTAGTGTGGGTCAAGCTATTTTCCAATGGGCCTCTAATTTTGCACAAGGTTATCTAGGAAAGGCATCACACGGTACCTCCTTTGTATTTGGAGATAAAGTAGCAGATTCAGGACTCTTTGCCGTCACCGTCTTCCCTACTGTCATCTTCTTTGCAGCCACTGTACAAGTTCTTTATTATTTTGGTGCACTTCAATTTTTACTGAAAAAATGTGCAGTCTTCTTTATGGCGCTTTTACAGGTATCAGGTGCAGAATCGGTAGTCGCAGTTGCTTCTCCCTTTTTAGGACAAGGTGAAAATGCTTTACTTATTAAACCTTTTTTACCCTTCTTGACCAATTCTGAGATGCATCAAATCATGTGTTCTGGTTTTGCAACGATCTCAGGATCCGTCTTGTATGGTTATATTGCTATGGGTGTATCGGGACAAGCTTTATTGACATCTTGTATTATGTCTATCCCCTGTTCCTTGGCAGTATCCAAGTTACGTATGCCTGAAGAAGAAGAATCGATTACAGCAAATGAAGTACGAGTACCACCTAGTGATGAAAAGCCAGCAAATGTTTTACATGCCGCTGGATCTGGTGCAGCCACGGGTATGAACATTGCTCTCTTGATGTGTGCCAATTTAATTTCCTTATTGGGTTTGTTATATGCTGTCAATGCTGGTTTAACATGGCTTGGTAATTTCTTAACGATTCATGAATTAACCTTACAATTAATTACTGGCTATATCTTTGTTCCTGTAAAGTATATAGATATGAATATGAATATATATATATATAGTTGAAATATTTTCTAATATAATGTAATCTATATCATCTATTATTAGGTTGCTTGGATTATGGGAGTAGATACAAAAGATGTTGTGATAGTTGGACAGATTTTAGCTACCAAGATTTGGGCTAATGAATTTGTTGCTTATGAAGCATTAACAACGCAATATAAAAATATTCTCTCTTATCGTTCACATGTAATTACTACTTATGCAGTCTGTGGTTTTGCTAACCTTGGATCTGTGGGTATGCAAATTGGTGTATTAAGTACATTAGCACCAAAACGTAGTGGTGATATTGCGCGTTTAGCTGTGTCTGCCATGTTATGTGGTGCTGTCTGTACCTGGGTTTCTGCAACCATTGCAGGCATGCTTTTATAAATATAAATATGTATTTATAGTTTTTTTTTTATTTTTTTTTTTTTTTATATATATATTTATTGCATAATCCCATATTATACACACACACACACATACACATCTATATACATACATTCATACAAATTAAATTAAATCAAAAAAAGTTGAGATATTAAAGATAATTTATTGTCGGTAAATAATACTTTATTCATATACCCTTTATTATTATTATTATTATTACATATATACATTTGATTGGTTCAAATATGTTTTAAATAAAGAAATAACAATAATAACAGCAACTATTTTATTTTCAAATAAACATCATCAAAGACCCTTTTTTACGTAGCAGTAAACATTTATTAAATGATGATATTATATTTGCTATTTCTTTTTTTTTTTTTTTGTGGTAGTAGTAGTAATTATCTGATGAAACAACGATCAAGGTATTTAATTTCCAATGTCATTTTACTTTAAATATAGACTATGTTAGTTTTTTTCTGGACGAATCAAAATTAATTTTTAGACAATTTTCTTATCTTTTTTTAAACGAAATAAAAATGAAAATCAGACAAAAGAAAATTAGTATTCAAACGAATATAAAAAAATAAAATAAAATAAACTCACCTGTATCAAATTTTACCTCTCCGTTTCTATATTCAATCTATATCAACCAGCTTCCAGCTCGTTTGAGGTTACCACACTAGCTCAATGACTCCTCCACTACTGATGTAGTTGCTATATTTTTACTGTCCGTTAATTGTCTACTCTATGCTGATGATGTCGTCTTTATTGCCTCCGCCGAGAAACTCACTTCTTTATTGTACCAATGCGAAGTCCATAGTTACTATTTAGGTTATCGGTGGATCCCATTAAAATGTGTCATAATCGCTCCTACCAATGATCCTCAACCATATCAATTATATGGTACTGCTATTCCCAAAGAATCCTTATTTTCCTATCTTGGTGTTCCTATAAAACCTGGTGGTCTACTTGACTATGCTGCTTTAATCCAACATAATATCAATAAAGTCTCTCTCACTATGAATCAACTTGCTGCTATTGGTCTCAACTCCAAAGGTTTTCCACCTCTGCTTGTATCTCGTTTTCATAATCAAATGGTTCGTTCTCAATTAGATTATGGTCTTGCCATCAGTTCTCTTTCTGCTGGACTTACCAAAAAACTGGATACTTTTCAGAATTCATGCATTCGACGTATCTTTGGTGGTCACTCGCGGTCCTCGGCGAAAGTCATGCTTCATCTTGTCAACCTCCCATCCATGAAGGCCCGTATTGCAATTCTTCAAGCGCAATACCTCTTTCGAACTTCCCAATTACCAGCAGATACTCTTCTTGCCCATCTTTTGCCTCATGTTCAGCTCCCAAATAATCATTCCCACTGGTATAAATTGGCTTAAACTACATTGTGGAAACATCTATGCTCACCAATCATCTCAACGCTCGACCGAAAACAATTCTACACTCTTCGTGCTCAATTTCTAGACTAGATGATCGATTTTAAACCCTTCGTAAAGACACTAACTCCATCCTATTGTCTTCCTCACGCCCCACTCTTGAATTGGATCCCATCCTCTACTTACCAATGACTACCTCAGAACGTAGCCGAGTGCTTCGATGGCGACTTGGCTGGCTACCGGGTGGTAAACCTAAAGAATGTATCTTTCATCTGTCTCATAATTGGAGCCGGCAACATGCTATTGAGTGCTTACATGTACATCATCGTCTCTACATGCCTACTTCAGTCGAAGATCCCATCTCGTTCCTCCTCAACTTGCTTTCACTATATAAACCTCGTCGTCCTTCTGATTGTACGAGCTGGTATACTTTATGGCCTATTCTTTGTACAATTCTACATAAACTTGATTACTGCTTCCATGATAAATTTCCTCTTGATTTTGACGATCCTGGTCTCAAGCTGCTGAATTGGTTGTCCAAGCAATGGTGTGTGTCTTCCTGGTCCCTTTGATCTGATTTGTATTTAAATTGTTTCTTCTCACTTTTTTTTCGCTTTATCCTCCTTGTATTTTCTCTTAATTCTAAAATAATGCTCTTTTCTTTTTCCCTTCTTGTCCTTTAGGAAGGTTTTTATTCTTATTTCCCCTCTATAACTGGCTCGGGCAATATTGCGCATTTATTTCGTCGCTACATGCTCATTGCCAAAAAATTTAAAAAAAAAAAAAAAATAATAATAAAACTCAGAATTTAATAGTATTAACCCTGGCTATAATTTTTTTTTTTTTTTTTTTTTTTTGACATACATAAATTTTTTTTTTCTCTTCAGCAGCCAATCTTTCTCTCTTTTTTTTTTTTTTTTTTTTTTTCTTTATTAAATTTAATAGCCAATGACAGATACAACAACACATCAACAACAACATCATCATTTGATTTCTTCTACTCCCACAAATGGTGACAATTATCCAACAACAACAACAACAACAACAACAACAACAACAAATTATGAAAATAACAATCATCCACTTTTACAACCACACACTCTTTATTCTCAATCACATTATTCTTCAATGGTAAATACTTTTTTTTTTAAAGCTTGCTTGATTGATTTACATACTTACTTTCTTATTTAATATTATGATACAAGCCATCTATGGTACATTCAACTACTACTACTACTACACATGATTATAATTCAAGTTCATTAGACTCAAATACAACTGAAGAACAACCTCTTTATGTAAATGCTAAACAATATCATCGTATCTTAAAACGTAGAATTGCAAGAGCTAAATTAGAAGAAATGAATAAATTATCAAATAAAGGAAGAAAACCTTATTTACATGAAAGTAGACACAAACATGCCATGAGAAGGCCAAGAGGTCCAGGTGGTCGATTTCTAAGTAAGTAAAAAAAAAAAAAAAAAAAAATTATTATTTTTATTCATCGATAAGACCTTTTTTTTTTTTTTTTAGCTGCAAAAGAAGTAGAGGAATTGGAAAGAACGGGTAAATTATCAAACCATTCTTATTCTTCTTTATCAGATCAAGATACTCTTAATCATCATCATCTTCCTTTTAATAATATGAATACAAATCAATTTAATCAACAACAATCTACTATTTAATTCTATTTATTTATTTATTTAATAAAGCCTCTTTCTTTTTTTTTTTGGGTGTTTATGCAAGTTAACTGATTGGAAACTGGGTTTAAATAACTTATAGTAGGATGATGCATGTGTTGTTGTAAAAGATAAAGGAAAAAAAAAAAAAGAGGGGATTTTAAAACTCCATTTTTATCTCTATCTTATTGTTTTCCCTCTTGGAAACAAAAAAAAAAATAATGACTTGTTCAAATTTACCAACTCCTTCATTAACTGCTCAATGGTATATATATATATATATATATATATATATACGTGCACATGTTTTATACATTAGTACAATTTCTAATGTACATGTCTGTGTCTTTTTTTTTAAGGTTTCATGCAATCGATAGTCCCATCTTGGATCCCATCGCCATTCGAAAAGAGAAAAGAGAAAAAAAACCACCAAAGCCACGAACACCTTCCAAAAAATGGATTTTATTTTCTAAACGAGATAATCTTGCACTTGAAAGGGCATATAAAGTAAGAATGAAAAAATAAAAAAATAAAGAATTCTTTCCTCTCGTCCAATTATACATATATATATATATTCATACATATATTATGGAACTTACCATGAGTAAAACTAGAAAGTCTTGACTCTCTTACACATCTTTTTTTTAGAATGAATTAGATAAAATGAATAATAATAATACTATTGTACCTGTGAATGAAGATTATTTATTCCAAGTAAATCTATTGAAACGAGAAATAAGTCCTATTTATTGGGAAGGTCCTGTATTTGAAGTACGTCGTGCTACTTGGTTTATGCAAGTGGATGGGGTTTGGTTACCTTGTGAAGAAACATTAGCCTATCAGATTGAAGAAGGATATCAGTAATGTACACACATACATAGGAAAAAAAAAAAAAAAAAAAAAAAAAAAAAGAGAGTAGAATTAATTTTTTATCTGGTCTTTAGGAAGCATAAGCCTTATCAATGTATTATTGATAATGATAGCAATAATCATAATCATGAAACAACAGCAGAGTTAGATTTAGGTGAGACGACAAAAGAAAAAGTGTCCCAGTTGATCATGACAGAAGAATTACAACAAACAACTGTAATAGAGGAAGAAGAAGGAGAAGGAGAAAAACGAGAGACATTAGTAGATCCTTATACAAATCAATACATTATTTATAACAATGCATATCAAGCATGGCTAGTACAGTAATAATGATTATAAACAAAAAAATATATGTATATTTGTATATGATGGATATACACATATTAATATCTTTTTTTTTTTTGATAATAGAGATGAAACTACAACGATCTCGAAAAACTTTTTTATAAAATTAACAGTCAAGAATAATGTCAAGATATCACTTGTACGTGGATATGATCAAGTCCTTAAAAAGAAGAAAATGATAAAAAGTCAAAAGAAGGAAAAGAAAAAAATGTGAAATTATCAGACAAAGAAGAAGAAGAAGAAGTAGAACTAAGACGGGAACCTAGTCCAATAGAAGAAGAAAAGAAGATATCGAAACAAGCTGCTGAAGATTATGAGAATGAAGAAAGTGAAGAAGAAATGAGAACTATTAATCAACTTGTACTTGTCATTCATGGGTAAATAAATATAAGAGAGAGAGAGTGAGTGAGAGTAGTAGTAGTAGTGAGAGTGAGAGTGAAAGTGAGAGCTGTAGATAAATAGACAGACAGTCACTAAATGTTCCATTCCTTATCATAATTATAGTATTGGTCAGCAAATGTCTGAACGTCTTACAGGACAGAATTTTGTACATGGTAAAATAATGTCATCATTCATGAACTTGTTTATAATTAGATAATTAATACTCTATATATGATTTTAAAGACGTTAATATATTAAGAAAAACAATCAAGTCAGCATGGCCTTCTTCTATTTCTACAAAGGAAAATATAAAAAATGGAATACAAGTTTTACCTATCGTTTGGCGTAAAAATATATTATTTGGCGTGGAAGAAGAAGAAATAAATAAAGAGAGTGAATCTGATATTGGTGTTATGTTGGATGATATAATAGATGAAGGAGGATGTCCTACTTTAGAAGAAATTACTCTAGATGGTGCTCCTAACATTCGTAATCTAGTGGCTGATGTGTTTCTTGACAGTAAGAAGATATTGGAACAATAAATAGGTTGAAAAAGGAACTAAACAAAAAAAAATCTATTACTTTATTATTAGTCCCTTTATACATGACAAGCAAGTATCATGATCTTATGATTCAAGTGGTTACAAAAGAAATCAATCGTGTCTATAATACATTTATTCAAAGAAATCCTAATTTTATAAAGAACAATGGTCAAGTCTCTATTTTAGCTCATTCATTAGGGGTAAATAAATAAATAATAGCATAGACTACTTATCGACTCACTCACTTACTTTGACTTCTTTATATTATGTTTACTAGTCTTTACTGGGATTTGATATTCTTTGTGCTCAGCCTTTTAATCTGAATACAATAACTACATCTTGTTCATTAGACTTTCCTGTGAAAAACTTTTTTGCAATAGGATCACCACTGGGTATGATACTGCTTTTGAGAGGCAATAAAATCATTTCTCGACACACGACCCATAAACCTGAAAATGATAAAAAGTCTCTTACCTTTGTTTATCCAGCCGCTGATAATATCTATAATATCTTTCATAAATCGGATCCTGTGGCCTATCGTCTTGAACCACTCATTGTTCGTCACTATGGTGCTCAATTGAAACCAGTGCCCATTCCTTATATCAAAGGTGGGCTAAAACGGGTTCTAAATGCTGGAAATGAATTAGCCAATAAGGCAGGTGCCGTGCTTGAATCTATCAGGTTAGATCTTTTTCAAAAGTCTGCCATGTTAATGAGAGGATTATCATTAGGTGGTGGTGGTGGTAAACAAGAAGTCAATGAAAGTAGTAGGATGTTGTTGTTGGATGAAAGAAGATCATTAACAGATCCTAATATGATAAAAGCACGTAGCTTGGCTAAAGGTGCTGCTCAATTAAAAACATTGAATTCGACGGGACGTGTAGATTATTATCTACAGGAAGGCATCTTGGAAAATGCGTATCTGAGTGCGCTATCAGTACATATGTCCTATTGGCAGGTAATAAATTTATTTACCTGTGATTAATTTACTTGTTCATTTATTTATTTATTTATTTAAAAAAAAAGGATATTGATGTTGCAGGTTTTCTTATTAGAGAAATATATAGATATCAATAAGAAGCTACCATAAAGTTAGTTTATATTTTTTTAAAAAAAAACACGCACACACACATGGAAAAAAAATCTTTTTTTTTTCTTCTTTAGCAAGTTTGATATGAATATTATTCATCTCTATACTATTTCTTACAGAATAAAATAAACAAAAATAGATAAACACATTTATACGAATACGAATAGATTGATAATAGATGCTCATTCATTTATATGTAATGAAATAGTGTTTATTGATAGTTAAATTATATAATTAAAATAATAATAATAATAATAAAAAATGAATATATGGATTAATATGAATTAAAAAAATAAAATAAAATAGTGAACAAAGTAGTTTTAGCTTTAGTTTCTTTCAAAACCCTTAACAATATCTTCAAGAGAACGACCCTTGGTTTCAGGGACTTTAAGATAAGTGAAGGCAAAGGCAAGAGCAGCAATACCAGCAAAGATAGCAAAGGAGTAACCTTTGATACCTTCAAAGACAAGAGGGAAGCATTGACCAATGACAAAGTTAGTAGCCCAGTTGACTGCAGTGGCAACAGCACCAACAGCAGAGGAGGCATAGACGGGTGTGACTTCAGAGGTAATCATCCATGGGATAGGTCCGACACCAATAGCAAATGAAACAACATAACCAAAGACGGCGACAACCAAAAGGGGACCCAAGCTATAGACATAACCAATGATCAACAAGACACAGAAGATACAGGCACCTGCTTCAGCGATCAACAAAAGAGGACGACGACCCATACGATCAATCAAGATTAAAGAAAGAATAGTAGAGGCAAAGTTGACGACGGTAGTGACAATAGCCATATACTTGGAGATCTCAGCAGAGAAGGACATGTTAAAGATAGTAGTAGAATAATACATGACAGCATTAATACCAATCATTTGTTGAATGACATGAAGAGCAAGGACAGTGAGGGCGATACGACGAATAAGAGAATCAGTAAAGATCTGGATCATGTTCATGGATTCACGAGCACCTTCATCAGCAGTAACAATACCATCTTCAATTTGATCATCAAAGGACTTGGTCTCATCTTTATTGGCGGCAGAGGCACTACTATCCATACCAGTAATAGCTCTAGCAGCAGCAGCACCTAGTTGACCTTCAACCATACCATAAAATTCCTTATCAATGTTTGTATTAGGACGAAGTCTTTGAAGTGATTCTCTGGCTTCTTCAATACGGTTGATAGAGATAAGATAACGAGGAGATTCAACACAACCAGACATCAAGAAGAATTGAGCAATAGCAGGGAGAGCAACAAGGGCATAGTTAATACGCCAGAGAGGAACATTAGCCAAGGGAAGACCGATGACAGAGGCAAGCAAGATACCAATGACAATAGCAAATTGATTACAGGTACCCATAGTACCACGAGCCTTGATAGTAGAGATTTCACCAACATAGGTAGGAGTAGCCAAGGAACCAAGACCACAAGAGAGACCACAAAGAATACGACCCACAATAAACATGGCAGGGTTTACTGCAACACCTTGTAAAAGGCCTCCAAGTATCCAACCCAAATTATTAAAGATAATCGTCTTCTTACGACCAAACTTGGTTTGAATATTACCACCAAAGAAACCACCAAGAAGACCACCAACACAGAAAGAAGAGACAGCAAAGCCCCAAAGACTAGTATTCATGGGGAGACAATCAGGGAAGGCGCTACTAGAGATACGAGCACTACCATTTTCACAAGAGTGAGTCACTTCACCTGGTACATTAGCAGAACCAATTACCCAACCATTACTAAATGAACCAAGACAGGCTACTATCACACAGTAGACCATATATTTAGGTAATTTAAGATCAAGAGAATCCATATTGTATAATATGTAAATAAATGTTATTAGTTAAATATATTAAAATTATTACTATATATGTATGTAGGTAGATATGAAGGTATGTATATAAATATATAAAATTAGAGAATTAGCTTAGTATATAATGATAAAAAAAAAACTAGGCACAAAAATTATTCTTTCTTTATATATGTATTTCATTTTAATGCATTATTTACTTGTTTTCTATAATACAAATCATTTCTTTCAAAGGAAAATTTTCTTTTCTAATATTCTATGATTGTCAAAAAAAAAAAAAAAAAAATGGTACGAGTCCCATATTTCTATTTAAATTTGCCTATTTTAGTTTTTTGTTTTCTACAGAAAAATAGAAAAATAAACGCCATAGCCGTTCCTCCTTTCTAACTTTTTTTTAAAAAAAAAATAAAAAAAAAACTCAACATGTTATGTCTTTATCAATACTATCTATTTTTTTGTTTTAAAATAAAATGAAGCTATTAAATTGGGAGGGGGTTTTTTTTTCTCTTTATTATACATCATTAATCATATAATTATAACTATTTTATTTACAATTGTAGCTTATTTAGAATGAGGGGGAAAATAAAGTTTATTTTCAGTTAAAAGGAAGAAACTTACATTGTTAAGTTTTTATGCAGGTTAAAGTTATTTACAGTTATTGTATATAACAGCTTGTTACTTTTCTAATGATAATAACTGCGTTATAACGTACAAAAACAACATGTTAATCTTTTTATATATATATATATATATGGCTTATCATTTATATATACAGAGAAAGATATACACATATACTAATGCATTTGAAACAGTTTAGAAATGTTTAATTTTCATTCATTGTAATAATAGAAAAAAGAAAATGTACCTGCTGCTACTGCTACAAAATGAAACATAAGCAACAACTCCGTTTAAATAAAGCCAGTAACAAAAGAAGAATGACTACTACTGCTACCCATTTAATGATGCATGTTCATCAAGTAATAATAAGAAAAAGAAGAAAAAAAAAAGTCTACTCCTTAACATATACCAGGGATTCATCCTTAATAAGTGCCATAAATGTATCTTTTTGTATCTAAAGGTTAAATTATTGAGTAGTAGGTTACAATAGCTATTATTTTTAACAAAAAAAAAAATTACACGTACAATGAACACTTTATTATCAAGTTTTTATGCAAATATATAATAGATGGTATTATTTTTATAATTCTTTAACGAGGTCTTAGAATTAAATTGGAATGTAGTTTTCAACATAGCATGATATTTATAACCCTCTACTAATTCTAATTATCAAGAAAAATAAAGATCCTTAGGTATTTAGATACTCACCAGGCTAGATTTAATGTAAAAAAAAAAAAAAAAAAAAAAAAAAAAAAAAAAAAAAAAAATGGAGACGTGTAATTTTTGTTTGTCGTTAAACAATTCCAGTGTAATATATTCCAGTTATATACAAACTCATCAAGTCGTAATTGTACGTACTTTAGCCATAATAAAGACTGTAATATTTAGAAAAGAAGAAGAAAAGGCATTATATGCTAATATATAGACTGCTTATATTTAGATCACACACACACACAAAAGATTAGGTTATAATACACCATAGATTCAATCAGTATAATTGTTTCCATATTATGATTTGATAGTATGATATACACAGTAATACTTTTATATAATTTGAAAAGCTTTCGTAAACAACATCTTCATCTCTTTTATAATTAAGACAATACAAAGCAAATATGTAGTGGACGACAGTCGTAAAAACAAAGCAACTCATTTGTATAAACGCCTTTATATTCAAACAAAATACTAGCAATATTTTATACAATATCTTTTTTTTTTCTTAAATTTGATACATAATAATATTATTTATTCATTGCACTTTATATACAATATATACACATTTTGCATTTTTATTTTTTTAGCTATTCTTATCAAATCTTTCGCTTCCTTTTTCTTTAGAGATGACGAGCAGCAGAGGTGCCATATTGCTTGCTTTCACCCTTTTCAAGAGCAGCTGCTTCATCCTTGGTGGTAAAATGTTTACCTTCTTGATTTCCTTTCAATTGACTACCATCAGAGCTCATAGTATTTGAATTCTTATTTTGTGTATTTCCGGTAGAGTTCCTATTGAAGTTACCCTCGACACCTTGTTGATCATCAATATGAAATTGGCTTTCGTTTTGCTTGTTAGACATTGTTATTTATTATTCAAATCAATCAAAAAGAAAAAAATAAATCGGTTCTCTCTTGTACAAATGTCTTCTTTTTATAATGAAATAAATAAATTAAAAAAAAAAGTCTCTCTCTCTCATAGTTATCTATATATGAGTAAGTTTTTCAATCATTATGATGAAAATAAAATAAAATCTAACTATACATGTATAAAAAGAATAATGCTGTAATAATAATACGTAAAAAATGGTTCATAAGGTCAAGATTTTTTTTGGCAAAAGATGGATGAGATCAATTCAAGCCAACCGAATTGACATATAATTTCTTCTCTATTATGTGACAACTATTTATTTGCTTTTTATGGCTTCATTACGTTATAAATGTCTCTAGATTCCTCTCTCACCACCACCACCCTCCCAAATAGCATAATGTTTTAATCTATACGTATTCTCAAGACTCTACAAATAATCCCTTTTTTTTATATAACTGGATAGGAGTATCATAGAATAATAAGCTTCTATATTTTATCTGGTAAAGAAGAAGAGGAAGGAAGCTAGCATTCAATTTTCATTATATACATGTATATTACAAAAAACAGCGATAAAAATATGACTCTTCCATGAATATTATCTTATTTTACTGCTTTTTTTCAAATAATGCTTCGGGCTTTTTTTTTTAACACCCTTGTTTATCTAATTATAATTCATAATTTTTATGAGAAGAAATAAGCTTAGAAAAATAAAAAACAAAACTTACCCAAAGACATGGGAGGGCATGCATAAAATGAAGTTACCAAAGAAGTTTAGTTGCAAAAAAAAAAAAAAAAAAAAAAAAAAAAAAAAAAAAAAAAGATTTAAACATATTGAAAATAAAAAATAATCTTCAACATGATGCTTGGTCATTACATAATACACACAAACATTAGATAGAGATGAGGAGCGTGTTTATATGTAAAACAGAACCATCCTGTTCTCAATAAATGAATTGAATGAGTATAATACCAGTAGTAGCTACTGAAAGGAGCGGGATTGATTTTTTTTTTTTTTTTTCGGGAGAGAGGGAAGGTAAACTATCAGCTTAAAGTTAGATATTCATATAAAATAGATAAAACTCAATAATTTCAATCCTATCCCACCTCTAAACACTTTTGGGGGAGTTTTTTTTTTTATATGTCAATTGTGAAGAAAAAAAAACAAGGAAAAAAATAATAAAAAAAATTTGTATTTAGCGTGTCTCTCAAAATTCAAAAAATGCTTTACTATTATGATAAATCCCTTCTTCTTTCTGGCTTTGCTTAATACCTTACAAGCATATATATTAATCATTATATAAGAAGTTGAGTATTTGATATACAGGGTATAATTTCTGCTGATACTATTTAAGTTAGTTAAAAAAAAATGAGACTACAAAGTTAGTTCTTTTGAATATAGTTTACCTTTCCATGCTATTAGGGCTTGGGTTTGAAAATACCATGAATTTATATAGATCAATAGCCCCGATGATAAGCAAACTATTTGAAATGTTTTCTTAAAGTCTTTTTTTTTTTGGGAGAGATTGCCATATTCTCTTGTCCCTTTTGCTTCAAGTTTTTCAAATTTCTCGTTTAAAACTAAGGGTGAATTGCTGTTAATAGAACTTTTCTTCCTGTAATAATAGAACAGTCACTGTGAAAAAAAAATATTAAATAACCAAATAGTCTATCCTATATGAAAACTCTTGATAAGCACGATAATAGAAGGCGTTATATTATAGGTATAGATTATTTGAAACAATAGTAGTCATCCATATACCATTACTAGAAATGTATTTTTTTTTTAATGAAAAAAAGAAACAAGCAATTATTATCTTAATTATTAGGAAATAATATTAAAAATACACGATTAAAGCAATTCAAACAGTTTATTAGTCTTTTCAATTACTATTGTAATAAAAGCCGTTGAAATAAGCCAATGTTTCAAAAAATAATAGTAGTATTTCTTCTTACTACTTGTTCGGATTTCCAAACCGAAAATAATAATAATAATAATACGCCGCTAGAAATTAAATTTAAAAAATTATTTTGTTGTGGTAAAGCATAATGCCTTGGAATGAAATTCAATTCAGGTACTAAATCTAATAATGAACACCAAATTAGTGATGAGGGGTTTTTTTATTCAAATCAGCAATAAAATACATGAAACTAATTTGGTAAAAAAAAAGAATGAATAAACAAGGATGACGATATAAAAACTATTTAGATAAGATAAAGTCATTCATTCTCTTGAAAAGAAATGAAACTAATAAACATAGCTAAAAGTAAAGAGTAATGATGCTGTCTATGAAAAAAAAGACAAGATTAATTATTATGTTTTAGTCTACAGTAATACATTAATTATATTTATAGTTAATATTTGTTTTATTTTACCCTTTTTTCTTTTTTTTCCCTTAGTCTTTCTTTCATTTTTATTATATCATCATCGTAATAAGAACTCTTACTACTATGGGGAATTGGGAGTTAAATTCATCATCTAATTCATCTGTTACTCAATTAGTAGAGGAAGAAGAACGTCAACCCCTATTATCACAGCAAAATAATAATAAGTTAATATCCTCATCTAGTTCATATGCCAAGTTCAATAATCGTAAGTATAAAATCTCTTAAATATCGTTCCCCCCTCCTCCCCACCCCCCCTTTTTTTTTGCCCTATAAATAGAAGCATCTACACTAATTGAATTATGTTCAATAATGTCCTCTACACGTTCTTCTTTAACTGCTGTTCCTACACTTTCATTATTATCAAATAAAGAACTAACATGTATAACAGCAGTAGATGATATAAGTACTGCACCTAAAACTCGATGTGCAACCATCATATCGTATTTTCAACGATTCAGGAAAACTGTAAGACATGATGGGTTCGCGTGTAGTACATGTATCTCTTACTTTTTTTTTTTTATATACATATTTGTTTATACATGTATATTTTTGTGTATATTACTATAGCATAGGGAGTTTTTGGCAGAATTTATTGGTACAATGATTTTAGTTCTTTTACTTTGTGGTGTTGCTGCTGAAGAAACATTATTTGCTACTAATTCGCATAAATCTTGGTTAACGAGTTCTATCGGATCAGGTAACATATTATATATAAAAAGACATCAATTTGTTTATTTATTTTATTTTTTTTTTCTTTTCTTATAATAAAAAAAAAGGGCTTGCTGTCTTGATTGCCATTTGTGTTTCAGGCCATGTTTCTGTAAATAACACAAAAAAAAAAAAAAAAAAATTTCTTCTTCTTCTTTTTATTTACTCATTTTTTTTTTAATCTTTTATTTTTATTTAAGGGAGCACATCTCAATCCGGCAATCACTTTAACTTTTAGTGTCTTTAGCGGGTTTCCAATTCACAAGGTACCTATCTATATAGCAGCTCAATGTTCAGGTGCCTTTGTGGGAGCAGCCGTCTTGTACATTCTCATTCAACCTGCTCTTACCAACTTTGATCATGGAGAACGTCAAATCCTGGGTGAATTCGGTACAGCAGGTATCTTTGGAACCTATGCCCCACCTCATGTTACACTAGGAACTGCAGTCGCGTCTGAAATGGTCGGAACCGCTTTACTTTTGCTCATCGTCATGGTCTCGGGTCATCCGAATAATTTACCCTTCAAGAGAGCTCAAGGCATTATGGTGGCAGTAGGTATCATGATACTTGTGATGAGCTTAGGATACACCTCTGGGTTCTCCCTGAATCCCGCACGTGATTTCGGTCCTCGTTTATTTACCGCGATTGCAGGTTGGGGTATGGACGTCTTTTGGATAAACGGATATTATGCCATTGTGCCCTTGATAGCACCACTTTTAGGAGGGCTTGTAGGAGGCTTTGTATATATCCTTTTTATAGATTAAAGATAGCAGGTGTATATCTTTTTATAAATTATTTTTTTTTATATATCTCCCTTCTCCTGCTTACCAGGACTTTATACATTTATGTATATGTATTTTAATCATATCCAATGATGGTCATTGTATTATTCCACACACACAAAAAAAAAGTGTCGTTTAATAAAACAAAATATGAAAACTTTATTAATAAATTTTGCATATTTTTTTTTTTAAAATATTGCAATAGGCGATAATATCTAATCTAAAATAAATATTTTTGTTCATATATGTTGTGTACAAATATTATTTCTTTATATACAAATTTTGTTATCTTTTTTTTTTTTGTGTATTATGCTTTAGTTGACAGCTTCAAAGAATTCCTTGGACTTTTCAACATCAGGCTTAATGGTCTTTTCACCTGCCTTCCAGTTAGCAGGACAGACCTCTCCGTATTCATCAGTAAACTTGAAGGCCTCAATCAAACGAATGACTTCATCAACAGAACGACCGACAGGTAAATCGTTGATAGTAATTTGACGAACGATACCCTTAGGATCAATAATGAAAAGACCACGAAGAGCAATACCAACATCTTCAAGGAGAACACCATATTCACGAGCAATAGCCTTTGTCTTATCAGCCAAAAGAGGAATGTTCATATTACCAAGACCACCTTGCTTACGAGGTGTGTTGATCCAGGCAAGATGAGAGAATTCTAAAAATAAGTTTTTGAAATTAAAACGACGCGTTCAAATACACACACTTTTTTTTTCTTCTTCTCCACATTCCGCAACTTTATTATTATTATTATTCCTCACTCACTCACTCTCTCTCTCTCTCTTTTTTTTTCTCTCTCTCTCTTTTGCGTAGTAAAAATATTTACCAGAATCAGTAGAGGCACCAATGACAGCAACATCCAAAGCTTCAAATTCCTTGATACGATCAGAGAAAGCTAAAATTTCAGTAGGACAAACAAAGGTGAAATCCATAGGATACCAGAAGAAGACGACATATTTTCCCTTGTAATCAGAGAGGGAAATATCTTTGAATTCACCATCAACAACAGCAGGAGCAGTGAAGTTGGGTGCAGGCTTTTGAACTTGAGCGACTATAGAACAATGTAAGTTATCTAACATATAAATACTATTGTTTTTTTTTTATGTCTTCTTACCCATTTTTTTTATTTTGTTATTATTAAATAAAGAAGGGAATAAATATGTTTATAAAATATTATAAAATAAAAAAAGAAAACCAAAAAAAAAAAAAAATGAAAAAAAAAAACTTCTGTATTTATATTAAATGGAGTGAGTAGTAAAAAAAAAAATGAATAATAAAAAAAAAACTGGGTTTTAAATCCTGTTTACTAATCTTACATTATCCAATTAAAATATTAAACTAAAATCCATAAAAAACAATTAAACCGCGTTTCTAAATTATTCCGATTACAATAGTCAATATGTTTAGCTTTATTGTTCTCGTTTAAAAAAAAAAAAAAAAGGGCTTAGTCATGATAGTTAATAAAAAATAAATTCCCCGCCTCAAAATAAAGAATATTATCTGGGTAATAGGAATTGAAGGATAAAAGAAAAAAAAAAAGAAAAAAAAAGGTTAAAAGAGTTTATTTTATTCATCGTCATCATCAAATGGTGAATTTACTGCTAAATGTCCCAAAGAAGGCTGATAAGATAAACTAATCATTGATTGTATTTTTGAGCTTAAATTTAACTATGACAAAAGAGCGGACTATTAAAACCAATTTCTAGTAATTTCTTTTTCCTTTTTTCCTTTTTTTTTTTTTACCTTCAAGTGATTGTCTAGTTTAATCATGGCCATAAGCGTGTCTAAATGACTATTACACAGTTGGTTTTCAATGGCCATTTCTTCTTCTCTTGTTGCAAATGATAATTTAGGATTCTTTGTCATATTTATTTGTTTAAGATAACCTGTCCATTTTAGATAAATTGATAAATGAACAAGTTGACAATCCGATATATCCAGTATGTCAATTTTTCTTTTTTCAATCACATTGTTCAATAATTTTACACCTAAAAAAAAAAAAAAAAAAAAATTAGGGGGTGAATAAACCTACCAAATTTTTTTTTTTCTATTATTATTTTACTTGCCTTGATCGCCAATTTTTGGGTTTGAATTTAAGGTTAGTCTTCTCATTTTTGAAACAAATTCAAGACTGTAGCTTAAAGTAACCATATCTATTTATTTATTTATTTATTTTTATTTAATTCTTTTTTAGTAAATTAAAATTTAAAATTACCATCTAATGCAAGTCCACATGCTGTTAAATCTAATTGATTCAAGCGTGGTTTTAGTTTGAAAAATTCATAAAGTCGACAATTATTAAGCGTTTCTCGAATAGAATATTTAAAGCTTAAATCTGATAACCTATCATATTCCAAAAAAAAATCAATAAAGTTTATAAACCTTTCTATTGGCTTTCTATTTTACGTTGGTAAATCTGATAAGGCTTCAAAATTTTCCCATCCAAAATCACTTGTTACACTTGCTATCTCAAGCTTTGAGAGACGTTTAAGTTTTTTCCACAGCCATGTCCATTGTATTAACATATCATTTTCAAAATGGTTATTACTTAAATTGATGAATAAATTAGCCGCTGACACTATGGATAGATAGATAGATAGATAGATTTTTTTTTCGTTGTTAATTCATTTCTACATTTCATTTGTTCTTTATATATTATATTACTTTTGTGTGATTGGAATTGGTCATAGGCTTGCTTTGTTTCTTCTTCAATACATGTATACTTTCCAATTTCTGTATTTTCTAGATTAATGTATTTAAGTGATGGTATACCCATTAATAGCTCTGGCAATTGTTTAAGGAACGTTGGTCCAATAGGATTATGTGAAAGATCAATAGAGCGGAGCCTAAAGAGTCGAAGCAAATCAATGCACTGAGATGTCAATAGATTATTACTAAGAAGAAGCTCGCCCAATGTTTCGTAGTTAGCTTGTTCTAATAATATTTTAAGATCCTCATTGTCTAAAATAATAATAATACAAGTTAATCATAAGTTTATATAGAAAACCTTAAAAAAAAAGAAAAAAAAAGATTACGCAGCATATTGGAGGATAATTTTAGGGTTTGAAGTAATCTAGAGTGCTGAATAACTTGTTGAAGCGAAATCATTTGATTGGATGAGATATCTAGCGTAAAAAAAAAAAAAAAAAAAAAAAAAAAAAAAAAAAAAAAAACTACGTAAGATTATTCATCATCAGGAAATGGATAAGAATAAGAGTCAATTACTTAAGCCAGTGAGTGAAATGTTGGTTAAAGTTTGCTTCGATAATCTAAATTTGATTTCCTTGACAGGTTCTATCTTTAATCGATTACAGGCATTCAAATAAATATGTAAAGGTTGTTTTTTGACAATATCTTTATAGAAACAGTTAATATATATGTAGATAAGCTAATAATGGCAAATAGACGGCTTTTCTTTTCCTTATATATAAATATGTACAAACCTTTTGCAAAGGCTTCTATATATTGATCTTCTTTAGTAATGATATTTCGAACATAATCTTCTGGAAAAATATCATGATCCATAGTACGTAAATGACTCAAGATAGGCTATTCATCATGTAAATAATAATAAAAGAGAGAAGACAGCTTGTAAGTTTACCTCAATACCATATTGAGACCAACATCTTGCAGAGATATCTTCCATTAGTTTTTGTACTGTTTCTGGCGCGCGTTCATAGTGAATTCTTAATTCGATGGGATCCCTCTTTAGAAATACTATTTTGACTTTAATTTTCTATAATACAAACTTGTCAGTCTAATTTTTTTTTCTGTCTGCTTATATCAAGCTATTTCCTCTTTATATAACCATTTTTAATGCTTTGTGAATTGAAGGTGTAATTCGGGTATATTCAGGGATATCTCTATCTACAAAATAATTGTTTTCTAATTTTTGTCTCTATAAATACAAGTTAATATAGATAAAGGTGGGAGAGGGGAACCTCTTACTTACGACTAATTTTTCTTCTTTAATTGTTTCTAATAGAAGCTTTTTACATGAATCCATTTGAAGTTGTTGATCGTAATATTCATGAATGCGTACTCTAAGTTTAAATATATCAATTATCAAAGAAAGTTGATCTAATGGATTTATCATCAAATTGGTTTCAACATATTCAAATGCTTCATTACTTGATTTTAAATAGTCCTCTTTACTCTATATAGCGCACACACACACACACACACACACACAAAATAAATAGTATGATGATTAAATAGAAGAGAGTGTCGAAATATATATATATATATACTTACTGCTTCCTTTAATTCCCATTGTGATAACGTCTTGTAATGTAATAATTGTGCATAATTTAAATGATCAAAATCTCTTGCATTTAATAAAGTGTTGAGACCATCTTCATTCAATGCTTTTACAACCATACGATGTAATTCATAATCACGTAATGTTTCAATATATTCAAAGTACATGGAAGCAATAGGCGCGTTTTGATCTCGTCGATAAGATAGTCTATCAATCTCTTCCTTCATCAATTTTAATTTCTTTACCATCTCTAGTCTATCTTTATAATATTTATGATATTCTGATCGGTCAACGGCAGCTTCCTTGTATAGTTGAGCACATGTGTTATATTCTTCGAGAAATAAATGAAGTTTTACTAGATAAATAAATAAATAAATGTAAGCCATAACATGGTTAAAACTGTACACATTCTGTTATGCCTTATTACTTTGTTCTTCAAAACAATAAAGCGCATCATCTGTAAATCCATGTTGTTGTATCAATTGATATTCATTCTCCTGGCATTCCTTGACTAGTTCATAGTGTCCTGAACGTTTAAATAAGTTGCTCAACTCCCACCATGCTGTCCTTTCACTCACTGCATCATTCAATTGTTGAGCCATCTGTATAGCCATTCTTAGATTACCTTCACTTTCACTATGATGATCAGATAATTTAGATTGCATTACACCCATATTAAAATACGATGATTGGATTAATCGTTGTTTCACTTTATCTTCTTCATCATCTTTCATTTGATCAATCACAGATCGTTCCAGTTGATAATAATGAAGAGCATTACTGAAATCACTAAAACGAGATTTCTCAGGATCGCTACTCTTTGTAAAGTAAATATTGCCCATTGTACGATAAGCAGTCTGTAGTAATTGTTTATCGAGAGGATGTTCAATCGTCTTGAGACCGTACTCGATGGCTGCCTGAAAATCGTGAAGAAGAAGATGAGCTTGACTCAAGGCAGCATAGGCCCTTGGTAAAAACTCAGGAGGTTGAATTGATTTTAGACATTGACGACACATGGTGATGGCCCCCTGAAGACATGAGTTAAATTTGGGACTATCACCCACTTCATCATCACTTTCGTCAACGAGCCATTCTGTTAATTCAAGAATGGTTTCAAATGCTAATAATGGCTTTGAATTATTGACAAGAGACTTGTAACGGTTCATATAAAATTTAAACCCTTCAAGGGCCGGATCGGTACGAGCGTATTCGATTCCATAAGTTACTGTTTTCCCCATATTACGAGCATAAAGGAGAAAAGAGAGAGAGAAAAGACGATAAAAACCAAACAATAATACTAATAAAAAAAAAAAAAAAAAAATAATGCAAATTATTCAGTCACAATAATAAACATTTGTTATAATCATTCTCTTTTTTTTCTTTTTCTTTCCCCTTTTTTCTTAAGAAAAAAAAAATGACAGATGAATATGGATTTGAAACCAGATTACGTTATTTGGAGCATATACTTTTAGGACAACAACAACAACAACAAAAAGATGTTGATGAAAACATTTTGAAACGCATTCAAGCACTTTTAAAAAATATGGATGCAGTTTATAAAACGAACAAGTCCATTAAGGACTTTATTACAAAATGTAATTACAAGTACATTGAATAAATAATGGCATGTTCACAAATTCACACCATCTTCCTTTCTATATATATATATATATATATATATATATATATTAGATGATATGCATGCAAATATATTAAATCCTTCTAATTCTTCATTTGCTTTGGAAAGAGAAGTTTTAGCACCTGATGTAAAACTTGAGTTGGTACTTTGTGCACAACAAGATTTAGAAAAGTTTGCAAATGAAGTTAAACAAGTGAAAGACTTGGAATATGTTGTGAGTGGCAAAAGATTTGATGGTATTGTGTAAATGCAACATTTTTTTTAGCGTATATAAATGTATATATATATATATATAATAAAGCTTTATCTAACCTTGATATATAGTGATTGAGTCATTAGCACCACAACTTTCAACGCTAGAAGTTAAACATGAGAAACAGATTGATAAAGTAAATGAACTGACAAGACAAATAACAGATTTTATGGAAAGATATAATGGAATGGTAAATAAAGAGAATATGTATACACATCTACATTACTAATATACATCTTAGGTGAATACATTATCAGAAATTTTTATTTCTTGGGATCATATATTAACTAATATTGAAACACATGTTAGTACATTAGAACGAAATAATTCTGAATTGTGATTGGATTATTTTATTTATTATGTAATTTCTATGGTAGTCATGACCTTTTTCTTTAAAAAGAATTATATCAATAAATACAAGTAATTATTATTTACAAATTAAGAGTAGAGTAGAGTAGAGTAAAGAGATGGGGGCGGGTGCAAATATAAAAAATAGCATTCTATAGAATGACTATCATAACAGAGCACAGACAGCGCTTATTCATGCATAATGGGCTACTTACGTGGGAACACATATATCAGTCATCATTCAAGCAAGCAAGCAGGCAAACAAACAAATATATATTAGTGTAAATCTTTCTATTTTTCTATTTTCTTTTTTTTTTTTTTTTATCCTTTCTTTCCCTCTATGGATAAACTACCACTAGAGATATTATTTCATATATTTGGATATCTTCCCTTCTCTTCTTATTGTCTTCTTTATACCTTATTCCCACAATCTATTATAGATGCAGCCCTCGTACAAAAGATGCTACATGATCAAGAAGCTATTGTTCATTTAGTTTCAACTAATCCTCATGAACTCTCTTCTTCCATGCAACATTATCAAAATGAATCTTATTTATCACTCTATTTTGCTAGTTATGATCCAGCACATCGGTATATCTGGTTATGGCCTCGCTCATTCTATGATCATAGTCATTATTTTAAAGTGAAGAATGCTTATGTGTTGCATGGTAAATTGGTTATCAAGGGACTAACAACAAGAACTTTACTACCACTTGTTTCATTATGGGATATTCGAAAACGATTTCATACAATGTCAGTATCACAGATTGAATTATTAACTATTCAACAACAAGATTGCATATTAGATGCTTGTTTAATTAAATCGAATTCAAAAAGAACCATCATGGATACTACTACTACTACTACAACAGAGGCAATCATAAAAAATGATGATACAATAGATATGATGTCATTTGAACGTCCCTTATTACCTGCACATTATAAAAGGCAAATACCTATGATGACGACAACAACAACAACAGCACCACTACCATCACTACTACCACCGAATCATCTTAAAACAAAACAAATTGCTTCTACAATAGTGCCTGTTTATCCTGATCCTACGTGTGGCTTCTTTTTGATTGAAAGATTAGGTATCAGTATTCCTACTTTTTTAGACTTGTATAAATAAATTGTATATGAATGATTATATATTTATCTATGAATGAATGAATGTATGTGTGTGTGTGTATGTGTGGGGAAATTGTGACACTATGACTTGGATTTCCTTATTTGGACATATCGTGTGATCAAAGATGAGTTGCATTATTATAAAATGAATAATTTATATGTTTATATTCATATCTTTATTTTTTTTTATTATTATTCTTTTCTTTCATATAAAATTAATCATGAAAGTTTTTCGAGCAGAAACGGGCGAACCTATTAAATGGAATTTAAAACCTAGTCTTATTAAAACGTAAAAAGAAAAAAAAATGGAATCTTTTATATTCAAACTTTATGCCTATTTCTTTTTTTTTTCAATCGGTAGTGTTGATGAATTAAAACAAACCTTTGAAGATGAATGCGGAGTGCCCATGAGTGATCAAATCTTGATGACCAGTTTTGGTAAGCTAGTGAAACAAGATAATTTGACTAAAGTATTAGAATCGACTGGAAAAGTAATATTTACAAAATATAAATAAATGAAAGAAAAAAAAAGGGAATGAGTAAGTAAATAAATAACATGTGTATGCATATCAATTCATATAGGATGAATATATTGTGTTTTGCTATGATCGTCGGTATTTAAGTGTCGATGAAGAAAGTATAGAAGCTTTATTAGCCGCAGAAACACCTTCACTTGAGCCAAGAGTGAACCAATTAGATGGTATATAGTCTACTCATGAGAAAGAGAGACAGAAATATTTAATCTAGTATCTGATAGGAACGTTCATATTAAAACATGTTCAAGCTTCATTAAAGAATAAAATTTCTATTCAAGATACTTGTCAAGCATTTATATCCTTATTTTCAACTTTTGATTCCCACAGTCAAGTGAGTCGTGTCTAATCTTATTCTTTATATACATATTCGTCTTACTTTATGTATGTAATTAGACATTAACTAAAACAGTGACTACACATATTCATCTATCACAACAAATAGTACAGGCACAGAAATTTCAAAGTATGGCACTCAATGTAGCTATCACTAATCTAGAATCACATCGTAAACTGGCAGACGTTTGTATTCGATCTTTTATCACTCAAGCACAAACTGAACTAGATCATCAACAACACCTCTTAGACGCTATCGATCAAGATTTGACATTACTTAAACATGTTCGTATTCACTCTTCAATTGCATCACATAAACGATTGATTGATTTTGTAGATATTCAAAATATTCAACACATGCGTCATGATACTCAAGATCTATGTAGCTATTTAAAGGAGCATATGAATAGTTTAAATGAAGAAATACAACAACTTAAAGAAGATGAAGATAGTTTTGCTGATGGTGTAGCTGAAAAGAATAAGGGACTACAAGAGCTGGATGAATTATTAGCAGATATGCTGTTGATTCAACAAAAATGTAACTATTTAAGAGACAAGATACAACGAGACCTGAGGAGAGTATATGAAAAGATTTCAAAACTTGTGCCATTAAATCAACTTTTAGAAGGTTTACGATTAAGTGAAAATGGAAAGAAATTCCCATTAGAGGATTCCACAAGTAGTCAAAACACAAACAATACTCAAGAGTTATCTATGTCTACAAAACAGCAGCATCAGCAGCACATTGAGTCGTCGTCGTCTTCTTCTACAATAAAGCGAATGTTGGATGCCTTTAGTCATCTTGCAGAAATTCATGTTTATGATTATTTACCAAAACTCATTGAGTATGAACGTCAGATACGGGAACATACAACTCATTTAATTTCTCTCAAACGAGACTCCATTTCCATTTTTGTTCGCCATATGGCTGTTGTCTCTGAATTTCAACGACATGTGGGTAACATTCAACCCATTGTTGATCAACATCAATTACATCTTCTTCAATTCAAGTCGCGTTATCCTCGAGGTTTAGAATGTGTACGTGACCTATTGTTCTCCTATGGGGCCTTGATGATTGAAAAAGTGAGACGAAAGGAGTACATGGTCTTGTTAGTGAATAACGTGAGTGGTATAGCAGATGCCTTTTCGGAATTTTCAAAACAAGAGGAAGCAAGACGAGAGGCATTTGAGAATACAGTCATGAAATCACTTCCCTTCAAACTAGGGACCATGATGAACAAGTCTGCAGCTCAATGTAAAGTGTCCATTCAAGGGTTATTAGCTGAAGAGGATGGGATAGAGAAAAAGGATATATTAGATTTTATATCCATCATTACACAAGTTTATTATTCACAGTTGCCGACCAAGTTATTACGGCACCAAGAGGAACAAAACGATTGGTTATTACAGTTACTCAACAAAATGATGAAGGAAATGGATGAAATGAATAATAAATTTCTGAAATCAATAAGAGAGAACCTTTTAAAGCAGCAAATGGAAGATGATGGGAAAAAGGCTTTTATTATGAATGACACATCATCTGCGATGGTCGCTCGATTGACACCCAAGTTGATTGTTTCAACAGCAATAGCAACAGCATCAGCAACAGCATCAGCGTCAGTGTCAGCGTCATCATCATCTGATTTTTCTGTAGTGGAAGATGATTACAAGAAGTTAGTGATAGAAAACAAAGAATTAAAGAATAAATTGGGGAATATGGAAGAAGAGATGAATTTATTAGAACAAAAGAATCAAGAACAAGCAGAGGAGATCAGTCAATTACGAGAACTTGTGAAAACAGTAAATATATCTATTTATATGAATAAGATGCTTTTTTTTTTATTAAACATTATTTTATTTTTTCTATCTATTTATAGTTGGAAAATGAGAAAGAAGAGTTTGAGTCTCATAGACGAAGCGTATGTTAATTAACAAAATATAAATATAGGATGCTGTTTAATTCTTTCTTTCTTTCTTTTAACAGTTTCTAAATGAGCTTAAAAATAAAGATAAAACTGCAGATTTTAGGCTTGCAAGCGCAGAAGAAGAATTCCATGCAAAGGTATGAATATATAACACACACACACACACACTCTCCCTCTCTTCATATACAGATGCATATTTAACTCTTTACTAAATATATACATATACATACATATATTAGATGAGTGATTTACAATATGAATTGGAGGAAGAGAGGCGTATGAAAAATAATTTGGAAATTGAATATGCATCAGAACTCAATACGCTGCAAACAGAACGTGATCATCTTATCAAAGATCAACAAAAGTTGGTTCAACTCCAAAAGGAGATGGAACAACTAAAGACACATGTATCACAACTCCAAAGTGAGCTTGAATCTAAAGAACGTACAACAAACGAAATTCGTCAGTTACAAGAACAAACACGGGTTATGGTAAAACGTGCGCAAGAGGACTGGGAGGCCAAATCAGATGAACTCGTTCGTATTAAATCAGATCAAGCCATTCTAGAGGATGCTATTCACGATCTTCTTCATCGTTGGTCTGCTGCTGCTGCCACTACTGTCACCACCACGGACGACCAACAACCTCTTCACTTGCAAATCCAACAGTTTAAAACCAATCTAGAAGTCTTTGAACGAGAATATGAAATTACAAAAGCTAATTTGGATGCAGCAACACTAGAGTTAACCGAGTTGACTGATAGTTATGCTGCTCTAATCGATGTGCATGATGAATGGCGTTCTATTGCAAGTTGTATGGCTGAACGTCTCGAAGATTTTCGTAAACATCTTGTGTTTGAGATTGTGAATCAGTTGCAATTACCAGTAGATGAGAGAATATTGAATGTATTACAACAAAAAGTGACTGGAAGTGATGATGATGCTGCAATATGGAATCAAGTCTTACAGTTAGCGAGCTCCATTGATACAGCCAAATTTGTAATGTCAGTACGTAAGCGTGTGAGAGATGTTTACGATCAAGCAAAACAATTTAAGAAAGAATATCGAAATACAAAAGGTAAATATATCCAAGCGAAAAAAAAAAAGATGTGTGATATACTGAACTAATCCTTATATCCTTTTTCCTTTTTTTTTCCTTTTTTTCTTTTTTTTTTTTTTTTTTTTTTTTAATGAATAGAAAAATATAATAAATTATATGCTTTATATTGTGAAAAGATTACATTCAGAAAGTAAAGTCTTCCATGATTCACATGCACACACACACACAAACACGCATATATTTATTTATACAAAAATGTAAACTAATATGTATATATATAGCTTTAGGGTAGGTGATGTTGCTTTATTTTCTCCTTCACGTAACTCGGCTGATGGAAGACCATGGGCTGCATTTAATTTAAATTCACCTCATTACTTTTTACGCAACCCAGATACGACCAAAGAATACATATTAGCAAGGATTACGGCTATTACAGAATATATAGCATCAAATGATGAAAACCCGTTTAGATTAACAGAGGGCACAAAATATTATGTGGTGGATGTAGAGCATTGGAAGAAACAGCAACAGGTTAGTAAAAAAAGGCCGATTTCGCATGATTCTGGTTTAGCGTCTATCACCTCTGCACAAGAACAACAGCAAGCGAAACGGCCTTCATTTGGTAATCTAACTTCTGGTTTTGTACATAGTTATACTACAGCACAGCAGCAGCAACTATCAAAAGACTAAATCTAATTTTATGTATAATAAAGTATACCTTTATTTAATTCATTTATATTTAAACCCATCAAAGATAATGAAAGAGTTCGATTCAATCAATTAATAGTAACATTAATTATAGATAATAGTTGGTCTCTCTTTTTTTTTTTTGTAATTTGTCACTCACTAATCTGATCTTTCTTAAATATCTACATTCATTTATATAAAGATGCTTATGATACTTGTTGTTAAAGATAGAGTCTTAGTATATGCTTTAAGAATAAGCTCTTTTTCTTTTTTTTTTTTTTTTTTTCTTATTGTTACTTGGGTCCATTAAATGTGTAGCAGTAGTAATCATTCTTATTTTATTGTTGGCTTTATTTAAAATGGAACTGTAACATGTACTTCATTTTAATTATATACACGTATAAGCAAAATTAATACCTGTAAAGAGTAATACATCATATGAAGTTAATACAATAAAAAAAAAAGAGGTCACATAGTATTTATTATATTTTATTTTTTTCAAAAAAGGAAATTCTTTAATATATCCCTTCCCTTCCCTTTCTTTTAAAAAAAAAAAAAAGTACCCATATTTAATTCCTCTAAATAATAATTATTAGAGGACAATCTTAAAAGTCTAGTATTTCTTATAAATTATTGAACCATAATGACTCTAAGTAATAAAAAAAGTTTCCTTTGGAAATGTGGAGCAATTGTGGCAATGAGCATTTTGTTTATTTGGATGTTGTATGTTTCAACGAGTGGTTCATATATAAATAATAATACTATACAGAAAGGTAGACATACCCGTATATGTATATATACATATATATAACAGATACAGATACTAATCAAATACTTAGACCCTAATATAGTTTCTTTGGACCAATTAGAAAATAATCATAATGCATCCTATTGTTCAGTTACAAAGGATGGTCAACCGAAAACTGAATATGCCATCATGATTGATGCTGGTTCATCAGGCTCTCGAGTTCATGTATACCGTTTTAAAATATGCCAGCCTAACGATCCCATTTTAGAAGATGAGGTCTTTCATCAACTAGAGCCTGGTCTCTCCTATTACAAAAATAATCCCAACATGGCTGCTCAATCACTTAGAGAACTTTTAGATATCGCTATGAAACATGTCCCTGTTGCTGTTCAAAAATGTACACCTATTGCTGTTAAGGCTACTGCAGGACTTCGTTTATTAGGACAAGACGCATCCAACAAAATTCTTAAAGCGGTAAGAAAGTACATAGAGACGAACTATCCGTTCCCAATTGCAGGTGAACATGGAGTTGAAATTATGGATGGAAAAGATGAAGGCAAGTTCAGATATTATAGTCTAATGACTGACTGACTGATGAATAACGTATTATTGAATAATAATAATAATAATAGGGGTTTATGCATGGATCACAGTAAATTATTTGTTGGGTAAATTAAAAAAAAGCCAGTTAGGAAAATCTGCAGCTGTATTTGACTTGGGAGGAGGATCGACTCAGATTGTATTTGAGCCTACCTTTATCAGTAAAGACGAATATATGATGGAAGGTGATCATAAATATCGCTTGGAATACCAAAATCGTAGTTATGAATTATATCAGCATTCATATTTGGGATATGGTTTAAATGAAGCCCGTCAACGAATTAAATCAGAAATTATCCATCTAACTGGAGGAGATAAGCAGCAAGTCTATTATCATCCATGTTTACCTGAAAATCATAAAGAAGAAATTCAAATCAATGATAAAAATAATGCCACTGTTGTACAACTTGTGGGCACTGGCGCTGGTTATACAGCATGTCGAGGCGTCATTGAAAGGGTCTTCAATAAAGATAAACTCTGTGAATTAGGACCCTGTGCATTTGATGGTATCTATCAGCCACCACTCAAAGATACCTTTCAAACAACCAATGACCTTTATGTCTTTTCGTTTTTCTACGATCTAACTCAACCATTAGGAATGCCAACTGAATTTTCTGTACGTGAGTTAGGTGAATTAGCAGAGCATGTATGTCAAAATAATATAAAGGTCTTTCAGCATATTCCAAACGCTATACAGCTCATCAAGAATAACCCAGATTACTGCCTTCACCTTACCTATATTTATAATTTGCTTAAATTTGGTTATGATATCCCAAGTGATCGTCTTGTTCGTACAGCGAAAAAGATTCGTGGGGCTGAAACTGGATGGTGTTTAGGAGCTTCAATTGCTATGCTTGATGAAGCAAAACTTTGTCAAGAAACTTAATTTATTATTATGATTACATATGTATATACATATATATATATATATGTGTGTGTATGTATATATGTATATATGTATATATATAAGGAAAAGAAATATGGGGTATTTTTTTTTTAATGATTCGAAGCTAATCTTTTTTCTTGTAATTGATGATCTGAATAAATTTGATATTCCAAGATGATGGGTAATAATTTCCACAAAGAAAATTCAGGCCAGTAGCAATTAACATAATGAATTTGACATGTGTCATTTGCTTGCCATAATAAAAAATCACTTAGACGAGTTTCACCTGATGTTCTAACTAGAACATCTAATTCAGGACAATCGGCAGTAAATAAATGATCTTTAATTGTTTGATCTGTAATCTCACTACGAAATAAATAGAAAAGTTAGGAAAGTTTTAGATGAATTATAATTACTTTACTCCACTGTTATTTTTCCATGTTTTACTAATTCAATTGTATCTTTAATAGCTGTAGTTATTTCATCTCTTGATGTATATGGACAACATACATTAAATATACGTCTATTAAGGGAAAAAAAAAAGTTAATATTGATGTCCTCTGTCTTGTATAAAATGTGTAATTTACTTTTTGTTTTTTTTCGTTTGTTCAGTTACTTTTTCAGCTACTTTTTGAACATGTTCTGGTAAATAACTTATGTGACCCAAAAACCGAACGCAAATTTCATATTTATCTACCAAAGCACTATATATATTTGTTAGGAATTGACATAAACATGGTAATCTGTAATTTTTCCTACTTTTTCTCACAAAAACCTTCAAAGGCTTCACAAAAGAGTCTCATCAAATAATCGACTTCATCTTCTGATCGATTAAAGTTTTCTATACTAAAGGCATATACAGTAACAGCCTCAATACCTAACTGCATGCAAATATCTAACATCTAAATATGAAATGCTTTAGTATACCATGTTCAAATAAGGTAAATATTTATTCTTATTCCTACTTTTTCTAATTGCTTAAATCCTTCATAATGTCCAAATTGTGTTGAACTAGCACCTGCTTTCCTTGCATAACGTCGATTTCCATCTAAAATAAACCCAACATGACGTGGGATTTTCCCTTTACATAAAATGGAAATGGTCCATTGCTCAAGATAATTATTCACCGAATTTAAAATGCTTTCCATCTAAAGGAGAAAAAAAAAAAAAAAAAAAAAAAAAAGGAGTTATTTGATTGCTTCAGATATGCTGAATTTTAAAATTATTACGATTAAACTAAAGATTTTTATTTAAAACATTAAAAAATGACCAATGAGCACATAACATTTATGTGCTCTTTTGCCCTGGTCAAATCGCTATGGAAAGAAAACCCCTTTTGGGATATAAAAGGGAAAATGTTGAAGTGTATGTATGAGTGATGATAATTAACTATCAGAAAATCGTTGTTGTATTGAAAGAAGATGATGGTCAGAGGGTTCGGGGATTTGGGAGGGAAGCTGGATAATCCATCTCCAAGCAGAATTGCACATACGGAAGGCCAGCGTATGAGCCAGGCATCAAATGATTTTCTCACTTTCCTTAGTAAGGAATGTTGATGGTAATAGGAGATTCAAGAGATAAGAGAGTGGATCTTCAATAGATCTGGAGCATCTGAAGGCGGTTATTCATATGCAAACAAGAAAAACTATGTGAGCGTGTGTGAGGAGTTCATTAGGATGGAAGTGGCAGGCTTGAGGGTTTATCAAGAGGTAACCAACCAAGTCGCCATCGCACGCAACGAAATCATTCACTTCTTGTCATTGGTATTGTAAGAATAGGGTCGACAGTCAGATTATTACGGCAATGGGATAGAAGTTTCATTATTACAAAAGATTGATAATATTTAATGGGTTGAAATGGGAGCGTTTTTTTTTTTTTTATTTTATTTTATTTCTTTTACTGTAGCACTGATTTTTGTCTTCTTTAACTGTTTAATATTCGATACAAGAATAGCTTAATGTATCTTGGCGTTCCTTAGCTCTCTCTTTTTTTTTAGAGGATCATACTTATGGCCCAATAGGCTGGTAGGACTAGGCACCAATGAGGTCAATCCAGTAAAGAGTTTACAAGTAGGTAAAGTGGTATAACATCAACTTTGTTTGCCTGATGAAAATGATTCAAGATATAAAAGATAGACATAATTGATGTGGGATGTAGAGGCTGATCATGTTGTCTATTTAAGTTTGATGAATATCCAACGCATTAAATCAAAGTAACTAAAACTGCTATGCTCATCCTTCGGCTAATAAGATTATAGCAAAAATACATAGCCTACGTAAGAGAACCCCATCGTTACACTTTATAGCAAAGAATCATCTTAGCTAAAGTAGCTTGACAAGTCCATGTAACTACCTTATATCATACATAAAGGCACTGCTTGACAAGCAAAACAGATTGGCTAGTTTTAGTTCTTTGAATTATTAAATATTAGATTTATTGAAAAAAAAAAAAGGTTATTATACTGGTTTTTGACATTCAATTAGTGCCCTTTGCAATTTGAAATCACGGCCTTGGACAAAAAGATTTGTACTGAATGACAAAAAATGTTTACTAAAAGGCATTTCAAAATACATTTCAAAAAAGAACTCAATGCGCTTGTCCCATGAAAATAAATAAGAAATTACTGTTAATGCGTTCACCTTTGTTCTTTCTGTAAAATTAAAGATAAAAGCAAAAACTTATATAGCAGCAATGTTACCATCATACACTTGATGTGCATATAACCTCAAACCGTTGCAAAAGATATTCTACCAAGTAGTAGATAAAGCAAAAATATTGTCTTGTCTTAAAAAAACCCCCAACTGTGCAGTCAAAGAATTTTAAAATTAAGTAGTTTCAACTTTAGGACAAAGACTTGTTATTCATTGCTATATTTCAGTAAGTAAAAATGGTTTATCGTGCATCCTTTGGTTAGAATAGAAAAAAAAAGGCTTTTTGGATCCGAATTATTGTGCAGTAACTTTATAGGTGTATATGCCATGATTCTCTAGCTATTGCACAGAAGAAATACAAGAAAACCACTTTAAGCTACTTAGCCGCTACAGCTTTATGCTTAGAAAAGATGTTTAATAATTATATAAGTAGAGAAATATGTTGGGATTCTAATGCAAATGCCATTTGATATGAAAAATTTAAAAAAAAATGAGCTTCTATTAGGTTATTTTGCAAATACGCTTTATTGATCTTTTGAATTTTGTATATAGAGTTGTCTGAAGCTTTCAATCATCTCGTTTGTCATCTTTACGTTTCTATGCCTTTCTGGATATTTTGATCGTTGTTTCTTAACAAGTAGCTGGATAGACCCAATGTACATCCCTGTTATGTAATGAATCTCTCGTATTGTCAACCCCATATCAAAATACAGATGAAGACAATTATGAGTATTTTCCTTCGTATAGTTTTTTCTTTTTTGGCGGACCTGAATTTCTCTTGCTCTTTAGATACCTCAACTGTGGTAACAATGCCATTTTCTAATTGAAATTTTCTTTTAAAAGAAGAATTAAGTTCAACAATGGGCGCAGCTAACATATAGTCATCTATCTTTTCATTTGAACGGCAATCAATTGGAGCTTCGATTGTATTATCAACTTGTTCACTAGAGTCTTGAATGAAGCTAACTTGATTCTTTTTTTTTTACCGAGAACTGAGAAACGCATAAATGCAAAACAAGTATAAAAATTTAAATAAGCAAATGCCAAGTAGAGTTGTGATTTAAAGATTAGTATTATATACACATATAAACAGCATTATTCTATCAAAATTACAGGCAGCGACTGTCTCCTTCATTGTTGAATTTTGGGAAGCAACTTAGTGATACGACCACAGCAATACTAGTACTTAAAGTATTTGGTCTTGGTTTTTTCTTATAACACCTTGTCCCATTTTGTATTTTGTTTCGTTTGTTAATTGCCTTGTTTAGGTTAATGTGCACTTGTACACTTTCTCAAAAATAGTGTAGCATCAAAAAAGGAAATTATGTTACATTTCTGAGTGTTGCACTCTACCAACTTCTACTAATTTTAAAATAAAAGTGACGTAGCGACAATATATTTTCTTCATAAGTGTAACATTATTTCTTTCTTTGATAAAACATTATTTTTAAAAAGGTGTATAAGCCTCTTAATTTCAATTCGACCCCTGTTTCATTAAGTATATTAGGTACACAAATTACGTGAGTTTTATGCTTCGTTTTACTTAGTTTGTTTCCACAAAAATATGAGAGTAATTGTGCTCTTGTATTGCAAGGCATTGACGTTTTGTGCTGTGTATTAACATCATTATGTTCATTAGTACAGTTATGTGCATTGCCATTTTTACTGCTTTCATACTCTTACGCTACGTCAACTAGGTATTATGCGTGTTACATTATTTATGTTCATTACGTTCATTGTGCTCATCTCTGTATCTATCACTCTTACATCACCTTTCAAAGACATTATTTCACATGTTCATTGCATACATTACCATCATAGCTGTCAATTTTGACAACATGCCGGCAGTCAGGTTTTTCTATAAATATATGAATAGTTCCTGTTTTTATACCAGTTATATCTCTTTTACTAAATATACATTCCTATCAATTCAAAATGTCAAGCAACACCACCTCTTCTTTCCAAATCGTCATGGACAAGCACTATGTTCTTCTTGAGGAATCCTTCTCTGGTCTTAATACCGACGCTGTTCATCCAATCGAGGCACGCAAAATTCAAGATGGCTTTGTCCACGCTGTTGACATGGATTGGACCAAATCTACCAGTCCTCACACTGAGGTTCAACAGCTCTTGACTTTGTCCAACTTTTTGCCCAAAGCTGTCACCCAATGCACCACCAAAACCAAGAAAACAAAAAATAATTCTGCTGGTGGCATGAACATTGACTCGATCCCTAAGGCTGATCAAATTGTCAAAACCCAGTATCGCAAGTACACCGAGACACAGGTTAAAATTTTATTTCACTTTTTTTTTAAAAAAAAGAAAACAAAAATTAACCGTCTTTCTCTATGGGTTAATAAACTCTTCCGTTTGGTCTTTTTGGAAGGAATGCTCGCTTCGGAGGCTGCCAGGCAAACGGGAATAGTTGTTCGCACTGGGCAAGACTATGTGTGCAAGACCCGTTTATTAATGGAGGAAATAAGAAAGAGGGAAACAATGGAGGTAGATAGTGATGAAGAAGTTGAAGTCGCCGAGCCACTTCCTCCAAAGGAGCGCAAGTATGGTAACCAGAAGCTCTTTCAGGTTCACTCTCTCTTTTTTCTTGATTTTTATGAGAAATGTGCCGATGCCACCCTAAATGAAGCAAGAAAGGCGGTAATGGAGATTTTTCCTGGTTTGGAAATTGATATTTCTACAATTTCGAAGCATCTAAAAAAACATGGCAATTTGACCATGAAGAAGTTGGAGAAGCTTCCCAAGGCTCGTAACACCCCCCCCCCGAAACTTTGGAGCAGAGAAAGCAAAAGGTTTTGGAATGGTTTTCTCTGGATGATTTTGACTTCATGAAGAACTGCGTCTTCATAGATGAGGCTGGGTTCAACATGAACATCAAAAGAACTTTTGGTCGCTCTGTCAGTGGTACCCCTGCTAAGATTGAAGTGGCTACTCAACGAGGTGTTTCCATTTCAATCATTGGTGCAATGTCTGAAAGAGGCATCGTCAACCTCATGGTGCATCGGCCAACTGCTGTCATTGGTGGCAAGAAGAAAAGAAAGTTAAATTTGGCTGAGTCTGGTGTTGACGTAGTCAACGGTCGAGCGGGAACAAGAACCGCTCATTATCTGCAGTTCTTGGAGGCTACGATGGATGTCTTGGACGCTCAGGGAATGCAAGGGAGGTATCTTGTTATGGATAATGCTCCCATTCACACTAGCAAGGAGGTCCAAAAACTGATCGTCTCTCGTGGGTACAAGTGTATGTACCTTCCAAGATATTCTCCGTTCCTAAATCCGATTGAGGAAATGTGGTTCAAGATCAAAATACATGCTAGACTTTCCAAATTTGAAAGAAAATGTTGAAGGCTTTATTATTCAATCAAGAGACTTAAACTTCTTATCTGATATTAATGCAGAACGTTATTGGGCAAGTATTGGTCTTGCTACTAATGTACAAAGACAAGTTAGTTTATATAATGAGGGTATGTCAAGCTCTTTAAATTCTGCTAAGGAGGTAAAGTTTAATCCTATAAAAACAAAAAAATCCAAAAAATAATCCCCTTTGTATAGTTTCTTACAAGTAATAGTCTTTCTGAAACCCAGGGAACAAAAAGAAGACACGTAGAAATAAATAGTAATGAGCAAAATTCCTCTGTCAGTGAAGATGTGCGTCAAAGAAGGCAATTTATACCAGTAAGCTACAATGGATTTGTTGACTCAGGAACTAATATTGAAAATGAAAATGTATGTGATAATAGAAGCTAATAAAGCTTGTAACTAATTTATCTAATATGAATTTACCTGTATGTAGAGTAATAGCCCATCATCAAGTATTAGTTCTTATATACCATCTGACCTTTCAACTGCAATAACTGGCTACAAATGTAAATTAACAATGTGCGAGCTTAGGAAAAAGGATATTCCTAAATCAGTGATTCCTATTGCTGATAAAGCTTTAGCCAGTTTAGTTGCTGATGCTGAAGAACAAGCTGCGTCAAATCAATTGTTCCCTCTAGATATTGAAAGAAGATTGCATGCATCAGGCATTTTTTTATCAGTATTTTTTTCATTAAAAACTACTGAGAAGGACAAGATTGCAGAACTCCCATATGTAATCTATAAAAACGGCCTTTCCCTTAAACGTGCAATCCAACAGAATAAGCTGTATATTCAACCGCATCCATCGACTATTCTTGAGGAATCATGTCTTAACACCATCTTGCTATCAACTCATATGCTTCATGGTAAGCCGCTTATTCAAACCAAATTCTCTGAATTACACTTCATTGCGACTTCAGTCACATTGTTCCTTACCCCGTTTTTTTCCGCTCATGACATTGCTCAGATAGAGTGGGACGCTATATCTTGGGTGTATAAATAATTATATAATAAAGTTGAAGACACAAAGCGCCCAGATATTACATTTCATATTAAATCTGGTGATACTATTGCTGAAATAGGTTGTGGTGAAGTTAAGAAAGACTATATTGGCAAAGTTGAAGCCAAGGCTCGTGTTTTAGAAATAATGAAAAGACAACTACATTTAAGAATGAAATCTGATAAAAAGATATATGAGATTGAAACATTTGGTATCCTTGTCATTAAAGAGTATAACTGAATTTCGTAAAACTAAATTCTATTTGAAAGGCAAGGATATTACGCTGTTCAAAATGTACATGGATATAACAAAATGGGTTTATGTCTATGAAGAATCACCACCTTTTACTTTACCAACAACGTATCAAACATACAGAAATATGAACGTTGATATAGAAATTATGACTGGTTTTAAGGTATAAAATTTGCCCAGATAATATCATGTTTCTCTTTAAACTGACATCATTTTCTAGCAACAAATGCTTAAGTCCATTCTAAAACCTGAAGATGATAGTAATAATGATAATGTCTGGAAACTATACAAACCACATATACGTCCAACCGCATTTTCTTTCAAGCCTTTATATGAAACAGGTCTGTAGACTATGTTCTCTACATTATTTATAAGCAATAAAACCAATTGTTTTCTTTTCATAGATAAATAAAAGGAATAAAGTATTTTTTTATAATGAATACCTATTTTCTTGTTAACATATCTATCCCAATAAGTCTCAAATATATAGTCCAATCCAAGCAATCATCAACAGTACCTCTCTAACAAGCACCCACAATATGTGTCGTAAGAACGGAATTCTCATCAGGAGGAACACTTTTGGTATTGCTTGGAATCTTTTGAAATTATTTTTTATTTGGATTAGGGAAAAGTAAATAAGGAGGCATGAACAATAGTTTACATTTTTTTTATTATTTATAGCTTCCACTACAAAAACAGTATGATGAGTATTGCAATTATCCAAAACAATATAAAATCTATATTTATCAAGTATATTCATGATAGTTTGAGCTGGTTTTACAATGTGAGAGGATATTGTGCATTTCTTCAAATGTTTCTTCTTAATATTCAGCGTCAGCCTTTTCTGTATTTGACTTGGATTGAGGAAATCCTTTTTCAAATTCTGTCGACACTTCTTTGTTTAAAATGTTCAATATTTTTTTTTAAAGCTAACGATACCAAAAGAAACGAAGGATAGTCGTTAAAATAAGATATTAAAAATCGAGTATGCTCAGAATTTTTTTTTTTTTTTGCTGTTCCTCAACAGGTTTTCTTCTTCAAAAATCTCCCGAATAAAACAGTTTCATTGCTAGTGTTGAATTCATCGAGCAATTTGTAGGTCGTACTACAAAATCTTCTGCAAAATTTTAATAAAGCAGCAGGCTTTTTCAAGACTACATTTATACATCTTCATTCTTATCAGCTGAAATAGAGGACTTCTACAAGTTTTTCCTCTGAGTCTCGTCCATAGGAAATTCAATTAATGTAGATATCTTTCTGTACTCATAAACTTCCGTTTCACTTTCAGGATAATATTCTATTATAGGTTGATAGTTAGCACAGCCCAGTTCCAATTTGAAAAATTTATTGAAATGTATTTGATACACTCTTGAAAAGTATCTAATGACGTTTTTGAAGTGATCTCCAGATAATTTTATTGAGTCTTATCTGGAAGTCTACAATGCTCTCGATAAAAATGAATCTAAAAAAAAAAAAAAAAAAAAAAAAAAAAAAAAAAAAAAAAAAAAAACTTACATTTTCCTCCTTCATATATAGTTTAACCAACTAATAGATAACCTTGATGATCAATGGAGGAATCCTGAGGACAATACATCTGAAAAAGTTCAAAGGAATAATCGCTTGAACCGAATATATGTAGAAGAGGATATATCATTTCCTAGACATCTTAATGAAGCTAATTTTCCTGCTTGGGCATTCAATTCATATTTTTTTTTTTTTTGGAAATCAAATAATAAATATAAAATATAAAGATAATAGCAAAAGTAATTTGATAGCATATGAAAAAGGATATGTTTTGTATTATAAGATATAAAAAACATGAATAAAAAAAAATAAACATACACTGTGAACAAATTGTCCCAAAAAATTAGAGAATTTGGGTATTTACGTTCTATTTCTTTGAAAACTTATCGAGTTTAAACGAAAATTGGAACAATATGCCTGTTATAAGCTGGTAATCTTAAGATGGAAATTGCTTAATAAGTATGTTTAAACTTAGACTGAAACTAAAAAGTGTTACATTGACAGTAAATTTTTATTAATGTATTAAAATTTAGTATTTTGTATATCATGGCTCTTTCCGCTAATAAACACAAAGGTACCTTTCAAGGTCCGTTGAACAATCATAACAAGAAATCATGGGCGCAAACTGTATCTGGAGGGGCTACTAAAACCTCTAGCTTCATTTGTGTATGTTTTGATTAGCAAAAAGATAGAGAAAGAGAAATAAACGAAAAACAAGTCCGTAAAAACGTTGTATAGTTTATTAAAGATAATACAAAATTGTACAACGAAAATTATATGGAAAGATCGAGGGCTATTTATATGTTTTTACAAGGTAAGCGTTATCAATGGAAATATGATTCAGATAAGCAAGTTTTACTATAATAAAGTGTTTTACATAAAACATTGTCTCCGAATAATTCTGCGATCAATAAGATATATCTTTATTCCTTTTTCTCCCTGAGTTGTTGCTGTCACGAATAATATACTCAATTATTATTTCTGGGGTAAGCAACGCGTTAATATTAATTCTTAGTGAATATGTCTAGTTGCAACAATACCAATTATTAATGAGTTACTATCATTACCATTGCATAAGATCTTATCACTTAACAATGTTCAATATTATCAATGTAGATATGATATGTATTACTCATGAACAATTATGTAATTGAACACACCAGTCATAATCCTGTTTGAATTATGTATATAATTATTATTATTGCTCGAACATTCTAACAATGACTATTATTAAAACTGAGTGTAGAATGAATATTATGCTGTGAAGTTGAGTATACTAGTTTTATATGAATAACTTCTTTATTATGTAATAAGTGATGGTTTATTTCTATTAAGCTAGACAGGCGCTGGAAAAGGAGCCTATGTTGTCTCCACAAGAAGTAGCAAGCAGTGATGAAGAAATGGGCAATCAAGTTGAAGTACTTCCTACCAAGAAGGAAAGAAAGTACGGAAACCAAAAGTTCTTTAAAGTTCACATTGAGTTCTTTATCGACTATTATAACAGACGTTCAACTGCTACATTGGAGCAAGCAAAAGCTGCTGTGATGGAAGCCTTCCCTGGCTTGGAACTTGTAGTCAGTATGATGCACGAGCACCTTATCAAAAAATGCAACCTTACCTTGAAGAAGCTTGAGAAGCTGATAGAGAAACACAACGATGATAGCACTATGGTGGCGAGAAGGGAGCGTATTTTGGAAAGGCAAGAGCTTAAAGATTTTGATTACAGCTCAAACTGCGTGTTCATTGATAAAGCAAGTTTCAATATGCATATTAAGAGAAGCCATGCCCGATCAGAAAGGGGTCAACCCGCCAAAGGTACAATCCCCACACAAGGAGGTGTCTCCCTGGCAATTATTGGTGCAGTGTGTGAACAAGGTATTGTAAACCTGACACTACGTAAACCAACTGCTATTGCTACAAGAAAAAGAAGAAGAACGACCTTTGCAGGCAGTGTTATAGAACAAGCTTTGGACATAATCATAAGTAATATTATAATAGATGAATTACATAATACAGAATAAAATATAAGCCTGAATATGAAATAAAACTCTGTATATAACATCCTGTAAATAATATAAAACTTATTGACATCCAATTGTCTAGATGTATCAATTATAAGACATCGTATCATTTCTAAGTATTTATTTTTATAACCTTGACAAAGGATTCAAATCGTCTTTGATCCACTGAAATAGACACCAGGAATCTAAGCTCCGATCAAACAATCTAGAACCTTAATCAGATCATTATAACACCTAATAAATAATTCATATAAATCAGTAGCTTGAATCAACAATACCTATATATCTGAATATTAACACTGTTTCATGACTTATGTTCTTTGACGGTTATTTTTACTTCTTTGATTCAGGATTCATCAGTATAAATACATGCAGTTGTGTAGACACAAAATAATCTTTAACTTTCCTTTAACTTTCAATTCTTATTTTTTTTTTATTCTTTATTTTAATTAAATAAAACAGTCTCAAACTATACTTCCTTTTGTTCTCTTTCTTTTTTTATTTTTCTTTATTATATAACGTTCCATCACAGGCAGTCCAAAATGAGGAGGTCGAAGTTAATGGTCGAGTGGGAACCAGAACATCTCATTATTTGCAATTCTTAAGTAAAACGATGGGTGTTCTCGATTGAAAAAATATGAAGGTGCGTTTTCTTCTCATGGATAATGCTCCAATCCAAAAGTTGGCCGATGTTGTAAACTTGATTGAATCTTGCGGATATAAGTGTGCCTACTTGCCAACATACTCCCCATATTCTGAACCCCATTGAAGAAATGTGGTCTAAGATTAAGTTTGGTGTGTGCCAAAACAAATTAACAGATAAAGATTCTTTGATACCTCGTATTCAAGAAGCCGCAAGAAGAGTAACTATCTCTGATTGTCTTGGGTGGATAAACCATCCCATTTCATTTTTTGATCACTGCTTGAATTTAGAAAAAAATCTTTAAGTTTACATCCTTATCTTTTTTTTGTCTCTCTAGTTTAAAATATGTTATGAAAATGAGACATTAAACTAATAAAAACTATTTTATGCTATAACACTATTTTTTTTTAACTTTTGATTAAAGGAAGTTAAAGCAACAAAAGTTTTTCACGATCGCATTTGGCTGATAGACAAATATGTTGACTTCATTTGTCGATGGACGTCAACTCGAATTCAAAAGGTGCCATATTATATTTTAAAATCTGTGAATTTTAAGGAAAAATCCAGTAAAACTCAACTTTTTACAAAGATAAAATAACCTTCTTGGGTCAACACTACTGTGTACGCAATCTACAAAAAATAGCAAAAAAGAAATTCCCCATCGGGGAGTCGAACCCCGGCCGTGTCGGTGAAAGCGACAAATCCTAGCCGTTGGACCAATGAGGAGCTGTTAGTTTTGTCGGGCTTGACTTTTTATTCCTGTTGCAATAATTAATAATTAGTCACTGCAAAAAGTTGGCGTACGACGTATTAAAGTACTATACGTCGTACGCCACAATTTAAGCACCGATTTTTTAAATTGTTTATTTCTACTAATTTTTAATATAAAACTTCCAAATAAAAAATATATTATGTTTAATATACTATCATAGAATAAATATATCCAAAAAAAACGACATGTCTACTGCTAATATTCATTATTTTTTTAATGTTTAAATTTTACAGCTATTTTGGCTGTGTTTTTTTACAGGGTAAAATTTTCCAAATAAAAAAATTAGCCAATAGAATTTCTAAAATTTATTATTTTGCGGAATTTTAAAAGTACTTTTAATTTTTCATTGTATTTTTTTCCCTTGAGGCAAAATTTACACATGCATTATTTTTTCAGCCATGCAAAAAAAAAAAAAATTCAACATGATTATGTATTAATGTTTAATTCAAAATAAAATACATTATTTTATTATGTACACAAATATAAAATTATTTTGTCTTTTATTTAAAAGTGAATACAATTTAAATTAAAAAAAATGTTCGAAACAATTAATTATAAAAGTAATCTTCATTTCCATTATAACATTGAAACTGACATTTCGAAATGTTGGTGGCAATTAAGTTGAAATGCCAAACGAATATTAAAACATTTAATAAATAACATTATTGAAGAGAAAAAAAAATTATATTATTTACATTTTCGAGTTGAGAGAAAAAAAGTAATTTTCCTATTTACATCGTGAGATTAGAGAAAAAAAAAAAAGAAATCACACTATTTGCATTGTGAAATTAGAAAAAAAAGGAAAAGTAATCACATTATTTACATCGTGAAATGAGAGAAAAAAAAATACTTTTTTTCCAAAAATGCATCTATAAGAAAACATATGATCATAGAAAAAATATTTTTTTTCCAAATATGGATTTATAGGATCCATAGAAAAACATAGTATATGATCATAGAAAAAATTAAGTTTAAACCCAAATAGTATATAATAAATGCATTTGCTTTAACTTATTGATCTTAGTTTCTTTTATCAATCTATTATTTTATTTATTCATTACAAAGCATCCTATTATATTTAAAAATGTCTCAATCTATTAAAATCAGAGTAAAGTGCTATTGTTCTCAATGCAAGACTGATTCTCGCCCTTTTCGCCTTGTTTCTAGAACTACTAGAGCAGAGCATAAAAAAGACGATGAAGTTCGTGCAGGTATATATTATTCTTATTTATATATAAATAAAGCCTTTTTTTTTCGATCAAACTGTTTAATTAACCACTAATATATGATATCTAGCTAAAGAAAATATGCAAGAAGATTTAATGGAAGTTGATAATGAAGATGGTATTTTTTTTTTTTTTTTTTTTTTTTTTTTTTTTTTGCATGACAAAATACTTACACAAATATTTGGTTCCCTCAAATTACAAATATAGACATTGACGATTACTTTGCTGATGATGCTGACATTGATCAAGACATGAACATTAGCAATGATGCTGAAGAGATTAGTGAAGAAAGTAAATAAAAAAAAATTAATATTTCTTTCTATTTAAATGTCTAAATATAATATCCTATTTAATATCTAACAGATTCATACGCTGGTTTTTTCAATAATGGAAAATTCCCCAAGGATCCTATTGCTATGAATATGTTCATGATGCTTGTTATGCTTATCCAGGGCAATCAAGTTACTAATCAAGCCCTCGAGTTGATGATGCGCTTCTTAAACATTTCATTAGAACATACTACTAGTGAGTACAGATTTCCTTCGAGTGCCAGCACATTCTACTCTTGGAGCCAACTTGGTGAAATTTGCCATGATGGCATAAAAGAATATGTAAGCTGTGAAGATTGTCATGCAATCTATCCATTTGCAACTGCTGAAGAGAAAGCCAGGATCATTGGCAAGAAATGTCGTGCTCGCGAAGATAATCTCCCATTTGCTTCTAGATGTGGTGCTGAGTTGTTTGATCAAGTTAGTTTGAATCCTGTTCGCTCCTTTTTCTACAATTCAGTTATCAACACTTTACGTAAATTTTTCCTTCGGGAAAAATTTGTTAAAAACATTAGTAGTTGGAAGAATCGAACAATCGTTCCTGGTCGTTTGTTTGATGTGTATGATGGAAGAATTTGGAAGAGCTTCAAACTAAATCCTGGCGATGAAGAAGCTTTTGTTGAAAGTTCAAGGTTCAATTTGATGTTTTCATTAAATGTAGATTGGCTTCAATTGTACACCAATAGCCAGTATTCTTGCGGTGCAGTCTATCTAACGATTCTTAATTTACCAAGAGAAATAAGAAATCTGCGTGAGAACGTTATTTTAGTTGGATTGTTACCTGGCCCATCAGAGCCATCAACATTTGAAATAAATAATTATTTGAATCCTTTAGTTGATGAGTTCTTGCTCTTACAAGATGGTGTGCTAATGAAGGTTAGAGATGAGGAGGATCAGTTAGTGAAGGGCGCATTAGTGTTGACGTCGATGGATTTGCCGGCACAAAGAAAATGTCTTGGATTTACTGGTCATAACTCAACACGTGCGTGCCATAAGTGTGATAAATCTTTTCCTTCGCTGCCTGGTAATGCTAATAGAAGAGATTTCAGAGACTTCGATGATGCTAATTGGGTTGGTCGTTCGGCAAGTACCCACCGTGTAAATGCAAGTAAGTGGTTAACTCTCTCGACGAAAGATCAACGTAGTGAATTTGAGAGAAATACTGGTACTCGTTGGAGCACGCTCCTTCGTTTGCCATATTTTGATCCTATCCGTTTCGCTCCCGTAGATGTAATGCATAATTGCTTTCTTGGGACAGCCAAACGTGTCCTACATATGATCTGGAGAGATGAAGTTAGATCCGTTGCTGGCGGTCGCCGCGAAGAGTCATTATTGATTACGAAGAGCGATTTAGCGGAGATGTCAGAATTTGCAAAAAGCCTGATACTTCCCTTTGGATATGATGGTGGTAATGCTGTTAAACGCAAGATAACAGTAGGTAAGGATGGTTTTAGCCATTTAACAGCTGATGAATGGCGAGTGTGGATTATTGCTATGTCACCTTATCTTTTGCCCTTGAGATTGAACATGCAATATTATAATCACTGGATGAAGTTTGTTGAAGCCAATCGTTATATAGCCAATACAAGTATTACTGAAGAAGAAATAGATTACGTTCATTCTCTATTAAAAGAATTTTTAAGCGAATTTATGGAAATCTACCATGATGCCAGTTACTTGTCACTGAATATGCACAACCATTTGCATATCAAAGAAGGTCTTTTGGATTATGGGCCAGCCATGTCCCATTGGCTTTTCAACTTTGAAAGGTATAACGGTGATCTTAAAGTTATTAATACTAACAATAAGGGATCCGTTGAAAATACGATAACGAAGAGGTTTTTGGAGTCTGTTTTTGCTGGAGACTATTTTGATTGTTTGCCGGTAGTTTCTGATGATCAAAAAAATTGGAAATCAATTTTTTGTAAAAATAAAAGAAATGATGACGAAGAAAGTGAAGAAGAAGAAGAAGATAATGATATGTATGACTCAAAGTTTGATATCAGTCTGTTCTTGGAGAATGAAGCTTCTGGTGACGGCAAGCTATATGGTTATGAGTGTGTCCCTGCAAGCATCGTCAAGAATGTGAAAGCCAAGGCTCGGCCTTCAAGAATGAATGACGAGGATTTCGGATGCCTATTAGATTATTATTCTAATGTCTATTATGGCTGGACATTTGTTGAGGATTCTGGTATACCTGGTCTCACCAACAGTGTCCAAGGTGGTATTTATACTAGTAGGAAAATATGGAAGTTCTCTTCTATAGATATCTTTGCTAATAAATACAAGTCCTCGGGAGCTAATCCCTCTCGAAATCACCGATATTCCTATGCACGTATTCATTGCGACCTTGAACCAACACTCGATACGGCT